CTTGCACATAATGCCATTTCCAGCTGATCTCAGTATAATTATTGAAAATTTTTCAATTTTTAAACCTAAAAAGATTTTGCGGAAACTAAAATGTCAATCCACCGCGGATTACGTTTTTTAAAGCTGGAGTCCGCATCATTATGCCAAAATGACAAAAAGGTCTTCCCTGTCATTTAGATACTGTGTTTACATCCACCATACTTTCCAGGGCCTCATACGGGTTTTTTCTTTCACGAAATATTATGAAAGAAACGCGAAGCGTTGTGGTTAGCCCACCGCGCCGCCTTGATCAATACACATGATGTTCCTGTGCTCACACGGAAAGTCCTGCCTTCCCGGTTAAACCGAAATCCCTCCAATCAGAGTTCAAACAAATAAGTCGTCACCAGAGCGTCTTGATACCCGGTGGGCACAAGTGGAAGGAGTGATCCCTGTTCTAGGTTTAGAGAAGGGGCACAGTCTGGGGTAGTAGCCCTCTACCGTGCAAGCCGGGATGGTTGGTTCACGGGACAAGAAGGGGGGCCAGCCACTTCTTTTCGGAGTTCATTGACACCAGCAAGCACTTTACCCCCTCCCCCCTCTTAGACTGGGACGGATGCGGCAAATGAGGGGTGACTTCCGAGCACCTGCATCAAGCCCCACTGAATATGACACAACTGTTACTGCGGAATCCAGGCTGAGAAAAGGCAAAAAGAGGAAGGCCTGCATTTTGCGACGGTTGACGGCCAAGGTTTTTTTGTGATCGGAAAAACACAATTCGGTTGACTTTTCAAATTCAATCAGAGCAGAAGGCCCTCGGGGGGCAATAATATTTTGGGGGATAGAAACTGATGACGTGGGAGGGAAATTATAACAAGAAATTATGAACATAATAGTTTGTGGTGTACCAGAGACGTATATAATGCCATTTGAATGCAGAAATTGTCATTCTGAGAGAAAAAAATTATATGAGATAATGTACGCCAAATGAATATATCACATTTATGCAATGTAAAATCATAAACAAACAAAAAATTCGATGGTAAATCGTGTAATATCTTTGGGGTTTTTTCATCGTATATCCCAATGTCCGGGAAACAATCGCTATACGACGCGGCGCAGCACAGTTTTTACCGCATGGTCACACAAACTGATGGACTGCGAGGTTTTAAATGCTGGATCCGGCCGATGCATAAATCTGAATCGACGTTTCGAGCGAAATACACTAACCATCCACAAGAAGACCAGCGAGTCTTGTGACTCAGTTTCTACGAAGACGATCCCGATATGAAGACCGAAATGTAGAGTTAGATGCACTGTTTTTTTCCCAGGCCAGAATTTGGATGATAGTTGTCGATGAAAAGTCATCTGTATTGTGTCTGTGATTCTGTGTGCCATTACAATTTCGTGATTCCCGAAACCGGGTTCATTTTGGTTATTTTCATTGCCGCATTCTGGTGTCTGCGTAAATTTGATTTGCACACAGTGCCCTGAAATTCATGAGATTTACAGGAGTCGGGAATACCTGTCTCGGTACTCCAGCGATGAGATGCTGCATCCGAATAACCCACAAACTCCCCCATTCCACACCTATAAAAGTCAGCTTATGGATCAGGTGGAAAATCGGATGTCCTCTCATGCTTCCGCGGTTATTCCTCTCTTACGTGTACTTCAATGGACACCATTTGCAAATAGTCAATATTGAAACTGTCAAAATATGAAATATCCTGTATGATTGTATAAGCAAATAATAGGATTGAGCATCCTGTGAAATTATTGCACCTGGTGTTCTGTCATTTTCGAGAAAGACGAATTGCCATGAATTCCTCGATTGTTATAGGACTAAACCATCGCGCTTTCAATTGTAACCTATGCTTTCATATCGAGAAAAATGAAGATGCATTTTAACAGTTTTCTCAAAAAGTAAATCTACCGAGTTGAAATTTCGACAGGTTGGTTCTTTAATAACCTGCTTCAGATTTATGATATCCGTTGCTCCTTGAATCGGCTAAACTGGAAAAACACTTGGTGTCCATTACCTTTAAATTTTGTTTCTTCGGTTTATTAACGGGCATTGTGCAAGCATGTAACTGCCATTTTGTTGAAAGCACCTGCATATCCAAAGCCTGCTGGCTTTGAAATGTGCTAGAGTAACCTTTAAGTTTAAGTCTAGAACCGTACCTGCCTTAAAGATATAGGTCTTTATTTTGAAAGAATTGATCTTCATTGCATCCATTGATATTAATTACAAACACACATATGTATTGAACTGAAATATAATGACAATGACGGGTCCAATTCTACTGTACCTCCCTGCGATTCAGAGATCCTCCATGTCACTCCGATCACCACCATAAAAAAAAGATATATCTACAGGGATTTACGGAGTTTTATGTCTGTTTCCAGATTATCCAGCTTGGGGCCTGATTGTTGTCTTTTGGTAGAGCGATTTTCCAATCACCTCTTGTAGTTATCTTTAATCAAGAAATCATCCAGCTCGCCCACCCAACAAACCCCCATACAGCAACCACGGGAGATGATGTGCGCGACCGCGCGCCACTTCAAACCTTGCCCGGAGACAACGGTAGGGATGAGACTCGATAAAGACGGTAAGGTGATAGCGATGCGGAGTGCGATACGCGACAGTTTTTTTTTGTTGGCCACTGGCCGGACATCTTGAAGCGTGTATTGCACACAGGCGGCCCGGGGAATGACGGGGGCGATGATGAGCGGGGATGATAACCGCTGTGTCTGGTGAAAAAAACTCACTGCCCCCCGGGCTGACCGGATCAGCCAACGGAAGACATAACGTTTTACATTCGATCAGCTCAATATTTAAGCTGTCTCTTGTAGGGGTTCTTAGATTAAAGAGATCTCTCAAAGGCTTTCTCGATAACTCAACCAAGACATCCATGTTGGTTATTGCGAAATGTTTCATTTCGAAAGTAGTATTTCAAACCTGTCGTAAATGCTTGTGTTTAGCCGAAACATTCTGAAGGAAATATCATGTCAAAATGACACTATCGCAGCATGACACTCGTGATTTTCCTCTCGCTAAAGTTATTGTGAAAGCTTCTGCTATGTATGGCCCGTACAGAAAACTGTTGATTCGGGTGGAGTGTATTCTGGTGGAGTTAACCAATCACACAGTTGGGGCCCTCACTCTCAAAAAAATAGAGAAAACTTGAACCAAGAGTTAACTTTCAAGCTTAGGTGGAGGGGGACGTATGCATAGGCTTCTTTTTTACTGGATGATTGTCCTCATATTTGCAACTCAGGGCGGGGGGGGGGGTAGACCCCCTCTCCTCGCAGATCTGCCACTTTGCAACCCAAGGCATATTTTTTGGATGCTTTTGCGCCTAGATATTCGCCCTGAGAGAATTGAATTATTGTAGGGCCGCAAATAATTGGACATTTGTGAAGGGAACCAAAGTGGATGTTCGTCAGAGCCAATAGCGGCGTTTTACTGTTCATATTCATTACCAAAATTGCGCCTATCGCGCGCGTTTTTGTTTTTCTATAGGAGTGATGGGGGCCAAGCTTAGACATGAAAAATGCAGTTTTTCCTTGATATCATTGCAATACACTCGTAGGTTCTCGTGCTTCTTTTTTCCCTTAAATGAAAATTATCTCTACGCTAAATTTAGAGAAGAAATAGAGTGAACCAGGAATCTTTGTATCCATGGCTCATCTCGCTATCCACTAGGCTACTGTGTGGTAGCTCGACGACGTTTGTACTCTAAAATGCTTTAATGTAACTGGTTGACTAAATAACAACAATGCTCTTGATATCATTGTTCTGTTCGCATGAATAAACATACTGGCCCAATCGAAACTACTGAATTATTCATGACTTGGCCCCAACCGTCCTGTATGGGAATAAAAATTACGGGTGCCGATCGTATTTGTTTTCCGGTCGATATCTCATTCAAGGGTGAATAACTTTTATACTGCCAGAAAAAAAACAGCAATATCAAAAAAAGACCACAGGCCCTGACCAAGTCTGGCTGGCATGCCCCGTTGCCCCACATCAATATGGCGGGCCCCGCGGAGGCTGCGGAGAGTAAAATAAAAGAAATATAGATGAGCTCGTAAGGCCAAAAAAAAAGTCTCCGGTTTCTGGTATGGAGCTTGCCCAAAAAGTGGTGCGGCGACGCACCACTTTTGCTTCAAATGTCGGCTGATGACTGCAAATGGTGCCCGACTAAACTTAGTGCAAATATATGGGAGTCCAGAGAGGCCACATAAAGCTTATTCTCGACCATAACCCCATCTAAAACCACGTTAAAACTGTGCAGCAGCAGGATTCCAGTCAAACCAGCGAGTTTGGCGGTTTTGAGACATCATCTTTTATTGAAAAAAAACTTTTTCATTTTGCCGACGCGCATGGCTACGGCGACGCGCGCGCATACCAGAAACCGGAGACTTTTTTTTCTTGGCCTAAAGGAGTCATATAAAATCCGGTATGTTATTCCTAGCTCTATACAGGTGTCATGTTCTACAGGTTCCGATATGATCCTTTAAGAATGCCTATCCACTTAGTCCCATCTTTTCAGACGTTTATACAAAATCCTTCACGACCTATATAATTTCCTCTTGGTTGTGAGCTTAGCTCTTTCCACGATAGTCCTCTTCAGTTCATTTGTTTTATTTGGCATGAGTGAAGAGATGGTAAACTAATAATCTACATGATGCTCCCTATACAAGCTTAAGGTCAATCACAGAGCAGTAATGCTCTGCAAAACGGCCTCATCCCTAGGCCTAAAAAAAAAATTACTGGCTATCTTTTAACAAAATGTTTGCTCTAAAATAATGTGGACTTTACACATTTTTCATACTTTATTATTGCATTATCTTTTATTTCTTTTTTTCTGGCAACGCGTGACAACGTTTTTTTTCATTTCCAAGATCTTTATGCGCACATCAAAATGAGAATCGAGACTTCTGTCATCAACCCGCAACTCGATGCATCGGGTGCGTCAACGTGATCTGCTCCCAAAAAAAATGAAGCATTGACTCTGGAGTGCGCCCTCCAGAGTAGCAGCGAAGAAAGTTGTGATCAAAATGGCCGCGCCCATTAGGCATGTGAGATTTTGGTGTACACTACAAAAATCATTCAATTTCGATGTGGATGTGGTTTGTCACATCCCGGGAGTCCGTTATCTACTGTATCCCGGAAGATGTAGGCGAAAGATGATTAGGTTTTTTTCATGTAAGTTCGTTATTTGGTATTATTCTGTAGTGTTTTTGTTAAATGTATGAAAATAAATAACTGTGTTGTGTGCATGTTTAGGTGCTGGACGTGTTGTGCATGGGCTCGTGAAAAAGTGCAAATTTTCACATTTTTCCAACTCCAACCCGTATCTTCATTTGGATCTCTGGGATAGTTAAACCCTACTTCATCCCAGGATTGTCTTTTCCTGTGTGCCTTTCATCATTTGGAGTCTTATTGAGTCATTTTTAGAGTCATTTTTGTCACCCATCCTGCCACACTTAGATTTAGTCTGGTGCCTGTCCACAAAATTTAACACCTCAGCCTAGACTGTGTCTAGACCACAGACGTGAGTGACTGAACTAGATTTTCAACCCCAGCCTGCTTTTCCACCTGGATATTCTGGGATAGTTAAACCCTACTTCACCAGGATTGTCTTTTCCTGTGTGCCTTTCATCATTTGGAGTCTTATTCAGTTATTGAGTCATTTATAGAGTCATTTTTGTCACCCATCCTGCCACACCTAGATTTAGTCTGGTACCTGTCTACAGAAGTTATCACCTCAGCCTAGACTGTGTCTAGACCCCAGACGTGAGAGACTGAACTCGATTTTCAACCCCAGCCTGCATTTCCACCTGGATATTCTGGGATAGTTAAACCCTTATTCATATCTGGGTTATCTTTTCCAGACTTAGATTCTTTTTGGAGACATTCTAAGGATCATTTTTGTCACCCATCCTGCCACGCCTAGATTAGTCTGGTGCCTGATTACAGAATTTAACACCTCAGCCTAGACTGTGTCTAGACCCCAGACGTAAGAAGACTGCAGTGACATTGGTGAGAGATTCCTTTTCTTTCTTTCTATGCATTGCCTACTTCATCAGTGGCAAATATGTTAGTCATGGCTAGAAATGCTTTCTATGTATTACTTGGCATAATATTCATCAACTTCATCTACAAACATCAGCAGGAACATTTCGTTGAACACCTCTGCATAGTCTGTTCTTCAGTTAGTCCTCATGACCATCTTAATGTCAATGATGATATAATTGTTGCAGCCTTTTCAAGAAAGCTCAACACTGCTTCTGCTAGTTTCAGAGAGAAGAAAACCCACACTCTCCTGTACCTAAGCTTACTGCTCTTGGTTAATGCCCCAGACGTCGAGCTGAACCCAGGTCCGCGGACCTGCAAGTACCCATGCCAGATATGTAGTCGTGCAGTAACATGGAAGCAACGAGGGGTTGCTTGTGATGACTGTCAACAATGGTACCACGCCGACTGCATGCATATGTCTACCCCAGTGTATATGACACTCAACAATGTCTCATGGCACTGTGTAAACTGTGGCATGCCCAATTTTTCTTCCAGCCTATTCGAGTCATTCACTGTTGATACCACCAATTCGTTTTCTCATCTAGATACTAGTGACAGTAGAAACTCAACTGCGAGTTATAACCCCACCCCTATCGCAAGTCCAGGACCACCACTGTCATGCTCATCACCAATACCCAAATCTACCAATAAAAAAACCTGTGAACATGAAAGTGTTAACTGTCAATTTCCAAAGTGCAAAGAACAAAAAGGAAGACATAATCAATTTAATTGATTCTTCTGATCCAACCATCATCATCGGTACTGAAACCTGGCTGAACAGTAGTATACACTCATCAGAAATCTTTCCACCTAATTTTGATGTCATTCGGAAGGACCGCAGTGATGGTTATGGTGGAGTCCTTCTTGCCATCAGAAAAGACCTTGTCTATGATCGTGTTGAAGTTGATGTGGATGCCGAATGTATCTTTGCTAAGTTTACCATGGCAAAAGATAAGACCCTCATTGTAGGTGGCATGTATCGTCCCCCCCAGCAGTGATGCCCAATATCTGAATGCATTGTGCTCCTGTGTTGAAGAACTTGCCCGCAAATTCAAAAATGCGGTGCTCTGGATTGGTGGAGATGTTAATCTTCCGGATATCAACTGGGATCTGCTGGCAGTCGATCGCAACCAATATTCTTGTCCACTGAATGAGAGATTTCTTGAGTTCCTCCAAAACTGTGGATTACAGCAAATGGTCACATTTTCAACTAGAGGAGATAAGACACTGGATGTGTTTCTTACCAACCGCCCCTCCTTGGTTAATAAATGTGCTCCTCTGCCAGGTCTCGGCGATCATGACATTGTATACACAGAATCTAGCATTACACCAAAGAGGAACATTCCAGTGAGGCGAAAAATCCATCTGTGGAATAAGGCCAGTGTTGATGGCATGAAGGAGGAGTGTCACAATTTCCAGCGTGAGTTTGTGAGCAAGTACAATGTCAACAGCCCAATTCCCCAGATGTGGGCAGACATTAAGTCATCATTATTGAAGATCCTTGACAATGGTGTGCCCTCCAAGATGTCATCCACCAGGTTAAACCAACCATGGATCACAAGGAAAGTAAAGCGTTTGACAAGACGAAAAAAGCGTAGCTTCACCAAGGCCAAGAAAACACAGAAAGCCAGAGATTTTCAGCGTTATCACCAACTGAAGAAGACGACAAGATCAGCCTGTAAACATGCCTATAGTGAGTACATCAACAACATTATTTCCCCTGAGTCAACAACAAACCCCAAGAGATTTTGGGGGTTCATCAACAGCAAGAAATGTGATAACTCTGGTGTTTCCCCACTGAAAGCGAGAAATGGAGTAACATACACGGACAGTGCGACCAAAGCAAACATACTCAATGATCAATTCTCATCAGTCTTCAACAAAAATGAGGATAAGTCAACCATCAAGGATAAAGGTCCTTGCCCATTTCCATCTATGGACTCTATCACGGTGTCAATTGACGGTGTTAGAAAGTTGCTCAATGGCCTAAACATCCACAAGGCATCAGGCCCAGACGGTATTCCTCCCAGGCTATTGAAGGAGTTATCAAACGAACTAGCTCCAGTACTTGCCTTATTCTACCAAGCCTCCATCAACCAAGGCATTTTACCACAAGAATGGAAGGAAGCGAACGTCGTTCCCGTCTTTAAAAAAGGGGAACGAAATAAGGCTGTGAATTATAGACCAATAATATCACTGACCTCCGTCATCTGTAAGTTGCTCGAGCATGTGTTGTGTAGCCAAATCCTGAATCATCTCGACAAGAATAACATCCTCACCGATGCACAGTTCGGCTTCAGAAAACGCCGCTCTTGTGATACCCAATTGTTGCTCACCCTACAAGATCTTGCCAACACTGTAGATTGCAAAGGCCAAGTAGACGTCATACTATTAGACTTCTCAAAGGCCTTTGATAAGGTGCCACATCAAAGGTTACTTCATAAGCTCAACTATTACGGTATTGATGGTAATATCAACATATGGGTAAGCGCATTCCTAGAGAACCGCACTCAACAAGTCATCCTGGATGGAACTGCATCCAAATCTGCACCAGTCCTATCAGGGGTTCCTCAAGGGAGTGTTCTGGGCCCACTGCTGTTCCTGCTTTTCATAAACGATCTTCCTGACTGCACTTCAGTGGGCACAACAGCCAGATTATTTGCGGACGACTGTGTCCTGTATCGCACCATCAAGACAGAGGAAGATGCAAGTTTATTGCAGCAGGACTTGGACCACCTTCAGCAATGGGAGAAAGATTGGCAGATGGAGTTCCATCCACAGAAGTGTCAGGTCATCCATATAACCAACAAAAGGAAACTCATCAAACAGCCGTACATCATTCATAACCACGTACTAGAAGAGGTTGACTCTGCAAAATACCTCGGCGTCAACATCCACAAAAACCTGAACTGGAACCATCACATCAATAGCATTACCAACAAAGCAAATTCTACCAGGGCTTTCTTGCAACGTAATATCCATCAGTGTCCTAGAAAAACAAAGGAGCTGTGCTACAAGACCTTAGTACGCCCTATAGTTGAATACTCTTGCATCATATGGGACCCCCTGACAGCAAGCAACATCCAAAAGCTGGAGATGGTGCAACGGCGTTATGCACGCTTCGTGTTTGGGGACTACAGGACCACCAGCAGTGTCACTGCCATGATCAATCAGCTCCAGTGGCCCACCCTTCAAGAACGGCGTACACAGGCCAAGGCAGTGATGATGTTCCGAATTGTCAACAACCTGGTTGATGTCCCACATACCTACCTGACACCAACCGTTGCCCTGAGAGGTCACTCCCTCAGATACCTAGTACCATTCACCAGGACTGGGGTATATCGGCAGTCATTCTTTCCGGATAGCATCAGAATTTGGAACACCCTCCCACAAGATCTCGTCAACTGCACATCGCTTGCAAGCTTCAAGCAGGGTGTGCAGTCAGTCCAGCTCCGCTAAGTCAGCCTGAGTTGTTTTTAACCGCACCTTATGTTTAAGCTGATCACCTGCACTGTATATATCCTCACCTTGCATGCACACAACAACCGCAGTACGTAATACACCAGATGGTGGACTGTACTTCACCGGAAGAGAGAGAGAGAGAGATTTATTAAGAACATGCATGTTGTAGACGGCATTGTCGATTGATGGCATTGATGATTGAGTTGGAAAGATTCCCATATCTGGCCATCACTAAGTTTTCCCTTCAGTGACCTATCAGCCATCAGAAAGTCCTGAAAAGTCAAAATTAGCAGGGAAAATATTAAGGCAGTGTATATTTTGCCGGAGACGGCAAACCTAAGTATTAGTAAACGTGAGTTTGCCGGATATGCACTGAACATGCGCAGTTACTGTTTTTTTTTACACTAACATTTTCCAGTGACAAGTTTTAGTCTGGCTCCATGCCAAAATTATCGTTGTTACCTTGTTTTCACAAGATGGGATTCAGACCATTTTATAATTTCGGACTTTATTTCCCTTTTAAAAAAAATCCTCCAGAGCCACAAATTTGAAAAAGAAAATGTAATACTCTGCAAAAAATGTTTGAGACATGTTAAAATAATAAAAGAAGAAATTCTTATTTATTTGGGGATGAGAAAAAAAAAACTTAAAATGTGATGCGGTCGGAATCGAACGCGAGTCATCCCGTTTACTAGAGCCTTTGCTTAACCACTACACCAAACGTGCTACACACTTTCAGTGGGAATTTAATACATATTATAATTCAGCCCTATTTTAAAGAGTACAGCGCCCTCTGTTGATATGGATTACCGCCGGCAAACCTTTAGTAATCGTTAGTTTGCCGTCATTACCTCCGGCAAAATATCCACTACCAAATATTAAAGTATTTACTGATAAAACTCTTAGAAATTTTCAGACCAGTCTGATAAAGTGATATAGGGTTTGTGCAGAGGGTGACAGGTGATGGCCAGATATGGGAATCATTTCCACATGGCAATTGGCATCAACTGAAAAAAGTATAAGAAAATCCCATCTTTCTCCAAATGTTACTAAAATACAACATGTAGGGTCATTAGAATTACTAGAACACTGCTTAAAGGTTGCAGAAGTCATTTTGGAATGAAAAAAAAAACACACATAAAGAGGGGCCGTTACTATTCAATTGCGGTAGTGTAATGTGATTAAAATTGCTCTACAATTTAGAATATTGTTGTGATTGCACAATGAATTTTGCACCTGTAACCAATCTTCTTTTAATTCTAATGACCCTATTTTTGTTTGTAATTGTTGCGTAAATGCAGAAAGTTCAAGATGTCAACTTTAAAGCTACCTTGAGTAACTCCAGCTCCAATGCTCATCAGGAATTCGACATTGAATTCCTGATGAGCATTGGAGCTGGAGTTACCCAAGCTACTTTAAAGCAACGGTCCATGGACCCTTCATTCTGACATTTTGTGAACTGTCTTGTTAGTTTACGTGTAATGTTAGCATTGTCAAATTAATTGTATTAATTGCAATTTCCCTTTGTCTTTCTAAATAGCGACTGACATGGGAAAGAGGGAATACTGGGATACTTTCTATGCCAAGAGGAATGCTTCCTGTGACCCAGCATTTGATTGGTTCTTCACTCATGATGTAGCCAATCGGTGGCTTGCTAAGTGCATCTTTGCAATGAGGACTACAGGACCAGCCAATGGGGTTGTGAACATTCTTGAACTTGGCTGTGGTACCTCTACTCTCGCCAGTAACCTGCTCAAAGACAATGTGGATGTCATGAGCCTAGTCTGCGCAGATTTCTCCCCCAGAGCAATCAGGCAGGCACAGTCCATCTCCAGGAGAATATGCTCTTCAAACAAGGAGTCCATTCAGTTTGTGGTAGCTGATGCCAGTCGACTCCCCTTCAGAAACAACCATTTTGATGTCGTGTTTGAGAAGGGCACATTTGATGCCATGTTGAACAGTAACAATTCCGACCTTGCCAGGATGTCCTTCAGTGAGACTGTTCGTGTGCTGAATTCTCGGGGAACGCTCCTGCAGTTTTCTGACGAGAATCCAGATTTGAGACTTTCTTTTCTTGAAGAAGCCCTTCGAGAATCTGGTGTGGATAGAAATCAAGCCTCTGTAACTTTCCAAGATGTTGGTAGTTCCTATGGTGTGGAGTACTTCCTGTATGCAACAAAACTAAGCAAATCGTAATGAACCTGTTTAAAATCAATTTTCGAGAAGATGTTTTATTAGAAATTTTATTTGTATTCATTTATACTTATCTGTCAAGTATGATCTAACCCCTACGCTTTTCCAAGCCAACTCTGGCTCTCCTATCTACTGAGCACTACGTTTATCCCATGCATAACAACAAAATGGACATCTTATTGAGGTGGTTGTAACCACTGAAGCGTTCACAAAAAACTTTTTGCACAAATCAAGAGCTTTTTAAAGGGATTGTGTGAAAATGTAGTTTTTCTATGAGGGTCTTAGAAATGATGCATGTATACAGAATACGTATGCGTCTCGGAAAAAGTGGCCTATTAGTTAATCATCATATTGTGTTATAATTTCACCAGAAATATCTGCATCTTGATATTTTGCATCTTGATATACAGGGTGGATAAAAAAAACCGAAACCGAGATATTATTGCTAATTGGAACAGAAGTAGGGCACATGTGAATCAAAGGGAGATATCGTCTGTTAGGGTTGAATCTCTTCTTTAAAATGACACCCTGCTCATGTCCTTACATTCACGGTTGACTGAGCAGTGACCAATTTTATGAAAGGGTCTATTGAGAGAATTGCGCCACTTTTCATGGTGAAATCTCTTTTTTCCCACCTGCCTTGATTGGCACCATAGCCTTTCACTCTGAGACAAATGACACCACAAAAACCACAATTGAAAAGTGGCGCAGTTCTCTAAATAGACCCTTTCATAAAATTGGTCACTGCTCAGTCAACCGTGAATGTAATGACATGATCAGGGTGTCATTTTAAAGAGGAGATTCAACCCTAACAGAGGATATCTCCCTTTGATTCACATGTACCCTACTTTTGTTCCAATTAGCAATAATATCTCGTTTTTTTTTTTTTTTTAATCCACCCTGTATTGTGAGATGAACATTGCCAAAAATGTGCCCGATAAAATAATGGAAAATGGTTAGTTAACGGGCAACTTTTTTTCTGAGCTCCATCTCCCTTACTTGCATCATTTGCAGTGGTCCTTGTGGACACAAATTTCTCAGAATCTTTCATGTACACATGTAGTTTCCAGACATATTTCTTTCTTCAAACTGAATGGACCTTGAGTTACTGAATGGTGACACGCACATCAACAGCTTAGTCTTTTGGATGATATTGTGGACGCAATAGGTGGGAACGATTTGGTTTAATAGGAAAATTATTTTGTATTTACCGAAATTAACCCAAACAAAATGGCGCCTTCCTATATCTCAAGATGCATTATGAAAACTTGATTGTAAATGTACTGTTTTCATCGGATCCCTTTACATTTTTGCTGTTTAATTAATATTGATTATTGCTTTTCTCAAGTATTCTTATTTATTAACAATCACATTTTCATATTTTGGTTTTCAGTTTTTATTTCATTTTATTAATATTTACACTTTCTTTCTTCAAAATTCACTTTTGTCATACCCTCACCGCCAACCAGTTGCACATTTCCGGCTCCTTTTTCCATCATTTGAAAGGCATATACACGTAGGATCATTTGCTTTTTATGCATTTTGTTCGTTTGCAATAATAACACCACACAACATCCGTCCAAAGAAGAATGTTCAAAACCTAACCTGTTGCAGTTTCTGCCATGTGGATATTACACTTTTGGAGAAAACAGTGGAAAAACCATGCACAAACTTTTGAATAGGAAATAGTTTGGCCTATAGGAATAGGCCAAACTCATATGCTGCTGGGGGGGGGGTCGCCACACCTCCTCCACAGCGAGTCTGTTACCTTCCCAGCATTGAATAATGCCGGAGAAATTAATCCAAGAAAGCTTTTTTTATAATAATTCGGCAGTTTACTTTTGGGATAAATGCAAATGATACATGCCTTTAAAGCAGAACTTCTCGTCCCATTTTACCGTCTGGTGTCGTCGGTTGAAAGTTGCCGTCAGTTATTGCAAACCCCCATGATAATCACGAACAAACAACTCGCCACTCTCCTGCCCTCCAAACTAACCGGTAGCGCCTTCACGTTATGGGACAGTTTGTCCAATGATGTAAAAGCTGACTACGACCAATACAAGTTAAGTCGGTATTCTCATGTTCTTTGTTTAAGTGCACTATCAGTCCATCACACGATTCCAAACTTGTATTACTAATGCTCGACCCCTCTACCGGGAACCCGGAAAGTATTCGCTGCCGAATAAACTGTTCCCAACGTATTTAATGTCAAGACAAATCCATAGTCGTCATCATTCATTCGTTTTCCATCTTCATCTCAATATAAGCAAGGGTACAACACAAATATTGTACATCTGACATAACTAATTTGCAAGAAAACAAACTAACTCAAACAGCAGAACGATTTTTGTTCACAATTATTTCTGTCCAGGCTGAACATCTCCCTACTTGCCCTGTTTCTCCTAGGCCTGTATAACCAGCCTTGTGTATTTTTTAAAGTAAAATGTGGACCTTTTTTCGTGCTACACCCGTTTTGTGTGGGGGAGGGGGCTGCATCTGCTGGACCATTCCCCATGCCTTTTATAATAAGATTAAAAAATAGACAGCTAGGAAGTGAACACAAGTCGGATCTGGATTGGGCCGTTCGTCAACCCCCCCCCCCCCCCCCCCCCCACACACACCCTCCCCGAACCTCACCCTCCTTGGCTAAAATATAGATCTGGCTCTACAGTCCCCAATCACCGTCCATCCGTCCCCGCTCGAAATCTTAAAGTGGGACGAACTTTCACCAAACATACCAACATCAAAGTGACTCTCCCCATCCTGGGGTTGAATTTTTTTTATTCTGCCTCTGTGGCCAGGGTTTGAATTCCAATTTTCAGCGTCCACCAGTGGCATAGTGGGAGCTGAAACAACTTGCCTCCCTCTTCGACCCCTAACCCCCCCCCCCCCCCCAACCCGGCCCACCCGGTTGTCGGGCCGGAAATAATATTCGGAATGTGAAAGAAAATTTTCCCATAAATAAACGTGCATGGATTTGTTTTATTCGATGTCTCATTCAACTTTAAAGTAAAGAGAACAGTAGAGTTGGCGAGGAAAACATTGGGCACCGCAACCACAACAAACATTATATGCACATACACAATATATAAATCAAAAGCCACTCCCGAGCGATATCCTCCGCTTGCAGAACCGAACATTGTTGTTTTATTGCTTTCCTAAGGTAATGTGACATACTCCAGTCAAACATTTCGCGGTCTGCTCATTGGAGTGCTTGTTGAGTCGATTAGACCTCCATTCATGAGTTCCTTGCCAAACTATTCTGGTCAGAAAAATACCCTTCATGTTAAAATAGGCATAGTCACGTGTAGCCCGACTGCGTCTGGCCGTACAGTACTATCGCAAGCTCTACAGAGCTTGCGATAGTACTGTACGGCCAGACGCAGTCGGGCTAAGTCACGTGGTGTACATGTAGTTTCGTACTCGTTCAGAGTGCCCTAGATATAAATCTAACGCATTAATTTACATCTGAGGGGGCCGTGAATGGGATTTGTCCCCGAGCGAGGAAAGTTTAATTTTCGAGTTTAAAAAAGCGGAGACCTCCAGTGCATGGCTTCAGCGATAACACGAGCCACATAAATCATAAGCTCCAAAACTTAATTCTGTAAGACTGCGTAATATTATGTACAATTGTGCAGTCGGGACTCGGACCGGTGCTAGTGTAGTTAAAGGGATGGGGTCGATCTTCAAAGTTGCTCCGGATGAAAGTGTTCTACTTCTGGGATTAATGCCCCCCCCCCCCCGGCCTGTCTCGGGTCAGTGAACGGGCCTACGTTCTTGTGAAAACTAGCATATATCCAGATTTAGGCAGGCTTCTCAATATGAAAACAAAATGTCCGCACATATACGCAAACTGGCGAAAACCTTTCCCTTCTCGGTCACTGTCAAATTCCCTGAGTTTTCCCCTTTGTGTGTGTGTGTGTGTGTTTTTCCAAATTCCCTGAGTTTTCCCGACTGGGAAAATGGAAACTCATTTTCAAGGTTTCCCTAATTGTTGGAGTGGCTGGGTGCCCTGTTAGAAGACCGGTACCACAAGGGACAAAAGTGCATTATAAGGGACTTGATTTTGTTGAATTATTCATAGTTTTTATGCAAATAAGAAGAGTGCTGAAAGGTTAACCAATCACAACGCGGATTTTGCCTAGTCGCTTCCATTTGTGAAAGAAGGGTGAGTAAGGAAAACGTATGAGCAAATAACTGTTCAGATGAAAAATATAATAAGTTCAGATGAAAAATAAGTTCATACACTCAAATAATTTCTTGAAATACTTTTATAAATAAAATTAAAACAAGATAATGTAAAAACATTTACGCGGTCACGATCTCGTGGAAACTTTTTTTAAATTTTGTGTAAGCATCTGGACGCGTCAACGCGTCCGGATAGTAGCCACGCGCGCACTAAAAGGCTGATGATTGGTTGGAATTTTTCAACCCTTTTGAATTGGGGTAGCAAAAATCGAGATTATAAAGAAAAACATAAGAAATTCGCCGCTTTGTCTAATGCCGGCAAGTCAAGTCACGATGGCCTTGGCGAAAGGCTATATTCGATCATGGTCCAATTACAAACGCGTCTTAAACGGTACTTGAAGATGAAGAAGTTGAGACAATTATTTTGGGAGACCAGTTGACATGCACACCAATACTTACACTGTAATCGGTCATTGCATTCGGGCCTACTTTGATTACTGTCAAGAAATTGAATTGCATCTGTACAAATGTTCAATGTTAAAGTAAAGGGGACACTAACAAAACAAGGCAAGCCTAGAAAGGCTGGTCCCTGAGTGCACAGAATTATATTCAATTCATTCAGAATGGTTATTCACTGGAAGTCTTTTCATGCATGTAGGCCGTAGTTAGCCGACGTATAGTGATGCTAGTTTTATGCGATAGCACTGCCCGGCCCTGCTCTCGTCATACATCAGTCAGTCGGGCAGTCAGTCAGTTAGTCGGGGAGTCAGTGCGGGGAGTCAGTGCGGGGAGACAGTCGGGGAGGCAGTCAGTCAGGCGGTCAGACAAATGAGAAAATGGAACCAGCATCTTGTTTTCATACTCTGTTGTCAGGAAGTTGCTACTTCTACTCTACATAGCTTCTTTTTTTTCTCCGAGTAACCATCTAAATTCTATCTGTCTTTATCTCTATTATAATTATCAAGAGTTGAAATAATGATACATTATTTCAAGAGCACTCTTAATCTTATATCCATCGTTATACAACGCGTCCCAAAATACCCGCAACACTTTTTTATGAGGCTCTATAGCGTCGCCGCGGAAACACGTACCACCATTTTTTTTTTTTTTTTTTTTTTGGTTTATATCATTTTAAAGCTTGGAATCTTAACTCTATCACTGGTAAATATTGGTTTGATTTTCAAAGGGTTTTGAAATGATTCATGTGCAAACAAACTCAACCGATTTCAAGGAAAATCAATCATGCGCATGCGATCTCGTTGCCTTTTTACTTTCTGTGTTTCCTAATCTTTTCGATCCACGTAGACTACATCTTAAAGCTATAGTCCATCATTTGCAGCCATCCGAAAAGTAACTGGCGTAATTATTGTTAAAAAAACAAACTTGGTTGAAAGATAGTAAGGGAACTAAACTCCCTGTGAAATTATTCTTTCTGGGAAGCTGTCATTTTGAAGTAATCAACAAAAGAAGGCATTTCCAACGTTGATTCTTAAGAAGCACCGTAGGAAAATTTAAATTAGTAGTTCGTTTTGTTATTCAGCGCAGCGCGCACAAGGTTTGGAACGACGCACACGCGCGCGCGGTTGTTGTAATTCGTCGGATCAGTACGCGACATCGCGTATAGCTGCAATTCAAAACATGATTCAGTAACTTTTGATTTGAAATTGAGATCTTAGAATGCTGTTTTTCTCGGAATATACAGCTGAAGCTTAGCTGAAACTTCATCAGGTTAGTTGCTCAGTATCCTTCATTAGATGTTGAACTCTTTTGTCGCTTCAAACGAACAAAATGCACAAATTACAAATGATGGACTATAGCTTTAACTGAATTCACGACATTGTTCTTTTCAAGTTCAAATTTACAATTCACGTGCAAGTATGTAGGCTACCTATTCAAAAAGCGCGCTCAAAGTGTGACTCGAGATTACTCTCCAATGTACGCATAATCGATTTTCCTTAAAATCGGTTGAATTTGTTTTCGACATGCCTTTATTTGAACACAAATAATTTAAAAACTCTTTTAAATATCAAACCAATAGTCGCCAGGGATAAAGTTCAGATTCCAAGCTTTAAAATTGTATAAAAATAATGGCGGTGCGTGTTTCCGCGCCGACGCTAGAGCCTCGCAAAAAAGTTGCGGGTAGTTTTGGACGTAGTGTATATGCCTATCGAAATTCTACTTTTTTTTCTATAGTAATCCTCTGAGTTACTGTCTTTTAGGTTTGTTTCAAACTAAAGTTGTTTTTGTTGCCGTCTGTGTTCTTTCTCATGCTGAACCAGATCGTAGTCACTCTCCATATTGGTTCCGCAGTATCTGCAAATTTTCATCTCCTTGGCATGGATCCTCCTGTGGCGCTTGAAGTTGGTCTTGTACTTGAAGGTCTCACCGCAGATCGTGCACAGGTGGGGCTGCCTGGCCGTGTGCGACCGCTGGTGGTTAGTCAGGCTCAACTTTTGCTTGAAAGTCCGGAAGCACACCGAACAGTGCAGGCCCGACGACGAGGATGCTGCGGGGTGCTGAGGGACGTGAGTCGGCTCCGCCACATGGTTTGTAGAAAGAGCGCCCTCAGAGGTAAAAGAGGGCGCTAACCAAGCAGGGTCGTAGTTCAGCTGCAGCGGTTGACCACTGGGGGCGCTCTCCATGTAGTTGCCGTTCACCTGTGAGTGGTACGTTGGAAAGTCTATTTGATTCCCCATCCATCCCGCGGCGGGATTGTATTGGTCCTCGGCGGGGCATCCGCGGTCGAAGACGGGCACTGACTGCTCGTCCGGACATAACTCATCCTTGGTCGCTATTAGGTCGGGCATCAAGTAGTCCGGCACACATGATGCATAATCCTCGTTATTGTTTGGATCCTCCATGGTTTATCTCTTCCTCAGCAACTGAAAACCTGCACTGAGGAGAAACACAAAAGATCGATATGATATCCTGATCTACCTCAGGAAAGACCGAGCACAAAAGCTGATAGAGAGGGAAAACTATAGTTTTATCATTTTTTTTAATCCATCGCCGACGAAAAGATCTCTTATCCACGTTATACAAGGTCCATGCGATGAATTTTTCTGAGGAGCACATTTTGTGCAACTTGCTACTCCTCTTAATGTATGAAAACTATTTAACATCCCTAGTTGGTAAATGTTATTGAAAAGTGCACTTCTTTAAAAATTTCCCATGCTTTACCGGACAACCGGATGGCTGTTGCCGTGATGTCATTTCAGGAAGACACTGTTCAGTTCAGGGGTTTTCTGTTCTTGAGGAACCCAAAATGTACTCATTGAAAAGATTTATGAGAAAGGGTTGCTCGATTTAGCTTACTGCCATGTACACTGTAAAAATGGTGTTTAGGATTTAAACACATTTCTAAACACTAATTCTGTACCCACTTTTTCCACACGTTTAGTATCATGACATGTTTAGATGTCCTTTTTCTGTGACACGCATTATCCGTTTGACATGTACAATTTATAATATGTTTAGCATTTAAACACCTTCCTAAGCGCATTTAGATATACAATCCTAAGCACATGTCCAAAACGTAAACACGTTTAGTTTCACAACATTAAAAAGTGGTAAACGTTTAGAATTGAAACACATTCCAAAACGTATTAAACTATAAACACGTTTCTGATGTGTTTAAATGCTAAACACTGTTTTTACAGTGTACTTACACAACAATGCATCACCAAAAAACAAAATAATAAGTTATTGTAGCAAAATATCCAAAATTCTTGCAACTTTTTGTGCTGAAACAACCGTAACATTGAGGTTTATGCCCGGAATGACATCACAGTTTTGCTCATGAATATGGAAATTTGCATAAGCATAAAAACAAATGCACCAAAACACCCTTCAAAAAGGCAAAACGGATATTGAAAATAAGGTTAAATGGGACAGTGCACTTTCAAGGACAGCATTAAAAAAATACATTGCATGCCCTTTAAAGTAAGACAAGTGTTGTTGCTCAAAAAGTCTCGCCAATGTAATCTTTGTGTCTGTTTAACTCGTATGATATATATTTTTTAACAACACCGGTATAATTAAGGCCTTGGTGTATGATATCGTGTTTTGTTTATGATTTGGGTTTTTTTTTTAAACGTTGCGAATGGGTATTTTACCGCCATGATCAGCTAGTGCACGCTATCTCTATCAACAAGATGTATCAAATCTATTCATCTTGCTGATAGAGACCTCCACTGCCGCGGCAAAGTTACCGCGTTTTAGTGTTACGGGAATGGCCTGGCTGCAAAATAGAGGAATAAAAATTTGAAAATCCTTTCTTTCGAGCCTATTAGGTGCTCGTACTTAAATACACCGCTGACACCGCTCATTCAGACTCAGACCGCTCATGACCATATTCTGCCACAAGATGGCGCTATTGTGTGAATCGAAACGTAAACACACGATCGGTCATGTGTCACATGCACAGTGCGCGAAAAAGTGTGGAGCTGTTCACTCAATCAACATGGCGGGGTTGCAGTTGGGACGCTGGCTTGGACAAACTTGTAAATTTTCTGGAATCGCAGGGACGATTTCTGCTTTAGTGACCGGTTTCAGACAACCACATTTTACAAGATGTATATCCACCTCGTCCCTCCACTGGGCAAAACAGGTGTCTTCTGTGCATATACCAGAATTAGAAACTTTCGAAAAGATGGGATACACTTTCGAAAGTCACGAAGACCTGCATCGATTTTCGCTTCGTGAACCAGACAAGTTCTGGGGGACATTTGCCCGGTCAAGGCTGCGGTGGTACGAGGACTTTGACAAGGTCTCGGAAGTCGATTGGGCCGAGGGGGAAAATGCCTGGTTTTTAGGCGGAAAGATAAACGTGTCTGGTGAGAAATAACAATGAAGTAATCCCTTACTTTTGCAGTCATCATTCATTCATTGTTGTCCGAGTAGGCCTATTCATCAATTTAGTAAATCTACACACATTAAGCAATGAATGGTAGGGCCTACCGGTAGGCCTAGTAGTATGTCAACAACAAATTCGCCTTATTAAAATATGAAAGATGCAGGCACACATTCATCTTACGTTCACTTGCATTGTCACTGTGACTTTGTATTCAGGAGACGGGAATAATCAGACCTAGGCCCTAATGCCATTTATTTAGGGCCTACTTCAGGACTTTATTTCCCGTGAAAAGAATTCCTCCAGAGCCACGAATCAGATAAAGAAGATGAAATATTCTGTAATTAAATTCTAAGGCCAGAATGAAAGTTTTAGATTTGCGTCCAAAAATTTTCCAGATGACAGGAGGCTTTTATTCATTTTTCAGAACGAATGTTGCAACCTGAAGCTGCTTTTTTCTTCATATATCCTCTCAATGAAGGTCAGTCATTGCAAAATGATAAGACATATCCGGACTGAGAAACATTTCCAATTTTGTTAGGAAATACTTTTGTTGACTCTCCATAGACTTTGTACACAACCGCTGAAGTGGCGTCAGATTACAACATTCTTTCCTATTTTTCATTAGGCCTATTCATTATTTTAGTAAAAAAACAATGGAAAAAATGTTGCAACCTGACGTCACTTCAGCGGTTGTGTACAAAGTCTATCGAGAGTCAAGATTCAGAACATTTTCTAAGTATTTCCTAACAAAATTGGAAATGGTTCTCAGTCCCAGATTCATGTGTTATCATTTTTGCAATGACTGACCTTCATTGAGATGATAGGTATATAAAGAAAAAAGTGGCGTCAGGTTGCAACATTTTTTCCCTGCTCTGTATTGCCACATTACACATAGTTTCATCTTCAAGCCATACTTGAATCCTTGATGCTTAGGCCGAGTAAAAAAAAAAAAATAGTTTCTCGTCCAGGGTTTTTGAAAAAAAGGGAGGAAGCGGGGCTTTTTATTTTTTATTTTTTTCAAGATGACCGCCTTTTCAAAATTTCCTGCAACCGTTGGTGTTCCACTGTTCAAAGACACTTTTAAAGATGAAAGACAAGTTGGACAAGAGAACTGAACATATTTACTGTGTCATTTAGAGTTGTATTGGTATTGGTATTTATTTTCCGATGAATTTGTAGACTTTTTCGGTGTTTTTCTACTACATTTTTCAAAAATAAAAAATAATAAAAAAATCCAGGCGGCCTCCAAAAAGGAAGCGGGCAGGGACGAGAAACTTGTTGTTTTTTTTACTTCGCCTTATTGGTTGAACCATGGCATGAAGCGTTGTATTGGTATAACCCCTGATGAGTTACCACAGTAACAGATGTACATTAGTCCATGTTCCACTCTCTTTCAGTACAAAATAGCCGGTATCAATTTTTTTTTGGGAGGCAGTCACATAATGGCAAAAACTTTAGCAATTCTGCAAATTATGCTAATTGGGTCATTCTATAAATTAGGGGTCCAATAGGAAAATTTTTCTTTTTTGTTCTATTACTAAATAGGAAATGAATTAAAGTTAATGATACTTTATGTGTAACAAACTCCAATAAAAGTTGCATTACTATGTCAAATTATGGATTTGTTATTATGACTGATTCGCCACAGGCGGGGCTCCGAATCTCAAAATCCAGACAAGAATTAAGAATTTTGGCATAAATACTTGAAAGAGCCAAAATGGTCGATTCGCTGGTTTGTCAGCTCTGCGACGAAATGACAGCATATTAGGCGCAATGATTTCACAGTATGCATGATCTTACTATTTTCTAACAATCAAATAGGATGTTTCATGATGTTTGACTGTTTCATTTTTTTGCATGTTTGCAAATGGTGTACATTGTCTTTTTCATCACACAGTGTACTTTTCTTGCATTCCACATCTATGGCCCAGGTTCGAATCCCGTCCTGGCTGATATGTGGGTTGGGTTTTCAATTCCTACTTGATTTCATGGCTTCACCTGGATTATTGTTCTGGGGTTTTCCTCCCATCTCTAAACATTAACATTTCCTTGTCCTATCTCCTGCTAGGTTTCTTCATGCTTCCAAGTTACAGTGTGTGTGCACTGTAACAATTTTCTAAGTATTTCTAAGACAATTTTCTAAGTATTTCCTGACAAAATCGGAAATGTTTCTCAGCCCAGATTTATGTCGTATCATCATTTTTGCAATGACTGACCTTCATTGAGATGATATATGAAGAAAAAAGTGGCGTCAGGTTGCAACATTTTTTCCCTGCTCTGTATTGCCACACTACACTTAGTTTCATCTTCAAGCAATACTTGAATCCTCAATGCTGATTGGTCGAACCATGGCATGAAGCCATGCTACATAATCCCATGTAGCCTGGCCTATATTGTAGTTGCACCCCACATGTCATGTGCTATATTCCAAGATGAGAGCACCCTTGTATTGGTATAACCCCTGATGAGTTACCACAGTAACAGATGTACATTATTCCATGTTCCACTCTCTTTGGATAAATAATACTAAATAGCTGGTATCAATTTTTGTGGAGGCAGTCACATAATGACAAAAACTTTAGCAATTGGGCAAACACTAAATATGACTGGCCTTTTCTTTATTGCATAATTTGCATTTTTTTTCAAGCTTTTACTTTGAAATTTTCTTGTAAATTGCATTAGGTGCTACTCAGATGTGTCCAACATGTTGATGATTGTACATTCCATACGAAGTTACAAAATACACAGATAATTATTATGGTATCGCATAATTTTAGAGCTCGAACAGTTAGCCTGAGTTAGGGTAGATTCATTTGTAGGCTACATGTAATGGACGCCATTCTGAAGCAGGTTAGTAGCTCCCCATCAGGACTACCCTGCTAAATCCAACAGAGTCCAACGGCTACTCATATGAGTTTCCTGCTCAATCCAAAACAGTCCCACACAACCCAACTTGCCAAGTTGTTGGGTACCTGAAAATATGAAATGACTGGCATGCTCAATCCTACAGAATCCAACTGTGCGTTATTTTTCTGTTTGCTGCTGGATCCAACAGAGTCCAACTTGGCGTTATTTACCAGTACCCAACATATATACAGCAATATTTATCAAGGGGTTAACTGCTCAATCCAACAGGACCCAATGTGTAGGGTTAAAAGTAAACCTACCGGGTACCCTGTCAAAACTCAGCTCAGTAGATATACTTTTTAAGAAAACTGTGAAAATGCATTCATTTTTCTTGATACATTATATAAGCATAGGTTTCCGTTGAAAGCGTGATGGTTTTGTCCTAACCATGATCGCGAGGAAATGATGGTCATTCGTCGTCGAAATGACAGCATGCTAGGCGTAATGATTTCACAGGATGCATGATCTTACTATTTACTTACAATCAAATAGGATGTTTCATGATATTTTGAGAGTTTCATTTTTTGCATGTTTGCAAATGGTGTCCTTTGTCTTTTTATACTAGATTGGGTTTTCAATCCCTGCTTGATTCCATGGCTTCACCTGGATTATCATTCTGCAGTTTTCCTCCCATCTCTAAAAATGAACATTTCCTCGTCCTATCTTCCGCTAGGTTTCTTCAGGCTTCCAAGTTACAGTGCGTGTGCACTTCTTTGTATTAATTTGTATTAATTGCCAGAAAGAATTTGAATAAAATGAATAAATGAATAGTTGAATACATGAATACATAGCGAGTTACAGTGTATAAGATGTACTTACCCTTGCCTGTGCTACCAAGAGAATGGACTGCTCTAGCATTGTCACTTTTCAGAACTAGTAGTGTACAGTACTTCTTCATCTGCCAAATCAAGCAATGTTGAGCTGTACCAGTTATCGTGTGAATTCAAGCACGCTGAATTCAGAAAGTGCTGACTAGTTTTGGCTTTCCTTAGTGCGAGCACTGAGCTGGGCTTGTTGCCCCTGAAACCCAATCAAACTACCTGTTTGAATTGACACCTGTGCCAACTCAGTCGTGAACGGACGTCATCTGTTCTATGACGTTAATGCAGGGAGTTCCCTGTTTTGTGTTCCATTGTACACCTGCAAGGGGCTAGAACGCAATGCATCGCAGCCACTGAAGGGCGATATGCTACAGCGAACAATCAAAACATCCGCTTTTTATCGTGAGAGACCCTGAACTTAGTTACCTGTTTACGCCCTACAAAGTAAATTTTTCTTTTAAAGGGAATAAGATAGGTTACAAAATGGACTATATATAACTTTGGTTGTCGGCATTATGTTGTGAGCAAGAATGAAAATCTTGTTTCCTACATTTGTATATGAGGTTACAATTGGAAAAGCTGCTGCCATTTTGAACTCACTGTTTTCTGCACAACATTACACATATGTGCATTGACAAAGCACGCTTAATTGTTGTCAGTAACTTTATTCATTGCTTAAAATTTATCAAATGAACATTATTCTTCTAGTATTTTGGGATAAACATTGTGTTCCCCCAGCAGCAACAAGCTATGAAACCACAGCTACAAGTTAACCCTGTAAGCTTTTTAACTGTAGAAGAACCCTTTGAATAAAATAGGTGTGCGTGAAATGTCATCAAGGTTTGAATGTAAATTACAGCTTGATTTTTAGTACAATAATAATGTGTAGGATACATAAACAAGAAGTTAAGAACCCAGCATTGTTGCTACATGGATCTAGCACTCTACACTGGTAAAATTCAGCCCTGGTTGGGACCAGGGGCCAATTTCATAGAGCTGCTTAAGCACAAAATTTGCTTAAGCACAAAAACGTCTTGCCTAATAAAATCAGGTTACCAGCCAAAACTCCATGCGATTGTTATGCTAAGTAAACAACAGCTAAATACCAGTCACAAGCAATGTACATCACATGGAGTTTGGCCGGTAACCTAATTTTACTAAGCAATGTTTTTTTGTGCTTAAGCAAATTTTCTGCTTAAGCAGCTCTATGAAATTGGGCCCAGGGTTGAGAGACTTTAACAGGCCTGTACAAAATCCCATATCCACTGACAACCAGTGTACAAACTACTGTGAATGAAGCCCGCCGCTCACGAGAGCTGTATGCTGAGCAATAAGTCATTCGTGGCCGTTTGCTCGTCACAAAGCTCACTGCGTGTGGTCAAGTTTTGCTGCGTTTTCTGCCTCATGAGGCCGTGAGGCAAATATCTGTCCTGGTTTTTTTTTCTCTTTTTCTTGCAATTCGCAAGGGGTGTGAAATCTCAGCTTTAAAGCTGATTTCAGCTTTTTGTTTGTTTTAGATTTCAGCTGTTTTTCAGGTTTTTCCCTCACTTGCTATGTACAAAAGTATAGGAGATTTCCAAAGTTCAGCTTCTTTACACCTTTCTTCAGCTATTTTCAGCTATTTTTATAAGTGGTCACTCACACCCCTGTGCGAAGCGAAAAACTCACCCTGTGCGGGAATTCTGAGATACGTGTCGAGCAAAATAAAGTTAACTAGCCAATGAAAGCACATACTCTGTACGCGTGATTTCAAGATGGCAGCCCCCAACAAAAGTGTCAGCGACATTGTCAGTGACTATATTTTAGAGGACAAGCTGGTTGAGTTGTGGCCAGATTATCCTTGAATCAACGGTTGGCCAACCGTATACATAGTACATTTGTACCAATGATCGGTATGTTCTCGATAACAGTGGAATAAATCTGGTCCAGTTGTTTTGCAATTTCTTCTAAAGCCTGCTGGCGTTTGTCCCTATTTTTGAAATCAAGCGACGGACAAACAAGGATAATCTGGCCACAATTTATCAACTAGCTTGTCCTCTAAAATATAGTCGTGTGCGGCGGGCCTAAGTGTCAACCTGTGTTGGGCTGTGAGTATATGTATTTAAGCGATAACATCATTTCGCAGCATCACAAACCTAAGCTGTGACTCCTCCCACCCCTTTGACTTGACATTTTGTTCTTTGTCATTTACATACATTTGTTTGTATGTTTGTTTACTTTTCATGACAGTGAACTGTATTGATCGTCATAAGGAGGCCAATCCAGACCGAGTTGCGCTCATATGGGAGAAAGATGAACCGGGACAGGAAGAAAGGATTACATACAAGTAAAATCACCACATCAATATATTTTTTTTCCAAATGTATTTTTCTCAAATTTAGATTTCTGTTACATGTATCATTTATTTTAGCCCTGCATCTATGGCTGGCAAACTCATCTACACCATCACAGCAGTCAAAATCAAACAAGTGACTATCTTTAACAGTTAAGAAAGCCCTTCTTAATTTGATATTTCCATGCTTTGACTGGAGGTGTTTGATGTGCCAGCTGCACCGACCAGTTACCTCTTTTGTCTGTTGATGGAATTTGACTAGTCACAGTGTTTGCATGAATGTGATCTGAGTGTTTCTTACTAGTCTGTTTTATGCATGGCAGAAGAAATGGAAGACATTTTGGACTGTCTGTGACTGATCAAACAACAGGAAGGCTTTAATGTACATGTATTTGAAGGGGAGAGGAAAGCTGTTAATTGGTACTGCTCTAGACTCTGGGGTTGTGATTTATTTAAAGGGACACTGCTTCCTGGAACAGCCCAATTGGGCTACTAAACGCGCTTGGAACGACATGATGTTGATCCGAAAAAACATTTAAAAGTAGGATAAACATCCACACAACTACATTTGTATCCTCTTAAAAACTGGGCGTTTTTGTGTTATTCCTGTATTATGCGTGCGAGAACGACTTTCAGGGTCCACTTTTGCGACCCCAAAAAGTCGAGCTTTCTGGATGCTAGTTGTGATTTCATCCGTGAAGTGTTCGCCTTTTGCGGACTTGTAAGAAACCACATTTTGTGCATCGGAGCATGGTGTTGTATATGTACAGTACGTTATAATAAACACACACACAACGTATATATCGTACATTGAACGACAGGAAAAACGTATTAGTACCGCGACATGTCTGTTGTAAACAACCTGGTTTTGTTTGTCTTGTCTCAGGAACGGTAAGGCATTAGGTTGTTTTTTTTTAACCAGATGTTTGAAATAGGATACGTAAACAATCCAAAACTCGACATTTTGGGGGATTTCAGTACCTAGGGCCCCTTTAAGTCTGCAGGAATGTAAATATTAATGAAGTAGTCACTTGATTGCGCTCGCTGGTTATTTGTTGTAACCAAATTCCCATAACACCTCTAATCCTCAGTCCCCTACTGACAAATAAGAGAATCTTTACTTAACCCCTTGAATATTAAAACAAGCACATCACACCCTGACCAATTGGAGAACTTGTCTCATTTATTCAAATGCAGACAGCTGTATGAGATGACCAATCAGATTGCCAATACCTTGAGGAGCCACGGGGTGAAGAAGGGGGACCGGGTGGCCATCTACATGCCCGTCTCTCCACTAGCTGTGGCCTCTATGATGGCGTGTGCACGGATCGGTGCTATCCACAGGTAAACTATACACACTGTCATTATAACTGACTGTATTGGCAAGATCTTGAGCCAATGATGTACTGTAATGACACCTTTTGGGGTATGAACATACGTGAATCCAATATATGTTAGACAACCCACGAACATGGAACATGCAATCAAGTACAATCAAGGCGAGAGGTATGTGGAACGCAAACGCACTATATTTTCCATGTTCCACAAGCCCAAGTGGGATGACAAATATACTCTCAAGAAAAGTTGGTGCATAGTAAAGTTGGAACAAGCACACTGCACGTGGACTTTTCAACACGGAGTGTGGTATGGACCATTGTACATGGCATATTGTTATATCATGTGCTTGGATACTGTAAATTCATTGGTTGAGAACGGCCATGTGTCCAGTCTGTAAAATCGTATGCACAATGGTTGACCTTGTATACAATTTGCGTTATTAAATTACTAGAGCGCTAACTCGATGTACAGAGAGGAATGCCTGATGGGCGCATCCATGTTTGTGCACAAACCTATGGAAAACTCGAAAAAATTTTACGGCTATTTGCATATCTGCGTTTGTATTCCATACCGGTGCGTCATCAAAGCTGATACGCCCAAAACAGAAACGCACGATCAGCAAATGAGCGTTTCATTTTGCTCCACGCAAACAGCGCAACGTGTGGGTGTCCCTCCGCTGCAGATGCTTTTCGCCGTGACGCGAAAAAGTTGTTTGTGCATCTTCTACTTGCGCGTTGCATTTAGAGTACACTTTTAAAATTCAATCCATCTATTTTGATTGTGTTCTACAAACGCGCACATAAAATAAAAATGTCTGCGCCCAGGACAGCTTCAAAGCGTCTCCACGCTCAAGAATGAGGAGTTAGCGCTCTAGTAATTTAATATAGCTCTATGGTTGCGACTGAGAACTGCATGCAATGCGCAACCACTCAGTCTCACGTCCAGCAGGAAAGCCTGCAGTTATCAAGGGTCACATCGCACTGATGTAATTTATTTCTTGCATAGTAAGTCACAACCATTTATCGTTTTGATTTATTGGCATGATATACAGCAAGTAACCGATACCTTTATCTTCTTTGACTCATCTTTGTTCATGTCTTTGTGTGTAATATCTTCCAAAATATTTGATGATGTGTTGGTTTTGCTGCCATTTATAGCTTTCAAATGCACCCCATCTTTTCTAATAATACATGTGAACAGTGTTATACTTTAACAGAGACTTTGTTCTACTGTGCGCATCTGCTGTTCTAATGAAAACTTAGTGGAAGTATTGTTTTTTCATGAAAAGATTTTAAAAAGGGAGAAAAAAAGAAATCTTAAATATCGAGAAGTATGTAATTAGAATCAGTGACTTTCTTCTTCTGTTGCAGTGTTGTGTTTGCTGGGTTCAGTGCGGATTCCTTAGCAAGCAGGATTAGAGATGGTAAGGGTTCTTCCTGGATTCCAATATGGATATTTCTGAAGTAATAAGGATGTGACTTTGCGTTAATTTTGTAAACATTTCGCAAATATTTAAACATAACCCATTTCACAAAGGCTAATGCCTAATCATTATGTCTGCAGACGTACCGGCGTGATTGACATGATAAATCAACAATGATTGACATATAATAAATAGCAGGCCGTTATTGAAAAAGTATAAACTATGTGTACCCCGCATGTAATCAAGTACTGCAGGGCTTCTAAGGTTTTGTAAATTGAACAAGTTTGAAAATATTAATTATTTGTGCTATCTACATGTACATTTAAATCAAAGGAGGATCGTGCGAAACGTGGGTCCCTGTTTTTATAATTTGGGTTTCCTTTGTTTTGGAGAATGTGTAAACGGATTTAGAATTCTTTTCTTTTAAAAGTTTAAAGGTAGAGTCCATCATTTGCAGCCATCCGAAAAGTAACTGGCGTAATTATTGTTGAAAAACTAACTTGGTTGAAAGATAGTAAGGGGACTAAACTCCCTGTGAAATTATTCTTTCTGGGAAGCTGTCATTTTGAAGTAATCAACGAAAGAAGGCATTTCCAACGGTGATTCTTAAGAAGCACCGTAGGAAAAGTTAAATTAGTAGTTCGTTTTGTTATTCAGCGAAGCGCGCACAAGTATTCGAACGACGCACACACGCGCGCGGTTGTTATAATTCGTCGGATCAGTGCACGACGTCGCGTATAGTTGCAATTCAAAACAATTCAAAACATGATTCAGCAACTTTTGATTTGAAATTGAGATCTTAGAATGCTGTTTTTCTCGGAATGTACAGCTGAAGCTTAGCTGAAACTTCATCAGGTTAGTTGCTCAGTATCCTTCATTAGATTTTGAACTCTTTTGTTGCTTCAAACAAACAAAATGCACAAATTACAAATGATGGACTGTAGCTTTAAATGTGTAAACGTCACATCCTTAGCAAATTACATAATTTTAGTCTTATCTAAAATGTTCACACAAACAGGTACAAAAGCTACAAATAGCTCTGAAACAATGATACAAAGAAGCCCTTTTTGATTTTTGCAAGTTCCAGAGGGCCAGCCTTGTGTACCTCTTTGTACCTATCTCACTGACTAGCTGACTGACTCCCCGACTGATTGATTGACTGACTGACTGCTGACTGATTGTCACTTGTGAGCCAGCAGTGCAATTGTATAGGATTACCCTGCATACCATTGAATGGGCTAAATCTGGCCCACTGTGTAGACCACATGCATGAAAAGACCTCCACTGAGTAGCCATTCTGAAGCAATGGAATAGAATTGTGTGCATTCTGGGACCAATTATCGTAGGCTTTCCTTTGTTTTGTTTGACGAATTGTCTGCGCAGGTGATGCCCAGACAATCATCACCTCTGACCAGGCGGTGAGGGGCGGCAAGCTGATTGATCTCAAGAAGACTGTGGATAATGCAGTCAGTCAGTGTCCCAGCATACAGCGTGTCTTTGTAGCTCAGAGGACCGGAAACCCTGTGCCTATGTCAAAGATTGATATTCCACTGGAGGAGGTTGGTTTTAAACCCCTATACAGATCCACTGAAGTAACCCAACTTACAGATGCATTGCCCGTTGTATATTCGAATTTCATCCCGAAAAATGAGGTGTTCTTTTTGAAATTGCTATTTTTCTGGCAATACAAAAGTTATTCACTTTTGAATGAGACGTCGACCAAAAAAATCAACCCATGTTTAGTTATTGATTGATTATTGTACAATTTCGAATTATTAGCTGCTAGACACCTCCACGGACCATATTCAAGAAATAATGGAGGAATTTGCAGGATTGAGGCTATATGCTATTTTTTTCCATGAGGCCAATTGGAGGATTTTGCAGGATTGGGGCTTCATCCTAGCAAAAAAGGCCAAGGGAATTAGGATTAACAATTACCCGGAAAAGTATACCTACTGATTTAATGACCGAAACCTCGCTCAAAGATAGGTAAGGCCAAAAAAAAAAGTCTCCGGTTTCTGGTATGCGCGCGCGTCGCCGTAGCCATGCGCGTCGGCAAAATGAAAAAGTTTTTTTTTCAATGAAAGATGATGTCTCAAACCGCCAAACTCACTGGTTTGACTGGAATCCTGCTGCTGCACAATTTTAACGTGTTTTTAGATGGGGTTATGATCGAGAATAAGCTTTATGTGGCCTCTCTGGACTCCCATATATTTGCACAAAGTTTAGTCGGGCACCATTTTCAGTCATTAGCCGACATTTGAAGCAAAAAAAAACAGGTAAAAAAAAAAAAAAAGACGTGTCGCCGCACCACTTTTTGGGCAAGCTCCATACCACAAACCGGAGACTTATTTTTTTTGGCCTATCATTCAAATACCCTGTGAAAATATTCCATCTGTATCGTTTGGAAGAAAACTAACATTGAAGGTGGTTTCAAAAACAGGATGCCTGTGGGCACACGTTTATACATGCACTAGCAATGGCATCTAGTTACGAGACCCAAAAAATTGTGGATACATCTTCTCTGTCTTGTCAAAATATGTAGTAACCACTGAGCTGAAATTTCAACAGGTTAGTTGTTATGCACCACAAAATAATGAACAAAACGAAGATCCTCCGTACCTTTAATGTGCAAGGTTTGCGCTCAAAAGTGGAAAAGTGAAAGTGAATATTCAATTTCAATTGTTAATAGAATTATACTTAGTGTCAATTAATTGTTTAATAATTATTCAGATATCTCTAAAAACTGCTGAGAATCTATGGGTAAACCAAATACTGACTGCTGTCAGTCAATGATTTCTGTTTTCTGCATTTTGTGTGCATTTGATTTGTGTTATTTTTTATAGGTGTTGGGAAAAGAAGTGTTTAACTGCTTCATGTCATGGTATAGTAAAACTAGCTTCTCAATTAAATACACCACTCAGTGGGTCACCCCAGGAATCTAGTTTTACTATATACCACTCAAAAGTAGTCAATATTTTCTGTGTCCTTGCATGTTTGACTTGTAGGCCATGGCCAAAGAATCCACCGAATGCCAGCCGGAGATCCTAGACTCTGAGGACCTTCTCTTCATGTTGTATACATCGGGATCCACCGGCACACCCAAGGGCCTGTCTCATTCACAGGCGGGCTATCTACTCTATGCAACACTCACACATCAGGTAGGTAGAAGCCATATGTGACCTGCTGTGTCAAAATGAGGAATGTCCCCCAAAACCTTCTTTTGAGTAATCGGCGCCTGAAGTCGGATACGTGAAAAACCATGTCAAAGTCGATACTGGTTATTTTGTTTCCTTGAGTAGCCAAGGTATCGAAGATTTACACTGTGTATTTTTGTGGGGGAAAAATATACACCCAAAAGTGGAGAAACTGAAGAATGTTTTTCGCTGCCGTTGGTGACGCAGTGCATAATTTTTTTCAAAGCCGTTTTTTCTCGAAATGAGGTCGGCGACATTCGGCGGGACACTGTTGAATTTCCTGTAACATATCTTTGGATTAAATTAAGCTACAGAAATAAATTTGGTATCACTGGAAAGCTAAAGATTTCACATATAGCATCCAACAAAAATGCATCTGCTCTGTAATTTTTTTTCATACTGTATGTTCATTCTGATTTTTTGCTGGTCCAAGAAAACCAGCCTTGTGTCTTATATCTCAATGACTGACTGAGCTTGGGTCCCTCATGTATCAGCTTGCCTGTAAAAATTTACCCTCATCTATCCAAATTATTTTTTTCTCGCAATTCAGAAATTCATTCCCATTTTACCTTTCAAGCTTCCACCCGTACACCCGTACTTCTCTAGCTCATAAAACGATGAAACATGAGGGATCTGTGCTTTGGAACATGCTTAACCCTAATACAGAACTCAACCTATCAAACCCCAACGGCATGTTTTGTTGGAATCTGTCAGGATGGGTACAGTACCCCTAAACTGACAGTCTTTTACATTGGGTTGGCACACCTCCAGAATCAAAGTCAGAAATATGTGTGTGCAGTTTCCCATATGGTGTTGGAATTTGCTAGGATGGGTATGGTTCCTAGTAAAGGGAGTTAGGGTTAATGATCAGCTTAAAGCATCCAAAGATATTTCTGGTTCCAAACGTGTTTTTAAATCTGTTTTATTGGAATCTTATTGTTGAGTGTTTACATTCCAACCCATATTATCTGCTGACCTGATAAGACCTTTTTGTAGTTATGGTTTTGAAGTCTTCGTCCATCGTTTGTGTTGGTCTACATTCTTGTATAAATGTTAGTTGTACATATTTTGTTCGTTGGTGACTCGGCCACGGACCCGCATGGTTCGATTAACATTCTGTTATTCCTGTCTCAGTGCATGTGTATGTAAACAAGGGACCATTGACAACTACAAACTGTGCTTTTCAAATGAATCACTGTCGGTATCACAATTACTTTGTATGATCTAGATTTCTCAATATATATTTATATATTTCTTTGCATCTAAGTAAGATTTGAGGCTTTGCAATGTGGAGTGTTTACTTTCTTAGAGTTTAGGCACTCTCCTGAAAACGGTCAGAGCATGCTGCCCGGAACGTCGAGTTTATACTGATCTTGTAATTATTGTTGTGATACTGTGGAAAATAAGCAAACCTAAACCTGAACTGACTGACTCCCCGACTGACTGACTGACTCCCCCACTTAGTGTCACTTGACTTAGACTGGGTGTGGACTCGTGAACATGGGCATCGCCAGGATTTTTTCTAGAGGGGGGCAAAACATATTTCCCCCCCCACAAATCCTGTATTTCTCAACATATTCTCGATTTATCACTTTTTTAGAGGGGGCAGGGACATTTCCCCCCCCCCCCCCCCAACTCATTAATTTATACCACTATGACTTCGTGCCTCTTTTTCTTTTCTTTTTTTCCCTTTTTTTTTTTTGTTTTTGTTTTTTGTTTTTTTTTTTTTTTTTTGCTTTTTTTTGCTTTTTTTTGCTTTTCCGGGGGGAACAGGCATGCAACTTTTCCTCGGATCAGCTGATTTCCTCTGTTTTCACTTCCAATGTGTGCCATTGAAAATAGAAAAACAGTGTACAAAGTCTGGGAAAGATTTGAATTTCCTCTTTTTTGTGGCTTCCCAGTTGCATGCCTGGGGGAAAAGCCCCCCCCCCCCTTTCGACGCCCATGCTCATGAAGAGAGCAGAGCAGTGCTATCATATAGGATCACCTTGCACTGCCAAATCCTGCTCATTGTGTAAACCACATGCATGAAAATACCTCCAGTGAAAAGATATTCTTAATCAACTGAATGCACTTTTATGCACAAAAAAGTGGAAGTTTGTTTCCAAAAGCCGGATTTCGTCAATTGCGTTCTTATATCAAGTGAAACAGAAAATCAGTGGCTTTAAATACGTCTCCCCCACAACTAAAAAAGTTCCCTTTTTTTAAATTAAAAAGTAAAATTTATGAGTAAGGAGGGGTTACAAGTGAAATAAGTCCCAAAGTTTATGCACAGTGATATATTGGATTATTTTTATGAATGAAAGCAACAGTGCTAGCACAGGACTGAGAAAGGTCCCTTGCAAAAGTTCCTTGACTTGTTTTCAATAAATTGAATAGTATTTGGTTTACTAGACCCTCCCTTAACACCCCAAAAATATCTCGCAATTCAATTGTGTGTACGATTGGAGATTTTCGTTTTCAATTGACAGATTGTGATTACATAAATGTGACACTTTTGTGTGTCCACCCACTCACGGTTTCAAGGTGATTTTTATTGTTAATAACACCTTTACCACACCCAGTCCACCAAAACAGCCTCTCAAAGGATAGCCTTGGATATTTCATATTGTTAAAGACCTCAATTTTTCTGCACGCCCGACAAATCACTCAAGCACTAAATTGAAAAAGCCTTGACTACGTTTTGTGTTTGTTCGGGTATATGGCAATCATAAATACTATAGTAGAATTTATAAGTAGTCTTTTGTACGACACGGAGTACAAGAAGTTTTCTCAGTTCTGAGTGAATTGAAAAAAGGTTGATCCGATGAAACTGTGCCAATCAGGGTTGTAGCTACGCTGGCCGGCCGGCACGGGGGCTGAAAATGAAGCTTGCCGGCCGGCATAAATTTTGCTGCATTACATAGCGATTTTGAAGTTTTGACAGAGAAAGAGGCTTAGAAAATTCACTGGAGCCTAGTATTGTCCCACTTTCCTCCATTTTTATTTAAAACATTTTTTTATATCAAAAATCTTCATTTGCCTACTCACTCGCTATTTTTGAAAAGAAACCGCCAAAGTTCCTTTCGCGATTCCCTTTTGCGCAGTGATGAAAACATATGCTTAATGCATTCTTGCAAATTGCAATGCTGCTGTACTGGTTCCTGCCGCACCGCGCTGCGCCGCGCCACGCACTCAAAGGGCCAAAGAAGATACGAAGGAAAGGAGGCAACCAGTGTATGATTTGATTATACTAGTCCTTGATTATACTTGACATCCTCCGCACTGCTCCAGGATGTCACTGCCTCTGCCTCAACCTATTGACAGTCATAGCCGGAGGATTTTGCAGGATTCAGGCAGTGGTCACCCCTCCATGGACCATATTCAAGAAATAGCGGAGGAATTTGCAGGATTGAGGCTATATGCTATTTTTCCATGAGGCCAATTGGAGGATTTTGCAGGATTGAGGCTACATCCTAGCAAAAAGGCCGAGGGAGTTAGGGTTAAAGAATTATCGACATATGTATTTGTTTACATTAATTGACACAACTTTTTATCACTTTTTGTTACCTTTTTTTTTAGCTTTCGTAGTGCAAATGAAAATAGTTCCGGCCGAAATTTGCATTTAATTGAATACCCTATTCAATCAGCACAAAAAAGATTAGGTAAAAAAATAAATTTCCGACCTACCAACCAGATTTTTCAAAAGTCTGGTCACAGGTACTGCAAATCAAAAGTCAATTAGCAAGTCCAGTCACAAGTAACAGGAGATGAAAAGTAACAAAGGAATGCTTCTGAGAGTTTACTTGAGACTGGATGACTTGTGATTGACGTGTGATGGACAGACTTGTGATGTCTTGTGATGTATTGTGATGACTTGTGATGGACTTGTGATGACTTGTGATGTCTTGTGATGACTTGTGATGTCTTGTGATGACTTGTGATAACTTGTGATGTCTTGTGATGACTTGTGATGACTTGTGATGGACTTGTGATGACTTGTGATGAATTGTGATCCATCACAAGTACCTCGTGAAATTTATATTCATTACCCCATTGTTAACTATGGCTGTCAACGTTGGCTTACATTCATGTTATAATTCAATATTCATTTCAGATGGTGTTTGACTATCAGCCTGATGATGTGTATGCCTGTGTAGCAGACATTGGTTGGATCACAGGCCATACCTATGTAGTCTATGGTCCGCTCAGCAATGGTGCAACCACGGTCCTGTTTGAGAGTACGCCCACGTACCCTGATCCAGGTACTATAAATTCCAATCAATGCTTGGGTGTGTGTTCAAATGAGAGTAGACCAGTATATCTAGATCTGGATAATACACATTCTAATCAGTGCTTTGGCATAGATCTGAGAGTAAACCAGCGTATACCCACATCCAGGTGTTATACATTCCAATTAATCTTTGGCATCTGAGAGTACGTCAAAATAGCCTGATCCAGGTATTTTACTTTCCAATCAATGCTTGGGTGTCTGATAGTAAACTAACATACATGTACCTTTATCCACATGTTTGAATTTCAGTCAATAATAACATACCCTGATCCAGGTATAATACATTCCAATTACTGTCTTGGTGTCTGAAAATAGACCAACCTAATACCTTGATCAAGGTATTATACATTCCGCTCTGTGGCAACACACATTATACCCCGATCCAGCTATAATACCTTCCACTCTATGTTTGGTTGTCCATTTGGGAGTACAATAACATACCCTGATCCAGGTATACTATTAGTACAATTCCAATTCCTGCTTGTGTCAAGTGTTCCAGACCAGCGGAGTGCGTGCATAGCACCCTCAAAAGTAAAAACACATTTTTAAAATAATGTTTAGGCCATCCAGCATGGAATGACCCCTGAGCTATTTAAAGGGAATGTACACCATTGGCTTTTGCTGTAATTTTCAGAAATGAACTATTTGGGGGGTTAGTATAATAGATCAAATTTTGTTACACTGACATGTTTGAAGTTTTTTGTTCGAAAATGCTTGAAAAACCAAGAAAAACAAAAATGTTCAAGTAGTCTGGTTCCCTGACTCCACCAAAGATAAAATGGATCAATTTCCAGATGCCGGAAAATTGTAAGGTAAGGGAACAAGTCTAGCTGGCCTACACCCGTTCATGAATATGTAACCAATAGCAAACAAAATTTGAACTGAATAAAAAATGGTAAATTTGGAGCAGTAGTTGCAAAATAGTTAGGTTTTTCCAACGGTGGTCGGCCGACCACCGCTGGAAATGTATACAAAAATACCATTTTCTTGAAAATGACTTCACACCAGGTGCCATAATTTTACAGGATGCTTTAGACTGTCATTTACCAACATTCTAGTAAGGTATTTCGTAAAAACTTGGTAGTTTTATTTTTCAATGTTTGCAAATGTTGTATATTCCCTTTAATATGGTTCATATATTTTTGGCAGGTCGCTACTGGGAGATGGTACAAAGGTTAAAGTTGAACCAGTTCTACGGAGCCCCTACGGCAATTAGACTCCTTCTAAAGTATGATACTTCCTACGTCACCAAATATGACCGTTCCACACTGAAGACTCTTGGCTGTGGTATGTTTTTCTTACTTTATGTCTGAATGTGTAATGTGATCTGCCCTTTGGAAATGAGTTCACGCTGTGTTTTCATTGTTAACCTGGGGTGCGTTTTGGCGGTCATAACCAAGAATTGGTTCCTTAGTTTCTTGTCGGTGAATGTCTTCAGCAATTTTAATTGGGTTAGAATTACGCATGATCATGTAGTACTCAAATCTCCAAGACAATTAACCAAAGAGAAACCACCGAACCAATTCTTGGTTATGACCGCCAAAACGCACCCCAGTTCACGTCGAATGACGTGTATTCACGCAAAGGTTTTGCGGTATTCGGAATGGATGATGGATCTAACTTGCAACAAGCGAGGCCGGAAATATCCGTCAGCGACCCGCTCGCAGCAAGCGAGGCTGAAAATATCAGGGTGTGCTACCCATAGATGACAGCCTGAACCCGTCTGGCATCGAGGTTCATGAAAAACAATCCCGCATCTGGGTCTGGTCAATGTCAAAATAATCCCAGCATGAACTGGTTAATGGCATTAAAGTTAAAGGGAATATACAACATTTGCAAACATCGAAAAATAAAACTACCAAGTTTTTACGAAATACCTTACTAGGATGTTGGTAAATGACAGTCTCAAGCATCTTGTAAAATTATGGCACCTGGTGTGAAGTCATTTTCAAGAAAATGGTATTTTTTAAAACATTTCCAACGGTGGTCGGCCGACCAGCGTTGGAAAAACCTAACTATTTTTCAACTACTGCTCCAAATTTACCATTTTTTCAGTCCAAATTTTGTTTGCTATTGGTTACATGTTCACGAACGGGTGCAGGCCAGCTAGACTGGTTCCCTTGCCTTATAATTTTCCATCATCTATAAATTGAGCCATTTTATCTTTTGTGGAGTCAGGGAACCAGACTACTTGAACATTTTTGTTTTTCTTGGTTTTTCCAACCTTTTCGAACACCAAACTTCAAAAATGTCATTGTCAGTATAACAATATTTGATCTATTATACTAACCTCTCAAATAGTTCATTTCTGAAAATTACAGCAAAAGCCAATGATGTACATTCCCTTTAAGTAAAAAAATACTGCAAAATTGATGATGGAAATGTTTGGAAAAAATTCAGGTTTTGTTACTTAATTTTTCCGGGTTTTTTTTGGGGGGGGTCTGTTAAAAAAAATGTGAATAGGTCTTAACGAATGAGATTAAGACTATTGGTCTCGAGTTTGTTTTGTGGAGAAAGGTTTTTGGACTTGTTCAAAAGTGATGCCCTGAAAGCAAGTTTCCCGTTTAGTTCAGAGCATCTAAAGCACTTAAGAAGGGGAAAAAAAGAGTATAGCAGACTTTGATTTCTAGCTGAAACTTCTGAATGAATGATTTCCAGATGATTGAAACATCTTTCTTGTGGTTTCTATATTTTGCTTTTTACCGAAGGGGGGTGGTGGCGGTTGTGTATCTGTATTTGTTTTGTTGTGTCGATTTTGAAAGACTGAGGAGATTTGTGCCCAGCTACTATTACTCAACATTGGGTTTTGATGCCCATTCACCAAATCAACAAGATTTTGCCTTGGGACTTAGGGGTCCTATTGAAGGGGAAGTGTTCAATAATATGTTTTTTGAAGACGCAGCTTTGCAAATTAAAAAAAACCTTAATTCATCTGTTTGTATTCAGTTGGTGAGCCACTGAACCATGAAGCTTGGGAATGGTACAACGATGTCGTCGGTGAGAAAAGGTGTTCCCTGGCAGATACGTGGTGGCAAACAGGTAACTTGGGGGGAATTGTCTTCAAATACAGTACAGCACCCTTACAATGAACCCCACTATGCAGAATATGCAACCATAACAAATCTTGCTCTTGAAGTCATTGGAGTATTATACAAAGCATTTGGAGACAGAAAATTATTGTAACCAGTCACCACTATTCTGAACAACATTTTGTGGGCCCCATTGTTATTGTTATAATGAAGTTCTATCGTACTGGCATTTGGCCTAGCAAGGTTATTTTGATTGGGGGTAGAGGTGAAAATGGGCAGTCACCTCATCCGTGCTGAGAGTAGACATGCTTTTTCACCAGTCACCCGGCCTCTGAAAAATCAGGAGGGGGGGGGGGGCCTAGCTATTCACGACACCATCAGACAATAGGTCGCAGGCTGTTCATGGTGGCACAATTGCTGACGTTCGTGTCACGTTAAAAAAAAAAGGGCATTCTGAAAAAAGGACGCCCTTTTTTCATGAGCGCCTTTTTCATGAGCACCCTTTTTCACTAGTGCCTTTTTTTCAAGAGTGCCCTTTTTTTCCCGAGTGCCCTTTTTTCATGAGCGTTCTTTGTTCACGAGTGCCCTTTGTTCACGAGTGCCCTTTTGTAATGAGTGCCCTTTGTTTTTAATTAGTGCACTTTTCTTAATGAGTGGTGAAAAAGGGAACTCATGAACAAAAAAAGGCACTTGTTGAAAAATATTGGGGGTGGGGGTGGGTAACCCCCTGCTGTCAATGCCACTGATTGGTGAACATAAACCATTTTTGGTTTGTACTGCACATGGCTCTACAACATGTGATAACGTACATGGTTCTCAAAGAATAAATGGAACTCATATTGATATTGGAGAGGCGCGCATGTTGTAGCTCACATGCACAATGAGCAGGGCCCAATTGAACGGTCTTGCAAAAGGCTTGGTTTAAAGTCTATATTTGTATCCGCCCACAGAGACAGGAGGTATTGCGATCAGTCCCCGCCCATCCAGCCCAGAGGCTGTGATTCACCATGGACCTATGACGCCATTCTTTGGCATAGAGCCAGTCCTCATGAATGATATGGTGAGACATTTTGAATTGTTTTTTTTTTTTCAATCATTCTTTCTGATCCCTAAGTTGCTTTCTCCGAACACAATTCCAGGATTCCATTGCAATGCCGATTGCAATGATATATTTTACTTCTGAAAGGAATGAGTTTGTAACCAAAATCTTCCTGTTACTGTAACTTAATGAAAATGACAAGATGTTCTGCAAAACAAATTACATTTGAAGGTCTTTTAACGGAGATGTGCCTTAAACCTGTTGACTTGCCAGAGTTAGAACAATACGCTTGACGTTAAAGCCAATATTTCACCTCATAAGCCAACATCTGTATTGGCAAATAACTAATGGTTTGCTGTGTGACTACCAAATTTGCCCCACATGATATGTTTGGGGGAAAAAAGGAGAATACCTTGTTATGGGGGGGGGGGAATAATGGCATTTGTTTGATGTGGTATGGGAAACCGTATCCTTGTTCTTAAGATTGATCATGAGGTCTGAAATAGCTGAATTTACATTTTTCATTTAATATCACGCATGGTTCATGCTTACATTTATAAAAATGGCTCATACATCTGGGTTTTAATTAAATCAAATATTTTTGAATACCAATGCCCTGAGAAGAAACACTCATCTTGTACCAATATTAATCAGCAATCAACATGGCCAAGAATCTTTATAACCCTCCTGGTCTTCTGCACTTCACAACCCTTCAAATTTTGCAAAACCACTTTTGACCATAGATTCAGCACCCACACTCTTTTATCTTCTGTGGAGTATGGATAACACTTCAAATCCCTGCACAGTTTTTGTGTGTGGTTGAGGCAGATTCGGTCATGCTTCACTGCTCTAAACAGTGGGGTTTTTTTGTGCAGTGACATCGACTCTCCGTGTGAAACAGTTACTTAGCACTTCATATCCCTTCATCTGAAACAGCGACCTGCTTTTTTTTTAGGGGTTTTACATATTGCTCTGACTATGGACCTTATTCGCAAGAAAGCCATTTTGGTCGGGTTCCCTGAATGTATTTGTTTAATAGTGAACTGTTGAATGGGATGGTAACAGACTCTATATACATTCTAGCCTCACTTCCATTTTTTGTGGCTTAAATCGTTAGCGTCTGTTTATTCACAAAATATTCATTAGAGCACACTGGTATAATGTGTAATTAACTTTATATCATTGTTTTCATTTCTCTTCGCAAGCTCCAAAATGAAGATTTTACCTCACTTTAAAATTTAATATGGCCGACTTGTGAATAAGGCCCATTGACTTCCCACTAGGAGAGTTAATCAAAGGGCATCCCATGATTTTCATCTTCATGACTGTGTTTTCATCGATTTCACTCATTTCATGCATTTGCTGGATTGGCGTGGACACATCCTTCATTGCTTTAATGCTACATATCTCTGATGCTTCCCATGACATATATCACCTCATCAGGATAACGTAAGTATCACATACAATTACAGTACATGTGTGACTGTGGGATTTTGTTAACCAATTGATAACATAGATATGCACATATTTTTTTTTGGGGGGGGGGGTAATTTTTAGTGTATCTACATGTACTCACAATAGAGTGGGTCACCAAGAGATAACTACAGAAAGACAATTTTTCATAGCACCCTTTGGGACGAAACAAACATCTGCATCCGAATGGTATTTCTTTTGCAAAAGTGCTCAGCAGTTTTTACTCTTTTTGGCGTGGGAGTTAGGCAAAAACAAAAATAGTTGGTCTCTGGTCAGGTCAAAGTTCTGGAATTGATGCGGTGAGGCGTTTTTTTTTTTCCCCAAGCTTTGATTGTACAGACAAGGTGGGTACTATTTTGCTTTTTTGTGTCCTCATATACGTTGGTGTCCTCCATTATTGCCTTGGTGCCCCCCATCATTTGCCTTGGTGCAATTTCCCCATTCCTTGGTGCTCCTTGGCACAAACATTTGAGGCGGTGCAGCAATAGAGATCACTGTTGTAGCTACCGCAGAAACTTTGAAGGAAAAAAAGATTGACACGCATGATTAAAATCGACGCGCGCGCTGACCAGAGACCGACTATTTTATTCCTTTGGCCTTAGGTTAGAATTCTTTGTGTAATGAGACTTCCAAGTGCATTTGTGTTTGCGTGTTACTACACATAAACAAAGAAAAAACAGGTAAAACTGCAGTATAGCATATGCAGGAGGTCCTCTTGGAATAGTGCGTGCAAGTTGATCTCAAAAACCTTCAAGATTTTCGGAGAAAACTGCACATCCGGGCACTATTTCTTTCGGTTTTTTTTTATCCTGACTGGGCCATCCAATCAAGGGCAATAATGGGTGTATTGAAAGACAAGAAAGCATTACAATTTACAGCATAGTGAAAATATTGTGAATTGATGACAATTATAAAATAAAAATGTTGACCTCAACTTCTGTTCAATTGATCACGCACATAAAATTGGGTAAATTCAAATACGGGAGTCTGTGACTAGACTAGTCAGTGTGTGAAGTGAACGTGGACTGGCGAGACTTGCAAGATCTACAATGTATATGAACTTGTGTCTTCCAAGCGAAATTGCGTGCTAGCGCACTGTATTGTGAATTGCTCATGCTGTTTGTGAAAGCACACATTGCCTTAGTCAGCTAGATATACATGATTTGTGTTTATTGCTCGTACCTGATGCATCTGCAGACGGTAGAGATGACAGGCAACAGTGTGTCTGGAGCCTTGTGTGTCGGGAAACCCTGGCCAGGCATCGCTCGCACCATCTATGGCAACCACCAACGATACGTGGAGACTTACTTCAAACCATACAAAGGTATGCCTTGTTTAGGCCATGTTGTCATATTGTGTAGACCAGGGGTGTGAAATTCAGCTTTTTTTGTTTTGGATTTCAGCTTTTTTCCCTCACTTGCTGTGTACAAAAGTATAGGAAATTTCCAAAGTGCAGCTTTTTTACACCTTTTCCAGCTGTTTTTAGCTATTTTTATCAGTGGTCACTCACACTCCTGATAGACTATACATGTTGTAAAGACCTGTGTCATACCAACCGGCAACCGACAGGCAACACAAACTTTTTTTGGCTCCTTCTGTATGCTATTTTGCCCACAAAACCCTAACCCTGCCAGATGCAACATAGTGCATCAGGTGTAAAACTCTGTGGGACCTGGCTGCACTGAGCCATCAGCATCAGTGCATTAACTGCCAATTCTGAAACAATGAGAGCTAGTCCCATTGAACAATGCCACAGTTGTATCATGATGCAGTTGGTGACCACAGACTCTGAGTCAGTTTGGCCTTGAGATTTTGACCTGATGGATGTTGCTGCACTGGGCAGGCTTGTCATTTTGACAAGTGTTGCATGTTGCTGCAATCAGAAGGGTTTCCAGCCAAAATAACCAAGGGGGTGAGGGTTTAACAGTTTATGTCAACACCTAACTCCCTAGGCCATTTTGCTAGGACGTAGCCTCAGTCCTGCAAAATCCTCCAGTTGGCCTCATGGAAAAATAGCATATAGCCTCAATCCTGCACATAACTGCCAACTAGTACGATTTTTTCGTAATTATTACGAATTGTTTGTTAAATTACGAAAATACGATTTGCCACTAAAACATTACGAATTTCCCCTTTTTTACCTAACGAAAAAAAAAAAATGTAAAGTATCGTTTTTGACCGAAAACTTCTGGCGAAATGTCGTGATAATAGATAAACTGGTGACAAGTCTAGTAAGAATGCAGTCAAGCACCTGATAGACATCAATACAGTGTGCGCAGTGGAGTACTTGAGGACCAGACTAAAACTATTTTTCAATGGTGTGTCATTTGTGTGGATGTGTGGTTGTGTGTACTGTATGTGAGTACTTTTCAGTGACGATCCTGAGCACATTTGGTCGCTTATTGCTGGGATGAGACCCATCAGTGCGAGATTTTAATCATGGAATTTAATAAGAGTATGGTTGGAATAATTGGTTATAGAGTTTGAGTTTGTCACAACGGACAGAAAAGATAAATCAGCATGCGTTTGCAAGGTATGTTGGCGGGATATTTCTATTGCATACGGTGGCCATAGATCATTGTGTGTAAAAACATGATACGAACTCGAAACTCAACATCGATAGCATGCATCTCCAAAAAAATATGTACACATGTTATTGATGTTATTATTTATTTGACTTCAACAAACAAATACAGACATTAAAACAAAATTAATTTAAAAAAAAAAAAAAAAAAAATTGTTTTTTTTGTTTTTTTTTTAAATTATCTTTTGGCCTACAGTACATTATTATTCACAACAAGAAGGGTATGCACATGTATGTGTACATGTAAACCATGTACCTGTACTCGATGTTGGTAAAGCTTTTGATAAAACGAGAAGTTGAAAATGACCGCGCGGGTTGATTACTAATTGGGATTTTGAAATGTTGGCAGCTATGCCTGCAAATTCCTCCAATATTTTTTTAATATGGTCTGTGGAGGGGTGACCACTGCCTGAATCCTGCGGCAGTGACTGTCAATATGTTAAAACTTGGCCAGTGACATCCTGGAGCAGTATGGAGAATTTCAAGCATAATGCAGGCCTATATTTATGCATGGCTGAGCAGAAACAACACAAGGTCAGCCCAAGACCTTGACAAAGTGCATCCTACAAAATCAGTAACGCACTTTTGCCATGTAACCTCAATCCTCCAAATTCCTCCACTTTGGCAAAGAGGATTTTGATGGATTCAAGGCGGTTAGGCTTAAACCACTCATATTTCAAGAGATATACGTGCAGCACAGAGGAGATCAGTGTGCTGCAAGTTTGCATCAAGTGAACACAGCATCCAAAGGGGTCTATAACTATCATTTCATTGGTCTAGAAAGGACACTTATCAAGTTTGTAATAAGTAATGCCCCAATATTTCCGTCACTCAAATGCCATCTGGTACATCTTTTGCATCTGAAAGGTGTGCATTAAAGCCCACAGTATTTAATGATTACACTGCAATAATTGAATTCATCCTGTTAAGTAAGTCACAGCTCTTGGGTTTGTAAGTTATTTAGTTGATTTAACCAAACAGTTTTGACTATTTGGATATGGGACATGAGGTTTTTAATCCTTGTTGGCAAACTTCAACCTTGGCTTCAGCCGTGATCCGTTGGAGATAAAACTGCCATGTCCTAATCTACAGCAGTCAACAATTTTGAGGCCCTCTGCCATAGAGTCAACTTGTTCCTAATGTACATGCAGTAAGCTTGTTCCTCTTGTAGTTCAACTTCATCCTTTTACTACTTGGTGCTTACAGGTGTGTATTTCAGTGGTGACGGGGCCCATCGCGATAGACGCGGCCATTACCACATCACTGGCCGTATGGATGATGTCATCAACGTCAGTGGTCATCGTATAGGAACTGCTGAGGTTGAAGATGCTATGGTAAGTTTGTTTTTGTTTTCAGGATATTTCCATGTTAAACCAAGTGAATCAATATTAGGTTTTGCCCTTCACTGACGTATAAACACTGTATACTCAGTGTGTTCCCTCCCGAGTGAAAGTTGGGAAAACTCAATCGGATGGTGTTAGACTTAATTTTAAAGTCTACTTCACTCTACTTACCTGTAGAGCAACACTACTTATGCATATTCCCCCTACCGGCAGGTATTTTCGCTAAGAGTTATATACAATAGCGCCCTCCGGCGCCCTACCCATAACACCCCGCGGCATGCGTGCCTCGTGAGCGTCCTCTTTTCTCTTAGCGGCAGGTCGGGTAGGACGTGCGTGAAATAGCTCGCTGTTTGCCTCGTCATTTACTACCCTTTTTTGCGTTTAAGAGAAGTATTTAATAAAAGAGTTAGTAATCATTAGTTTGTAGAGTTTCATCATCTTCTTGGTTTCGTTTATTTCATAAATATGAAGCGTTTGGGGAGGGCCGATCTGTCACTAACCGGAGGGAATAGTTCTCCCACGGGACGGACCGAGTTCTCGGGGGACTCTGCCGTTAACGCTCCGTCGTTACCGCGGCAGCAGTCTCTCGTCCGGCACCCTCAGCCACAGTCGGCTGGGGGAGTTGGCAGTTCCGCCGATCAGTTAAGGGGACCTCGGTCACCTTCTCCGGTCAACTCGGGCGGAACACCCAAACTAAAGGCACACTCCGGCAAGGTTCCCCTAAAACATATCTCCTGTGCCGGAGCAAAGCCTAAGAAGGGCCGTCAGGGCAAGCGTGGCTCGGCAACGAGCGCCGCTTTGGCACCTAGCCCTCCCCCGATCACGGGGCAGCCCGAGGGGACTAGCCGTCACACTTCGGTGGGCTCTAGTCACCCGTGCCCTCCCGACACAGTGCCGAACACCACTGGTTGTCGGGATGGGCTATTGCACGGGCTACCGGTCCGTCCAGCGCTCGCTCAGCCCACGGGGCCTGAGGCGCTGTCGGCCGGGTGCATTATGAGCGATACGGAGCCGGTCGCCCCGGGGGATCCCGGGCCGACGGCCCCCGTGCTAGCTCACTCAGAGGGACTACTCTCGTCATCGGATTTTTTCCGTTGTTCGGGGGTCCCGGTGCCCCAGGTGTCTTCCGATTTTCCTCGGACACACCTCGGGGCCGTTCTTCTAAAAAGAAGAATAAGAAGAAAAAGGCTGCACGTCGATTGCACCGTTCTTCTTCGGGGTCTGACGACTCCTGTGACCGGTCCCGCCGGGGCAAACGCTCCCGGGGGGAGGACGCGGTTTCTAGAGGAGATTTCCTGCTGGCTTTTCAGTCGATTTCCGATACGCTATCGGCTATGTCGGCAGGCCGCCGGGCGGGCCCTATTGGGGGCCCCCCTGCAGCAGTGGACTACGGCCCACAACCATCGGTCGTTGGGCCCGCATCACAGTCTTCAGTCACCGGTCACGCTTGGGTGACCCGTGAACAAAGGGACTTACTGCACAGATAGCCGTGCTCCTGGAGTCTTTATCTGCAGTGAATGCTTCATAGTCGTCATTCATTGGTCACGATTGCGTGGCCCAAGCACAACGAGGTACATGTACAAAAATGAAAAAAATGAAAAAAAAAAAAAAACACATGTTCATACATGTTCATGTATACCACACATGGTTGCACGCTATACCGGAAGCCCGGCCTACGGCGAACGGGACTTCACATTCGCCGGCCGTGGAACACGGTCGCGTGGTCCAGAGACAACGGGACCTACCGCACACAGTTAGCCGTGCGCCAGGATTCCCGCTTGTGTTTAGTCTTCACCATCTGCATAATATTATGTATATTATCTCCGAGGGTGTTGCCCAGCCACCACCGCGTGGTTCTGTACAACTAGCCCCTCCAGACGGCTCTCAGTCATCGGGGTCATTTTGGCCTTCGCATTCGGCTGATTCATCCGATAATGACGGAGAATCAGACCGGTTACAATGGCTGTCCATCGAGGAAACGATACTCCGTTTGCTGCAGAGGGACATTACACGGGTACTTAAATTACCCTCCGCCGATGAGCCCCCTCCGCCCGATCACAACAATTTTCAAATCAAGCGCAGGACGGGCTCCAAATCTAACAATGACAAGGTGTTCCCCATACCTCCGTTGGATCAAATGTGAAACACATCGACAACGGACAAAGTGGTGTCCATTTCTCAGGCGGGAACGGCTTTATTATTTTTCTAATCCGGCCGAGTTTATTGCACCGATCCCACCGCGGCATACGATACCGGGATGAGGACTCGGTTTTTCGGCCCACTCATTACAAGCCTTGCAATTGTTCTCGGCTTTATTATCGGTCATACATGTACATGTATACGTTTTATACACGTACATGTACATGTATTGCCAGGCGGGCACGTTAATGAAACGTCCGTCTTCGTTCAGTTGCGAGCCGTGAACTCTGTAGCCCTCTACATTAATCACGGTTGGGTGACTCAAGGACAATGGGACACGCCGCACGGTGCTTAGCCGTGCGGCGGTGTTTCTTGCTGTACTGAGATCGCTACATTTTTTATGTACATCGTACATTGTCTCCGAGGGAGTTGTTCAACAGCTGACTGTGGCCGTGTGCAACTCGTCCCTTCAGATGTGTTTTACGGTTCTCGTTTACGGGGTCTATTCAACTCTTGCAGGCATGTTGTGGACCACATTCGAAAGATTGTGCCTGTATTCAAACTGCTTGCTGCTCTTCAAGCAATAATGTGATCATTACCGTTTTCCGTTAGCGAAATTCGGTATTTTTGTTGTTGTTGTCACATCTTCCCTCTTCAATGCAGCTAAGTACAAGCTGCCAGCAATAGAGGGACCCCATTATTCAAGCGGCTCTTCGTAAATAATACTCGCAGAAGCTTGAATACACTTTGCAGTGGAATAATAAAGTGGGTTCGGCGATACGCGTTCAGCCTCCCTCTTTACCCTCATGAAGTACATTAGGTTTAATGTTTTAATCTTGACTCGACAGTCTTAGCGGACGTGTTGACCGCTATTTTCTTTATCAATTTCACAGTCTGCACTCAGTACTCTATAATTTTACACGAGTGCAGACCCTAACAATCTTGGCCCGCCGGGATAACATGATTGATGAACTGTTTCTCCCGTCAAAGTGCGCCCGCCAAAGATTCGAGTCCCACCTTTTAAATTTTTAACGGACAAAGATCTTTCTTTTGCGGTGCATATCGATGTTTACATCCATATTGGTCGATGTCGACTACATGTGGGCCAGCGCAGGTGAAGAACAAACAGTTGTTTGTTTTCTCAACTGCATACCTCTTGAAGTTGGCCCAGATGATTTTGTGTGGCCGTGCCAGCAACATTTGCTGTACGCCATGCCACGTAGGATAATGTAACAACGATTTCGATTCGGCTTCAGTTGTTTTGATGATTTTCATAAGTGACCTACCTGACTCATGACGACCTCCACCCATCTGTCTCGTAGGAGCTCGTCAAAGAGACTTTGAGGCTGACATCAATAACATCGGGCCAGCACAGTGTTGCGCCCGTCTTCTATTTCCCTTGGAAAGATGTTGATGAGATTTAGTCGACTGTCTAACACATCAGCATGGGGAATGAGCCCTGGCCTGAAGGGTACACAACTGCAACTCATTTTCAGGCCAGAGCACTGAGAATTTCACGGTTTTCAAACCAAGATTCTCGCTGCAACTTCATGGTGGCTCCATCCAGCCAGTTTTTCCGCCTCACTCCTGGCCTATGCTCAGATAGTAAAGGCGATATGACTGCGCCGTGGAAACAAAGATTGGTGGCATTCACCTATTTGCTTGTATCGGCCCAGTCCTCACTGCATTCAGTGCAGGCCATGACCTGACTTGTGCAGTACCTCCTGTGGTTCGGCGTTGCCAACCTCACAAGGGTGGGCCTCTCACAGATTGCAGCCTAATTCATTAACTGTCATGGCGAACATGTTACCCTGCCAGTTAACTGCCCGCCACACGCATCTAGTGGCGGATTGGTGAAGCCCTGTGTGAGCATCATTCAAGTTCCATTAACATACTTGAGATGCTGGCAGTCTCGGAGAAACTGCGATGTTACTTCTATATTCGGTGTTGTGCCAGATGATCCTGGTTCGATGTGACTTTGACACAGTTGTAGTTTACATCGACGACCAGGTGGGCAGGCAGCCTGCACACCTGTGTACACTCACTTGAGAAATAACCCATTGGGGTTTTTTCCTCATAGCTTCTTGCTTTCGACGGTCCTCCTCCCAAGCAAGGACAACTAACCACATGTCAATCTGACTTGTTTCATGAACTAGTCACAGATTTCCAGGCTAATGCCTGAGGGTTCCTGACCCCTATACATGTACATGGCACGCGAATACGATGGTGATGAAGACGGACAGGCTACTTATATACACCTTCCTGTCGTCTTCCTCTTATCCATCGGGTACTTAATCAACTGGAGCAGAAGGATGACAAGGTCCTCTTCTTAACTCCATGTTGACCTCATTGATTGGTTTTCCAGGGTTCTAACCATTCCCTTAGTTCACCAGTTGGAGGTACAAATGCTCTTCCGAGCAGAACAATATTCTGTTCCAGCACAGCTTGGGTTTCCTTCACCCAGCTCCGCAGGAATTTCTCCTGATGTACTGGATGCTGTAATGCTCTCCTGTTCACATCAGACCTTTCTCAAACAAGCTATGGCTTTTACAGCCTGCACTTGAGGGACTTCTAACATGACAGTAGATTACTAAATGTTAGTCAGTTGAACGTCCGTGTCAATTAACTTAAGGGGATGTTTTAACACCCCTGAATTGCAGGACCTCTTCAACACCTTCTTATCCAAAAGTGTTATAGAGATCTTTAGAGTTCTGTGAACCAGTGAACAATTTCACATCTGTTTCATTGGTTCCTACGGTTGTCTTTTTTCTTTTCTGTTTTGTAAGCAGTTGTTACTTCTTGGTATACATGTAGTAAAGAACTGTTTTCTGTATAATGGAGACGGACCACATCTGATGGGAACCGAGTGTGCCCATCCGATTCCTACGGGAGGATTTTTGTTTTTTAACTAAGAATGTCGGAGTCCTCTTTACCTCCGGACATCTTTGTTCTAGGCATCAAATCATTGTCCATTCCAGATGGAAAATGTTGGTGCCGCTCATGACTTTGGCGTCTGATCCCTAAGGAAGGTTTTTTGAGCTAAGACGGTCGGAGTCCTCTTTGCCTCCGGATGTCTTTGTTCTGGGCATCAAATGATTCTTGTCCGTTTCAGACAGCGAATTTTGGTGCTGATCATGACTTGATGTCTGCTTCCTAAGGAGGGATTTATACTAAGGACTGTCAGAGCCTTCTGGGCCTCCGGACGTCTTTGTTCCGGGCATCAAATCATTCTTGTCCAGACGGAGAATTTTTGGTGCCAATCATGACTTAAACGTCGTACATTAGCTGCACTGGGACGCTTTGAATCGGTCACTTGCAGTTACAAATGTAATTGTCACGACAACCCTGCCATACCAACAGGCTTCTCGCGACACGTAGTTGTCATGACAACCCTGCCATACAAGCAGGCTTCTCGTGACATGTTTTTTTTTGTCATGACGACCCTGCCATACAGGCAGGCCTTTCATGACATGTATTTATCATGGTGACCCCACCATACCTGCAGGCTTTCATGACAAGATTGCCTGAAGGTTGGCTACGGTCATCCATGAAACCACGGACATATCAACGGCAGAATCCGTGTGATTGGTCCGCATGCACAAAATAAAAGGCAGAGCATGGGAGAACAGTGTTGAGGGCGACTGACTGAGCCCCACCATGTTCTCAAGACATTTTCAGACCGGAGACCTCCCCAGCATTGGTGTCTCCTAACTCTGATTCTTTATTGAACTCTGTACATGTACATGTGCATATTATAGTGTCTATATGTACCATGTCATGATGTTTTGCCTTTCATGATAATTCTTATTTTGTGTGCCCCACCGAACTCTTATGTGTAGGTATCGGTGGGCTGTAATTCATTACGTGTGATTCCCACGGGGATCACATCTCTGTTGGCATGTTGAGGCTACCATTATGACTAATGTCTTTATCATGCCGACCTTTTTGGGCTGCCTTGTCCACCCACATGTGGAGCGACGGGCCCATCCAGGGTTTACGCGTATTGTTACGTGCCCCTGTGAAAGCACAATAGCATCTCGCATGACCCACCTCCTTGACGGTGCTAGTCTATGCATAAGTAGTGTTGCTCTACAGGTAAGTAGAGTGAAGTAGACTCCCCCCCCACAGAAGTGTGGTTGGGGTCTACGAACGAATACTTACCTGTAGAGCATCCCTCCCTCCTACCCCACTCTTCTCGATGCCTTGGGTACTTTGTTGTATTCCGACTTAGCGCTCGAGAAAAGAGGACGCTCACGAGGCACGCATGCCGCGGGGTGTTATGGGTAGGGCGCCGGAGGGCGCTATTGTATATAACTCTTAGCGAAAATACCTGCCGGTAGGGGGAATATGCATAAGTAGTGTTGCTCTACAGGTAAGTATTCGTTCGTAGACCCCAACCACACTTCTGTGGGGGGGGAATTTGGCAGATATATCTTGTCTTTTCCAAAAATGGTGTTTATCAGCCAAAACTACTCCTGGCGGCAAGTGGTTAAGTGACATCCAAGACTTTTTTCATCATCTTCTTGAGACCAGTCACATTTTTTGAATATTCAAATCAGAAAAGTTTCTATTCTTATACACTGTAGAAGATCAAAGATTCAGTCCTATATGAACTGGTTGCTTAATGACCTATCTTTGTAGACTGATTATGCAGACTCTATAGGGTGCTTAGTTTAAATGTAACCCGTGAGTTTCTGACTAACATTTAACAATTGTTTACTGCTGTGATGTGGGATGTGACGTTTTGAACACCCAAGGGGCTATATCTCTGTCTTGGATTCTTTGGATTTTGATACAAAAATCACAAAAACAAACAGCAGTAAGCACAACAATCATGACAATCGAAAATCAACTCACATGCATGCCGCGTGCTCGAAACAGCTGATGGTCTGCTAGTTCACTGCTCCCACCCATGCGTGAAAGCATGGTGAAAATAGCGTGGGTACCAACGATACAAGCGTTTCACACCACACACCGTACGTACATGTACCGTACGTACAAAGTCATAGCACACTCCCTGTGGGATATCACATACGTGATATCCCCTAGGGAGTGTGCCATGACTTTTTATAAACTTAACATGTGATCGTTCTAGGCCAATGAAAATACAGTATTCAAGACAGAGGTATAACAGATCAATTATTGTATTGCAGGATGAGCATCCTGCCGTGGCAGAGACCGCTGTGGTAGGATTCCCTCACGACATCAAGGGGGAAGGTAAAGAACAAATACTCTTCCAGTCAACTCATGACTTTATTATATGCCAAAGCGATGAGTAATAGACTCCGTGCATTAGCAGTAGATGGCGCTTTGCGACCAGTTATGCCAGCTGCATGTGTGGTGCACATTGCATACACACTGGTTGTGGCGCGTGTGATGCGAAGTATACAAGACTACTTCTATTCAAAAAGTCCACTAACCGTGTTTTTTGTGCGAGCGCCAGGCAATCTGTAGCAATCAGTTAAAGACTCCCACATTATGCACAGAGTCTCTGACTAGATGATGGAGCTTTTGTAATTTTCTCACAAAAATTGCTGTGGAAACTTTTCTTATTTTTACACAAAAAGGTGGGTTACTATCCATAGGAAATGTTTTCATGTATAGTGCGGTCCCTAAATGTACTATTTGGTAGGGAAAAAAGTCCCAAGAAATGTTGCAATGCAACCTCAAGTTGTATCTAGATACTTAAGTCTTAAAACAATCTTAGAATATTTGGTATCTGTGGGTTATTTTTGTGTACAGTGCAGTCCCTAAATCGACCATTTGGTAGGAAAAAGGATCAACAATTTGTATTTAGATATATAAATCTTAGAACATTTTTTTTGTATCTTTCATGTTTTTAAACCAACAACTGTAACAGAAGGTTTTTTTTAATTGTCTCCTTACCGTGCTGGAGTTCACCCAAATTTCATGAGATGCTCTTTTGAACAAGTGCTTTCTTAAGAGAACCAGGTGGGAATGAGAGGATCATAACTTACCTGAGTCTGAGGATCAGACGTTCACGTGTGCAGAGCCACACTACAGCATCTGATATATCCGAGCATGCAAATTTTATGCGATCCCATGCGCCAGCCAACAGAGCCCCTTCTAGAAGTTGTGTCATCATTTAGAGGAGAAGTTCGGCCAAATGTGTATATTGGTCAATAGTTACCGTGATTTTTGCATACAGCATCGGGTTACGGAACACACGATTGAAGGCGCCCACTGTATGGTCAAAATCTGGAGGTTGAGACGCCATGCTTTGCATAATCTGCACGCACATGTCTACAGGACTATTGTTCCCAGAAATAAAGATGATGTTCATTCATTTAATGATAGGTTACACCTGTCCTGGTTTTTTTGGCAGGTATCTATGCCTATATCATTCTCAAGGATGGAATCAGCGAATCTGAGGAGGATATCATCAAGGAACTGAAGCAGATGGTCCGACAGAAGATAGCTGCTTATGCCGTGCCGGATATGATCCAGGTCAGTCCCTAGCCATTCGAGAAAGCCCTTGTAGATAATCGTGGCTGTGGCTTATTGGCGTGCCAAAAAACATGCACAAACCTGATATCATTGCTTGTGGAACTTTTTTCCCCCGACAGATCACACCAGGCCTGCCTAAAACCCGATCCGGTAAGATCATGCGCCGTATTCTGCGTAAGGTGTGCGCTGATCAGAGCGACGAATTGGGTGACGTGACCACGCTGGCCGAGCCCTCGATTGTTGAAGTCATCGTCAACAACCACAAAAAGATCAGTCAGAAATGAGTGTCAGCGATGCTTATGCAAGATGATGCGCTTCCAATGGTATGAATTTCTGACCAGTAGAACTTGATAGGTATTTGTTTTGGTTAAAACCTGGTGGAGGTTTTACTGTCCTTAACTTGTTCTTGGTCCAGAGCATTCTTAGTTATTTACTCTTTTCGGTTTTTCTATGTTTGAACTATATTCCCCTTTTTATTTTACAGTGCTGTAGGCATACACATAGTCAATGCTATAGGGATGTACATTTCCCACCATCAAAAAATCTGAAATACCCAATTATTCTGTGTTTTTTTTAACGTACCATTTAAATTTTGCTGGCCTTTTTTTTTTAAAGCTTGTGCGAGATTTTGCAAATCTCTGAATGACAACATGCAAACAAAAAAAGTTGGCAATTTTTATGATCTAGCAAGTGAGCGTACTATACAAACAATGAGTGTCTATGAGTGCGATGGTAAGAATAATTTTATGAAGTGACAGCTGTTACCCAATGAAATGATTCTTTCCATTGCTTGAATGTGAATCGTTCATTGTTTGTTTTATACAATGCCTGAATAAATCCTTGTCATATTACCGGTAACTAGTGTGACCGTCGAATGGAACTTCTATTTTTTGTGATGCTGCCGCGCCGTGGGTTGGGACGAATAATTCAACGGCACATGATTAACAAACCCACAAACCAGATGACAGGAATTTACTCAGGTGTTGTGTAATATGTTCTGATGCATTTATTCCTAGTCAATAAATCAGATGAAAAGCTAGTGTTAAAGCTATATCCGCTCCGTTCACAAGTACCCCCTCACCGGCAAAGAAAGTAAAGTTGGGGGTGACCGACCGACGCCATCTTGCCTAACTGCAATTTTGTCCCCACGCGCGGCCGTACCACTGCGTGTACATAGTACAAATCCCCTGGTGTACGTGCGTCACACTCAAGGAACGGTGCGCGTCAACCAGCTAAATGGGACGTCGTTGCTAGGTAAAAGGGCGCCCTCTTTCGTTGGCGCACGGAGCCCATAGACCCACTCACACTTACTTACAAAATTGCACATTGTGGTCACATACCCTCACCTTTCATGTTGGGAGGGGGAAAGAAACTAAGTCTATTCTACACTGCATGTACATGTATATCAGTTCAAAATATTGGAAGAGACATTTAAAAGGCTGGTTTGCCTGTGGGCAATGGATAAACATCTACTGTCAACAACATTAACAATTTAATTTAGTGCCTCCAAAATGAAAGTGCCACAGAGTTGCAACTACCTTGGGCAAAAAATCATGCCCAGCATTTCGACAACATATAAATGAATACAACTCTTGCATCATTGCGTATACATGACAAAAATTGCCAATACTTACAAGTTCACGATAGGTATCATATGGTGAAAAGGTTTTTCCATATATTAATTTCTTGTTCTTCATCATGGCAAGGAGATAGCCATACCTTCACTGTCAACTCTTGGAGAATAAGGCATGACTTGAGTTGAACATTTTTACCGGTGTCTTCAGGAATATGTAAATCTATTTCATGGAAGAAAGTCATGATTTGCCTTATTCCATGTAAATAATTTTTATTTTTTTAAATAAAAGAGTGATATACCATATTAGATAATGATTTTTTATCAAATGTTTTGTAAATTTTATATAGAACATTCATTGAACGCACATTACCAATTTTAAAACAATATTACATGCATACCATTCGTTTCAGTATTGTTATTTTTATTGACTAATTTTTTTATTGCCAAAAGAAATTCAGAAGTAAAAAGGAATTGTCAGGCCACTGCTTAGATCATGTTATGCAAGCATATATGTTTGTGTGTGTTTATGTGGCTCCTTTAGTTGTTTGTATTATCTTGTGTCACAAGATACACTCAACCAAAAGAGAGAAACCCCCCCCCCCAAAAAAAAGTTGCACTTTTGTATACATGCCAGTTGAGTGTGAACCACACCTTGCACGTATAAAAAGTGCAACGTTTTTCGGTATCATTTGTCATAAACTGCACAATTTCTTAAACATTGTCACTGTTTTGGACCTAATGAAGAGTATGGCTGGATTGCTAAGGAATTTCTGTACTGTTAGGCGTTATTTGAGCGAGAGGTGCTCAGTAGTTTTTGAGTTAGACAAAAAAGTATTCGAAGGGGGACTTTCTTTTTTGGTTGAGTGTATATCGGTACACTGAATCATTTCTAAATGCATCAGTCAGTTAACACAAAAAATGCACTTAACTGGAAAGGTGGCTTACTACGAGTAATGTATTCTTTCAGCTGTTGAATTCCAGCAGCAGTGAACAAATAGTGAGAAGTTTGACAAAAATGTGTTAGCTAATTCCACAAAAGCAGAGAACAATTACAAACTGATGTGTTAAACGATTGAGTATGGCGCAAACAAGGTTGTTGCTAGGATCAGACATGCAACTTTTCCTCGGATCAGTTGATTGCCTCATTTTTCACCGCACACTTATGCCATTAAAAATTGAAAAACACTGGATAAAGTTTTGCAAAGTACAGAATTTCCTCTTTTTTGGTTACTTCCCAGTTGCATGCCTGTAGAGTAGGGGGTGGGCGTGTGACACCCCCCATTATCAAGTTTTGTTGGCAAAATTGTCGTCCTGTCAGAAAGAACTGTGTGTCCATCTTTAAAAAGATTATCAGGCTGATGTAAATTGTCAAACTTTACTTCATTTTGTGAAGTAGGTCACATGTTTTATACTGACATGGGAAGGTGTGTTTCATTAAAAAAAAACATGTATTTTCTGAAATGTATAAATCGGTTACTGCTTGCAGGTAACGGATGTGAACTATGAATTCCTTAAAAATGTACTGGGGTTGTCAAATCAAATCATGATAAGAAACAGTATTATTTTATGGCTCTCTCTCTGGCAAATTCAGCTACGCCGTCACAGTAGTCAAAATCAATTGAAGTGACTGTTTTTAACAGTTAAGAATTTCCTTGTAAATTTGATACAGCCATGCTTTGACTGGAGGTAATTGATATACCAGCTGTACCTACTAGTGACCTCTTCTGTCTGTTGATAGATTTTGACTAGTCGGAGTGCTTACACGAATGTGACCTGTTTTTTAAACCTGTATACAAATGCATGGCAAGGGGAGTGGAAGATATTTTTGTCTGTCTGTGACTGATCAAACAATAGGAGGGTTTTAATTGCGTTCTAACTTACTTGATCAGCAGTCAGGTTTTTATATTTTTTCTTTCTTCTGTTTTAATTACTCTGTACGCTTAAAATATAAGCAAGTGTTCTGCCATTCAAATGAATTCATTTCTTTTGATGTACTTTTATTCTTCATGTTTATTCATATGTATTTTAGATATGAAATTTAAATAATCATGTTCAGAATATTTTCAACAACACCATTTAATCTTTATTCTCGGATTAACTGCTTTTTTCAATCCAATTTAGCGTTACATGAATTTGGAAATTGAATCAAGGTAATGAATTGACTCAGATCTGCTTGAATTTTTAAATAAATTTTCATTTTACTGCACATAACTGATTTGAACCGAGTGTAAGACTGAAATAAAAGAATATAAAACAAAAACGGACTATGCATAGTTACTTTCTGTAGTATTTTATCGTTCAAGAATGAAACATCTAAAAATTGGAACAAAAGCCGTTGACCTTGGCTTATTAAGATCTGGAGGCACATTTATGATATATTTCAAGCAATTGGCACCTCCCAAGCCGTTGGCTCTTGGGGCATAACCCGCCTCGACCCACCCCTATTTACTGTTTCTCTCTGCCACTTTCACACACTTGTATGAGCATTGAAAACAGTGCATTGGACAGGAACTATATATGCTTTTAGTGGTACTTATATGATTTTGGTATTTTACTTTTATGATTTTGGTATTAAAGGACGTATATCCCAAACAGCAAAACGGGGAATTGTAAATAATGTGCCTCGTCTTCAGGGTGGTAGGATCTAATCATGATCGTTTGCACGCTGACAGCGCAGATTGCATAGCGCCACCTACGTGTTCCTCGACAGCAACATTTGCACTGCGGCCAGTGATCGTCCGTGCGCGTGCGGCGGATTCATGATTATCTCAAAAAGTTTTGAGGAATAATGGTAAAGAAAAAAGCTCAAAATGTAAAAGTATGTTTAGGCTTATTTCCTAAAAGATAGAAACCTTCATACTAGATGCCACATGCCGGTGACAGACAAAAATAGGGTTTGTTTTAGATGATTTCGTGCGAGATTACTTACATTTAGACATTAATTTGGAGAAGAAATCATAAATAAAAGTGCTACCACGGGTATAATCTCACTTCCATATTTTCCATGTATTTTATGTTCAGAAGATATTACACAAAAGTCACAGATTTGTCTCAACTTTCTCTTTTGGGATCAAGTAAAAAGAAAATTGCCAATTTACCCACAAAGAACAAAATCGTAGTACGATCTGGATGTTGTTCACAAAAGTTGCCGATGCAGGTTTTTTTTTAAATATAATATAACAGGCAACCTGCCTGACGTACACGACCCGCACCGCACCCGTGTATTTAGAGAGTTCCAGCGGCAAGTGTACTGCTAAATGATATGCAGCGCTACATACGTTGAGATCCGGCCAGTGTCCTCAAATGACCGCTGATTGGATGGAAAGTTCGGTGACTCAGCTATATTTGCATAGCTCCACCTCGTCGCCTCATGCCCAATGATGCGTTTGGGATGGGGTTGACGCCGTGACCCCTCCTCCTACCTTTACGCACGCGGTACCGTACCTGTCACTGTGTGGGCGTGTATTTTGAATCTGGTGATGTATCCATTCATAATTTTGTGTTACAACCATACGGTTATTAATAGTACCGCGTCGACGCGAGTATTCAGTTGGCACGTGTTTGTAACCTCCGTTGCATGCTGCTGTACTGCTAGCTACTGTGTATTTTGGACGAAGTGGATCAGCTTCATCGACCGTGGATGCAGTTCAGCTCCGGCTCCCAAGAAATGAGGTAAAGTTCTTGCAACCAAACACACTTCTAGTTCTTGAATTTTGAAAGCATTACGTTATGTTACAAAACTTACAATAAGAGCAAAATGTACTTATTTCAAAATGTTCAGGAAACAGGCCCCGGGAAAGATTTCCATATACCATGGAGCAATATACGAAGTTCACTCAACACCCTGTGTACAAACCCTATCATAGTATGAGATTGGACTGAAAACTTTTAAGTGTTTTCTGAGAAAATGCTTGTATTTTCTCACTGCTCAAATTGACTTTGATGACATGAAATTGCTATCTGGGGGCTTGTTAGTCAATACAGAGGAAAATTAGTGAACTTCTTATATGGAAATCTTTCCCAGGCCCCGGGCCCTGGACTACAGTATAACAAAAAATATACCCAGATAATTATTCGCCATGGACATGATGGAAATCTAAAGGTAATGTCATGCCCCATGACCTCGAGAAAAAAAAATGATGCAAATATTTAGGACAAATTCTCCCCTACTTTCCCCTTAATTTTAATTAAAGGATAACTGGACGCCCTGTTATTATGTATGTAGCTGATCCATAGCGAAAATCAAGTGAAAAAAATTATAGATTTCAAAATTTCAGGAAATTTGCATATATGACATGTTTGAGACTCATTTCCTTCCTTGAAAGTGCAGTCTCATCATAATGAATAACTAGCTCGACTATGAGTATGAGGATAAGGCCCAAACACACTGCCAGAAATACTGGGGCAGGCAGCGATAAGTAAGTGTTACTGGGTTCTTTTACGTGCATTATACAACGAAGGGGACCTACGGCTTCGTGTCCCATCCGAAGGACGTAGCAATATTAAATGGTTCAGTGTCTTGCTTAAGGACACAAGTGTCAAGACCGGGACTCGAACCCACACTCTGCTGATCAGAAACACCAGAGCTTGGGTTCGGTGCTCTTAACCGCTCGGCCATGACACTCCCGGGGGTTGGGCAGCTGAAGGGCAAACCTAGTACATGTACTCGGCTTTCACACTTACGCAGTAAGCACGCTTTACATCTTCACTTGCTCAGTGCATGCTCCATGTTAATTGCTACACTGTACACATTTAGTTGGCCTACTTGAAAGATGTTTTAGAAGGTTAAGGTTAATCCTGTGCCCGTGGGGTAAAATGAAGTATGCTGACCCCACTTTCCCAGCGTGTGATTAGTGAATGTTAATGGCTTTTATTTTGTGACGTCAGGATACAGTTTTAGGCCCACTTCCTATTTGCGGATTTTTTTCTATATAAAAAGACAAAACTCATTCAAGGGCAAACCCCCCCCCCCCCCAATTGCCCAATTGACCTATCGCGGTAGAATCGCGTCAATGCAGCTTGTGAAATGTTGTCCAATTGCATGATATACAAATGGAAGCGGAACGCGCAAAATCTGAGACAAACAAAACTTAGTGTACACAAATTCCATAGGGTTGTCTAAGGGGCGTGGCTAACTCGCAAACGGCGATAGGTCACTTGGGGGGGGGAGGGGTGTTGTTTACCTAGTCTGACACAGTTTAATGCGACCCCGCGCGCCAGCCAATCGGAGTGGTCTTTAGAGTCTGTGACGTCATTTCGATCAGAAATGTGAACTAAGCTGTGGATTGGTCAATTTGGATATCATGTTATCATGTACAGAGAGCACATTGTGTTTAAAAATCAAAAACTCAACCCGGGGCAGCACTGGGCTCGCCCAGGGTTGAGTTCAACCCGGGTTGAGAGGCTCTAGTATGAAAAGGGTTATGCATCTTGAAATCTTTAAAAAGGGCAGGTGTATGAAGAAGTTTGTTGACTGCCAAGCTGAGTTTTTCATCCATTTCTGGACCATAGCTGTTGAGCATTATATTGCAATCAAGAATATTACTTTCATGCCCTAGATTTCATGATCTTTCGGGGCTTGATCCCGAACCGAAACCTATCATCATCTTGGGGTATTGTCTGAACCAACAACCCCTGTGGATTTCATGCGCTAATTCATCCCACTTTCACAAGCCAAATACTCCAAGCCATATGGAAAATCAAACTGTTTTCTCTCAGAGTTATTAAAAGAAGTTTCTGTTCTGAAAGGTTTCAACTTGCAGTGAAGAATTGCCCCATTTTCCCCCTCAAAACCCCTAGGGATAGCCTTGAGAAACCAATTAGAGTATTAGGAGAATCCCTCATGCTGAAGCAGGAATTACCCTGGCTGATCCTATCGGTGAGTCATGGAGAGACTATTGCCAGTAATAGTCTTTGTCTGGGTCTTGACTTTCGGTCTTTGTTGATATCAAAACTATTATTAGCAGTGCCTGACAGATCAAACCAGACAACCCCACCTGTTTCATGTCTGAATTCAAGAAGTTTGAAGCAGAAGAGAAACAAATTTCCACTTCAAACTGATAAACTGTTAGTCCTAAATAACTGGTTCAACAACCCTTTGGTTTTATTTTTCTTCAGGACTTGTCTGCAATCGACCATGCTCTCAACAGTAACAGTTCTGCTGATGACAGCTATGCTTCTGCCTCCTTGCGTAACAGCATTACCGGTAATTACACCCAATTCCTTTAGATCTGTTCCATCTCTCTACCACTCAGTCTCCAGAATCTTCGCCCAGCCTCTTCCTATCTCTTTAAATCCCTTGTGTCATTATTTCCGGCTCTGTGAGCTCGCTTTGAATGTTCTGATTCTTTCTGTGAACGCTTTACTTATTTGTAAGGTTTCAACAGATGTTTTGCAGAGAGGTATATAACAGTACATAATTATAATGGAGGGTTTGTAAGGATGCTGAGTGAAGAAGTGTTAGATTAGATTTCACGCGTTAGACTTTCTTCATCCTGTATTGTAAATGGGCAATTATCTACAGCTCAGTATTAAAGAGTCAATAGATAGGAATAAATGAGTAAATGAGTAAGCCTTGCCTGTTGCTCCCTATGCTGCCCCAAAGTGAGCCCTAGCAGTGTAGGTTTTTTGGATTTATTAAGGAGTATATACAAATGTATACATGTGTATGTAATAAATGTAATTAAAATGTAATAAAAGTGCTTCAATGTAATTTGATATAGGCCCTAGGTCAGTGTTGAGTGCTTAAAATGCAAAATTAAGCAGGAAAAAAGCCAAACTTTAGAATGGACCTAGAAATGTTAGCAAACAAATTAAAGATTGCAGTTTGACATGTGTTGAGACAAAGTTTGTCTTTCGTTTTTAAGTACTGATCAATGTTTTCTATGAGAATTGTTTCTAACTGCCAGACCATGGCCAGACTGACTTTAAAAGTGCATCTATTACTATTAGGCCTATAGGGTTATAATCCATATAATATGTATGCGATCATTCCTGTGCCCTGAATGTCATTGACCTGGATTTGAAATTGCCCTGAAATGTTGACTGAATGAAGTTGAACAGGAGCCTGAGGGTAGGGCCCCAGTGATCGGGTACCATCTGGGTTGAATGAATGCCCAGCATGGTGCTGTTACTACACATCTGTATTGTTTTATTCTAGTTGCAAAGCTTTAAGTGTGTAATTTTTATGGTTTATTCTTTAACAGGGCTTTCGTTTTAATCATGAAACTTGTTTTTGAAGATAATCAGCATTATTCAGCTAATTTCACTTAATTGCTCATTAACCTTTTAATGGAGTTTGAAGTTTGATGATTGATTCCCGTGCACCCTTTTGACTAAACAAATGAAGAGACTAATTTTATTTATTCACTAAGGAAGCATCCTAAGCTGTACCTTTTTATCTTAGGTTTTTGTACAATAGCCTTTTTTTTCAGAGGAGTGCAGATACGGTACCCGAAAGAGAAAGTGGTAATTTTTTCCCCAAAATTTATAAAACATGCAAGTCAGTAGCAGAAATCAGTGGGATTTGTTGCAGAGCACAGACAGTACATCTTTTAGCAAGGTTGTCAATGTTTTAACCCTAACCGCCTAGGCGCTTTAAGGCTAGGATCCATCCTCCAGTTGCCAACAAATCCTCCAATTGCCACCATATAAATTCGATTCAGTCTCAATCCTCCAAAATCATCCGTTATGTCTTGGCTGGGATCCATCCGCAATCCTGCAAAATCCTCCAATTGATGGGATTCAGCCTCAATCCTCCCAAATCATATCTTGAATTTGTTCAATGGAGGGACGACCATTGCCTCATTCCTTCAAAATCCTCCAACAATCACTGTTAATGGGTTGATTGGCAGTGCCGATGACATTCAGAAGCAGTGCGGATGCTATCGAGCAGGGCTAATTAATTATGCCTGACTGAACGTAAACAATGCTGGGTACAGCCTACGAACACAGTGCATCCTCCAAACTCAATTGACCCATTTTTGCCAAATGTTCAGCCTCAATCCTCCAAAATCCTTCAAAACTGCCTGGAGGATGTTGGATGATTGAGGAGGGTTAGGGCTGAAATTAAAGCAGCTCTCTCACACAAAAAACACAACATTTAGGAAAGACCTTTATTGAAATTGATGAAGGATATACACATGCTAAGATCATGGGAACCTTAGGTTTCCAAAGGCCAGTCTTGGCCACTTTTCCAAAAAGAAAAGGAACCAAGTCAGATTCTATAGGCTTGCCCCAGCTATAGGTACTGCAGGAATTTGCAAACTTGTATTGTGTATAAATACCACCTCCGTTCACCTGTGTAATTTGTTGAGTGCCCTGTGGCATAGATTCCCCACAATCATATTATCAAGAGGTCTTTATTAATTTCCAATAGGGCATGTCTGGGATTAGCGTAGAAAAGCCCACAAACAAGTATAGGCATTTTTCAATCCCTAAATCCGTGAAGCAAAGTGAACGAAAACCTACATATGCAGTTTGAGACAAGTTAGGCATAAGGCATAATTTATATTTTCTTTTTTTAACAATCAAAGCCAAACAGTCTTGGTAAACATTTGTGAAAACAGAAGACAGTCCCCTATAAAAGTGGCCCTGGGTGTTCTGTAAATATTTAGAAACGCATGTAGGAGTAGTATCAAGGTTGTAAAAATCCCTGCAAGTTCATGACCCTTCGGTGATAGACGTGCAGAAAGTAAGTCAACCAAGCTTACCCATCGCAAAATCTGAATAACAATAAAACCCGGTGCCTGTCTGGTACGTGTGTACAGTGTAGCTAGACCGTCGTCGAGATGGAAATTATAGGCTGTGTTATTCTTGTAACTTGGACCGTTCTTTCATGAAATAACCGTATGTTCCAAAACTGCAGTTCTGGGGCATTTTCACATTTTTTTCTGATGCACTCAAGTGTGTGTGCTGTCCTGTGACTGCAATGTAAGCACTACCGTCTGGCTATATTTACTTACACTTGTTAAATGCAGTGCTTGCCTGATAAAAATATACCTGTGTGTTCGTTATCCCACCCAACCTAGAAAATCATGCAATAACTAAATCTGTTTATCCGGGGAACAAAATATATGCTGCACCCACCCTTGGTTTTGCAGTTGTTGTCCAGTATTTTTTATTAAATTTTTATTTCATGTTTTGTAAGTTGCCTATAAACAGCGGCAAATGCAGCATGAACAGTTGTTAACAAGTGATGGGAGAAATTCGAGATTTCAAAATCCGGTTATCCTAATTTATTTGAAACCGAATGTTAGGGTTATCTGATTTTGCTGGAACTCTCATCCAGCTCCCAAGCATGCCAACTAAAAGTGAATAGTGAGGTGCCACATAAAATGCCCTCCCACTCCCAGAGATGACTAGGTAGGCTTTAGGATGACCACTGGGCCAGTTTGAAAAACACTGCAGAGCTGTAATGTTGAACAAAATGGATGGGAACTCTCTGATAAGTCGAATGGGCAGGCTGTTCATGACCCAAGAAGACCACTAGCAAGTGACTGCAGTTACAATCAGAGACCATATGGTGCAATTTAAGGGATGTTCCAGTAGTTTTCTAGTATCACAAAAAGGGAAGGCCTAATTTCTAATTTTGGCTTTGAATATCTGGTTTCCAAAATTGAAACTGAATAGTGAAATTCAAACCGAATTTTTTTCAAATTAGATTTCAATCCCACCATGTTACTAATACATGCCAAAAGACACCAACAGTCATCCTACCCTATTTTTTGAGGCTTTAAAAATTTTGGGAGAAAAAAATTAAGTTTTTACCCACCCACCCACCAACACACTCTTCTTTTTTTCAACAAAATAGGAAACAAATCATTTTTTCTTGGCCTGATCTAAATTGAGCATTTATGATAGAGAAATCTAAAAATTAGTCACACTAGTGTGCGTCAGTTGTTCTGGACAATTGCATTTAATGTGCTGCTCCTTTTTAACAACTTTGAAAGTAATTGTTCACTGTACATACATGCATACATTGTACATGTATACTTTTCTCTTGTAATTGTTCAACAGCATTAAGGTTTCTTTTCAAGCAGTACCACATGTATATAACATTGTATGTATAGCCTATTCAGGCCTATACTACAAAATTGTCTGAGAACTGTGGGTGTTCTTTTTGTTTGGGACACTTTTCATTATATTTGCCTGTTTGCTTTGGGTATTCTTGACTCATTGACCTCTTCCGGGAGCAGACCCCTCAGATGGCTGGTTATTTGCAAAAACACCTCCACTACAAACAAGAAGTGCCGACTCCAGACTATTGTCAAAGTTGCTGCTGTTTCTGAAGTGTGTGTTCTTTTTCAGAAAGAGAAAAAAAATGAGCCTCAGGGTCTCCCAAGGTGGTCGTATTCATGTCAGTCATAAACATTTGATGTGGCATTTAACTTTTTTTCCTGATTGAAAAGAAAAATGGGATGTTTACATGTGGATTTGGTTTTGATTTGAGGAAGTTGTTAGTCCCAGAATAGTTGGGGTGATTGGAGGGGGCGATACTTGGTGGTAGTTTGTGGTTTTGTGTCGAGACGTTGGTCAGACTGTCAGACTGACTACAATTTTTGTTTGTTGTTGTTGACAGTTTGGTGTGACCTACCGATATTATTGGGGCAGGGTGTTCATGTGTACATTACCACCTACATGAAGCAGTACTACTCAAACCACATTATTTGACAGTGTGTACTTTGAAAAGTTAGTTTCTGAAGATTCAGGTGGCATTTGACTTGGGGCCTGTTTGTTCATGGTCATTGATAGTTCTTTGTGCAGTAGGGTATCACTGAGTCAGAGTGGGCATGTCAACAATAGATGATACACTAGCGTTGTTTAGCTTGTCGCCTTCTGTTCTGTTCCCTGTGCATCCAGGGGAGGTAGTGCAACGGTATCCATTTCGTTATTTTCTGTAGGTTTGCATCACGAGCCCTTGTAAATTGGTTTGAAAATGAAAATCATTCCACTGAATGAATTTTTTTCTTCATATACATGTAACAGAATGTTGAGTTAATTACCATGAAAAGAGGTGTTCACATTTACGAAGACTGCATTTAACTGATCAATCTCCCCTTTTGGCCGTATATACGTCCCTTTTTCCATTCAAACTATACGTATATTCAAATCCGATTATTATTTTTTTAATACATGTAGTTACCTGCTCGTAATATGGAATTTACACATTGTGAAACAAGTTATCTCTTTTTTATTTAACTTTACACACAGGAGAAGAAATATCTCATCTGCCGGGGGGGGGGGGGGGGGGGGGGGAAGAGGGGTGTTCTTTTTAATTACATAAAGTGTTTTGAATTGACACCGTATACTCTGGAAGATAGTTCCATTAATTGTATTTTATGGGAAACTTCTCATGCAATTGAAGCAAAATTCACACGTCGTTGAGACACCCATGAAAAGTTTAATAATAAGACTTTTACAAACTGTAGATAGTTTTGCTGTCTTTTGATCAAGACTTTAGACGGTGAGTCAGTTCCTTGCTCTGTGGGGACTCAGAGCGTCTGCAGACAGTGCAGGCACTTCCATGGATAATGGCTCGATAAGTGCAAGCATGGTGCAAGAAAGTCTCTCTTTTTTGGAGGGATTAAGGCTGATTCACCACAATCTTTACAGATCTATTGCTCTAACATCCGGTGAAGATATAGAAAAAAGTGCACAGGATTTGTGGTCAGTTGAGTCATAGAGGGATAAAGTTGGAGATCTGCTTGTCAGATGAACAGTTGAAGAAAAGAATAGGCAATTTATAACTTCAGTAGTAAATGATTTGGTCTGTTTCTCGGCTTCAGTATTTTATTTCTGATGACCTACAAAGGTCTTGTTGCTGATATAGAATTCCACTTTTTTCCCAACAGTTTTAATTTGGCAATTTTTATTTAGGCCTAAACTCAAGAAAAAGAAGCATATAGAAGCCAGACCTCAATTTTTTTCTTCTGGATAAATTTCTGATGAGAAAAGTTGGTGCTTTACGAGTCACATTGAATGTAATTAGAACCTTCTGAAATGTATGCTCAATTTAGTAGCAGGGCCTACCCTATTAGAAAATAGCATTCAGCCGTTAGGCCAAAAAAAAAAAGTCTCCGGTTTCTGGTATGGAGCTTGCCCAAAAAGTGGTGCGGCGACCCAGCGTCTTTTTTTTTTCCACCTGATTCTTTTTGCTTCAAATGTCGGCTGATGACTGCAAATGGTGCTCGACTAAACTTAGTGCAAATATATGGGAGTCCAGAGAGGCCACATAAAGCTCATTCTCGACCATAACCCAATCTAAAAACACGTTAAAATTGTGCAGCACCAGGATTCTAGTCAAACCAGTGAGTTTGGCGGTTTTGAGACATCATCTTTCATTGAAAAAAAAACTTTTTCATTTTGCCGACGCGCATGGCTACGGCGACGCGCGCGCATACCAGAAACCGGAGGAGTGGAGACTTTTTTTTTTTGGCCTTAGGATTGATTTTTTTTCACTTGTGTATTTCTGTATTATAAGAAGACTTTTCTTTCTTGGTTGATTAATAAAGTAAAACCCAACTTTCTGAGTGGATATTACTTTTTTTAGTTAAATATTTTAATGATTTGTGAAGCTCAATTTCCGAATTGCAACCATATGAAAATATGGTCAGTGTCTAAACAAGTGTGCACAATCAAATGTAGCAATAAGGGAGACAGTACAGCACAGCTGTATGAGGTGTGCCAGTTACGCTATTCATGGCCAGTCAGTAAAAAATACCACACAAGTGGTTGTAACATCACTGAAGTCATGAATGGGTGTCCTTTCAAGCAGTGGTGTGTCATCTTGTTGGACTGTAAGCTGATTATAAGATTATGCCACTCACCTGTCAAGTAGCCATTCACATTGGACCAGAGTCCAGTGCTTTGTAGTGTCATAAAACTTTGGCACCATTGTCCTGGTATTATGTGCTTGAAAAACCTGTTGGTGTTGGGTGGGTGAGTGCCTGTATTTGTGGGGAGGGGGTTATATAAGAAGAATGGATTTTTCTCACCTTTTCCTCTCTGGCTTTTTTTTTTCTTCTCATTTTGAATCAATTTCACTCAAATTCCATGCCATGTGTATGTATGTACATGTACATGTACAATACATGCGTGATGTCTTCTTATGCAATTTTCTCTTGATACTCAATTTGAACCTCACAAAATCGGGGATTTCAATACATTCGTGACTAAATTGTTTAGTTCCATAAGTTTCTATATTGCTCATGAAAATGCTCAGGAATTAAGCAACATGGTTGCTGATCATTTTCAAATGAGTCATTCATCAGTAAATGTTATGTATTCATTCGTGGAGCTATAATTTATTCATCAGAAGTGTGTGTGGAAGTCACAACAATTTTATAAGTTCGCTTTAACTTGTTCTGCATCGCTTCCAGCTAGGCCCCTTGCACTAGCCCTCAAAATAAATAGGATCATTGTTTGCTTTTCATGTACTTTGTTCGTTTCCAGTATTAAAACCACTCAAAATCCAACAGGAAAATGTGAAACACTGTGCACAACCTCTTTTGATCACGAAACACAATTTTGTGCACAAAAAAACTCAAGACATCGATTGACTGATCATTGAAAATCACCTACATTTCTTGATTTCTTTCTAAATGACAGCAAGCCAGATGAAATGATTGCATGGGGTATTTAGCACCAGTATGATCTTAAATCCATGTGTGCTTTTTGATAATAATTAAGTAGATTACTTTAAGGATAAATGCAAATGATCTAAATGCAATGTCTCTGGGGAGTAATTCATTGGGGGAGAGTCCAGCTTTACTACTAGCTGTCAACACCTGCAGATTTCAGTTTAAATACTGTTCACTGCACAGTTGCTACTTTCTAGGCTTCCGCCTGTGAACAAACTGCAGCCCAAGACATCAGCCACTTGTTTGTTTGTTTGTTACTTGCATAATGATTGAGTTTTTGTGTATACTTGTTGGCTTAGTCATCAATCAATACCAAGGAGAGGAAATAGTTAGAGGGTGACTCAGGGGCTGGGGAAGTCACGAACAGATCTATTTATAGCTGGTCTACAGTCTTGAGTCTTCCCCTGGACCCTGAAGCTTTAGGCCTGGATGCATTTAACAGTGGATCCCCAGTGGTCCTTGTGGTGGTGAAACTATTGGCAGGAATGTAGACTTGTGGCTTGTGTTCATCATCAGTTTCCAGTAGGGTTGAATTAACCACCCACAGTCAATAAACCATGGGTAAAAAAATTCGTCAGTGTTTTGAGGTTTCAATGGTCCATATTGTGCATTTTCAAGTGGAATGTCTGTATTTGTTATGATATAAACAAAGGTTATGTACAGCTTTCCCTGATACATAAACATCAAGTTTGCATAATGTAACAAACAGTGCATTTGTTTTGGGGCAAGACCTAGACAAGAATCAGAGCAAGACTAAAGTTTCAATTTGTCATGAACAATGTTTGGAAGTGTTTTGTGCGGTTCTTAATATGTTGGGGAAGTTGTGTGAAAGTTTACCAAATCCCCAAGAAAATAATTCCTTTTTAAAAATACATTACTGTGAGAGGAGTATGACTGGAAAAAAGTCTTCGGGGGGGGGGGGGGGTATGAATATAGTATGAGTTTGTATGGAAGGAAGCCAAGCAACTGTAACTCACTAAAGATAAGTAATTAGCATGTAATTATTCATCAAATTAACATATGCGCTGCATACCAAAATCCGGTACAGGTAACTTATCCCTCAAACTACTATGTGTATTTAACACAGCTTTTATACAGGTTAGTGGGCCTTATACCAAGGAATTTAATTACTTTTGGCAGTTCAATGAAGTAAGAGAAAAAAACGATGTTAGTATTACCAGTGCATGCATGTACATGTATGTTATCCTCATTAGGGATGTTTGGTAATTTTCATTTTTGACAGCGTTCTGTGAGGCAGGCCCTGGAGGGAGACCAATGGGGTCCATGGAGCGATGAATGGAGCCCCTGTTCCCGCTCCTGTGGAGGGGGCGTCTCCTACCAAGAGAGGAAATGCATCACTGCGAGGTACCGTATATACTGCCCTTGTTACTGTAGTTGATGATGCTTGTAATTGTGTGAAAGTGCTTGGGTCAGTGGTTTTCCATTCTGATATTTTGGGAGATTGGTTCATTGTTTATACTGCTGATCTTCGTGTATGAAAACAGAATTTCCATATCTTGTCTTTGCATTTATGAATATATTTTTTTAAACAGTTTAATTTCATGTGGTTTGGAACAAATACTAAATCTTGCCTCCAATTTCAGCCATTATGAGATCAGTGATGTTAATTGGGGACGAACTTCAGATTGCCATAAATAAAGGGACGTGAGTTGTTAAAAACCATTCCGGTTACAACAATTCTCTATCAATGGTGGGTGTTAATTTCAGCAAAATTTTTTAATAAGTCCTGTCACAATTTGTGTCGCCCACACCATAGGCGAAATGACGGCACCTCAGTACTACAATAGAGAATGATAATGGGGCTCATTTCAGAGTATGAGAAATGTACATTTATCTGTTCATTCATTCATTCATTCATTTAACATTTATTTCCAACTCTGTATACAAACGCAAATAATATACACATTTTACTCTTTTTCAATGTAGTTCTCACCCCAAAAAGTGCACAAATCATTAAAATCCTTGTTTTTTGGGCAGAATGCGGATCTAACCCTTTACTGATCTCTGATTAATAATTACACTGTGTTTACATTGAGCAGACCAGGTGCAAGGCCCAACTGCGTGGGACCAGACATCAACTACAGTTCCTGCAACATTCAAGATTGTCCTGAAGGCGCTCAGGATTTCCGCGAGGAGCAGTGTAGCAAATACAACACCAACGAATTCCTGGGAAGCCTCTACAGTTGGGTTCCATACCTCGGAGGTAACTTAACCCCCCCCCCTCCCAACTCCAAAATTATGTCTGTTTTCTTTTACCACCAGGAAAATTTTGAGGCTATTGCCAGATTTATGAAGGTATTAAATCCCAGCCACCATATAGGTTCTGTGCGCAAACAACAGAGGGCACTTTTTGATTACTTTGGAGAGCCCAGTGGATCGCGTACTGGTTCGCGCATGTATGGTGTGAAGTATGCACGACTAATTTTATTCGGAGTGTGCACAAAGCCGTCGCGGCTTAGCGTGAGCTTCAGGCATGACGGCGGTGCCTTTGAATGTCTCCAAGTCCCAGTCTCTCCCAACTCTCCGTTTCTTGCCGTTGAGGGTATAGTTGCCCAAGGAGCCCATTGATAATGGGGCATATAAAATTGATGCACCTTGAAAGTCAGACAGTACACGTGGTCAAAGTGGAGGGTTTTGGACTACGCAGGAAAGTTCCTGGAGGAAAATATGGGGATTTAGGGTTTAAGAATCCAGAACAAAATGTAATTGTAATTTTCAAGTCAGTTAAGATTTGTGACAACAATATTCTTCTCAACCCTAAAGAGAGTTGCTCTTGTTCACTTACAGAAAACCTAGTTCCTTTAACAGTTTCTTCAAGAACACTTTTGGGTAAAATTTGTCATGGGAATGTGAACTTTTTAAAATTTGCTTCAGAATCACAGCTTCAATCAAAAGATGTTTTATTTTAAGTCAGTGCTTCTAATAATAATTTGACAGTGGGACATTAATTTACTGAGTACCCGTCCAAAAAACCAACTCAGGTAAATTGTTGGGACTGTCACAGACTCTTGTTCAGGGTTACACTTTTATCAGTTTCAGACATCACATTAAACAAACAAAAAAACAGCTTTAGGTCACACAAAGTACAGCTTCCCACTCAATTCTTTGATCAGCCGTATTTTGTCTGAAATAGAACCTCATCGGTTTCCTTTGTGGTTCATTAGAGGATTTATTTCAGATTATTTTGTGAGGTAATTTTTTTTACAGTAGCTAGACAACAAGCAAGGCCACCACCAGTCCAAAACATCCCCAATAAAATCAAGTGGCCCATTAATGGCTCTAAAACAATTAGCAAGTTATTATTATCGTTGGCACTTGTTGTATGAATCAACAACAGGCTGAATAGTTTCCTTCCTGCTTGGATATTTATAAACAAACTCCAGCCATTGACTACCAGGAAGTGAGCATGGCAGAGCCAGGGATGAAAAAAGGGAAGGCTGTTTATTTAGCAATCACCACTCTTCCACTTCACCCCAGAAATTGAATCAAGTGTTATTTCCCGTCAATGGGGGACCCAGTGAGAAAAATTGCCCTGAAATCACCATTGTTGTCAGCAGAATTGTTAGGGCTCAAAACATACTCTTCAAGTGGAGTGCATACACATTATGCTGTAACTTCAGTTCCCCCCTCCCCCCCCCCCCCCCCGAAAAAGGGAAAATGAATAGACAAATATATGTAATTAAAAAAAAATGGGGGGGGGGGGCCCCACAGTTTCACCATATACAGTCATATTGCTACATGAAGCAATATTCAGGCATGCATCTTTTCCTCGGATCCGCTGATTTCCTTGTTTTTCACTTCTAGTGAATGCCATTACAAATTGAAAAATTCTGTACAAAGTCTGGTGTGGTTTTCCTTTTTTTTTCCCCTGAACTTGCAGTTGCATGCATGGCTACAAACATGTTCACATGTTGATCATATTTAGAAATATTTTTTAATTTAAAAACTCTTTGATGATTTCTTAGTTTTAGAAAGTAGAGCAGTAGTTACTCATACATGTACATGTGGTAAGTGTTTGGCTGCAATTTCAAGTAATACATAAATCGCCCCCCCCCCCAAAAAAAAGGAGAAAAACTGAGGTTGTGCCCTTGAGGTACCTGCCAGAATGAATAAAAATTCCATTGGATATTATAGTTCAAGAAAACATAAAGTGAACTAAAGCCAAGTCCAAACCATTTGATCTGTTTAACATTGTAAATCACTACCGTGGTAAAGATAATAAACCTGAAAATCCATATATATTTTTTTCAAACCACAAGTATCAGATTAAATCTCGTGCCATGCATGTACCAAGAAATACAACACTTATTGAGTCATTCTAACTTGACTGACAGAATGTCAATCACGACTTTGGAATGTCAGGGTTATTTTTTTTCAGCTAAATCCCATAAGCTGTTTACTGTTTATTTGTCCAGAGCTTCCCCGTCCACCTATTCTAATCCGAAATTGATTTGACTGACAGTATTTTATAAATATAGAGGGACCAGTGTCTTAATGCATATTCCAATAGCGGGTAACAATTTTCACTTTGATTTATGTCCATCCTGCTAAGGTTTGCTCAGGAATTTATCACATGTTTAAGAACTCTTGACAGAGACGATGGCAAACTTGTACAAACAGTAAAGTTTAGGCTTAATAAAAATTATTGATTGGTTGTGTTTTATGAGGTTCCCAGATGTTAGCTTATTATTGCAGCTTTGAATAGAGGATTTGGGCACATGGGTTTTTTTTTCATCTTTTAAAAAAGTATTGCTTCTTACCTTCGATTAATCTTCCCAGATTAAAATTATTTCGAAAAAATAGGCCACGCCCTAAGAAGACACAGTAACAACGAGGCAAAACTAAACATTAATTTAATAAATAATGAATAAAAGCAAAAACCAAACCGATACAAAAACTTAAATAAATGATCAAACAACAAAGAAGTGATGAATATTTCCTAGACAAAGGACACAATTTCATTACAGGCAATTGTATTTTAGTTGAAACTATTATAAACGCTGAAAAAAGTTTTAATTTTACCTAGATACATTTCCCGTGTGATTACTGTATAATATTTGTTTGTGGTGATAGTGATGGGCTCTATCTCGTTGCAAAAGGTATTCAACTTGTATTCATTTGGACTTTTTTCTTATACATTTCATTCCACCACTTAAGTCTTGAACCTGATCCCTAGTCCTTCATCAAGGATGTAGTAGCGGCTCTGCAATTGGTTAGTCCGGTCGCCCGGCAGGAACCTGAAATCATTTCAATTTCCTTGTACAAATCACCTCTTGAAGATGCATGGAAGTCGCTCAAGTTGACTGTGACTTTGCAAAAATAGAAACAAAAAATTTGGACTGTTAAAGAAATTATGTGATGACTCACTGCACAAACAAAGTTCAACGATTTTGTTTTTCCGGTTTGGCATCGGTGTACATGTAAGTTGTGAGGTAGTATTATAAAATCTTTTTTTTTTGAAATGTGGCATGATGATTAGGGGAATTGTGGTACAGAGTTCATGCCTAAGGAGAGTACCTTGGCTTATTCAGTTCAGGGGGCAAGGGTCGGGACCGGTGTGCTGGGTGATAGACTCTGGGGAGTGGAGATGGGTCTTGGTGCAGTGCGGGGTGTGGGCTTAAGGATCGATAGACGATCCTTTAGTCCGATTTTCAGATTGTGGGTGTGGGGATATAGGCAATCCCATTGCCCGATCATTTTGAGGACAGGGGTGGGTTTGCGTGTCGTGGGAGCATGAGGAAACAGATTTGTTACATTGCTTATTAATTAATTAAAAACGATTATTAGTATTACTATAATTATTTTTTAAAAATCATTTCTGGTAATAAAGCCAAGGATTCCTCAAAAGCGCCCTTGGTGCTGTATCTCCCAAGCCTGAAGTAACATGTAGAGAACAGACAGTGAGAAGAAATAACAGTTTTATAGGTTGAGGAAAACCCCAGAATAATATTTTAGCTAAGGAAAACACATGGAATCAGGCAGGGACTGAAAACCCAATCCACATATTGGCCCAGGTGAGATTCGAACCCAGGCCACAGCGGCGGAAGGCGAGGAAAGTACCGCTACGCCAACCTGACTTAAATGTACATATCTGTTCCAGTACAAAAATTTTGTTTCTTGAGAGCTCACTAAAGATAAAGATACTGGTACCGGTAAAAATGTATGATGTCAATGCCCAGATAATCCATGACTCACCCATCACTCGGTACCAGGGGAGGTCCGTATTAAGATCAATGTGATATAATCTGAAAGGATGGTTATAAAGCAAAGGAAACCCCCTACAATAAGTGACTTTAGTCATGATCAATAACACACAATACCGACTCTACTCCCCAATTATACCGGACTGTACACATGTATAGTTCGCATTGATCAGACCGTAATCCAAACTTCCTGTGTCCGAGATGGGAAATTCTTTCTTGTGTTGTATTGTTGTTTTATTTTATCACAAGCCTGGTCATAAAACGCACCAGCGGATCAAAGGGAAGAGTCCTGCATGATGTATGAGGTTTTACAGGGGAACAAAAGAAACCACAAGTTCCTTGTTTTGGGGGAGACTAGCATTCAGCCAGACATCCTCTTTTGATTGGACCCCTGCATGCTTGTCTGCTGCCATTGTCTGTCCTGTCCCCTGCCCTGGGCCAATGACATCTTTGCTATTTTCCCACCAGTTGAGAAACAAGTGAAATGCAATGAGCTGGGTCAATATTTGTGTTTCTGTTGGAACATTAGCTTCTTTGGTTGTATTTCGTCTGGGGTATTTGTTTTTCTTTTGATGTATAGCCCACTGTTCACCAACATTCAAATATGTTTCTGTATGACCTTCATGAAACTCACCTCACTTCAAAGAATTCATAAAAACGAAGAAAGACTTTTTTTCTAAATCCATTGAAATTTTCCGAAGTGATTCCCACAGCCTCCCCCCCTCCCCAATATAAAAACTCACGTGACACCAGCCCAACCTTACAGCAATATGAACCAGACATTCTGAACAAATCCTCCAGACTATGGACAAATCTGATGAATTAGTAACCCATAAAATCCATAATTCTAATCAGGGCCCAAAGGCCCGGGAATTTCATGCATACCGCTTGTCAGTCATATATCACTGGTCTCGGGCAAAAAAAAAATTACTGGAAATTGCTGAACAAGTTTGTCAAAATTGTTTCCAAGTTCATGTGAGGACACACCCCTCTACTGGGGGGGGGGGGGGGGTTGAGTTGGTTCCCTCGGCAAGTCATTAAGGGTAATAAATCTAATTTCACGGCCATTTGCAAGCCAAAGAAATTCCAGATGTCAAGATGGATCGGAGTGACAACTTACAATATACATGCACAGTGCCCAGCTTCACATACATGTAGCTTGGCAAAATCTGGACAGAATTGAAAATGGTATTTAGATGGATAAAGATAATGTATAAAGATTTCTCTATTTCAAAAAGGCATCCAGAAATAATTATATATGGTGTAACAGGTGTAACAGGCTTGTAAATACATCAATGAAATACAGGTTATTTTCAGCACTTATTAAGTTGTGAACTAGTTCAAGTTAAGGCACTTTCTGCAGAATTTTCTTCGTTTTCGGCCAAAAAAATGCTATTCTTTATATTACTGCAGACAGGAATGTGTTTAGTGCAGGGATAAAGCTTTCTTGCGAGTTCTCCTGAAGACGGTCAAAGCATACTGACCGGAACGTTGTGTTTATACCTCTGGTTCTTTTCAGAACCATTCTCTTAGCTTGAGAAATTATTCCCACGTGATGTTTCTGGCTTTCCGCAAACCTTTCTTTCATTAGTATCTCCACCATGCACAGCCTCATATCTTACTTTTCTTGCAAGTTGGTTTCTTTAGAAATAAGTCTCTCTCTTAAAACAACTCTCTCTGAAGGGACACATGAACTGAATGGTCTTGCAAGGGCTAGCTTGCTCACTGGTTTTAAAGTTTTGATTTTTTTTCTGTACATTACCACAGCTGACAACAAGTGCGAGCTCAACTGCATGCCGAAAGGCAAGAACTTCTACTATCGGCTTGCGGAGAAAGTCATTGATGGAACGAGGTGCGAAGCAGATAAGCTGGACGTGTGCGTGAATGGTGATTGTATGGTATGTGTTGTCTTGAATCATATGGGATGTTGGGCGCTTTACGTGGGAAAAAATGGCAAATCTCTGAAATATGAAAACGTGTTGGAAATGAACACTACGAAACAAAAAGGTCATGAAGTAACCCTGACAAAAACAGCCTGTTCGTGAAAGCATGGTCAAAACGTGGAAATTTTGTTTAAATATGGTTAAAACATAGACCTTGCTGACTGCAGACTTTCTTTGACAGAATTATGTCCAGTTAAAGTTTTTGATTTCACAAAGGTAAAAGAAAGAAAAAAAAGAATACGCCTGTAAAACTTTTGGGTATGCAATTATTGAACTGATGCACCTTTTCAAACCATCCAAAGACTTCAGGCAAAAGTATGGTCCGAAAACATGACATTACGTAAACATTTCGGATCATAAATTTGGATTAAAAAATAACACCTCACACATTGAATTTTGGTTGTATCTCAATTTAAAGTTGGCCCAGAAGTGTCTGGTGTCGAAATTTAATCGTTTTCTAGAATTCTAAAATAGACCTTAGTTCTGAATAGGGCACCGCCTGGATTGATACACTGTTATACCCCTGGCTTTTAGGTTTCTCATAACTAGGTTTTTCTAAAGTCTCTTCAATAAAATGAAAGCCACCAAGTTGTCTTTTGTTCCATGAGCTGTGGCATTGAAGGGTTTTGCCTTGAAAGGAAGCAAGGTGACTTGTAACCTTGGCATTAAATGACCGCATAATTTGTTTACTGCCCTTGATAAAGATGTCCTCCCAGCTCAGTCATGCTGGTATTTGTTTGTTCTCCTTGCTGGTGAGGTGGCAGGGGAGAGTTTAATGTCTTGCTCAAGGATATAAGACATATGGTCATGCCAAGTACTGGCATCCTTTCTCTATGGTCCTAGCAATGTGACTGAGCTAATTTTTGGGGATCTGTGGAGATTTCTAATGTTTGATCAACTTATGATGCAAATTTTTCCAAATGTTTATGACTTCACGGTCTCCCTCCAGGAAATGGTTGCCAAAAATGTTAGCAGCACTGCAAAGTTAGCAACACCACAAAATTAAAACCACTACAGTGGAACGCCACTATAACGAACATCACGGGATCCACAGAAATTGTTGGTAAAAGCGATCGTTCGGTATAACGATTTTAAGCTGTTGGTGCTCCAGTACTCATTTTTCAATAAATAGCGCCCTCAGAACTTCACCCTGCACGCCCTGGTACTTCTAGTTACTGAAAGATGACTTTGAACACGTGCCGACTATTGAATACTGTAATTACACAGATTGTGAGCTTACTACCGGTACCTACAGCAATGGGTGGCTTTCCCCTTCTATTCCTTTGGGGAAATAATAGCCACTTTTTGCTCTTCTATTGACATTTTTCAACATTAATACTCGGTACATTTTGTACACAAAAATCAAGAGCCAAGGACGATGTTCGGTATAGCCGAATGTTCGGTATAGCGGTGTTCAGTTTAGCGACGTTCTCCTTTATGAAATGTTTGAAATCTGGTCTGCATTATGAAACTGGTTTGCACACAGTACGGCAGTGTTGCAGAAAAATGCAGTAATTTTGGGCTCTTGTCCAATATGCCACACGCCACTCTTAACAGTACATCACATAAACAAATATCATTGGATAATGGATTTGCTCTTTCGGATGTAAAGAAGATCTGTTTGCTCAGTGTTTTCAAGAGAGTCCCAAAATAAATCAGTTTGAGAGTGGGCAGGGAGTATAAACGGCCGATAAAAATGATTGACTGTTGCTTGTTCTATTATTTCTAAGCTCCTCGGTGCAGTGCAAATTGATTCAGATGAGGGGGTGGGCATTATCTCCTCAGTTGGCCCCAGATCTTTCAAAACCACCCTCTGATGTGTTTGCATCTGTGTGGGCTTACAGTAACCTCTTGAACCATATCGTCCAACCTGACCACACTAAAACCATTACTCACCTCACTGGCATGCGGGTTTAGTTTTGGAAGATACTGTTTTTGTTTGGAGGAAAAAAAATTTAATGAGACAAAAGTTGGTGTTCTGATAACACTTGATATGATCAATCAAAACATATTTGCTCCTGGTTTTGGGGGGAGGTAGCAATTAAACCACAAGCAAGACTTATTTGGCCAAAGGTCATGTTATTGGAGTTTCAATTGCCTACCACAAGTTACAAAAAAAAGTTCCCCAAAAGCTCACTATGAGGGTGGGGGTTGGGGGGGGGGGGTCTAGGGTGCAGGTGCAGGTTGAAGTGGAACAAGGAAAGGATTATATTCCCCTTATCAAATTTTTATGAGAGGATGTAGGGGTTTTATTGCCAGAAAATCAGGTAGATTATGAAAACCTGTTTAGATTTATCATACATTTGCTTTTAATTCCAAACACACCCAGCACAAAAATACACATAACCTTTGTACATGCCTAGCTCTTTATTCATGATTTTATAATATTTTTACCGTATATTTGCACTCTCCCTTTTTTGTTTTGGTTTATGTTCGCTAGATAGAGGTGCTTGTCCGAAACCATGAAACCCATATATGTATCCTGTTAAACTGTGATGAGAATTGAGTGAGGTTGCACATTTACCTGCTCATCCCTAGGTTGTATTGCCTGTGCCCCTTCGTCCAATACAGTAGAGAAGTCCTCTCTATCGCAAGCCAATCACAAGTCTACTCGCAAGTTCAGTTCAAGTTAAGCTACATGTACTCTCTGAATGTAAAAGAGTGAAAAAACCACTCCAAAAGATGACAGCTTCACTCTAAAAGAGTGAAACTTCCACTCCTTTAAAGAGACATATGGCGGACAACTCTTTTAAGTTTTAGCTACGAGTGATTTTTTACTCTTCCACATTTAGAGAGTATTCGACCCATGATTCAACTGGAGTGTGACATGGACACAGGCATATAATTCCTTTGTTCATCCACTATTCTTTACGGTTTTATTTTGCTTGGTTTTTGATGTTTCCAGAGAGTAGGATGTGACAACATGTTGGGTTCTGATGCCCAGGAAGACGTGTGCCGAGAGTGCAATGGAAATGGTTCCTCCTGCAAGACAATCACTGGGGTCTTCAACCGGAAGAAGTTGCCATTCGGTGCGTTCTCAACAAATACAATAATGGAGATTGTCCCATCTTATAAAAGGACATAAACCTTTTGTTAGTGGTTTTATATCCGTCACAAAACCATGGGGGGACCGGGGGGGGGGGGGGGAGGGGGGGGTAAGTAAACCCTGGAAGAAAGCAATAGTTATAGTTTGCAGTTTTGAATAATTTGCAAATTATATTTGAAATTGAGGATTTTCCTGGACCAAACCTTTCACTTTAAAATGGGTAACTTTAGGAATAGACTCCATCATTCCCTGATAAACTAACAGTGTCTGAGCAATGTCACGAGGTTTGCAGTATGTTGTACTGCAAATACTGCAACGGGAATTTTGTTGTTGTTTTGGAAAATTTAAATTGAGCTTAATTTGAACACCAGTCCCATTTTTTAGTCACACGCCACTCAAGTCTAAAAATGGTCTCCGCAGAATAGTCCGAAAATTCTGGAGGTTAATACATTTGATTACCTACTTCAAGAATTTTTTTTATCTCATGGAATCAATTGTCTGAATTGCTAACAGAAAGAAAACTGAATGACGTCTCAGCATATCAGTGCTGTGAAACATCACTGGTCGATGTCCCTAACAGACCCCATTTATTGAGCCATATATAAGCTCACTGTACGCAGATTGTTTTAAGATGTGGTTTAAGTACATGAACATACTGCGTTGCATAATTACATTTGCATATTTTTGTCAAGTGTACAATTAATTGCATTGACTTCTTTTTTTATCCCAGGTTACAATGATATCCTTGTGCTACCAGCTGGTGCTGTGAATATTCATATCAGTGAGGTCAAACCGTCCAATAACTTCTTGGGTAAGCTCCATGGATGAATCCTACGCTGGGGGTCTGACAAACCCTTGGTCCTCATATCGACTAATTTGGCAAACAAACTTAGAAGCCATGTTTTTCTTAAACATAAGGCGCTTACATTCTCGTAACCCCTTGGTGGAAGGAGCCCGGAGTGGGTGCGTACTACCTGAGCGCAAGCCTGGTTCTACCTCAAGAATGACTCCTAATTTTGTCCGCCCAATTTGCCAATACCCTTTCACAGATAGATAATAGGTCAATATAGTGAAGGTATATTTTGGTATAGTTTGGTTCCATCCTTGGACAGTTTACAAATATCGAATGCTTCGAGTGGTGTAGTAAAACTAGCCTCCCGAGGTTATCCATGGACATTCTATTTTCCCGAGGCGAAGCCGAGGGCAAATAGAATGGTCCATGGATCACCGAGGGAGGCTAGTTTTACTTCACCACGAGATAAAGCATTCAATATTTGTTTTATAACACTTCACCCACAGATTCTGCTTGATTTTAATATTTTACATTATTTAAATCTGAACACAGTTGAAATAAACTTCAATTTCAATACAAAATTGGTGGAAAATGTATTTCTCTCTTAAAACCTAACCCTTCACAAAATGTTTGAACCCAAGTCTGCGGCGCGCTCTCTTTGGAATAATACGCGCTATGCACAATGCGCAACGCGCACCCCAGCATGCATTTGCACACAAATACCGCGCCGTGGAAATAGTACTTTGGTTGCTAATGGTATAGTACTTTGGTTGCTATGCGCATAGTACTTTTGGCCGTGCACAGAAAGATAGCAAAAATAGAAAGTAACATGTGACTCGCTCTCGGCCAATCAAGACACAGAATCTGTGGGTGAGGTGTTATAATTTGCACTACGAATGAGCGCAAACTATCCCACAATGCAGCATGACCAGTCTTGCATCTATCTGTTAAGAGTCGGTGGTATTGTGGGGTTTTTTTGCATTTTGACTGTGCTATACTTTGTGATTAGGATAACTCTATGACGTTACAATGGGTTTAGACACCTTCCTATTTACAGTAGAAATGGAGAAGTATTTTTGGGAAAAATGTAAAACGGGTCCGTTTTTTATTAAAAATCCTTGCATTGTACTGACTACTCATCGAAAGGGATAGAGGCTAGAGAATTTACTGCAGAACAAACTAGAATTTTCAACTTTTTCTGTGACTTCATCAGTAATAAGCAGTAATTGAGGGGTATCTTTTTTCCATCTAAAAACACTGAATGACCTCTGCATATTATAGGCTACATGCTAAGCTACGGATTAAGAAATTGTGTTAAGAGCCAGTGACCCTGTGATTTCTGTCGATGGTCAGTCAGTTTTCTTTCTCTGACTAATGATTAATGCACGACTAAGATCTAGAGTTACTCTATTGAAAGTAGGAACTTTCCCCGCCAGCTTGAACTTGACATATAATTTGGTGATTACCTTGCCACCTGTTATGTGGGATGGAATGTCAGCCTTTAAGCAAGGAATCCAGGGGCTTGCCGTCATTGTCTGACCTTGAGTGAGCTCACTGCAAGAGAAAGTGGTACATTGTGTGGTGTAACCCAAAAAGAGCAATTTTGGGGGGGCCAGCTTTAGGGAGGGGGGTTGGGGTTGATGATTCCAAACCCTTGTTCTGATTTTGAAAATGCCATGACTGACTTCGCAAAGTCATAGTTCAATCAGTCAAAGCATTTTGTAATTTTGAGAGTTAATGTTTATACACTTCTGTTTGTGTGTGAGTGCGTTTTCTAAAAAAATAAAACAAAAAATACCCTGATCCACCTTAACAACAAAACTCAAATGTTAATTGGTTCAGCAGATTTGTAGGGTTAGAGTTTTAGAGTATATAGATGTAGAATGAAGAAGTAAAAGATTTTGAGTTGACTAAATGTTTCTGTTTGTTATGATCAACGTACTGCGTATGATGCATGCATGCCATAGGCCTATAAGTTTGTAGAAGAATGATACATTAAAATTGCCTTCTTTTCTCAATATAGTTATGTGACCATACATGCCAAAACTGCTGGTGTTTTTACTTCTATTTTCTAAAGAAAAAGACAAGTATAGAAATAAGTCTGATGAAGTCATTTGCTGGAGATAGACACATGGTAGCTACATAAAACTGTATTTTGCAACAACAACAACAACAAAATGAGAGCTTAAGGGGCCTTATAATTAAAGACTATTCTTAGTACTGCAGATTGTTTGATGTTCAAGAGCATTTCCTCTCGAGTTTTAATATATTTACCATGACCTTTTACAAGGACAAACAGTTCTGTTTGTCTAATTGTGAGCAGAGGACAGAATTGAAACTGAAATTGCCAACAGCTTGGATATTAAGGGGGGAAAAAAGCTCCTAATGACCTGGTAGTTATATGAACAGATGGTAATTTCATTCACTGATAAGAAGCAAATTTGCAAATGTCTTTCCAGCTCTGCGCAATGCCGATGGACAGTACTACATCAATGGCAACTTCAGCATTGACTTTCCCCAACCGTTTGATGTGGCAGATACGGTGATTTACTATGAGAGGAAATTTGGCGCCCCTTTTTACGGTGCAGAGGTCCTGCACGCCCTGGGCCCAATTACAGAGCCGTTGTTTGTTGTGGTTGGTATTCATGGTTTTTGTGGGGTTTTGGGGGTGCATTTTATGAGTCTTATGATTGATCATTCAATCCACTAGCATTTAGTTGTTTTATTTCGAATTCATTCATTGTGGGGAAAAGTCATGATGCCGATAGATTAATTGCTCATAAAGTGAAAAAAAAAATTTGCTCATGGTAGTCTTTTTGAGACCTTCGAGGGATTTTGTTGATGGTAGCTGCTGTTTTTCAGATGGCATGATATTCTTTTATGACTTTCCAAAAAGAAGTGGCTTAACCTTTTCAGAAGGTGAAGCCTAGAAGTCTTGCGGTATCATGGTAGCCTCTGCCTGCAGGAAGGAACAGTTTTGTCCTCCACGACAAGACCCGGACATTTTTCATTTATGGCAATTGATAACTTCCCTGTGGCCAAAAAGCTTCCTCTGCACTTACACATGTACATCGTGTACGATAATCAAAAGTTGTGTGTACATGTAAGTGATTTAAAAGTGCTGCTGAGATACTGATCATTTCCCTAAAAATATTTTAGAATTTGCTGCCAACTTGTTCCGTTTCAAATTGACATGTACCCTATGGGTTCCATGCGCTAACAAGAGAGGGCGCTTTTTAACCACTTTTGTGAGAGCCCAATGGATGGGTCACACATGCAGGTACTGGTACGTGCCTACTGACCTTTATCATGCTGCCACCATGTCAGTCATGTTCCCAGTATCCAATAACAGTACTGAATGATAACGGTTTTTGTGCAAAAAGGAACCAGACTATTTTTCCTTCAAGCCTCGCTTTGGTTACGTTGATTTGAATGGGAAAAATCCAAATGGCCGCAACATGATAATGGTCTATAGCACGAAGTAAGCTCATCAAATTTCATTCTGAATGTGCACAAACCATAGCATCTTCACATGAGTGTCATTGTTGTCGGCAAGGTGTTCGAATGGCCCTCCCAGTGGTCTCCCCAACTCTCCCTTTCTTGCCATTGAGGGGGTACTTGTGTATGGAGCCCATACCAGCCAGCATGAAACATGGGTACATGTCATTACATTTGGATCACGTCTGCACATTCAAATGAGAATTCAAACTCTATGGAATTGGGTACTTGAAAAATATGGGTACTTGTTTGGTTTCGGGCGGATGTTTTAAGCATCGAGACCCCAACATATGGCCAATGAATTGATAGTTGTTTCTCAATGTCTTAGTCTTGTTTCTGAAACTGGAACAGTGAGTTAATTTACCATTGATCCCTGGGGCGGTAATATCCCATTGACATCATTGCCTCTGGATCACCTACCCCTGAATGCTTCTTAAGACCCGAACAAGCTTATCAGTGAACTAGATTGAGATTTTTGTCACAGCACGGCAGGTGATCCTCAGGCATCGAGATCATCAGAGCCAGATGAAATCAACCTGTCTGGAACAAAGATCAACTGGTTGAACTTTTGTATTGGGTTTTTGTATGAAGAGTACATTGTAACAGTGGGAAAGATTTTGAGTCCTAGACATAGGCCTAGTATCCTGTCAGGTTTTTTTTTTATGATTTAAGCATTGACATATGTTTTCCCTGCCTGAAGTTTAAAGATAACAGGTGTACATACATGTAAGAAATATGCCATCATAAATCATAAAGAAAAGAAAAAAAGAAAAGAAATAACTTATTTAAAAACCAAATATTTAACTATTTCAAGTTTGAAAAAAATTGTGCAGCAGCTGTAACCAGCGCTGTGTGCCTAATGATGGAGTACATGCAGCTTATTTCTAACTTAATGTTCAAAAACCTGTAGCATTTTCTGGTTTCATGGTGAGAATGTCACCCAATTTTTCCTGCGACTGAAATGTTCTCCGTTTTTACAACTGAGGGCATATAATTAGGGCTGGAAAGTGTGGTAATTGAATGTGGAAAGTGCGTCTTAAGGGGATTTTGTGACGTCAATGCCAGAATTGACGCTATGAATTTGGAAAAAGTTAAACTTGTGTCAACTGTGAATTTTACCCCCTATGTATTGTGATGCGATGCGCATTTGCATGAAGTGTGAACCATAGTCCCTTAGCCAAGAAAGTAAGAAATCGATACAGCTTTTGTGGCTCACTTTTTTGACTGCCACTCTTACGTCGTAGCTTGTTACACAAGAGAGGAACCACGGAGTCGCGTATAACTACTCTGTTCCGTCGGACAATGAAGGAGCCAAACCCGACACCTACTCCTGGCTGTTTGGAGATTTCACGCCTTGCACGCGGACGTGTGGAGGGGGTAAGTCTTTTTTCTCACATGTGTAATGCTAGTGGCATTGATCAAAGCATTTCCATATGCATTATGAAAGCCCCCAAGTTTGTTTTTCCAAGCTTTGTCAAGGACTGTGGTCGGTAAATGAGTACTTTCCTGTGAAAGGTCATGGGAAAAGTTAACTTTTACACCACCCAGCATTGCAAAATTTAACATTTTGCAAGGACGGTTTCTTTAAAACTTTCACAATTTGTATCAAATTGTGCCCAAGACATCAATCTTCAGTTTCGAGCAGTGGCTGCAATATGCGCCACAGCACTTATATATACATACCCCTTATAAAGGTGCTACATAATGGGTGTCACATTTCTCATAAACTTCATTCGCCTGTCTTTAAAAATAAACAAAATTACCAGCACCTTGAGTACCTAATTGTAGGTAGATATGTGCGCTATATAAGACGCCGGTATTATTATTATTATTAATCTGAAAACTTGTGAGCACGGCACAAAAACAACGATGGCATTCAAGAAAGTAAAGTGGGTGGGTGGGGGGAGGCTGTGCTTGCAGTGAAAATAGCCGGAAGACTGTCATCCATGTCATGTTTTCATCTGTCGTTTGGCACTAGTTGTTAGCTACGTAATTTCAAGTGACAGAAATGAGTAATTTAAGTCAATATAGAAATTGGCTTCAAAGTTTCCCCCAGTCTGTCACCAGTGGCTTGATGACATGACGGCAGGGATTACATGTATACTGCCATCAAACAGGTGTCAAGTGATATGTTGTCTCTTTATGTAACAATTTTTTACTAGTTCTCTCAATTTTTCATTTACATTTAAGAGTGCAAACACTTAAGTTTTTATTATCTGTTTGCTACTTGTGAGAGTTTCTAATTCATGGGAGGTAATTCAGTGTAGGTGTTCATTGTGTTTAAAGGGAATGTACATCATTGGCTTTTTATTTGCTGTAATTTTCAGTAATAAACAATATGAGGGGTTAGTATAATAGATCAAATATTGTTACACTGACATGTTTGAAGTTTGTGTTCAAAAATGCTGGAAAAACCAAGAAAAACTAAAATGTTCAAGTAGTCTGGTTCCCTGACTCCACTAAAGATGATATGGAATAATTCATTAGATGCCGGAAAGTTGTAAGGTAAGGGAACCAGTCTAGCTGGCCTGCACCCGTTCATGAACATGTTACCAATAGCAAACAAAATTTGGTCTGAAAAAAGTGTAAAGTTGGAGCAGAAGATGAAAAATAGTTAGGTTTTTCCAACGGTGGTCGGCCGACCACCGTTGGAAAGGTATACAAAAATACCATTTTCTTGAAAATGACTTTACACCAGGTGCCATAATTTTACAGGATGCTTTAGACTGTCATTTACCAACATCCTAGTAAGGTATTTCGTAAAAACTTGGTAGTTTTATTTTTCGATGTTTGCAAATGTTGTATATTCCCTTTAATGGATCAGAGAGGGTGTAAGCAATGTTTTGTGCTCCCAGTGATAATAATGTAAATTGCTTTGATCTTTATTGAAAGCTCTATTCCTGTAAATTATTCTGTTCATCGTAAGTTATACCTTAGGGAGACGAGGTAGATGAAGGAGGCATTTCAGTGTCACAACCCTATTTAGAGGCAAAATTTAACAGTCGTCGATTGCTCGTGGTCCAATTATTACACATATTAAAACTTGTTGGGGTAGGATAAGGTAAAATGGGGAATTAGGGGTCGGGAAAGTTTGAAACTTTTGTTTCAACCCTGTGGGAATGCCCCCATAAGGTACCATTCTTGGTAATTCCTATATTGTACATAGGAAACAGTCACCTCCGGAAGTCACAGATAACAAATTGACATATTTCTGTAATGGCCCTTGACGAGCAAAGGCTTTGCTTGTCGCCCTTGAAGGATTTGGGGATAAAATACAAAGTACGAGCTGGATCCGTACATTGGTTAATCATTACATGAATCATTCTGCACTTGGCAGGAAACGTGTGTTAGGAAGTGCACCTGTGTTTATGAATTACTCAACTGAGAGTTCATGACTGGGTTAAAACATGGCCTTAAGAAAGGCATTCCTTTGGATTCAGACAATTGATGAAGTCAGAATTTGTTTTTCTCCTTCGGGGCTTTAGAAGGCAAAACTCCTCTCCCAGAGTCTCTCAGGTAGAATGTTTGGCACAATTTGTCACAATAGGTTAACCCTTGGAGGCAACCAAAGGCTGCACTGAGATCCAGCGAGTTGCTGTCGTCAACACGAGTCCTCAGCACACAATTTGCAAGAGTGTAGAAACAGACCCTTGCATCTGACGTCAGATTGAGGATGGGTCATTTTTTCCTATTGTAGTTTGATTATCACTGAATTTAAATGTCAAAAATTGCCCTCAGCGAGGGCGCACCGTGCAAGGGGTCTAGCTTGTGGGTACAGAAGAGTATAACCCTCATTGCACCCGTTTTGCCCTCAGCGAGGGCGCACCGTGCAAGGGGTCTAGCTTGTGGGTACAGAAGAGTATAACCCTCATTGCATACGTTTTGCCCTCAGCGAGGGCGCACCGTGCAAGGTGTCTAGCTTGTGGGTACAGAAGAGTATAACCCTCATTGCACCCGTTTTGCCCTCAGCGAGGGCGCACCGTGCAAGGGGTCTAGCTTGTGGGCACAGAAGAGTATAACCCTCATTGCACCCGTTTTGCAAGGGTAAACTTGTGTAAGGCTTAGATCATATTCTTATGACATCTTGTTATTGTTTATTGTCCTAATATCAAGCCCCCGGGAGGGGGGGGGGGGGCTGCAGCACCCCCAACTTTTTGGATGGGGTGCTGGGAAAAATGTGTTCCATCACCCCCTGGCAAAAATGTGTTCCAGCAAACCAGCACCCCCGGGCAAAAATGTGTTCCAGCAGGCTTACCTAAAATGATTGCTACCGGTATGGGAAACTTTTTAAAAAATGCAGTCATACACATTAAGCTCATGCAACATTTTTCTATTCACAAGGGTATGAAGAGTGACATGTAGGTACATGGGGATCATCATCAACAAGGATTTCTCGCCCCCAACTGCCCTTTTTCCCCTCTGAGTCATTTCATGATATAGAAGAGCCTTGATGCTTGGAGAAAGCATAAACAACTTGTAACTGTTACAAAACCTTGCAGTTGATACCCCGGATTTGAAAGTCATTTTGAAAGTATTTATCACATCAAGGCTGGATTTGTTACCTTGGCATGTTGTAATTGCCTTGATGAATGAGGTATGCATATGAGTATGTCTAGGTCAAGTTGTTTTGAGGGGAAAATCACTAGGGAAAAAAATAGTCTGTTAACTAGTTCAAAACTTTGTGAAATGCTCAATGCGAAAAGACCATAACTAATTTTGTAGGTCATTCTGTTCATTCAAACCTTGAAAAGAATTGATGTTTTTCTCTTTCTTCAAATATTAATAATGAGGTTGAAAACTGGCCTAGTTGGCTTGTTTTTTTTTTAGATATGATGTACCAGTAAGTACATTTTTACTTTTTTGAGATATGAATGTTTGGAACCTTGCTTTTTCACAAGGTTTGTAAAGTATTTTGTTAATAACTACTTTGTACGTGTGTCTTTTGTTCTCATTCAGCTTTCTTTTTGATTTGATTTCCATTATAAATTAGGATAAAGCACTTCAGATTTTGAACTTTTTTGCCCATTCCAAAAGGTCATCAGCTGAGAGATGTATGGTGTGCGCGATCCCGTGACTTTGACAAAGTACCAGAGTACCTGTGTGATCCCACCTTGAAACCGGCTGTGAATCACTCCTGTAACATGGTGCCCTGCCCACCAAGGTACGTCAGTAATGTTGTTTAAAGCTGCATTTCCCATACCGTTTTCGAGTTTCATCTCAAAAAAATATAACTTCTCTTTCTAAATTGCTTTCTTTCAAGCAATACAAAAGTTGGTCACTTTTGAATGAGATATCGACCAAAACAAAATCGGCCCGTGTTTAGTTATTTAGTTGTCACTTTACAAATGCCAAATTATTTGCTGTCAGACAATAATTCCGTTCGAGCGGGGTACGATGGCTCCCATCCCACAATCAGTATCGATAACATACGGACAGGGAGCCAGTCCGCTCGCAAAGTGGATCTGTTTGTGTCCAAAGCACAAAGCTTATTGTTTTCAAAGGGTTGCAGACGTCCAAAAATAGAGGGGGAAAAGGAGATTTTTGGTTGGAATAAAACATACAAATTGAAAAATTCATAAAGAGAAAAAAAATTGAATGTGTTGAAGAGCAACCTTAAGTCAGTTATGGAAAACCACCCACTAATGCTAGACATTCTTTGGGTGAGGGCATCTCATCATGATTGCCCATTGTCAGTGGCACACCCAGTGGAGGGAAGGGTTGGTGGGACATGATCCGCAACCTTCTGAACAAACCCCCAAAAAACCCAAAAAACTAAAAAAAATTAGTAAAAATAGGAACAAAGAAAAAGCTAAGAAAAGAAGGATTCTTTCAGTAACGAATATTATAACTCGTAGCTGTGCTTTCAAAGTCTTTTGAACACTTAAGTGAATGCATTATTTCAATTACACAAAGCAACATTTTTAAGCTGACAATGTCCTGACCAAAAAGAGACCTTTTTGGAATTTTTGGTTTGGGAGTTGGAGCTTCGTTCTTGGTACAAGCCTGAAAATGTGCTGTATCATATACAGTTCTCATTACTGTTCTTCAGGCTCTTGTAAATAAATATATATAGTTCTTGTAAAAACCAATAGTGGGAAGTTTCTTGTAAAATAAAACAGTTAAAACAGATAAAATCCAATTCCTCACAGTATGGAATAATACACACAAAATTAACCTCGTAGGGTTTCGGTCCGTACATTTGTCCTCCCATATGCAGTTGGTTCGCCGGTGAGTGGAGCCCTTGCTCTACTTCATGCGGGCTAGGTCAACAGGCCCGACTGGTCTACTGTGAGCAGGTCATGCATGGTGACCGGGCAGAGATTATCCACGATTCCTTCTGTGAGAACGGCGTCCTGCTAGAAAAGCCCAGCTTCCAGCAGCACTGCACAGTGGCGCCGTGCCCTGATTGGACAACAGGCAACTGGTCCCAGGTTGGTTGGTCACCATTATTAAACACTGATTAGCCGGCCACTAACATAACCACTAGCCGCGTGCTATGCACTGTCCAAAGCGTGAACAGCGACCTCACACGGAAAAGCTACAATATGCAAATCAGTTGTTGCCGACCGAATGCCTTTGGGACAACAGTTCCCTTTACTTTATGTTTTTCTTTAACTGGATCGTTTGGCTACAATCTCCAACAAGTTTAGAGTCCGTAGACCAAATATAACTGGATATAAATCCAGCGACAAAAGAAAGGAAAACATTAAGCCATCATGACCATATTCAGTGTTCAGCTGGCAGCAACTGATTTGCATATTGTAGCCTACCCACGTGAGGTTGCTGTTCGCGCTTCATACAGCGAGTGCATATCGCGCGGCTAGTGTTTATGTTTACAGCCGTTATCGGCTGGCCATCGGTCATCGAACGAACACCATTGACGAATGCCTTGACCAAGGCTACATTAGGTTCTGCCCTTCACTTGACATATAAATTGTATTAAAGCACTCTATACTCAAACTTGCTTGTGTTGGACTTGAACCAGTGACCTTCTTATTAGTACAAGGCCCAATTTCATGCAGGCATTAGATTTTTCAGACTTTTTGAATCTGAGAGAAAGACATTATCAGTATAGAAAGATGTGCATCTTTCAGACCTTTAATCCAATTGTCAGATTTCATGACAATTGAGAATTGACAATCTCATCCCTGTTCACGGAGCTGCTAAGCAGAAAAATATTGTTGAGCAAGTTTATGTACTTAGCAATTATCAGCAGAGAACCAGCTACCAGCAGTGAACAGTAGGTGACATTCAGGCTGGTCACCGGTTACCGCTAAGCAACAGTTTTTACATGCTTAGCATAAAAATGACCCCAGTACCTAGTGCTCTTCCAAAAATGGATTTTTTTTTCACTCAACAAATTTTCAATTTGTATGATTTGTTATATCACAAAAAACTACATTATTCGGATTTTGGGCAATTGCAACCCTCTGAAAAAGACTTTCATTTTGTTGAAAACTGAACCTGCCGTGTGAGAGCCGAATTATTATCTGTCAACTAATAATTCAAATTTTGTGAATAACTAATTAAATAACTAAAACTGGATGTCTCCTTCGCTCAATTTCTCATTCGAAAATGAATAACTTTTATATTGTTAGGAATGAAGCAGTTGAAAAAAAATCTGTTTTTGTATCTGTTTTTCGAAGTGAAACTCTAAACTACATGTAGGACGAGAAAACGCATCTTTAACCACTCAGACTCAAGTAGTTGTAAAAGTTTTGTTGAACAGCAAAACCAAACTTTTGATAAAAACCTAAATTTGGCGAAACCGAATTTCCATCTGTTTAAAAGCCTGGACCTAGCTGTTTGACAGCTGTTCTGCTAATTTGGTCCATCACCTATCGGTTCCTTTGAGGTCAATTCTAGATCCATCTGGGATGTTTGTACCAATCTGATCCCTCCCACAGGAATTTCGGTGCACTTATTTAAGGCAAAATTTATTTGGGAATAGTGTATTTTCCAGACACAAGTTCATAAATGCAGAAATCTGAATGTATTTTTTATTTATAAGCAACTAAATAGTGGATGCTTGAACGAACTAGTTGAGAGAAAAAATGATACGTAAAGTGGAATAAGCAAGTAGAGAAAAGAAGCAGCTTGACTTTGATGTATATTGCATTCAAAAGGAAAACAAAAAGTTTGATCAAAAATGGGATCAGAGTTGTTTTGAGTTGTTCCAGAAAACCATATTGAGCAACCTCCGAAACCTTACCCATGTTGAACCACACATATGAACAAGTGTTAAAGATCTAGAGTTGCACTTTTGGTTTTGAAACCCTCAGGTATGGTTGCTTTAATATGTGTATCATCTTTCATAATGGCCTCCTGAAATTGGCACGTCAATGTTTGCACTACCCCTCATGTGTTCCTCTCCACTGAACCTCAATCTCTCCCAACCCCTCCCCCCAACCCCCTACAGTGCTCAGTCACCTGCGGGCGCGGTATCCAGACCAGACAAGTCTCCTGCAGCTCTGGGGAGGAGGCCCTTGCCGACACCAAATGTACCATCGAAACCCTACCAGACAGCCAGAAGGCGTGTCACATGGGGCCATGTGAGGAGGTGCAGTGGCTGGCGACCCAGTGGTCTGATGTAAGTCCCCTCGGGATCTTGTCTCTGATCTGATCACGTCTCAACTGGCCAGGTGTTTTTTTTTTTAATTGTACATGTACCTGTCATCAAAGTATTCTAGGATTATCTGGACCAACAGGAGCTGGTTACAAGAAAGTGTCTATTTTTTTATTGAAGAGGTAAAGCGGACAGAGTTCAATAAGTAATTGAAAGAGGATGCTTAAAGGGAATATACATCATTTGCTTTTGCTGTAATTTTCAGAAATGGATGGAATTGGGGGGTTGGAAATATATAGCAAATATAGTTACACTGACCTTTTTGAGGTTTTGGGTTCGAAAACGCTATAAAAACCAAGAAAAACAATCATTTTCCTGTAGTCTGGTTCCCTGACTCCATATAAGAAGAAACAGAGCAGTTTACATACATTGGGGAATTGTAAGGTCAGGGAACCAGTCTAGCTGGCTCGTGCCCGTTCATAGGTTTGTAATCGATTGCAAACAAGTGCGATGGTCAATTGTGGCCAGTATTTGAAAAAAAGCCAGTTTTTTCCAACGCTGATCGGCCGATCAGCGTTGGAAATTGATACAAAAATACCACTTTTCTTGAAAATGACAGTATACCAGGTGCCATGATTTTACAGGATGCTTTACACTGTCATTCACTAACAGTCCAGCAAGGTATTTCAAAATGATTTGGTAGTTTTATTTTTTGATGTTTGCAAATGTTGTATTTTCCCTTTAAAGATGGTTCAATTTCTTTTGGGGGCGGGGAGGGGAGGGGGCGACAACATGGTGTAAGGGCCTAGACAGTGTGAGCCCTCCGGGACTTAGGTTGGATTGTTGGGCAGGAAAGGTCATGGAACAATAAGTTTGAGATTTTGGAAGACCAATATAGTGTTACACCTGTTTCTGACCGAGTTTAGAGTTTAGTTAAGTTGAACGGTTGAAACAATTATGAACCACTATCCACTACATGAGCAAGACATCCAAAAGAGCGGCTGTTGCTGTCGTTGGAAGTGACTTGACCACAGCATTTTTGTATCAGATGTCACTCCGGCGAATGGAATAGAAATGCATTAAGTCTGCCTTCTCGAAACTGAATTGTATTTGGTTGTAACTATGTTTCGGCGCGACTTTGGTTCATCTTCTGTGAACTTCTTACATGTATAAGTCCAGTTGTCTGAATGAAAATGTAACGCTGTGTTCTGTTGGGTTACTTTTCTGTGGTTAGAGTTGAAATGTCACTTTCAACTGAATTGCAACATCATTGAAATTCAGTCTTAAAAACGTACATGTACCCAACAATCATTGAAATTCAGTCTTAAAATGTACATGTACGCTCTGCTAAATGCTACAGTTACAATGACGGGATAAATAGTTTAAGTGATGAAGAAAATATTGACCAACATTCAAACCAACAGATATGTATATAGTTCTTGCTGTGCTTATCAATACACAATCCCGTGAAATCCTTCTCTCTGTCATTCATGGTGTATTTATCATGGTATTGCATTGACGCCACTTTTCTTCTTTTACTAGTGTTCTGACCAGTGTGGTGAAGGCATTCAGACCAGGCAAGTACACTGCATGGGACCCTCCGGTACCTTGTACAACGAGGATATCTGTGATGCTGGTCTGCGGCCGGCTACCACCCAGCGCTGTTCATCCAGGCAGGCTTGCCTACCGCTGTGGCATGCCTCTCGTTGGACTGAGGTAAACCAATCGATAATTTGTCATCTAATCCCTGGTTAAAGTTGTGATCCCCAAATGCGAAACTATTTGTATTAATAAATTTTCGAACTTTTATATGGTCTATTCCAACCAAAAATCCTCCTTATTATTCCTTTGCTTTGTTTGATTGACTAGAGTTTCATAAAATTGGTATATAACTTTTAACAAGAGAGTTGAAATTTCCTGAATTATTAGTTTATTTTTTGACAGAAAAATGTAATTCCATGAAATCTTCCCCCCCCCCCCCCCCCCCCGAACAAAAAAAAACAAGACCAAAAACGTCATGGGTAGGCAACAATCACTCAAAGTCAAATTTAAAACAAAATCATTAAAAAACTTTTAAAATCAAATCTGCTGGGCCAACATCAGGATTTGGTTTTCAGTTCCTACCTGATTCTTTTGCTTTTCCCTACAATACCAGATGGCGTTTTTTCCCTTCCATCTATGAAATTGCAATTTCCTTCCTCCATATTTACTATTAGTGAAGTGACTCCACTGGAAACAAATTATATGATTTTTGTGGGCTATCCTGCCGAATGCCCAATACATGATGCAATATTACAGCTACTATCTATTAAAACTTTTCGCGAGTGCAAGAAAACGGGCCCTGTGTTGGGCTTTCGCAGCATACAAAGACCTGTATTGTATTTTGCTATGCAGTGTTCTACAGATTGCGGGCAGGGCCTACGCATCAGGAACGTCTTCTGCGCTCATTTTGTGAACGACCAATGGGAGACCACCTCGGACGGCATGTGCAATGCCACTATCAAACTGTCCACCTCGGAGGTTTGCGACAACGGACCTTGTGTGGGAGCTGTGTGGTTGACTGGACCCTGGCATAAGGTACGATGCTGAATCAAGGGCAAACAAGTTTTTCACATCTGTATGAAAATCTCATGATTTTTGTTAATGCCTCTTTTTGCATATCAAGGATAAGATTTCTCCAGATTTTTACCGGATTGCCGGATTAAAAACAAAAAAATCCTTTTGAATTGCAGAACTTTTGAGGTCTTACCATGAAGGTTTCTCTGTCTTTATTATTTCGTCGCGTCCGTGCAACAAGGTTGTATCCCCTTAAATGGCGTGTCGCGTCATGTACGTGAAACACAAGTTTTCAATGTCAAAAGGTCGTATCTCGATTAAACAACCCAGATGTACACACAAAGTCCATTGACGTCGCGATACGCGAGATACGACCTTGTTGGACGGAGCTACCGGTATTTGCGTAAGATACGGCTTTTTTGCAGAATGAGTTATGACCTTGTTGCACTGACGCGACGATTTTTATTGGTATGAAACACAGCACAAATCAATGGTTTATATGGAAAAAAAGCAATTGCCATTTTTTCTTGGGGTATCGTGAGGCAAATACATACACGTACCATAGACCCTAGGTAATGTTCCAGGCTTCGACGGCCCACACCCTATGCCGAATATGTTGTCGATTTTTCATTTTTCCACATAACCATTTTTTTTTTTACCTATTCCACTGTCTTAGGTCCGAGACATAATGACGTCATGCTTTATTTACAGTGTAAATGGAGGCTGTCGTCCACACCTGGCTCAAAGGAAAATGCACATATAGACAGAGCCTGACGTCATTATGTCATTATTAACATTGAGTAGATACAGCAGCCCGTTGTCTTCAGCTTTTACTCCATCTTAACAATTCAAGCCATTTTTCTTGTGCTGAATCACAGTGCATCACCAGAAGAGCTTAATTTTAACTTTTCGATTGTATTTGATTAGTGTTCAGCCAAGTGTGGGGGAGGACAGAGGACACGGCAGATCCTGTGTTTCAGGGACGGGACTTCATTGGACGGTTCCCAGTGTGACATGACGAGCCAGCCAATCGAGCAAGAGTACTGCAACACCCAGCCCTGCGATGGTGGAGAAGGTTAGCTAAGTTGTTCACTTCTCTGTTCACTAGAATACCGTCTAACTGTCATCAGACCTTGACCATTTAATCACTTTAGGGGGTGGCATGGGTGGCTTGTGCGTAAAGCGCTCACCTCTCACCAAGGTGACCACGGTTCGAATCCTGGCCGCGGACCACATGTGAGTAGAGTTGTGCGTTGGTTCTCTCCTGTGCCACGAGGGTTTTTCTCCGGGCCCTCCGGTTTTCCTCCCTCCGGAAAAATCAAACACTTTAGATCTCAGGCTGTGCTCCGTTGTCATATATGGGTCGATGTGGCCGGCAGCCACAGGCGCCTTTACGTGCCAGCGGCCCGACCACGTTGTAGCCGCGTCCTTCGCAATTCAGCATACCAGCTGCGAGTAAGGATGAAAAGAAACACGTGTGTCTTCTACGCGTAGCAAAGTCTTTTTATTTGCCACACACCGGTCTTATGGTTGGACCATTTAATACAAGAAAGGGAGGAATTCACTACAACATGGAAATAAACATTGTAATTGAATTGAATTTGGTGTCGTTTTAATCAAGTTTCATATCTATTTCAGGCAGGGGCTCCAGAATGGTGCGACTCTTGTTGACAAAAAAAAAAATCACTGAATGAGTTGAAACAGTCCCTTGTCTGACAGTTCACACTCTACTTCTGGTTTGTGCTGTCCATTGCGCACCGCAACAGTTAATGCTATTTGTCTTGGACACGGAGCTTTCCTGGGGTCCATGGGATTACAGTGCCTGTTTTTTATCAAGTTGGACAAATATGTGAATGTGATTTTGGTTTGATTGGATTTAGGGGATTGTGAGAGCTCAACCCATGGGTGTTGTCCAGATGGAATCACTGAGGCGACCGGACCAGACCAGAATGGCTGTGTTACCAGGTCAGTTATTGTTCATTCACCATGTACGTTACTGCTCGGATTAAACGCTTCCCCAATACCCTGATCATGGTGTACGTGTGATAAACTAAAGGTCGGTTTATAGTCAGTCGCGTGATGATGAATGTTTGACTCCGATGGTAGCTGGGTGATAAGCCTATTGGGAAGTTCATCGTCGCATGGCATCATATACTCATCAGATTTTCTGCGATATGAATTAATATTCTTATCCTCAAGTAAACTTGAATCCTCGATAATGATTGGTCGATCCATGGCAACAAGCCGTGCTACATATAACCATGTAGCACGGCCTCGGTCCATACCGCACTCCGCGCTTTTCTAAGATGCGAGCGCCATTCCGTACAACACGCACGTGCGATTGGATAACCGCTGAAAAGTTTGTGTTACAGCATCCGTGTTCCATCTTTACTGTGCGTCAAGTTTGCTTAAAGATAAATTCGTTATCGCGCTCGCGTTTGTGGAACATGGAAAATGTAGTGCGTCTGTGTCCCACATACCATGGGACACAGATGCACTACATTATTCCGTGTTCCACTCGCGCTCGCGGGATAACTTATAATATTTCATGAAACAGTGGTTAGTTTTGCCTTTCCTTTGTCAAACAGTACGAGTGAATCTCCTACTACTGTACCTTCCTCGACTGCCACCCCTACCTGTGCTGATTCCACCTTTGGTTGCTGTGCAAATGGCACAACCGCAGCCTCAGGACCAGATGGACAGGGATGCGAGGGAGAAACGTTGGGTGAGCATTGACATTCCGTCGGTCGATGCAGATCGGGGGGGGGGGGGGGGGGGGGAAGACTGGCACACTGGAGGGCTGTTGCAAAAACAAAAACCTCATTTGAAGAATCATTGTTCTTTTATGTCAGTGGGTCCCTGGAATACAAAAAGCAATTCCATTGAGAACCAGAAATGTAAACACGTCTCAGGGTTCAAGTTTCAAATCATCATAACCTATTGATTAATCCACGATATTGTCAAAATTAAATCCCAATTGAATCAAATTTGAATAAACAAATAATCAAGTATAGGTACAGTGCTCAGACCATCATGTGTTGAAGTACAGGGTTACGAAAAAACGTGATCTGTGAACTGTTATGTTTTGAATATCAGATTAAGTGAAATTGACCAAAAAGGAGTTGTGTTACATAATTGGCATTTTCTAAGCAACCCAATGTGCTATTTTCATGGTTTTTTCCAGTATTTGAAAGAAAAAACTCTTGGCTTTAATCTGATATCCAAAACATAAAAAAAATCACAGATCATGTTTTTGAAGAAGGGCAAATGTTTCAGGGTTGCTCAAGCTATGACTGAGAATACTGTGTGAATGTTTTTAAAATCAGGAGATCCCCCAAATTCCGGACGGCGTAAGGAAACTCTGGACACTGACAGAGAGAAACTAACAATGATCACACAGATAGAATTGAGTACAAGCGTACATCATATCTGTACTGAGTAATGACCTCAAGAGTCCTTTGTGTGTGTAACATCTGGTTGAATCTCACCTGATTTATAATGTGTGGATATTGGATTTGTCTGTTGCTGTCTTTTGGCATTGCGGGTTTTATCAATCGTGGAAAGGTTTTGAAAAGGAGCCTTTATTGCAACTCAAACATTTGTTTTTGCCTTGTAGAAACCTGTGAAATGGACTTCGATGCTGGTACTTGCTTTGCCTTTGTGCTCAAGTGGTACTTTGACATCTCCTACCAGCGCTGCACTAATTTCTGGTATGGTGGCTGTGAAGGCAACGCCAATCGCTTTGACACTTTACTAGAATGCCAGTCAGTGTGTGCTATCCAGCAGGAACCCATGACGCAAGAAGGTACAGTGGTCAGTTGGACCGTACATATTTCACGAAATGCTAAGACGTGTCTTAGGAAGTGTGACTCGTCTTAACGCATCCTTAAGACGCGTTCAACATGACTTAACTTCCTTTGCAAGGCGGCTGAACTCATCTTAACTTAAGATCGGTCTGAGGGTCTTTTCTTGCGTGTGTTAATTTGTATATCGTCTGGAAATCATTGCCATTAAAGACGAGTGGCGGCGTAGAGTTGTAGTTTAGAGGAAGAAAACCGAGGTAGAAACAGATTTGAAAAGATTTCTGATACAAGGGCAGTTTTAATCAAAGTAGCTTATTTACAAACTTTAATTATCGCCAGAACCTAGTCCAGTTTTTTTAAATAGAGTGATGAAATGGAAAACAAGAACAAGTACCTTGTGTAGACCAACCTTGCGCGTGGTATTTATTGATTGGAGTATTTTTTCTGGCGAAAGTTTGTGTTCTAGTACACAAGCGTGGGAAGATGGTTTTGCCCATTTCTTTTCAACAACTGTTTCGTCAAGCAGTAAAAAGAAACATGAAACAGCCATCAAATTGGAAGTTTTGATGCGTCTTGCTTATTAAGACGGCTTCAGTGAAATCGGCCTTAGGACACGTCTTAGCTAAGATCAATCTTAGAGCGGGGACCCGTCTTAAATCCTGAGATGAGTGGCAAGATGAGACGAGTTTTTTGAAATCGGCCCTTGCATTTGTTTTGACAAAACCAAAAGTTCCTTGTATTTGATTCCTTACAGAATTGTGTTCCCTACCCGCGGAGGTTGGGCCGTGCAAGGCGGGCATTCGTAACTACTACTACAACCCAGAAACGAGCCGGTGTGAGAGTTTCAATTACGGGGGTTGTCACGGCAACATGAATAAGTTCCGCACTCAGGAAGAGTGCGACATCAAGTGTGGCACCTTGAGCAATGGTATGGGTCGGATCGAGTTACTTGAACAAAACGAACTTACAAATGTGGTATTCCATTCCCTATTGAAGTTTCTCATGATTTTGTGAAAAACAACAATCTGAAAACATCATCTTTATGACTCTCATTGGAAAGCGCATACACATTACTCAGTTTGATTTTTAGCTTCATTTTCTGAGTTTAATTCATAAATATTGTCTTTATAAATTTTGCATTTTAAGGGAAATAGAATTATTAGTCATAATCTTAGTCATAATTGTGAGAACCCTAAAGCCGGCCTTGGGTCGACCTGCGATTTGCTTGCGCCAGGTTGGAACTGTCGCCATCACGCACAAACGTCAGGCTCGGGTCAAAAAATTGAGAAATCATATGTGATTATCGTGGGACAAGTGGCATCTTGACAAAGACTAATCACAACCATGCTCATGTCACCCACGGGCGACGATGATTCACAATAAAATTAGATGATCCGGATACGCGCGAACGTCTTAACTTCACACAGGTAACTGCGATTCATTCCCACCCGTTGGGGTCACGTTCCATCATGGTGCAGTAGTTTTTTTCTACTCTTGTGACTGTAGGTTTTTTTGTTAACGCCGACTGACGTTGATCGTCTTTGTATCATTGCAGTTTTACTCAGTTTGCCAAAATCGGCGACTGAAATGTTCCAAACGGTCATAGCTCAGGCGCAGCTTACAAAGTCAGTCATAGGTCCAACTGGTAGATTTCGGCCTACACAGTTTGTATTGGCACATTTGTAATGAAAAATTGTTCGCATATAAGCAGCTTTCTATATTTAAAAATATCACAATTCATGTCTCTGTGTTCAGATCCCTGCACTCTACCACAAGACCCCGGCAACTGTTTTGAAATCCATGTTCGTTGGTTTTATAACATCCGCACCCAGCAGTGTGAGCAGTTCAACTACACCGGTTGCCTTGGGAACCCCAACCGATTTGAGGATCTTGCCATCTGCGAGGAACGGTGTGCTGTGATTGACAGGGTGCCAGACGAGAGAGAGACCGTGGGAGTCATTGTCGGTAATGCTTTGTTATTGCGTCTTATATAACCGACATACATATCCGTGTCATTTGATAGGTGGAACTCGCATCATGTGACATTCTTTATTACTCCCATTCACGCCGGGGCTCAAAAAGTACTATCCGCCCATGGGGAATGGGAAATACTATTGAACAGTTAGGATCTTTCTTGTTCCAAGACGCGGTATTTGTGTGCAAAGCATAGAGCTATATTAAATTACTAGAGCGCTAAACTTGATGTACAAAGTAATGCCTGATGGGCGCATCCATGTTTGTGCACAAACCTATGGAAAACTCAAAATTGTGTACGGCTTTTGTACAGCTTTTTGCATATCTGCGTTTGTATTCCATACCGGTGCGTCATCGAAGCCAATACCCCCAAAACTGAAACGCATGATCAGCAAATGAGCGTTTCACTTTGCTGTACGCAAACAGCACAACGTGTGCGCGTCCCTCCGCTGTGCATGTGCTTTTCGCCGTGACATTTTTTTGAACCGTCATGACACGCTTAAGTTGTTTGCGTATCTACTTGCGCGTTGCATTTAGAGTACACTTTTAAAATTCAATCCATCTATTTTGATTGTGTTCTACAAACACGCACATAAATTCAAAATGTCTGCGCCCAGAGCGGCTTCAAAGCGTCTCCGCGCGCAAGAATGAGGAGATAGCACTCTAGTAATTTAATATAGCTCTATGGTGCAAAGGCATGCTGGTGTGCGCATTCAGCGTTGCGCGTAGTGCGTATTGTTCCAAAGAGCCAGCGCTACAGAGTGGGGTTCAAACATTTTCGTGAAGGGTTGGTTTGGAAGAGAGAAATACATTTCCCATCAATTTTGTATTGAAATAAAAGTGCAAATATATCAAATGACAAAGATCTATATGTCAGTTTTATAAAACAAATATTGAGTGGCTTTAAATTGTGAAATGGGAGGAATATTATCGCTCGGTAAAATCTGGACTTTTCCAGTTCACTCGGCTTCGCCTCGTGAAATGGAAAAGTCCAGATTTTACCTTGCGATAATATTCCTCCCATTTCACTCTGAGCCACTCAATAGTTGTATACTATCAACACTTTATGAATCGGTCAGTTAGTTAAAGAACCAAACAGCGCACAATAAATATGTCTTATGGGCATTTGGTCTTTTGCACTAGGTTTCAGTTTGGTCACACATAGCATCAGAGAAACATTCATTCCTGTAAATTATAGTGTTTTTTTTCTTATTGTAAGCTAGGCTACACTTAAGCAATTTGTAGCAGGATCTAAAGTCACAGTGAAAGTACAGCAGTATTGCACTGTTCATAAGATGGAATTTGCAACGGGATGATGTAAATTCTATATTAGGTTTTGCCCTTCACTGATAACTCAGTGTGTTACTCTCTGAGTGAAAGTGAGAAAAAAAATCACTCGGGTGGACTCAAATCTGCAACCTCCTGCTTTCTAGTGCAGACGTCATGCCACTCGAGCTAGCCGAGATTGGTTGGCTGGTTCGATGTAGCAGTGGGTACTGCAATGAAACTATTCATCAGATGGAAAAAACAATATGGCCCACTGTTGGATGGCCCAAGCTTCAGAGAAAAATCTTGAATATATAGTTCAATTCAAACATTGTGTGAAAACAAACATAAAAATGTTTGATGTCGTGGCAATTATTTGTACAGCTATTTCAACTTTGTGAATATTTAACCCTTGTGTGTCATGATGTCAAATTCGCTTCGTATTTCCATTCCTGAGATGTATAACCACGTCGGTTACCAACGGTTTGAAGCCAGAACACGTTGCTAGAGCAGGGAATGTCTTTCACCTACATTCATTCTTTGGTCATTCTCAACAGATGTGTGTGGCTTGCCCAAGGACCACGGACCCTGTAGGGAGTCCATCCCACAGTGGCACTATGACACTGAACGAAACACTTGCCAGCAATTCCTATATGGAGGATGCCTGGGCAATGACAACAGGTTTGACTCAGAGGCTACCTGCACACAGGCCTGTGTATCATACGGTGGTAGGTGTACTCGCACTAAATTATCTAAACAAATTCTGATGTGGGACTTGGTGTGATTTACATCCAAGGGTCTCATGGCACCCAAGGCGAAGCCCGGGATAAAATGCATCTTTTGGGGTGTCTGACACCCATGTCCCACATCACAGTCAACAATTTTTTTCTTTGTCTTAACATTGTCATTAATTCAAACAGATAAAAGTTGTGGTTTTATCTGCAAGAAATGGATTTTATAATCACAGTGTATCCTGTGGTTTCTGTGAGATATTTCCTTTTGGGCATGAAGTGCTCTCTTCAAACTTTCGGAACCGGACACATCACACACCCTGTGCACTTTACTTTTGTAATGTAAAAGATTGTAAAGTAAAAGATGAGTTACGTGAAAGATGTAACCCTTTACAAACTTATGATTGCTTCTTTGACTAAGGATAATCGATACATTGGGTGTATGGTATTGAACGATACTTGGAACAGACATAATCCAGTTTTTGTGAAAAACATACCGAAGTTCTTCACAATTCTTAAAACTTTAATAAAAAAACCTTCCTTTTTTTGTGTTAATTTTACAGCTGAAAAGTGTTCCTTGCCTGTCACGACTGGCCCATGCTTTGGTTACTTTCCTACATGGGGTTACAACTCTACAGTGGGCATCTGTCAGCCATTTGTCTATGGTGGTTGCCAAGGCAACGACAACCGCTTTGAAACACAAGAGGCTTGTGACCAGGAGTGCGGACCACAAGGTACAATTCATTTTGTTTTTCTGGAATATGTGTATTTGGTCTCAGGGTGCAAATTGCCTGTTCAATGCACTGAAAATTAAAGTGTGCGTTAGATTAGCTCACCCGGGTCAACTCGGGTTAGCCCCGTGTCGTTCGATTAGCTCGGACGTCATTCTCGGTGCTCACCCTGACCAGCCACCACAGACCGGTCCTGCTTGTGGGGAAGAGTCAGTGGTGGAAATACGTCACCCGCATGCGTTGTTCATTCCAAGAAGCAGACAAATATGGCGAAAAGCTGAAAAGATTAAGAAGACCCAAATCCACTTTACTTGAAGTCTTATTCATAATTATTTATTGATTTCAATGCTATAATTCCAGCCAGACGTTGTTACTTTTTGTGATTGAGGGAAAAGCAGCAGATCTCACTGAAGTAATAAGACTCAGTCAAAAAGAGCGTTTTGTCAATGCGTACGGCCTTGGCTATGGAAGTCACGTGACAATCGTGATAGTCTGCCTTTGAGTGTTTGCTCAGCCGGCTTTGACTTACCCGAGTTGCCTTGGGTGAGCTAATTGAATGCACCCAAAAAGACAAATAAATGTCATTAGCCTTTTGACATACACATGCATGGCAGACATGATAGATGGGATACATTTGGGTAAATACAGTAGAATTTACCCAACCCAAAAAGTGCGCCCTGGTATGGTCTGCCATGTGTCAAAAATGCCTAATTATGAAATGCTTTTGTTTTGTCACGTTTCTGCAGCCATTACCAAGTGTCTACGAAGCCGAAACTATGCAACCTATGTGGCCCAGGGTAGGCTGGGGGCCTTCATCCCACAATGCACCTTGGACGGCCATTTTGAAGCCATGCAGTGCCACAGTAGCTCGGGCTATTGCTGGTGCGTGGACATGGACGGTCATGAGATCAATGGTAGCCGGCGAGCACCAGGCATTCATGTCCAACGTCCCGATTGCGAAGGTTGGTCTACACTCAATTGGCAACTTTTAATTATTATTTTTTTTATTTTCAAATTTGCAAATTTGTAATATGAGGCCAAAGTGAAGAACATTGCGATTTGGTGTTGGCATTACAAGTTTCAAAGTTATTATAAGATGAAATATTGCGTCGGGGTGATATAAATCAAATTCAAATTAGGTTTTGCCCTTCACCGACGTTTAAACACTGTATACTCAGTGTGTTACCTCCCGAGTGAAAGTTGGGAAAAGTCACTCGGCTGGGACTCGAACCCACGACCTCCTGCTCTTACCACTCGACCACCGAGCTAACGGGATCGGTTGGCTGGTTCGAATCTGATGTACATAGCGGCAGGTACCGCATAAACTATTATAAGATGGAATTTTGCGTCGGGGTGATATAAATCAAATTCAAATTAGGTTTTGCCCTTAACCGACTTTTTTTTTTTCTCCAACTTTCACTCGGGAGGTAACACACTGAGTGCAGTGTTTAAACGTTGGTGAAGGGCAAAACCTAATTTGAATTTGAAATTTTAAAGTGTTTCTGGAGTGGGAACAAAGTTAACACTGCAGTAGAGTGGGACGTTTGAAACACTCCCGCCCCCTCCTCCATGTAGTGACCTGACCAATAAACAACAGAGCCTGAAAATCAAAGGTCATGCGGCGAGTTTCCGGACCCCTCGCGCGGCCCACCTATGGGCATTTTACATTGGGTTGCCCTTTCTCTTGCTATAAATTTAGACTGCATGATTTCTAACCGCAATCACCCCAAAAAAAACATTCATGTTGGAATTTTTATCTTGGTATTCCTCAAGAAAAAAGTCGAAGAAATCACTTGGAGATGGGTAAAAACAAATATGTACTTACGTCCTTTCACATCCAGCATTTTCGTTTCATCTTTGTCCGAGTACACCGAGTTGCACTAGTCCACATGTAGTTAAGATTTTTTTAAGTGAAAGGTCAATTTTTGGCATGTTATATCTCTTTCATGTCAGGCGATCTTTCAGTTTCCATAAATTGAGATGTTAGTAACAATTTTACAAAGGCCTTTTTCGCAGGTGATTTTCGTAAGAAATGTACCAAAAATAATTGCACGTTTTAGAATTTTTGCAAGTAGATTTTCCTATTCGAGGGTTCCGGAAGTGCCACCAGGGGTGAACTTTCGGGCTCTATTAAAAAAGGAAACGCGAAATGTTAACAACTTGAGTCTTGAATCAAACTTGTATGTGATTTGTCAATCCAAATTATGAATCATTCATGGTATGAGCTGCTTTCCTTTTTCTTTTTGCGTGTCAGCGCTGCGCCCCCGCATGTTGACCACCTGCCAGCGACACCTCAAGCAGGTCCAGGGGAAGAACGGCCAATCGCCGCCGGGCCGGTACGTCCCACAGTGCACCGAGACAGGCGAGTATGAGACCGTCCAGTGCTATGGCAGCACAGGATATTGCTGGTGCGTCAACGAAAACGGGGAAGAGATCGATGGAACACGAAGAGGACCAGGCACGGGCGCGCCGAATTGCGACGGTAAGCATTTGCAACTCCTCAGCTAAACAATCCAGTGTGATTGAAAGAAACATAAACACTGCATGGTATTAGAATCCTCCTATGGAAACATGCATTCTGAGCCATGCTGTTACTTAGGTCAATATTGGTCAAGTGGCCCATTGGTTTGTTAAAAGTACACTAGGGGAAGTGGAAGGAAACTTATAGACCGTTTGTGACCTTTTAAACAGCAGGAGGGTTATCACTGTAGCGTCCAAAATCGCCCTGCCTATTACTCACTATAACGCACAAAATCGCCTGAGCATTTCTGTGATTTCATTGATTCTTCAGTGAATAAACACAATGTAATACAATGTAGTACAGGTGGTAATGGGTTAAAGCATGGTATTAGATTCTGAAATTTAATTGGTTAAGAAATGATCATAGGACGCATTTCAGTTCAACACCTTTTATATTTGTTAGAACAACTATTGTTGGTATCAATAGATTAATTAATAAATAGAGCAACGCCTCTCTGGTACTAAATAAACTATGTAATTTTTTTCTGTGTATTTCACTGCTTTTCATTCCAAATAATGTAATCATTATTGGTATTGGCTAATAACACTATATCACAATTTGAAACTCAGTGGATTAGTGCATGCTGTAGTTTAGTCCAAACATCCCCCTGTCCATGTATGCCACTGTTTCTCTGTCTTTGTGCCAGGAGGTCCCCAGGGCCCGTGCCCATCTCTAGCCAACCAGATAGAAGCGGGATCAGCTACCAGCGACTACCAGCCTATCTGCACCCCCGACGGGCTGTTTGTGCGCGTTCAGTGCGACGGCGTACCCCAGTGCCTGTGCGTCAATGAGACTACCGGGGAAGTGTTGAAGGTCCTCAGTGAGATGCCACAGGACGGGGACTTTGACGCTTGCAATGGTGAGATCTCTAGTCGTCTCATTGAGTGAATCATATTTGTCCACTGCCCCTGATTCATTACTAAGGGAATAACAGTGTGAGGAGCCGGTCTTCTCTGCGTGATAATGACCGGGTGTGGGGGTGACCGCTGTTAATGGACCGAGACTTCGTCTCGGTCCATTAACAGCGGTCACCCCCACACCCGGTCATTATCACGCAGTGAAGACCGGATCCTCACATTGTTATTCCCATTAATAAATACCTTTTTAACGAAATAAACAGTTAAAATGCTCCAATTTTGTGACTTTCTTTCGGCGATATTTCCAGACTTTTTTGTGTTCATGTTCATGGGCCATATTTTAGCTTTGAACAGCTATAACGACGTAAACTCAACAGAAACTGGCTGCCGTAGCGAAACAAATTACAACAATGTTTTCATATCTTTACCTGATGGAGGAAGCTGAAATCTCGTTTACACATTCCTTGTGTCCGGAATTACAAAGATGCTTGGTTTAGGAAAGGTAAATATGTCGGTGGGTGAAGTGTTCAAAGAAAATAAATCGTAGATCTACGCTTTCGTCGTAAACATCCTCAGTATATACTGCACTGCTGTACGATGTCGTTTCAAAACTTCCTTACGCGCGCGCACGCACGCACGCATCCCTAGCAACTGTGTTGCGTACGCGCGCGTTGGTCTCACGCGATGGGGGTTGAGCGCATGTGCAGTGCTCTATTGTTACAAGCTACCGCAGGACTGTTACTATATTTTGACCAATCATTGGCTTGCATGGGGCTGAACGGGGCTTGATCAATGCTGGTTCAGGGGCCATTTATTCGCTTGATCTTTGAAACCGGTCCATTATCACCGTTAATGCCCGGCCACGTGATCGAGTCTCAACCAATCAGGAACCATCAACTCTCCAAGGTATTTATTAAGATCACTTCAAACAGTGGATACTGTCATTGTTCACTCCCTGTTTACTGCCTTGGCCTGTGATTACAACAAGTCAATTCGGTATTCCAAAGTAGTCTGATGCACAGCAAGATTTGACGATTTCTCTTTCCGGGATAAACGCGGCAGATAAATGCACACAAGGCTATGGGGGATGTGGTAACAAAATCTGCATTCTGTGCGATTTTTCTTGCAATCGAAAAGAGATGGAAATTTCTTTCGCACAAAAGTTTTGACACACAAGACACCTTGAAACACTTCGCTGTCCAAAGTTTTTTTCAAAATGTTATACTTCAGAAAACCAATGATCTCTTTAAATTTGCTGGTACCCCACTATGCTTTTGCACGTGTATGATGACATTTTTACCCCGAAAGAAAAATCGGCAAACCATGATGTGCACATGCACAGTTGGAATACCGAACTCACTCATTGTGATTGACTTAAAATACAACTTTGCAAACCATACAGTGTTTACACCATTGTAAAATTCTTCCCCTGGATTTATTTCATCCTTCAGATGCCCACGAGGAACCAACACGCTGCCAGCTGCACAGGAACAGCGTACTTGCCAGGGAGGAGCCCGAGGGCCATATCCGTTACGTCCCACAATGCACCGAGGCAGGCGACTACAGACAGATCCAGTGCTACGGTGACACGGGCCACTGCTGGTGTGCAAATGACATGGGAGAGGAAATAGACGGCACGCGCAAGCGACCTGGGGAGGGAGTGCCCGACTGCACAGGTGAGGATGATCTGATACACCGTGCCCTCTGGAGACGTGTGTACAAGAGGGAACAAAAGATTGTATACATCTCCACAGGGCAATTTCTATAGATGAATACGTCTCCACAAGATTTTCACGAAATAGATATATGGATTTTACTCAAAAACTAGGAATTTCCAAGGTGGGTTGATCTTCGCAAATGGAAGAGTTTTAGAAAAGGGATATTAAGTCCAAATTTTAGCCAAGGAAATCAATTCTAGTTAAAATAAGAGCATTTTGAAACTTCACTTTCAAACTCAAAAACTTTACTACACGATAACAAAGAAATGTCTCCAGAAGAATACAAATTTCAGTATGTGGGGTCTTTGTGTTGGTGGGCTGCACGTTTAACCAGATCGCGCAGGGATTATTTTGACATTGACTGGATCCAGGCGCGGGATTGTTTTTCACGAACCTCGATGCTAGACGGGTCCAGGCCGTCATCTGTGGGTAGCACACCCTGATATTTCCATCCTTGCCTGCTACAAGCAGGTCACTGACAGATATTTTTCATCCTCGCTCGTTGCGTGTACATCCGTCATCCATTCCGAATACCGCAAAAACCTTTGCGTGTATACAAGTCATCCGACGTGAACTGGTTAAGAGCCTAGTTGATGGTTCACACCGTATGCGCTTAACTGGTTCCCGCGCGTATGGCGCAAAGTACGTACGACTATTATATTTTCTGAATGTGCACATAGGCATAGCGTCTATGCGTGAGCAACAGACGTTGTCGGCAATGCGTTGGAATGTCTCTCCTAGTGGTCTCCCCTTACTGTTGAGGGGGGTACCTGCGCACGGAGTCCGTAATAATCGGTCTCAATAAAAATTTGTGACTGCTTCAGAAGTATAGTAAACCCAACCTGATCCCTGGAGCATTTTATTTCATCGGGGAAAAAAATAGTTTAACCATACCACAAGTTAAAGCAGACAGTTTTATACACCTCATTGTCATATTCAGTCAAATAAACCCAAACCAATGTTTAAATGTTCATTTATTTCAATTGGAATAAGTCAAAAAATTTATTTGCACTTTGTTAAAAATCATTTGTTGAAATGTTTGCACCTACCGGTATCATTGTGTTAGGAAAACAAATGTGCACTGTACAAGGATACAGACTGTGGTTGCTAATAGCATTGGGCTGCTGTTACTACTCATATTTGTCAGAATCATTTTTCAGAATAGAGTTGCGATAGTTATACACTGAGATAGTGCACAGTAAAATAGTAAAAACGTGAATACCATATGATGCACTTTCGACCAATAAGGAGACGGGTGGACTTGGGAGGATTCAGGAAGATTCCAAGCGAATTCTTAATCATGACGGAGTTGGGGTACAAATTAACCAAAAGTGTTCTGAATGTCAATGAATTCAGTCAAAGATTGCCGTGTCATACGGGAGGAGGCTCTTTCGTCGGGACTGATCGGCGGTTACATCCCACAATGCACCGAGGAGGGCCTGTATGAGCCAACCCAGTGCCAAGGCGGGACGGGCTATTGCTGGTGTGTGGATGAGAATGGAGAGGAACTGACGGGAACCAGGCGGGGACCAGGAGAGGAACGGGTCGACTGTGAAGGTAACATCTGTTTTTCTTTGTATGGGATTTGCCAAGGAGCAAGTTCAAGCGAGAAATATTTCTAAACACCAATTATCCATTTGAAAAAGTGAAACATTTGCACATTTATCAAAAGTTTGAAGAATAAAATCAATATGACAGCTGTTTCCAAACTTCGCTTTTCACTATATTGTCTTCTTAAATTGTGTTTAACTATATAAAGCCTGTCAAACCTCGCCCAGGTTGGACTCCGTTGTGTACACTCAACGGAGTCCAAGGTATGAATCTCTCCTGCCATAGCGAAAAAATTATAACACATTTTTTGCATATTTGTACCTGATGGAGGAAGCTGAAATTTCGCTTACATATTCCTTGTGTCCAGAATTGTGCCTGCGCTGGGTTTAGAAAAGGCAAATATGTCCGCGGCCGGCGTGTTTACCGAAAATAAACCGCAATCCCACGCTTTCGTTGAAACCATTTTCAGTACGAACTTCCCGCGTGAAGATTACGCATGCGCGTGCATGCACCCATAGCATGCTGCCGCCACGGCAGCAAGCGGCAGCAAACGGCACGCGCGTGTACGTCTTCACGCGGGGAGTTCGTACTGAAAATGTTTTCAACGAAAGCGTAAAACTTGCGGTTTATTTGCGGTAAACACGCCGCCCACGGACATACTTGCCTTTTCTAAACCCAGCGCAGGTACAATTCTGGACACAGAAAATATGTGAGCGAAATTTCAGCTTCCTCCATCAGGTAAAAATATGAAAAAAAATTTGTTATAATTTTGTCGCTATGGTGGTAGAATTTATACCCTGGACGTCAGTTGTAATGCAATAAAGATGTCGTCCAACCTGGGCTACGTCAAACCTGACTTTGGACAGTTAGGAGAGTGCAGGATTCTTAAAAGGTAACAAAATGGGGTTTGTCACGTTTTAAAAGTAAACTCTTCAATTGCCTTAAGCTCATAAATATGCTGTAGGTGTAATAATGATGATTGTCTTTCAGATGTGTGCAGTCTGCCAAAGGTGACCGGTCCCTGCCGGGGCTACTACCCTGTGTTTGGCTACGATGCGGTGACGGGAACCTGTGACAAATTCATCTATGGTGGTTGCCAAGGCAACGCCAACCGCTTCCAGACTCGTCTAGCCTGTTTAATGACTTGCACAGGTAGGCCAAAATGTGGATCACATCCCCGTCACAAAATGTTATGTCTACGGTTTTTCCGCATATTACACTTGTATGTACCCTTTGGTCCATTCCTGGACATTCTTGTAGCCTCAAATGCCTCTACCAAACAAATAACAAGAATCAGTATGGCCTAACCCTTTAGTATACACTTCTCTCAGTGTATAATGTGGTATGCCCGCAGCGTTTCCTATAAGAGGTGAAATTCTTTTACCTTTCCAAACCCTCACAAAAACATATCTTTTCTGAAAAACACTTTTAACTGTATGATCAGATTGTTTAAATCTTCAACATTTTGTTTGTTTCCAAAAATGTTTGAAATGCTGTTAGTTTGTAAGTTTCAGCTCTAAAGCTTTGTGGCTGCTGTGTGATAATTTAGGGGTTCAAAGTATTGTGAACGTTACCCATCTTTTGAAAGTACCCATTGATATAAGAAAATTGAGCTCCGTTGGAATGACTTTTCCAACATCTTAGATTTCCAACCAGAACCAACCACAGTGCCACCTCAAGGCACCACCCAGTCAGTCACCCCCACAGAGTCACCTGAGGAGCCTGCAACGGTTTCATCCACCACAAGTGCATCGTCTGCGACAACATCCTCCCCGTCCACCACACCCGAGCCTTCTTCAGCTTTGCCGTCCACCACCGGGTGGTCCAGTTCAACCGTGAGTCCTGGCTCAACTGCGGCATCCACAACACCTGCAGCATCCACTACGCCAGACTCGACCACGCCCAGGGAGCCCTCCACAACGCCCCAGACCACCACTCTCATTGCGTCCATGTGCGAGATTCAGAGGAAGGAGGCGCTTGCCAACACGCTGCCAGGCGTCTTCATTCCTCAGTGTGAGGAGGATGGGTCCTTCAGACCCAAGCAGTGCTATGAGCTGGTCGGTGTGTGCTGGTGCGTGCACCCAGACGGCATTGAACAAGGAGGGACTAGAGTCCGCATGAATGAGCCCTTGGACTGCCAAGGTGAGCTATTCAATATTCATTTGCTTGCCTATTACATTGCTTTATATTGTGTTACATTGTGTTGACTCCTTAGCTTATACCTAAGGCGTTTGGGCAAAATGAGATAGAACTGGGCACAGGCCGATTGTTTTTTCAATTTTCAGATTGATTGATATTTTGTAATCTGTGTAATGTCTTGCTACACATGTTTTAAAGAAACAGTATAAAAGTCGTGGAATAAAATTGTTTTTAAGGCATCTTTCATTTTCACGGCTACAAAACTCAAAACTGTGAATGCCTTTTTTTCTTCAGTATTTTACTTTTTTCTGGTGTGTCGATCAATGTTAATTTTAAACAACCACAACTTGTCGAGGGAATGTCCCATTGAAGGGCAACAAACAGTATTCTGAAGAGAATTTTCTTCTTGTTTTTCTAATACCTGCAAATCCTCATTTGAACCTCTGTCCAGTTCTGTCTCATTTTTTTGCTAGAATGCCTAGCATATTGTATTTACTCCATTGTTGCCTCAAGGAGGCCACCTTTTAGCTTGTATGCTATCTTGCTCTATGTCATTCCTCATTCTTTGAAACAGGAATGCAATTTAAAGCATCATGAATGAAACCACTATTGTTAAGAAAATTTCCAAATTAAAACTGCATGCGTCAAAAAAAAAAAAATCCAATAACTACGTATAGTCACAATTAGTGCCAACTGGATACTGTTGGGCTGAATGTCAGCTTATTCCTCAATACACAGTGAAGCTAAAACAGGATTGCAGCAGGGATGAAGTCGAGTCCATCACAGGTCTCTGCAAGTCCCTGCAAGTCCGTCATAAGTCCTCCAGTCCCAATTCAACTCACAAGCTATTCAAATGAGTTTTGACAAAGGCATTCCTTTGTTACTGTTCATCCACTGTTACTTGTGACTGGACTTGTGATTTACTTGTGACTGGACTTGTGATTTATTTGTGACTGAACTTGTGATGGAGTCAATCCCTGGAATGATCCTACATCAGCTACTTGTAAATTGCAGGAAATGAAGGCCTGTTGCATTTTTCTTGATCCAATTCTGATTGATCGTCACATAAAATGACACGTCTTTTGTTCCCATATGAGCAGATGTGTGCAGCATGCCAGAGTTTAGAGGCCAGTGCCCAGACAACATCCAGAAGTGGTTCTTCAATGTCGAGGCCGGGGTGTGTGAGACGTTCACCTACAGTGGTTGCCAAGGCAACATGAACCAGTTTAATGATCAGGAGACTTGCGAGCAGACGTGTATCACCCCAGGTAGGACAGTCAGTCAACTTGTGATAAAATCCGTCTTCTTTCACTAATTTTTTGAAACACTATAAAGTTCTTTAATTTTTTTCATTAAGTATATACAATTCTCTGTATTATTGGACCATAAATGAACAACAGGCATCGTAATGTACAGCAGGGAGCCAGGAACTTGAAATTATATGATATCATTTGGCCATCATTCAAATTAGAAATATTTGTGCCTTGCTGATTAATATGTAGTATACGTGGAAGTGCCCCTTTTTTTTTTTTTTAAAACAAACAATTTTTCCCCGCCTGCAGAACCGACAACTTGTACAGAGAAGCGTAAGATGGTCCTAGCCCGTGGCTTGCTGGGAGAATTCATTCCAAAGTGCACAGAGGACGGGCAGTATGCATCGCAGCAGTGCCACGGCAGTATCGGCCACTGCTGGTGTGTGGACGAAGAAGGAATGGAATTGGGAGCCACGCGTCGAGGGCCAGGGGAGGAACTACTGGATTGTGATGGTAAGGGGGGGGGGGGGGAGCTTTCCAAACCTCGGCTTTGTATCTGGCTTCAATTCGGGCGATTCACAATGCAGTGCGCCACCAAGAGTTTGCCACGGAGAGTTCATTTTTCTCAGTGCATTGTGGGAGATGGTCGACAAATTCGCCGCGCGGGACATTTGAAATTGTTTGTTTTTTTCCGGTCAGTAGTTTCGTAAGCGTAAGATGCAAGGATCTGTTTGCCCTTTTCTTCTCTTGTTATCAATGAGGTGTTTTTTTGTAAGTGGCAGAACGTATATGCCCCAATCTATAACAAATGAGTTCAAGTAGTCTACCTACACTCATTCAAATGGGCCATGTTTTGTCGACCGTTAACTTGAAAAATGGACTCTCCATGGCAAACTCTTGGTGGCGCACTGCATTGTGAATCGCCCAAATTTGAAGTTGTGTTCACCGTGCTCTTCGACAAATTCGATTTGGTTTTCTGTTGATAAATTTTCAACTTGTATGTTTTATTCCAACCAGATTTTCCCCCCCTTTTTGGATGTTTACAAGCCTCTGAAAAATGAAAAAAAACAGAGTTTTAGTTTTTGGCATAAATAGATCTGCTTTGCACATAGACTGGTTTCTGGTCCATACATTATCAATACTGATTGTGGGGCAGGAACCAGCCTACCCCACGATAACAGGAATTATTGTCTGGCAGCTGATAATTCGAAATTGCTAAGTACATGTAATAATTCAATAACTAAACACAGGCCAAATTTTTGTTCAGTCCATGTCTCATTCAAGAGAGAATAACTTTTGTATTACTAGAATGAATCTATTTTTCGGGATGAAACTCGAAATTGCACAGGGAGTGCATCTTTAATTTTTTTTGTGAAAGAGATTAATTAGCCGTCAGAATTAAAGCAACACTGGATGGGCAGTCACCGGCTAAACATATTCACCAGCTAATCATATGCATCTCCAAACCTTTTTTTTAATGATTGTAATTGTCGAAATAATTATCAACGAGGAGATTGAGTATGTGATGAAATTGTTACCATTCACAATCTGTTTGACAAGTGCAAGGATTAGTTCGCATGAAACAAGTCTTCGGAACACAAAGGATATGTTATTTCCTATATTTTTTTATATTTTAGATCGAATTAAATTATCTACATTGTACGTGGTTGATGGGCGACAAAGCATCGGATTTCAAAGTGGCTGTTAAGAACGGCCGTCGTTTTGCTCCTATCATTTCGTGGATCTTTTGTTTCTCTCAGATGTATGTCGACTGCCGAAGTACAGCGGACCCTGCAGGGGGTCCAGCACCATGTGGTACTATGATGTCATGGATGAGAGGTGTCAAACCTTCAGGTATGGTGGTTGCCAAGGCAACGGCAATCGCTTTGAGACGGAGGCTGAGTGTCATCGGGCGTGCTATATCCCAGGTAAAAACCAGTTTCTGTTCCTTTTCTTGGCGTAGTCAAAATCGCAAGTCAAATAAAAAAAGTCAGTCACAAGCCAGGTCACAAGGAACAGAGGAAAAGCTGACACTGGCAATATGACAGACAGATATCGCTTCATTAAGGGAAGGGGGGTTGGGGGGCTTTCACAAGTAAAAATTGGCTTGAAAAAAGTTGGTCAATGCCCGGGGGTAGGCACCCCTCTGCACCCCCTTGCTCTTTGTACCTATGTCAAAAATTTGATGGCTTAGGGGCCGTTCACAATTATCAACATTTTCACGAGCGTACAAACCGTACGCTGGGGGGGAGGGGGTTAATGGCCGCCGTACGCTTTTTTTTTTTTTTTAAATGTCGATATGTTTTCTCGCCCGTTAATGCCCGCATAACGTTTTTTTTTTTTTTTAAATATGTCGATCTGTTTACTCGCCCGTCGCCACAGCCGACAGCCCCAACCGATGCCGATCAAGCACTTGCCGAGCCGGTCGCGCCCCGCGCCAGGCCCCGCATTGCATCCCATGAACGTATTGTGTACAGCATGCGCGGCATTGTCCTACACACGTACATGAAAATGTACTGTATGTACATGTACATGTATAGTCCGTATCCACTGCGTGTTTTTAACGGCCGGTGTCACATGAAAACCCTTTAAATCACATGCAAGTGTCTATATATAGACTTGTGTGAAAAAAAATCAACATTTTTTTCGTACACTTTTAGGGGGGAGGGGGGGGTCTTGAAAAAGTGTACTCTTTGTACACTTGTGAAAATGTTGATAATTGTGAACGGCCCCTTAATTACGGCAATTTTAGACTTATTTAGAACTAGCCAGCCACAGTAAAAATCTCTCAATTTCTTTGTTCATTTTGTTTCTTTTCTTATGTCTTTCTTGGATCACTAGAGTTCACTGGCCGACCGCCAACGGTTTGTGAGATTCAGAGAGAGGAGGCCTTATCTAGCGACCGCTTGGACCTGTTTGTCCCACAATGCACCAGCGAGGGTGCCTTTGAGTCCCGTCAGTGCTACGATCTGATTGGTCAGTGCTGGTGCGTGAACGAAGACGGCGTGGCCCAGGGGGGCACCAAGACCAGACGCGGGCAAGTGCCGCTGGACTGCAATGGTAAGATTGTGGACTTCCAAGTTGCCTATAGCCAAGACTTCTGTCACATATAACCACTAACAGTCAGTGCCTACATGCACACAAGTTCATAATCATTTGCTCTTGGTGCTATTTTTGTTTGAAGCATATCACAATCTAAATTATTTTAAGTAGGGTACATAGCAACTAACCGCTTTATTTTTCAGTTCAGTGGATACTATACATTTTAGAAAACAGAGAAAACACATGAACAATTTTTGGGGGTCTTATAACTTGATTCCATTGCAAACTATTAAATTAGTGAAGAAAGTTGTTGGGTCTTTTATTTGATGGGATCCATGGTAAAAATTGGATGTGTGGTTAACTGGAACAAAGACATTGACTAACTGGGGAGCTGCCAACATGGGGCTGGGTAGCTCAGTTGGTAGAGTGCAGAAACTGTTAACTGGAGGTCGCAGGTTCAAACCCTGCTCCAGTCAATTTCTTTGTTCAACCTTAAAATAATTAATTATAATACACATAGTCAGTGGAGTGCTGTGGCCTCGTGGTTAAGGGCACTGATTCATGGTCTGTGGGCAAAGCTGCAGGTTGTGGGTTCGAGTCCTGGCGGGGTAAATAGGTACCTGTGAGGGCAGAGATGGTTATGTGATTGATTTAGCTTGCTTGCGCCTAATAGGCAGCATCGAGCTGTATACTCCCCAGGGAGCTGAGATGGTATTTGGAATGTTTAATTGGCCCAATGATCAGGGGTAATAATAATACTGTAAGCACCGTGAGTTAGTTTACTAAAAAGGGCGTTCTTAAATGCCGATTATTATTATTATCATTATTATTATCCCTATGTGGTGTCAATTGAAGATTTGTTACAATTTAGTTGTATATCCTGTTTTTACTGGTTCTATAGTGTGCCAGCCTGATTTGCTCTTTGTACCTATTTCACTGAATGACTAACTGACTGACTGACTTTTCACTTGTGACTTAAACTGGTTGCGGACTGGAGAAGAGTCAGACAGTGCACTACAGGATTACCCGATAACGATGATGAATGGGCTAAATCTGGCCCATTGTGTCGACCATGAACAGACTTGCAGTGAATATGTGACCAGCTCCACAAAAAAGGGTATTAAGTCGTGCCGAGCATTATTGTGTAATGGCCCGCTCAACATTGAGAGGTGAAAATTTCGTCAAAATGTGATTTTCATTTTTTGTCATGAATGACATCTTTAATACCTACAGTTTCAGGTTTCATTCACAGAAAAGTTGATTTTGATGAATAAAGTGGGAAAAAACAACCATTTTGTGTTTATTGTTCTGTTGTTCTACAACAAAGCCAGTTATTTCAAGGCCTGTTTTCTCAGTTGTGTAATATGAACTCCAAGGAAGTATTTAACATGCAAATACATCATATCTCCAGAACGGGAGGGGCTGTGGAGCTCTATTATATATCAAATGAAAGCTTACGTTGTGGGCTTTCCAAACATGTATATAACTCAATTTCACTTTTTTTGCGACATAATACCCTTTTTGTGGAGCAGGTCACATATAGCCACTCTGAATCAATTGAATAGAATTGTTTGCACTTAAGGAATAGCTTTGTTTATGCTTGCTTAGTCTTGATGTAAAAGCTAGATATACGTATCTATCTATCTATATCTATCTGTCTGTGTTGTATCTGCAGACAAGTGCTCCTTCCCTAAGTTTGTTGGGCCTTGCCGTGCCGATATCCCCAAGTGGTACTACAACATGGGGACCATGTCTTGTGAGGAGTTTGCCTACGGTGGCTGCGGAGGCAACATGAACCAGTTTGACAGCCAGGAAGAATGCCAACAAGCCTGTCTACCACAAGGTATAGACCTTAAAGAGGTTGTGGAGTGCTCGAAGACATTTCCGTCATTTTTCGGGTATATGTAGCCTAAGGTGTAATGAAATAAAAACGACTATTGTTTCTGTCATAAAATGAGTACAAAAGGTACTTTTGAGAGCTGTTTTTCAAGTCCTGTCATGCCTGTTTCGACCCGAACCTGCAATTTGTGTAAAAGTCGTCGTTGCGGGCAGCAAAACACAGTAAATCGTGACGTAATTAACAGGACTCGTTTATGCTACTCTGCATCGGGAGTCCTGTTTATTACGTCACGATTTACTGTGTTTTGTTTGCTGCCCGCAATGACGACTTTTACACAAATTGCACGTTCGGGTTGAAACAGGACCTGAAAAATAGCTCTCAAAAGTACCCTTTGTACTCATTTCATGACAGAAACAATAGCCATTTTTATTTCATTACACCTTAGGCTACATATACCCGAAAATTGACGGAAATGTCTTCGAGCATTCCACAACCTCTTTAAGAATAGTTGTTTACCTGGTCTTGATAGGAGTGTATGCCAGGCATGCAACTTTTCCTCGAATCCGCTGATTTCCTTGTTTTTTACTTCTCGTGAATGCCATTACAAATTGAAAAGCACTGTACAAAGTCTTGCAATGTGTGGTTTGGAGTTTCTCCGTTTTTATAAATTCCCAGTTGCATGCTTGTTACTCACAATACAGAGCGCCACCAAGATGTAACCATGGAGAGGCCATTTTTCCCAGGGCATTAACAGGGAAAACAGTCAACTATTTTGCGCCAAATTGTACTCTTTTGCACAAGGGCAGAGCATTTTTTAATATTTTGTGTTTTTTGGGGGTGATGACTAAAGTTGAAATGTTTCTAGTGTGAATATATTTATTTAAAAAAAGCTTCCAAATCCATTAGTGTGTGTGTGGTATCGTTAACAGTGAAGGGCAAATGATTTGCAGAAGAACAAAAGTGGCCTATCCCAGCCAAAAAGTTGGCTGGCTCCTATATCCGTCAGTTCAGTAAGAACGCTCATTGTAGTCCTTGACTGCTGATGTGGAGTCCATTAATTTTACTTAGGTAAGGTAGATTTGCTATGACGCATACAGCAATCAGGACAATTTGTAAGGGTTTGTGGGTACTGCCTGCATGTCAACATGTACAGGTATGATGTGAGGTCAGGTCCCATTTTCATGGTGCGCTGCTAAGCACACAGTTCTCTGCTAACTGAGCCTCTACCCATTCCATAGCGGCTGTAAGCATCGAGAACAGCAAGGAGCACACTAACATCACGGACACCATTTGCTTATAAAAGTGACGCAACGATAGAAATCCATAAAAGAAAGATGTAATTGGCTTTTCAGCCAGTGGAATATGTGATGCGATCAAGCTAAATGAGTCGTTTGTCGAACCTGGTCAAAATTGTTTTTATTACAGATTTAAAAAAAGCACAATCTCAGCATTACTGCTGTGAAAACTGCATGCTGATACCATCTTTAGTTAAAAAATTATGAAGGTTGGAACACCAAGAGATGTGACGAAGTGATGTGATGAAGTGGCCCTATTTTGGCCTGAATCTCCAAATAAAAGTTCCCGACAAACGACTCATTTAGCTTGATTGCATGTAAAAATTCCTGACAAATGACTAATTTAGCTTGATTGCATCACATATGTTTAGGGGGGTTTCCTTGTTAATTTTTTTTTAATTTCTTTTTGATTAGTTTGGTTTTTAAAGGCTGTAATTAGACCAAAGAAAAACAGTTGGGCCACTGCCAGTTGAAGATGCATTCATTACAAGTAATTAATATTATTTTTTGTTGAAAGGTCCTGAGATGCTTTCCTGTCAGATGCAGAGGGAGGAAGCCTTGGCCAACCCCACCCCCGGCAGGTTTGTACCCGAGTGCACCGAGGATGGCTGGTTCACATCCAAGCAGTGTCACGGCAGCACGGGCCAGTGTTGGTGCGTCACCGAGACTGGAATGGAGCAAGGGGAGACCATGCGGGAACCAGGGATGCCTCTGGTGGATTGTGACGGTAGGCAAAGCAATTTCTTAATGAGGTTGTTTATCATCGACAGATTTTTTTTTATATTAGAGAAGACCGATAAATAAAACAATGGCACAGTCCCAATTTGTTTTGTATGCTTAAATGTATAAATATAAAACTGCTTAAATTTCTTAAGGATTTTCACATCCGGCACCTTCAAAAATGCAGACGTCAGAAATGAGCTTTGTATCGTTAAAAGCCAGCAGTCTGCTTGAACTGACCAGGGGGGCTCTTCACATTAAACATGCTTGCTCCGTGTCAGCACTCTGTGCTGCCCTGTGCTTGATATCTGCTAGATGGAGTTTGCACAGTAGCTAACAGATGCAGAACCTTTTGAGTGCCCCCCTCCAAGAAAATGAGGCCCCCAAAAGTTCCCCCCACAATTGAACCCCAGTAGTACCAATGGCTTAAACTTAAACTTTCTAGATAATTTTGAAATGTTCTACTCAAAGCCTGCTTGCCACAGTAGTAAAGATCGAGGTACCATGATTTTTTTTCATTTCTACCTCCCAAATAGATATGTGTAGTTTCCCTAAGGCCACCGGGCCTTGCCTGGCCTACTTTGCCATGTGGTACTATGACACTGAGGAACGGGCGTGCCAGCAATTCATCTATGGTGGTTGCCAAGGCAACGGCAACCGATTTGAAAGCCGAGAGGAATGTGAGCGATCCTGCACGGTGCAAGGTAATACAAACTTTAGATCACATGTATAATTTGTCTAATATAATAAATGACTGCTTATAACTTGGCCAGATTTCCTACGTAGGAGATGCCACAGTTGTAACGATCAAATTAGCCCTGCACGAAAGCAAAAGTGAAAAACAGAGAAGTTGTTTTCAACGTTACCACTTTGTTTGCCCACCTTTTATTTTTATGCCCCGCGGCGAAGCCGAAGGGGCATACTGTTTCCGCCTTGTCCTTCCGTGGGTGGGTGTGTGGGTGGGTGGGTGTTCCTGCATGGCATTACGCCTGAGGACAGACAACAAAAGGAGCACAAAGGGGCCATTGATCCTCGAAGGAAGGTGCCTATTGTCCTCGAACGCAGGTTTGTGTGCTTAGTCTATGGGAGAGTGTTATATTACAGGGACAAAGGAAAACACAAAGCCAATCCTCGGAAGCATAGCAAAAAACGACTATGTGGGTGTGTGTGTGTGTCCGGACAAATCTTGTCAGCGCGATAACTTGAGAAATACTTAACATATGAACTTCAAATTTGGTTTGTGGATTGTTCTTGGTAATCCTAAGAAGCCTTTTGCATTTGGGGCCAAAAGGCCAAAGGTCAAGATCACAGTCGCTAAAACAATAGAAATCTTGTCAGCGCGATAACTTGAGAAATACTTTACATTTGAACTTCAAATTTGGTTTGTGGATTGTTTTTGGCAATCCTAAGAAGCCTTTTGCATTTGGGGCCAAAAGGCCTAAGGTCAAGTTCACAGTGGCTAAAACAATAGAAATCTTGTCAGCGCGATAACTTGAGAAATACTTTACATGTGAACTTCAAATTTGGTTTGTGGATTGTTCTTGGCAATCCTAAGAAGCCTATTGCATTTGGGGCCAAAAGGTCAAGGGTCAAGTTCACAGTGGCTAAAACAATAGAAATCTTGTCAGCGCGATAACTTGAGAAATACTTAACATATGAACTTCAAATTTGGTTTGTGGATTGTTCTTGGTAATCCTAAGAAGCCTATTGAATTTGGGGCCAAAAGGTCAAGGGTCAAGTTCACAGTGGCTAAAACAATAGAAATCATGTATTTATTCTGAGATTATAGGGATTAGGGATTAATTCATATAAAACCTACAGAAGACACTAATGCTGTCAATGAATGTTCCATGTGACCAAGGTACATGTAAGTTGATGTTAAAAGAGTGGTGTTATGTCATGGGAACTGTCACCGTTGCGGGGCATTTGTGTTTGTAAACACACCTGACTTCTTGTTTCTTTTTTTCCACATTTTTTTTTCAATATTCAAAGCTGCATGCACAGCAATTTCTGTGCAACCGCTGATATGAATTATGTTTGTGCTAAAACATTTTTCTTGTGTTATTGAAAGCAGAAATATTTTCTTACCATTGCACCCCCAAATACATTATTACTATGACAACAAATCACGAAACACATATGGGTGATTTGTCTTGAAGATCCTTTTGTGATGTTGTACATCTTTCCTCCCTTCCTCCCTCAGTAACCACAACCTCCGAGCCCGTCTCGCTCTGCCTGGTGACCAGACAGCATGCCCAGGCCCAAACCATCGTCGGCAACTTTGTACCGCAGTGCACAGCTGAAGGTCTGTTTTCCAGGCTGCAGTGCCACGCAAGCACTGGTTACTGCTGGTGTGTGGATGAGATGACTGGGGAAGAGATTGTCAGCAGTATTCCCAAGGTGCCAAGGGCCCGACCGGACTGTGATGGTAAGGAGTCATCTCACTCAGAACCCTCCGCCGACCCATTCAGCTCCAAAATCAAGTCCAGTTTGCTTAATTTTTTTGTATTACGCCGACATTTTCTGGTATATTTCACAAGTTCCTCATTCAAACATAGCCAAATAGCGTGGTGAGTGTCCCTTAGCTTGGGTTGAACTATTGACCCTGAAAATCCTAGCCAAACATTAACCCCTCTGACAAGAACCACAAATAAATCCTTTTGGTGAGTCTAGCCAGTTTCGCAACAGGGTGTGGATAATCATCCTGTCTGTCAACAAGGAAGCTCAAGTAACAGCTGCTTACAGTCTGTAACATCCCAAGTTGATAGATAGCACATGGTAGCATTGATTTGGACTCCATACCCTGTGTGTGGCAAATTATGAAATCTGATGTTACTGTATATAGTACACCCTGGGGCGCTAATACAGGTATAACCAATCCAAGCCAAACTTTCAAAAAAGGAGTTCTAGCACCCATCCATCCATCCATCTGTTTATAGTCCATCTGTCCCCAATCTCGACGGTTGGACTCCATGATGATCATGTCCTCTTGGTTGGATAGCTTTCCTTCACTCCACTCAGTTCAATGCCAGATTTGCATTGTCTGTATGCATTTCAGGTCATTGTTGATGTTGTTGCTCCACATTTTCTTTGGACGGCCATGGTACTAAGTCTAGTTCTAGATTTTCCATTGCTACAGCCTTGTAGAAATGAAGGGTCCTTTTTTCTCTCCAAATAGCCTACTACGAGAACAGCACAACCACGGCTAATGAGCCTATGAGTAATGGCACTGAGCCTACCGATGGCGTGACTCTGAGCCCTAGCCATCCATTAGGTGATGAGGGCTGTGCTACGTCAACGTTTGGCTGCTGCCCGGATGGCGTCACCCAAGCCAGCAGGGAAGATCGCTTCGGTTGTCCAGGTGAGTTGCTTGGCCCAATCATTGAATTATTAGATGATGACTTTTTGTCTATTGCGTACCGTAGCTCAGGCCCCGATTATCCAATAGGCACAGTAGGCATTGTGCCTAGGGCCTACACAAAATTTGAGGACCTACGAAAATATCACAGTGTGCCATAAAACACATACACCCACAACGACACCTACGCACACGCAAGAAATAAGCTTTTAGCGTCTCTCTCAGAATTTTCATTTTCACCAACTGACAGTGACTTAGCTGCTGGAACATGTACGTACAAAATTTACGCGTAAAGTTTGTCATTGTGAAGCACGGTGCCAACAGGCTTTTAGAGCTACCAGTTTGGCCTGGGTTGCTTAGGACAGCTTAGTATCAAACTGATGGTGCCTAAGGCCTACGGAACAGTTACTCCGGCCCTGCAGTAGCTCAGGCAAAGTCAGTCAAAGGCACAGTGAGATCTGTACGCAAATTAAAGTCAAAAGAGTTCCTATATTTCCATATTCCCTGTCATGTACAGGTGTCACCCCAGCCATGGTGGAAGTGGCCCCCTCGGATTCCACAGTAATCTTGGGCGGTACCCTGACTATTTCCTGCCGCGCCCAGGGTAACCCCACCCCGTCCATCACGTGGCATCGCAACGATGTAGACATCATGTCTGCTAGGGACAGCAGGATTAGCGTGAGTGAGGACGGCACGTTGGTCATCGAGGACGTAATGGAGGCAGACGCTGGGCCGTATGTCTGCAGGGCGTCCAATGGAGTGGGACAGGCTGCCAAGGTTGCCGTGGATGTAGATGTCTTCAGTAAGTAGATTGGCTCAGCACTTAAGCTCAGCTTATTATAGAGGAACATTAGTAGGACTAGCTTTGCCGAATATACCGAATATTAGATCATCAACCTAATATCCCAATAGCATTGTTTTTTAATTTAAAAATTCAAAAAGTGGCGGGATCTTCTTGTGGCAGTATGAATGCCTTTGGTAGAGTTGTCCTTGTGGGTTACCATATCCTTTATGTGAATATCCTACAAGTGTCAAAACTCCCAATATGTGGGACACACTATGCTCACACTGTTTCACAAATGGGTACTCATTGGTAGCATTTTCGCAAGAGTGCAGATGGCAGTGACGTTCATGTGCCCGCTGTATCTCTGTGTTGAGGGGTAATAGTGCATAAACTCAATAGAAGGCATAGTGCATTTTATGTGGATTATTCCGTGGCAGCCAGTCAGTGTTGTCGGCATCTTTTTTGAGTACTCATCGACTTTATTGCCAAATACTTAACTAGTTTTATGTTAAAATTAGCCATATAGAGCATGGACATTGCTTAATTAATGCTTCACAGACTTAACAGTAAATCAAAGACTTCCGACTTGACCTTCTTTTAGGGAAAACAGCTCAGCTGTGTAACCTTTGCACCGCGTCCCTCCGGCTTTGATGTACAACCAGCTGAATATTTAGAAATAAATTCAGTATTTGAAAAGTACTGAACTACAACTCTGAAGCCAAGTAAAAAGTGGTTCTTTCAGGCTTGTGCATAACGGTGCCTTGAGCACTTGTAAATGTTGAGGTGTCATAAGCTTGGCTCATCTCCAGCATGAGCTGTAGGTTCTAGCTACCGGGTAAATTGTTTCAAAAGCTAGCACACTCCAGTTGCATTTGTTGCTACAGAACAACATACGATCATCTGACGTTTGGAGTAATATTTATTTGCATGTGCAGTAAACTCTTGAACTTATTCCGTCGATGTGGATCTGTTGCAAAAGACGAAGCCAAGGTTGGGAGAATGGCCAAGGAGTTCCTCCTTGACCAAAATGAGTTTAAGGACAATTGTCACTTGTTAATTGGGTTACTCGTCAGTCAAAACGATTAACTCTTATTGGCATAGTGATCTTTCCCCTAAGCATGTGTGTTCACTGTCGGAAATGTAGGCTCACTTCCTCGGGTTGGCAACGGTAAACACACATGCTTAGGGGAAAGATCACTATGACCATAAGAGGTAATCCTTCTGACTTTATTGAGTAACACAATTAACATTAAAGGGACCCAGGCGCAGGATTGTTTTTCATAAACCTTGATGTCAGGCGGGTTCAGGCTGTCATCTGCGGGTAGCATACCCTGATATTTCCAGCCTTGCTCGCTCGGCAGGTCAGAGACAGATATTTCCGGTCTAGCTCATTGCATGTTTATTTGTCATCTGTTCCAAATACCGCAAAATGTTCGCGTGTATACATGTCATCCGATGTGAACTTGTTAAAGACTTCTGACCTACTTTGTTGGGTTGGGTCACAATTACGGTAGCTTTATAACAGTTGTGTGACTATCTTTTTTTTGACAGCACCAGTGCAAATTCCCGAGACCAGCCAGCATTCCGTGCGGGCCAAGGAAGGGGATGTAGTAGAGCTACAATGCCAGGCAACAGGCAACCCCAAACCCGTGGTGACCTGGATGCAAGGCGTGGCCTTCCTGCCCGGCAACGACCCCCGCATGACCCAGCTGGATGACGACACGCTACACATAGAAAACGTAGAGCTGGGCGATGCGGGTAACTACGTCTGCACTGGACGCAACATGTTTGGCACTGTGCAGAAGAAGACGGTGACTCTAACAGTAGAAGGTAAATCAGGCCCTCGGTATCATCATCCGCATAACTCTTCAGTTATGGACCATTATTGAGCTGAAGTCCCTCAAGTCCCTTGCCAGCTCTCCTCAAGCCAAAGCCATATACAAAAAAGAGTTTCAAAACTCAGTTTCTTATGATTTTATTAAAATAAGTCATATGTTTTGCTCAATTTAAGCATTAAAATTGGCATTAGTGGGATGCCACCTTTACTTGTTCAGGAATCATCTTCATAATTACACATACTGAGTAATTACACAGAGCGGTGTGCTCTGCCTGTCGTCGGGAGAATGAACATTTTCCTGACGACGGGCGGAGCATGCTGTTCGGGGCGTTGGGTCCCTCCGGTTCTTTTTCGGAGCCACACGTGCTCACGGGGGAGATTTGTTCACGTGGTGCTACCGCGGACTTAACTTGTCTTAGTATCTTTCCACCATGCAAACCTTCTAATCTCACAGTACAGGTACACAGTAAATTGACATATCTTACTTGCCTACGGACAGATGTTATAAGTTATTTTTTTTTTTTTTTTTTTTTTTTTTTTGTATTTGTGTAGTTTTTACATTCGTGCTTTTTATGTGTTTTAAACCAAATGACGTGTAAAAAGGCCATGGAATTTCCCGCAATGGGATTATCAAGTTTTATTGTATTGTATTGTATTGTATTGTTAATAATGACTAAACAGAAGCACATTGTTTTGTTGTACCTGTACAGCGGAGGTGCAGATTGTGAACGTGCCCCAGGATGTTACAGCTGACGTAGGAGCTACTGTCAGGCTGTCTTGTGGCAGCACAGGCTCACCCAAGCCCACTACCCGCTGGACGGTCAACAACGTAGGGCTCCCTCCCATGGACCGCTTTGAGTTCATGTCCACCGGGGATCTCATTATCAATGGTAGGTTGTCATTGTTAACCTGAGTGTATTCAAGGGCAAAGCAACGGGGAAGGGGTGGGGGGGGGGGTCTGAACACTCCCATTACACAATCCCAGTCTCCCCCCGCCAAAAAAAAGATAATAAAAGCCAAAAAGAAGAGGTCCAGATTTAAAGGGAAAATACAACATTTGCAAACATCAAAAAATAAAACTACCAAATCATTTTGAAATACCTTGCTGGACTGTTAGTGAATGACAGTGTAAAGTATCCTGTAAAATCATGGCACCTGGTATACTGTCATTTTCAAGAAAAGTGGTATTTTTGTATCAATTTCCAACGCTGGTCGGCCGACCAGCGTTGGAAAAAACTGGCTTTTTTTCAAATACTGGCCCCAATTGACCATCGCACTTGTTTGCAATCGATTACACACCTATGAACGGGTACAAGCCAGCTAGACTGGTTCCCTGACCTTACAATTCCCCAATGTATGTAAACTGCTCTGTTTCTTCATATATGGAGTCAGGGAGCCAGACTACAGGAAAATGATTGTTTTTCTTGGTTTTTATAGCATTTTCGAACCAAAACCTCAAAAAAGTCAGTGTAACTATATTTGCTATATATTTCCAACCCCCCAATTCCATCCATTTCTGAAAATTACAGCAAAAGCAAATGATGTATATTCCCTTTAAAGGGTTAAATTTAAGTCCAAATTAATCTCTTGACGGCCATTCTTTGGTCACTGTGTAACATAAAATGGGGCTCGTCTGATTTTTTAAGCTTTACCCCTTTTATTACTTTCACTGATTCATTTGGTTAGTACTTTTTACTCCCTACCTCAGAGTATAGTTTCTACTTTCACAAATTGTGTCAAAATATTAGGAGGGGTCATCAAAGTTCAGTCACATGTGTGACATCAGACGAAAAAAATGTTGTCCGGCCCATATCGGAAATTCACGCTTTTCTCCAATTTCTAAGGACACACGCACCCATACTTATTTTGGAGTAAGACTAGTCGTTTGTGATTTACAGAATGCATAAACAATGTACACCCTCTGCTTTAGGTTAAAATGGGATTTGTTCTGTAGTCACGTGCGTGACATTTTGATCGTTCAACGTCTGTGACATTTTGTAATTAAAATTATGCTACTTTATGCTCGGAAAGACCAACTTACGAAATTTCTTAAGAAATTTGCATCTTTCTTACCAGCAACACTTGAGTGAACAATAATGCAGTTGTACATTACATAAAAATCTCCCCCCCCCAAAAAAAAAAAAAAAATAAGTTCTGAAGAATGGCTTTACCAGTATTTTAGGACTCCACAAAGTCGTATTTGGGCGTGTGTGCACATAGTTGTCATTCCTTTTTGAAACGCCAGATGACTTCTCATCAGAAATATCCTGCAGTTTGGTATGATTGCCAGAAATCCCTCTTTATTGCAACGTTGTATGATATGTCTTTGCCTTGAACTGTTTAATGTCCCAGGTCTGAGGAGTACCGATGCTGGTACGTATACATGCACTGCAGCTAATGGGATCTCAAGTCACAGTGCTAGGGCTACAGTCACTGTCCTGGGTAAGTCAAGCTGAAACTTTCTGTCTGTGACAGATTTGTTTTTTGTTTTTTAAAGCTATAGTCCATCATTTGTAATTTTGTGCATTTTGTTCGTTTGAAGCAACAAAAGTGCTCAAAATCTAAAGAAGGGTATTGAACAACTAACCTAATGGGGTTTCAGCTCAGCTTCAGCTGTATATTCCGAGAAAAACAGCATTCTAGGATCTCAATTTCAAATCAAAAGTTGCTGAATCATGTTTTGAATTGCGCCTGAATTCAGCGTCCGAGACACGTTCTCGCTGAGCCGATTGCAGCTACGAAGCACCGTTGGAAAGGCATTCTTTCGTTGATTACTTCAAAATGACAGCTTGCCAGAAAGAATAATTTCACAGGGAGTTTAGTCCACTTACTATCTTTCAACCAAGTATGTTTTTCAACAATAACGACGCCAGCCACTTTTCGGATAGCTGCAAATGATGGACTATAGCTTTAAGAAACAGGATTGATTACAGATTGTGTAAGGCCAAAAAATCTATGTGTGCAGTAAGCGTAGTACGTGATGCATTAAAATCAATTGTTCAATAAGCAATGCATACGTCCTTTGTGTATTGCGTTATCCTAACGGCGTTGTCCATTGAAATTGTATGCACTTCGGGTAGCGATTGAACAGGATCAAGATTTGTTGCCTGCAACTTAAAAAAAAACCGACGAAATGGAGGGGTAAACGATAAATATTAATGGTTGGCCTAAAAAGAAAACAGTTTGTATGTGAATCCTATGGAGAAAAATTAAGGCCTACCTTGATTTTAACTTTTAATTGTTTGTTTAGTAAAATGTGTACTTTTGCAAAGCTGATCAACTTGAAATTCTCTCTTTTTGAGCTTTTAAGTCTGCCAAGTGTGCAGAGAAATATGTACACATGGATTTTCAGAGTACGCATCACGGATACCCAACTGGTTAACACAGCACAATTGTGCACAACGAAAACAGACACTCTTCGGTCTTATATGTCACATTTGTTGCTGTTGTTTTCCTCATTTATTTTCCTGTCAGACATTTCTTGGGTTTTTTTTCAAGAAATCTTTACAGATTAAAGCTTTATTTTTGTAAGCATGTATGTACATTTCCCATCTCCTGCAGACAGACAGACCATACTGTCCATAATGTCGAGTTCTTTTCAGAACCACACACACACACACAGATTTGAGTACGTAATGATTCCATATCTATCTATCATGAAACCCTCGCATAAATTGATTAACATACCTTTGGAATAAGAAGGAGTATGTTGCTTATTCCAAATGTTCAAACTTAAGTGTTCTCTTACTTATCATTAGCCTATTTGAGATATGACAGACACATTATGAGCAGGCGCGGATCTGGGGGGGGGGGGGGAGTTCAAAAAAAGAGAGAAACCCCCCTGCTGTGACACCAAAACAATTTTTTACTGGTAATAATGTCTGCGTTTGCACAAAATACGGACAGAGCCAGCTTAGTTAGGAGGTATTTGTCACTATTCTGTGATATAGTGTTAATAATCATCAGATTTGAACAGTGCCCCCCCCCCCCCCCACCACCTATTGGTTTCGGAGGCAAAATGTCCAGAGAAAAAAACTGTCTATATTTCAGAATGTTTTGCCGATGAAACACCCCCCTGCGAAAATTCCTGGATCCGCCCTTGATAAATACAAATATAAAAAGACTTTACCCAAATCAAACAGCAGCCTCTTATTGTTTCTGCCATATCTCAAATAGGCTAATGTGTTTTTGTGCTTGCCCTGCAAGTCGTTCATCCGTTGCTTTGTTTTTTGTGTTAATCCAGGCGCGGCCGTTGATCCCAACTGTAAAGATAACAACGCGTACGCCAACTGCCGTGTGGTCCTTCGCGCCAACTTTTGCCACAAGAAGCCTTACGACACGTACTGCTGTGCAACGTGCCAAGACAGTCAGATGCGTGGACGTCGCCGACGACGATAAAACCTTGTCATCACGAGTTAGAATTATTTACTATCGCATTCGCTTCTGAGACGAAAAACAGACACGTTCATGTTTCTGAAATGTTTTAACTTGCACAGACTTTTTAAAAAACATTTTTTTTTTTACAAAAAGTGTTTTTTTATCTTCATATTACATTTGACACAAACCTTTTGTAGGATTTTTATATGGATATATATTTTTTACAGTAAAGCAAGCTGAAGTGATATTTTGGCTGCATTGGTTCTGTGCTGTTGTGTGGGATTTAGCGGTGCATGCATATGTTCAGGCATGTGAAGAAAAATGGCATAGAAAACGAATACACTTTTGCATTTCTAAGAAATGTACCTCAGATTCAAATGGTGCTGTTTAAGGTTCTTTTTAATAACAATTCAGATTGCAATTTATGTGTTTTTTTCACTAAAAGTAACTTTTTAATTAAAAGTAAATTTTTAAACTTCCCCCAAGAAGACAGACTTAAGGTTGTTAAGAAATATTAAATTTGTAACAAAAAAATCAAATCAAAATGCTCTTTGACTGAGGTTTTGTGTCCAGGAAAGAAGTTGACTTGAGTTTTGTCCTTGATTTGAATGATTTGCCAATTATGCAACAATTATGAATGAATTCCCTGGCACTGTGCAATGACATTGTACTTTACCTACACAGCTGTACTGACCCCAGTTCTTTCTCCCAACGGGGTAATAAACTTATTTGCAATTTTTTTGTCTGCTTTTTTTTTTACTTCCAAAAGAAATACTGCTATCTTTCTAATTTTAATGTCTTTCGCATATTTTTGGGCAACAACATTTTCATTCAGGTGTCTTTTTTTAATTTACATTTACTGTTTTGTTTTTTGACATTTTGAAGCTAGTTTTAATTCGGTCCTTTTCCAGATATATTTGTCTTTCACAAAAAAGCAGGATATTCGTTTGTCACCAAATGTTGGATGTCCATGGAGGCACAAATTATTTTGTATTTTCTCTTTTCTGCTGTAATAATATCGGACTAGGTTTTGAGGTACAGAGAGAAATCTTTCTTTGTTGTCTCCATATTGTCTTCCGCATGCAGCGTGTGTAGTTTCTGCTTTTTAAGTTATTTTTAGCTATTCAAAGACACTGCCACGGCGCACTGATACAAATGTGAACTTGATAATGGACGTCATTGATTTGAATGAACTGCACATACACTGATGTGTTATACTTGCACACTTCAAGGCTGGCACGTTGTGGCAAAAGTGAGCATCCCTAATACAAGTGTACATTTGGAATCTGCTAACTTCCAGCTCTTTTCCGACCAAGCTTCGGAAACAAGTGCCCTGAAATTTCAACCCAGCATCCACAGAGACCATAAAAAGTTTGTCAATATGTATTAATGTCCTCACGAAGTTTTTATCCAATTTATAATTTGGGAGGATTGTAGTAATGCCTATTTGTAATAGATCAATGCATTTTGATGTGACGTTTTGTCTTAAAATAGTTAAAGTGTTGAAATTAATCAGATGCTGCCGAAGAAATATTTATGAACGCGTCTAATTTTAGCAGTCGCTGAATGTTTTTTGTTATGAATAGGAACTACATGTATTTTTAAACGTTTTATACGCCTGCAGATAAACATCTGTTCATTTTATTTCCAAGAACAGGCGCATGTATACTTTGTATAATAATTTCGTACGTGTAGATCGTGTACAGCAGTGAAGTACAGCTTTATCCGTAGTTTTTGTTTTACATTTTAGAAATATTGAATTTACATTTTAGCACGTTTCAGAGATTAGTTTGTAGCAACACGTGTACTTCTAATTGAAACCTAAATTATTATGATTATTTTTTACAGTAAATGTATTCTGTTACAAAAGGGTGCCAGTTATATTATTTACTGCCGATGATTGCAATGGTGCTAGTTTGCTTTTCGTAAACTTAAGTAGATTTGTGAAACTGTGTCGTATTTTTAAATACGAAGAGTTGAATTTAGCTTTTTTTTTCAAAGAAAAAATGAGTATAGAACGGTGTCTCATGAAATACGACCAATTTTTACATCTTCCTTATGAAGAGAAATAAATAGCATCAGGGAAATGTCGTCTTATATTTTTCTCCAATAAAATTAAGTCAGAGATACTTCAACTCCCTTTCCACTGGCGTTCGTTTATTTATTTTGTATTAATTTTGTATTTTATTAATTTATTTTTGGTCCTTTTTGTTGGGGGGGGTATAATGTGTGAAGTAAATTATCTTTTTGTGTGTATTCCTATACATGTATTTATTGTCGTTTTCAACCTTACGTGTTTCCCTGAGCTGTCCATGGTTCACGGTATCCTACTCTGTGGTGGTGGTAAAGGAGGATCTGAATTTGTATCCAAAACTTTAAGTTGCGCAGAACTTTACCCCCAAATGGCATGCCATTATACCCTTGGACTACTGTTTCTTCTTTTTTATTCTGTCGTATTTAGTTTGTTTCCTGAAGCGTTGTCAGCAAATATTTCATAGACCAGTTCATTTTCTCCCCATTGATCTCGGGGCATACATGTACTTTGTGTTTTCCCGCCAATTTGAAGTTGAGCACGTCCACCGTGGGCGATCCTGCGACGTGCGTATCTCTATCTCAGCCAATCTCACCACACGCGGGAATACTAGTATTAAAAGACGAATGTATTATTACCGATCGTCATTAAATTATGATGATGCAACATTTACCACGGAAATCGTGGGCAGAGGGAATGTTAATAACTAACCGCTTGTGTTTCCGGTTTGTTGGAAATCATGACGAAAATCTAGTTATATATTTTAATGTTTTTTTTTGGTTTAAACTCAACAGGTGGGAACCCTCCACGTGTTATTTTGAATATCGCGTGACCAACTGCACTCGCCAATTCCAGATAATGTCGCCATTGACGTCATAACATCCATTTTATCAATGGAAGAGCCGGATAATTTTAGCCGGGCAAACAAAAGCCTCTGCTTGATGACATCCGCTTTGGTCGCTTGGTCTGCCGTTTATAGCTTCCTATCATTGCGGTACCATATGGGATCCTTCTGTACTAATGAGACTTGGATGTATTTGTTTGCCATCTCTTTTTTCTTTTTCTTTTTAATTGCCTATTTTGGTCACATAATCGTGATTCTTAAAAACCATGCATTCATTCGTTGTTTGGGTCCTTGTTCTATGCATTTTCCCTCCATGCTCGATAATCGTTCCTAATACATGTAATGTCTAAATTTGCGTATTTTCCCCTTTTCGAGAAATGTTGGCCGCTATCACAAATTTAGGCAACTCTGAACTTTTTTTTCAAAATTTACATTTGTATTTTTTCGTGTTCTATGTGAAAACAGTTTAGCGATATTGTTATTAATAACTGGCAGTAGTACGTCTGCATTTTTACGAACAAAAATATTATTGTTAATCTCGTTATCTATTCGTATGACTGGATAAGCTCATAATACCTTCCAGTAATCACAGATAAGTTTGTCATCAAAATTAATAGGACGTTGGGTGACCATGCATGATTTCTTCCCAAATTTATCTTGGGTCATTAGATTGTTAAGTTGGCAATAATTGGAAACGTCATGAAGCGTCACATGGTTGTTTTGGTTGCTATAGCACGCACCGTTAATAACAGCTGGTAGCTCCGGGTTAGGGGAGCATAGGCAATGCTCGTGTACACCGACGGTTGCTGTGTCACATCTGACAGCACGACGCGGAAATCCAAACGGTTTCATCGCCCACACCATCTACTGGCGATGTACAAACCTTGCGGCACTGTTCAGCAGCAGTAGATAGCAACGCAGACTGATGAATTCGCCATGGCCGCTGTTTGTTCCCTCGTCGTTTGCGTCATTGCTCACTATGTGACGTCAGCTCGATCGCATTAGTAATTCATTAGACTGTCTCCCTGCCGTACATACACACTGCGCACGGTACATGTCGGGTCCGCTGCGGCAAAAGGCAACCTGTGTTGATGATGCGGTTGATAATGTTCGAACAACGTTGCTCATTTCCAGAGACAAAATAGGGGCTTTCATGAGCGACAGAGGTTGAAATACGGACTGAAGATTCGGTTGGATTCGTGGATTTCGTGTAAGACTGTTCGATGTCGGCGACGTATACTGACATTTGTAGGTGCACGTGACATGTAGTATGGTGGTATGCTGCCTCTTACCACCCAGCTCTCGCCTTGTGCATGTCTTGAAGTGCCTTCCTCGGGTACCCATGGCCAAGATGATGATGATAGTCGAGAGACTCTGGCACAGGAGGGGTCACACACCACCGATGGATACTCGGATCAAGGTCACGCGGACACCCATCAGGTAGTCGATAAAGCATCAAACTGGTTGACCGATGCCAAGGCCGTAGCTGATGCTTCGGACCAGTGCGACCATCATGAGTCTTACCAGAGGGATACGGGTACACGCGCATCCGCGCCGGGTCTCGTCGAGCGAGATCGTGACCTGTCATATTTCGAAAGGCTACCCGTCGAACTCACAACTAGGATTTTCAGCTTTTTGCGCCCCATCGAAGACGCTCTACCCCTGCTGGCCAGGGTCAGTCGGAGATGGAGGAAAATTCTCTTGGACACCCCGAAGCTGTGGAGGAAGATTCACGTCAGGTCCGACGATTATTCGCCATTGCACTACACTGTCTTATCCATCATCTTTCGCGTGTACGGTCCCCACGTGCGCGAACTCACGTGGCAGACGGGGTCTCGCGTGTACGAGTCTCTTTTCTGTTTGATTCCTAAACTCACCTCGTTGACTATCCTCCGTTTGCCCATCCTATGGAACAAGTGGGTTGTGGACCAGCTAGCACCGCTGACCAGACTGGTGGAGCTACAAATCAACGGCGGCTTCGGACTGACCGACCCAGACCTGCTCCGCATCGCGGGTAACTTCCCCGGTCTGAGGCGGGTGGTCCTCGGCTCGTGCTGGGCCGTCACGGCCAAAGGAGTGGAGAGTTTCCTGGAGTCCCTGCCGCAGCTGGAGGAGTGTAAGCTGAAGATTAACGAGGGCTTACCGCTGTGTGACATGAGGAGTGACTTTGCCATGCTCCAGGGTAGCATGGTGGCACGGAGTGTCGGCAACGCCTCGCGGGCAAGCACCATCACCGCCTTGAGCTTGAACTTCGTACCGGTAGAGATGGAGGAGGTTTGGGGTGTGGTCAACTGCTTGCCTCGTCTCAAGAAGCTTTCTATCAGCAACTGTGAGGTAAATATAGGTATCTCTTCACAAATGGATCATCTGCGATTCTGCTTCCAATTTGGGTAAATTTTATGATGGCTTGTTCCCGGGACACATCTCTCTGCCCAAAATGGGAAGCCTCATAATCCACACAAAAAACTAATTCAGAATGTAAAGCAACTGCCTGCCCCGAACCCATAACAACGACAGCATAACTTCGAGTTTTAAGTTCCTCTTAAATAAGTAAATATCTTAAGAATCACACTTTCCTGAAAGTCACGGTATTAGGAAATGAATACGAAATATCTGATGAAGCGAATGTCCAACGTCACGATGCGACTGAAGTGTAGTCATTTCGAATTTCCCTCCGAGGGCTCAACAGAGGGCAGCATATTTATCATGCGCCGTCCTATTGTGAATTATGGCCGAAATATAGATACAAAAGATGTTTTCTCCGCATGGTCGAGTAAATATCTTTACTGACTTTTCGATGGAATTTAAATTTATGTGGTACTGCAAAGGTTATACCGGAGTAATTTTGAGTGAATAACTGATTCTGCTAATTTAATGAGGCATATTCACGTTTATAATACTAAAGGGCGTAAATCCCGGGGGATGGGGGTATATATCCCCCACTTTTTGGCCGATGGATATTGCATCATATCGCGACCCCTACTTTTTCGTGGTGAGAAACCAAAAAATACGGATTTCGAGGTATTTTTCGACCTTCCCAACAACCAAAGCGTATTCCACAGCACTTAAACATAAAAAAGTACAAACTTAAAATGCGCCGTTTTGATGTAAGAGAATTTTGGGGAACTTAGGTATTGGGGAACATATGTATTGGGGAACATCGGGTAGACCCCATTTATTCACCCCCGCTCATCACCGGCCGAACACCCACTGCCTCACTAAACAGCCTAGAAGCGTGTCCATAAAAATCTCAGTCGTGCGAAATCATAACAGATAGCGCATGCCGTGGGTCTACTGTATTATAAAGTCACGATGCGCCTGCAATCTCGTATTATCATTTTCATAATAATGAGAAGAAGCAAGTTTTCATGACACTGTGATCACTGTGCTACGCGTGAAATAAAAAAAAAACCTTCAGCTGTCGTGAATGCTGACTTTTTCCCCCATCGGACGATTCTCTAGTGCGTTGTCATGGGAACCCCCAAATCTGCATTGTAATGAAATTGTTCTCGCCGACCGTCTGCTTCGCACCGCTGCATGCGTAGAAACCGCCAGCCAGACGGGGCCGTGCTAGGATAGACACAAGAAAAGGCCATTTTTATTAAATATAAGCGGCAGTAGGCATGCACTCATCCCGCGGAGACATAATGCACTTATGAGAGATTTGGTGGGCATTATGTCAATTGGACCTTCTTATCTTTCTCCAGGTAGTTGCATGTGTACTGGCAGTCATTTCGTCGTCCCAATAATTAACGAAACAAAAAAACAATATGGTATTTCATTTCTGTGTGATGGATACTAATCCCTGAAAAAAAAATGAGCGAGCAAGGATAGGCCTAGACATTTTTCGAGTGAGCTTGGTTAAGAATGTCTGTAGCTCAGCAACTTGGACGACATTCCTCGAAGTGATGTCATTATGATGTACTGATGATCATCCGTACGTTGTACACGAAACTACGAACCATTGCTCTAATCAGAAAAGAAGATGAGGAATAGAAAACGTTATTGCGCAGTTGTAGGCTCTTTTTTTTGGGGGGGGGGGTCTTTTTACTGTTTGTTTGTTTTATCGTCTGTTTTCCTGTTGTGTTTTTCGTGTAACTTGTTTTTTTTTCGACGTCTTATACTTTTTTTCTTTCAATTGATGTGAAAACGTCGGTGCGCTTTAAAATCTTTTTGACACGAAGAAAGACAACCTTGCCACAGGGGAGACAAGAAATTAATCTTCATTCCCTCCGAAGAAACCCTAACCATAGCTATTTTATTTGCTTATTTTCTTCGACAGTCCGTTGAGCCAACAGCATGCCCATACTGCTTTTTCTAGGTACTGCAATACCCAAGAGGGGGACTGCGCTCCCCCGCACTCACCGCCCCCACTTGCGGCCGAGAGAGCGTCTCATTTCTCGCTCCACTAACACTTCTCCGCGGAGATGGGAGCCTGCCAATCCTAAAAATAGAAACCGGTTGTCATGTTTCTCCGGAGAAAACAAAATAATACATGCTGCAAGCCGTCGTCTATTTTTTTACGCCGACTACTTGACATTTTAGCGTGCACTACAGACTGCGCTCCATTAGCACAAGAATCTCAGTAAGATGAAAAATAACCACAGTGAGATGTAGACAAAAGGTTATGTGTGCCTCTTTCTACCCATATGGAGACCCAAGACGTACACGATCAAGATTTGAGCATCTTATGGGGCATCTGGGGGTTGGGGGGTGGGGAAGGGGAATACTCCATTCACAATAGGCAACACATTTGAAATATTGGACTCGGTAAACGAGAACTGCTTTTGCACTCTCTGGATCATGTCAATGGTTTATCAAAATCTTGGTTTGAGGCAATGTTTTGAAAGTAGAATATTTGTGAGCACATGTACATCCCATGCATCAGCTAAATCACCTTCAAGCTGATATGTGGACAGTACCCATGGAAACTTAAGTGTGTTATGGAGAGTCACAGAGTGACGAATCGGGGGGGGGGGGGGTCAAGGAGCCGAGCATAAGAAGACAACATGAGCAAAGTTATGGTGTTAAAGAAAAATGAAAGCTCGTTTTAAGTCAATTTTACTGGGACAGATCTACCGTCCGACCGACCGACCAACTACGAAGACAGTGACATGTAGAAGCTCCTGCCAGAGCTTAAAAATTGGGTGTTTTTTTTTAAAGCGAGGGAAAATACTGAAGAATGCCCCCCCCCCCCCCCGAAATGTTGGGTCTTCTCAGGACTGGGGTGACACATTATGCCCCAATCCTTATTTCCATATGCGATGGCCCATTTTCCTAAAATTTGGCAGGAATATTTGTTGGCCGGTATTAATCTATGCAATATGACGTCATTTGGTTGCGCTTCATCGGGGACCCCAAGAGGGCGCTTTATTACACTGTTGCCCATTTTTTAGTCGAAAACAGTATTTTGGAATAATTTCCATATTTTTCATTTAAATTCTTTCAAATTCGGTTACAAACATTCTTTTGGTCAGTATAAATCCACTGTAACAACTTTTGACACCCCAAATCGAATATATTTTTTTCAACCAAATTGGGCACCTACTCATGGAAGTGTTATAAATCCTTTACGTTTCGTCACTCTAGGACTGTCACAAAATTACCCCAAAACGAAGAAATGTATGCAGAAAAGGTGAAAATTATAAGCCACTTTTCGCGTGAATGGCGGCCATATTGGATTCGCAGCATGCATTGTAGTTGGCACGTGATCTTGGATTTTAGTTTAAATTGGATACTTGATAGGTTCGGGCACAGAAAACATGGTTTTGACCCTCCAAAAACGCATATTTCATGTTTTGTATACAAAACAACCTTGTTTTTTTACATCGGTTGCCATGTTAACCAGGGACATCCTACGGAATTTGTTCTGGTATCATATTGACCCTAGATCAAAATTCAGTATATTTCAGGCCGACCGGCCAAAGCGTTCTGGAGTTATTACAAGAAGTTTCGGTGTGGGGGCGGCACATTGTGGCCCCCAGTCCTGATAAGTTTAAATATTAGGTTTTAAATTGTGGGGTAAAAAGGGTTCGGGGAACAAAATGCCTCTTTAACCATCTCAACCTAATCATTTTCATTTGACCACTTTAGCGTATGGACAACGATGGTCCATACTCGTCAGTCTTCTATATTTTAGGCTGATGTTTTCAAACAAAAAAAGGAAAATGCTAAATACGGACTTGAACTTTGTCCCTTTGACTGTTGTAAAATCATGAGATGCAGTCATCATTCATGTCTTCGTTATGAAAACCACTTACTTGTTGCGTCACATAAAAACAACATCGTCACGCTGCAAAACTATGCTATTAGCTTGCCAACGTATGGGTTTTTATTTTGAGATACCTATTGAATGTACATGTAGTTACCTATCAATGTTACATACAATACATTTTCATTTTCGACGTTTATGCAATACATTTTCTGGCGCTTTGGTTTCATGACGTCCGTTTTTTTCCTCCGTAGGGACTGCAGGGCATCCGTTTACACTCCTCCTCGCTACAAAAGATCTACCTTCTCAACCTGTGGTCTGTTCACTTTGTCAGCATAAACGCACCTCTGCTCCGGTTTCTTCGCGTGGACAGCGGTCTTGAATCCAACGAACACCTGGAGGTGTTCGCCGGCAAGCTACGAACCCTACAGGTGGATGGCAGTGGTGTCCTGCGGACGTTGACCGTCCGTGGCGGTAGGCTGACTACCGCTGAGATCCGTCGATGTCCGGTGTTGGATCCAAGGAGTTTCCGGAGTTTCTTTCTGGAGAATCCATTCCTGACAGATCTGCTTCTTGGGTGCGTGTGTGGTGACGAGCTGGTCTTGGATCACATTGGCTGCCCGAGTCTAGAGAGGCTCATCATCCAGGCTGACTTCGCCTGTGGCGGCATGCTCCTGAGATGTCCCAACCTAAGAGTCCTACAAACGGCAGAGGAGATTGAACTTCCCGCCCTGCGACAAGTCATCGTCGTGGCTGAGCACCTACTCAAAGTGTCGTTGGTGGGACTTCCCGGGCTGACTAACGTCATGGTGCAGTGTGACAGCCTAGAACTGATTGAAGCCAACATGTGCAGCGATGACGCTCTGTGTCTACGCTCCTTCGTTGTCCACGCTAGCCGACACATCGGGTTTATGCGACTCTTTGACTGTTCCATAGGAGCACTGATGCTGAGCACACCGTGCGCATATACGGTAGTCCTCTACCGGTGCCAGATCTCCGATTACTCCCTCAAAATGGCTTTGAGTGGCTGCCCCAACATCGTCCACTTGAGCGTGGAAAAGTGCGACACTCTGACGAGCGTGGGCATTCCAGCTCATGCCTCCTCTCTCAAATACCTGAACCTGTTCGGTTGTAAGAGTCTAGCCAGAGTGACCATAGACTGTCAAGGAGTGGCGGCCGTGAATTTAGGACAATGTATCAAAACCCGGCTCTTCGTTCGAGGGCTGGAGTACGATCTAGGCATGCATCCAGTCACCAAGTATCCCAAGATCGTCTTGCCTCATCAGTCGCTGAGGTGGAGCCACGACCGGGTGCCACAGCTTTTCACCCTTGCGATGTGAGACTCAACAGTATAGCGCTTGGAGAGAAGTCAATACATCGCAGAACTGTGCAAAAATACCTGTTCTGTGCCCGAATCAAATGGATGTATCAAGCATATATATTTTGGCATGTACTAACTTGCATTAGTATAACCTCACCAGAAGAAAATTTTGTCGCTGTTTAAGTTTCGCTTTTTCCTACTAATCTATCCAGAGGCGCTGGTGATTGCAAATCCGTTTCGGGGTGCAACCCAGTAAAAAGGCTAAACATGCATCTGCCGAGCTCATGAATAAAAGTTATACATTCAAATTATGCTATATTAGAGAGTTTCGAGTGCCATGGAATTGGGGAATTGAAGGCAGATGGCACTGCACCTCTGGCCTCGACATTGGGCTTCCAATTCTGAGCATTTCAGATGCAAGTGGGTCCAAAAGTGGCGCCATTTAGCCATGTTGTGGAGGGATCCTTTTTCAAAATGGCTACTTTATTCCAGTTTAGGATATATCATTCGTTTTAGGGGTGGTCATTGGTCAACCCCACCAAAAATTGAAAGGAATATGACAGACGACATGCTGATCATCATTTTTCTGTGCAGCCTGAACACCTGTGAAAGTTCTGAGTATTTTAAAAAGAATTTTGAAGTATGGGGATTTATCACTGGTCTATGGGAATGTATTACTTGGTTGCACTTTTCACAAATGCTTGTGAAAGAAACACAGATTCGCAAAATATTGATGGTAGGTTACTTGTGTCATGTGCGCACTCAGAAGTGTTGACCCGGGTTGTCAAATGAGAGCTCAGCAAAGTTGACCGGGGTCATCGACTATATTAAAACAAATCTGTCCTTTGAGTTCTCAAAGAATTAAGAGGCCGCGAGCGCCCCTTGCATGGATAGGGCGATGAGGACTAGCACAATTTCCAGTTTCTCGACCGTGAACCTTCACATGCGTGTGGAAAAGTTGGCAAAATAATTGTTGGGCTGGCCACAATCTTGGCTGAACCAGTTGGGCGCAAAATCCCAACCACTCCAGTGCACTTGGGCCCCGGTCCAATTGACCCCGATATGAGTCTATATCTGCACAGTCCGTTCCAGGGTCAAAGAACGACGCTTTTCTAGGTCAAAATGATGCAGGAAAATGTCATTTTTGACTCGGGAAAAAGTTCATTTTGACCAGAAAAGGGTAAGGTTGTGCAGATATAGACGCATATTCTGGGTCAATTTTGACCAGGGAGTTTTTGCTGCACTGACGCATTGTATTTTATGGTTGGCCGATTAATAATTTAACGCGCTTCTATGTACTGAAGTTTATGGCTGGTATTAAATGCGCATTGACCAATTAAAGGCAAATCTGAACAATCAGATAATTTATATGAGTGTGGTGCATTAATCGGCCATGTATTGATGAGCAAATTTGATTCAAGCGGGATGGGGCAACAGGTTGACAAGATGTCTTCACAGTGACTGTTGAAGGGTTTTACAAAATGTACATTGGCGCAGAAACAGAAGGGCTAAACATCCAAACGGTAATGAGACGTTCACGTGATATTTACAATCAAATTTAGGAACCCAGTAACCTTTTAAAAAAATTGTGGGCGGGAGGTAAAGAAATCGGAAGAAATCTGATTTTTTTTTAAGACCGAAGTCGAGACAATTTTCGGATCTGTATTTGGAACCTTGGAATCCAATTATTATTGACCTTTAACTATACTCTCCATCCGTCCCTTCCCAAGGGCGGATCCGGGGGGGGCAAAGGGGGCCATGCCCCCCTACCAAAAAAAAAACGAAACCAATTTTTTTTTTTTTATGTGACATCGCAATAAAGGCAGGCAATGAGTACACCACCATCTTTTCCTCAAAAAAAATTGGTTAAAGTGGTCAGAAATTGCCTCAGATCGCACCACAGAGCATCTAGAATCCAAAAAAATTTCGGGGCCCTTAAGCGGGCCCCGAACCCCACGCCGTAATTTTTTTGACCCACTTTTTTGGGGGACCAATTTTTTTTTTGGCCCCCCCCCCCAAAAAAATTGTGTTCTGGATCCGCCCTTGTCCCTTCCTACACACAAAGAGCAGCGCATGGAAAGGCCAACCCTTAATCTAATTTTATCTCTGGATCCCTCTCCCGAATTTGCCATCGCCGTATGACTGAGTCATAAAGATGGGTTTTACTAGAAATGGACGTTCGGGCCAAGTTGCGGTAGACATAATAATGAGAAATACTGTGCAGTATCAAGTAATTGACCTAACGCGGTACAATGTTGGTGAACGAATATTTGTTAAATCTAGCACGGAAAATGACATCTAAAATAAAGTTCATTTATTGCTGATGAGCACTGCGGTTTTATTATGCCACCAGTCACCGTTCAATGTTTGTTGTCAAAACTTTAGCAGATATCCAGGCCCGTACACACTGTGCAGAACCTTAAAGGGCCATGACATGAATTTTACTTGGGAATAAATTTCTGTGCAACTTTCTAATTTTCTTAAATGTATGAAAACTGCTTGGCATTCCTTTTTGGTGAATCTTATTGAAAAGTGCACTTCTTTAACATTTAAAATTCTTTTCCCGACAAGTGAGGGCGTTGTTGCTGTGATGTCATTTCAGGAAGACATTTGTTCAGTTTAGGGATTTTCTGTTCAAATTGTGGACCCAAAATTTGCTCATTGAAAATATTTGTGAGAAAACTTTGCTCAATAGCCTACTGTCGTGTACTGAAACAACGACAAATCGCCAAAGAAAGAACATTTACTACAGCTGGAAAATTTTGGTGCTGAAATAGCTGTAACATTGAGGTTTCTACCTGAAATGACATCACAATTTTGCTCATGAATATGCACATTTTCATTAGCAAAAAAGCACCAAAATGCCCTTAAAGTGATAAAATGAAAATTGAAAATAAGGTTAAAAATGTGCATATAGTTACAAGGATTGTGTTAAAAAAAAATGCATTTCATGATCCCTTTAAACCTTTCCATGGTGGCGCGCATAGAGGGGACTTATTAATGTTGCCAGACAAATCTCAATTATGCAGTTCATGTTTTACGGGCCTGGATGATTTCTCTTCGTCTCAATAAAATTACTTTTTGTGCTTGAAGTGCCATGGCCAAATCCACTGGAAAGCTGTACGTCGAAAGGACGAAAATAAAAATGTAGTGCTGACGCACGTGAAGGCTTCTGTGATGATTATTTTGTGTGACGTCTATTGCCGCTATAAACGGCATACTTCTCTCCCTCCTGGGGATAACATGAAGCAAAACATAAACAAGCTGGCGTTTTATTTTGTAGAAAAAAAGACGTACAGGAATATAGGCCTCTGCTTGATAAATACACTATTGTGTTTCGACAGGGATCCACTTCTTGAAATGCAAACATATTGAAAATCAGAGAGTCTGATAATTTGGAGTCTAAACCCCTTCGAAGCTAGAGCAATTTATTTTTGTGAGCTGCGAGTTTCCTCGTTAAAAGCGGAAGAGACACCAGTGTGACAACACTATACTTGCAGGATAGTGCGGTTCCTCATTTTCGGTGAGAAGGCATTCATGGGTCATACAGGTCGAGTTCCAAAATACTGAATTGTATTCTCTTTATTCTTAGCTGGGCCCCAAGAGCACAAGATCCGTTTAGAGTTGGGAGCACATGGTGTGCTACCCCGTGATCTTATGGCTGCGTCAGTGCAGTAATAATACTTCGAAGACTTTCCCTATACAAAACGAAGGCGGCAGTTGCTGAGTTTTTGAGTAGTCTTTCCAAGTCCCAACTCCACCCAAAAAGCTTTAATTCGAAAAGGATAGTTTATTACAATGTTTGTGAAGCCAAAATAGGGGCGCCCGATCGGCTGCGATCCGAAATGGGGGCGCCCTTTTATTTACCAATATGCGAGGAAAATGACATTCAAGAGAGGCATGCCAAGAGAGGGCGCTATCAAGGTCTGCTGTATCATGATTGGCAGTGGAAAGTGAGCGAAGACAATGGTTCGACTAGAGTCGTTTGCACTTTAATGTTACAGCGCATGCGCAGTTGCGCACTCTTTGACACCAACCAACCATTGGTTGACTAATGGTGGCGCGAACTTGCCCCAGGTTAGGCCAAAAAAAAAAAGTCTCCGGTTTCTGGTATGGAGCTTGCCCAAAAAAGTGGTGCGGCGACGCGGCTTTTTTTTTTTTTTTTCCCCCTGATTTTTTTGCTTCAAATGTTGGCTGATGACTGCAAAATGGTGCCCGACTAAACTTAGTGCAAATATATGGGAGTCCAGAGAGGCCACATAAAGCTTATTCTCGACCATAACCCAATCTAAAAACACGTTAAAATTGTGCAGCAGCAGGATTCTATTCAAACCAGTGAGTTTGGCGGTTTTGAGACATCATCTTTCATTGAAAAAAAAAACCTTTTTCATTTTGCCGACGCGCGTGGCTACGGCGACGCGCGCGCATACCAGAAACCGGAGACTTTTTTGTTTGGCCTTAGTAACATTTATTTACCTTTATACGCATGTGTGAAACATATCACGTGATTGAAAAAAAAAACATGTCGTGTGATTTGAAATAATTGCATTAATGGTGCGTTCGAGATGCATACACGCGTGTAAGAAGTAAAAAGGCGAGAAGGTTCAATTAGCCATCACGTGATACTCGCGTCTGACCCGATGTCCGCGGCTCGCGAGCGGGTCTATCCGGGGTGGTTGCCTGTAAATGACGCCACTGGACGACTGCGTGGCTAGCTACAAATACACTGAAGATGGGGTGGGACTTGAATACGAAGTAAGTACATACAATGGAGAGATTTATGATGCAAATATTCCCAATTACTACATTTGTGATATTTCAGGGCATAATTATAGGCTACCGGTATCTAAAAAATCCCAAAAGTTATATTTTTTTCTTAAATTGTAATTAAATCAAGTCCAACTGATCGATGAAATAAAAATCACTTTTCCCCCATTATTCATGGCGTTTGATGATTTTTGTTAAAGGGAAGTCAAGTCCGAGAACCATTAAGTTACCAAATGACGCATGCGCATTATTGTCATTGCCAAGAGACGAATCCTTAGTCCCACCCCAACATTTTGTTTTCGATCTGCCGGTGATTGACAATGCTACCCAAATTAGTTTTAGACGGCTGCGTTTCCTCCACGTTGTGGAGAAAGAGCTTCGCCGTCAGTCTTGTAAAGGGTAGTCTATATGGAATATCCCCTTGCACAGCACGGGTCTGTGATAAGCGAGCAGATTCGGCGATAAATGATGCAAAACAAGACCACGTCTTGACGTCGAGAGTAATTGTTGTATTAAAAAAACATGTTAGCCTATTGACCAATCAACAGCTCAGTCCAAATTGCTGATCGAAATAACTTCACAAGTTCTAAATTCGACTCTGATTGGCTGGTGCATAATGGCAGCAGCGTATCCAGCTTTTGATGGGGGGGGGGGGGGGGGGGGGGGCGGCAACCGCACATGATCCGCACCGAAATGTACACATGTTATGTTCCCCCGACACTTGGCCCCCTCAAAATAAAAAAACCGGGGGGGGGGGCGCCTGGTACCCAATGGGGGCGCTCTTCAAAACTGACCATTATTACGCATACTTTTCATGGCGCATTGAAATGGTTGTTGAGTGAGTTTTCTTTTGTGGGATTGATGTCAGAAAAACTCTATAAAAATTTATTTAAATCATTGCTGACAAAAATAAATTGTAAAAAAAAACCCCTGCCCCCCGCTGGATACGCCACTGCATGATCATGGGCATTGCCCACAATACAGTCGACTCCCGTTAATACAAACTCAGCTGGACCTGTGTTTAATAATATACATAATTTCCAAGGCTTTTTGTTTGTCATAAGCAGAATTTGTATTAACAGTGTTTGTATTAACGAGAGTCGACTGTATCAGACGTTGGTTACAGAGAGGGCTCCGTTGGACATGTCGACAACGGGTGATACTCATACTATGAACAGATGAAAGGGCTGTTGTAGGGTTATGAGGAAAATTGGACGTAAAAGGGCGCCCCCATGGGACCGACATAATGATTATATTTCAAGCAACCGAAGACAAAACAAGATGTTTTCAAGATGAAGTGTATTTTTAAGGGATTCTCTGACCCATGTCTAATCGCATATAATTTTATGAATACAAGTATATACAAAGTTATAGTCTAGTACGATCTATCTCTTCTTTAAAATTAAGAATAAATTGCAGGAAAACAAGCTATTATACAAAGCTGACTTGAAGCGTTGTATATTTTTAATTATTTTTTTCTGAAGAAAATAACACATTTGTCTGGAGGCTGTTTTCTCTCTGTCCAGTAGACGGCAGGCCAGGGCGGATTTACATCATATCGAATAGTGATCGGTAGCAGTTAACGTTTTCATCAGCGTTATTTTGTTAATGTGCAATTGTAATGTTCAATGTTAATATTTCCCTTTCTGAAGTAACGAAATCAGGTTCAAACTTAAAGTACACACAATTGAAGTAATTGCCAAAGTCGCTGACGCAATTTAGCCATAAATTGACTTGACAATTGTTCCTTCAGCCTAATCGTCTCTGATCAGAAAAATAATACAGTACTGGTCCGAACGTTGATGGTGACTGTTTATTGGGATCAAAATCTTCACGTTTTATAAGTCGAAGTAGTAACAGTCGTTAACAGCCGCGAAGTCGATACGATCAGCTCCAAGACGAGTGACGTCATTGAGTTGACACGTCTTTTCTCGCTTGCTGTTCTGCCAAAGATTAAAGGAGCGGCATCGGGGATCGGCACGGCACGCCCAGCCACAGGCAAGCACGCCCTTCACCGTCAGATTTTTGATGTCGTGGTGGAGGAGGCATTGCTGGGGGACACGCCCGGCGGGACCGGAGAAGGTGTGGTAGGCTGGTGCCGCAAAAACCGGCATCTCACAGGCTGCCGATTTGCGATCATTGATGATATCGCATGGTACATCATGGCGCCAACGTCCTTTATTGTAAACTGTTATACGGGCACAGTTCATCTCGTCATTGACGCTTGGAAAATCTACAGCCCAGTCGGTGTATTGTGCAGCCTGACCCCCGCACATCCAGACACCCTCTTGAGCCGCATCCGTACAGCCAATCCACAGACCTTCAGCGCCTTCCACCATCGACTTCCAGATGAAGAGGTTTTCCTCTCGTGAATTGGGCACAACGAGGCTGCTTCCCGGCCGGTTACAAGCCTCCGAGGCCTCAAACCAATTCATCTTGTCAGGGAGTAAGATGTAACAAGACTGATGCCATTCGAGCCATCCAGGCGGGCATGATGCGGGGAGGGCCTGTGAACGTAGTAAACTTGCGGAGATCAAAAAGAGTATGCAAGGAGAGCTCGGTGTAAACCACGCCATGCCAGAAGTGCCTGGCAACTAGAACTCAGACTCAACAAAAAAATAGCCAACTCGGTATACAAGTGACGCATCACTAATCGTAGCCGATGCATCCAAGACAGCAGTTTTATCGGACTGTATACTGTTGTCAAGGAGACTGGTATATTAGCAAAACAAATTCGCTAAGTTAACACTTCCCAGTCAGGAAAGGACATCACCACTGAACATCATGATAACGAACGTGACCATGACAACAGTTTTATCGGAGACTGAGTGGTATACAAAACAACAGACATTCAAGTCTATAATATTATAATGGTTCAAGTACGCCATCTCATCAATCAGGATACATTCATCATTATGAAAGAGCCGAGTATGCCACTTAGGTTGATTATGTTGCTTTATTTATCTCATGGTGAATACCTAGCTACTCTCTTGCAGCCAACAAAAATGTCTTCACTTTTAGAAACAACTCAAGAAATTGAAGCGAGTTTTACACTACAAATCGAAGAAATCGTGTAGATCATTATACTATTTACACCTTATATTCAAGAATGGGCGGCACCCCCCCCCCCCCTTGGTGAATTTCAAACCGTAGGTACCGATTGAAATCCCCCCATGCGCACACCCACGTACGTTACATATCAGAACACACAATTTTTATGTTTATTTATTGCACACTACATGTGCGTAAACCCCGTGTCCGGGGCCCGGTTGTCGAAAACAAGAATGGGCGTCAAACGCGCAAACATGACTTGTATAACGTACATTTGCAAATGTACGTTATACAAGTCATGTTTGCAATACAACGCATTTCGGTGGTAAGATGACGTCCAGCACTGCTTCCCCCTTTTGAATTTTGCAAAGAAGCCCCCCCCCCCCCCCCCCCAAAAAAAAATCGCCGCTGCCGCAGTAAAATTTGAAAGCAAAAAAACCCCCCAAAAACAGTTTCAATGATTACCATTAATTAACCAACTATTCCCAAAATCTATTTATACCAACCACCAACCAAGTTCCCTGAATTTCTGTACTTTGGCGTTATATCCACGAATGTAACTTAAATGCACTACAGTTATTTCATCATAGCGAGGCTCTTTCCATCCAGGAATACGATAATCCAATCTACCATCAGGGTATTGGTTAGGATCCAAGGTCTTGATTTTCAAACCGGGGACCTCTTTCTGTATTTCTCTATTGATCAGGCGGTTTAAAACTACTTGATCCATGGTATTCCGATCCGTTGTATCTAGCAATTGCACCCATTCCTTAACCAGACGAAGTGTGTTCTCTGTTGGCCGATAATAGGCGAAACCGGCACAAAATATGGGTCGTTTGGGAGGTTTTTCCTCATTATGTGCGGCAAAATCAAACTCCCCCTCAAAATCTTTGAAGGGATCTTTAACCCAAAAGGTGTCGGAATCGGCAAAGAGCACTGCCACACCCGACTGGAGGAACTGCAATATGTACCGTGCACGTTTCTTAATGAATTGTTTGTACGTCTTCGTGCCAATCAACAGTTTCTTGGAAGTAGTGAGTCCCGTATCGGTCATCTGTACTCTCAGGCCTGGATATAATTCACTTCTATTGGTCAAGTAGCTATAAGACTGCTCGTCTTCGGCGATCAATGTTATGTTTGCAGAGGACGTTGTTCTCTTGATACTTTCAAGCAGGTTTTCGGTGAGTTTTAAGAAACCTGCGTTCGTTGAAGTCAGTACGACGATGGGTGGTCCTGGTATGGCGGCGTTAGTCACGTTCATTGTTGGCAGGAAAGCTGTTGGCAGGAAAGCTGTTGGAGGCACAGTCTGTGTCGAACGTGTGGATGTCTTGACAGTTACCATTGAAATGGACAACTGGCGAGCTGAAATAGTAAAATGCATTATCACCTCATGTTGTTTTCCATTAATTTGAGAGAAATTGCAGCAATTAAACTCCGATTTTTGTCCCCTCATAAATCGTAAAACTGCACACCATGAACAAGAAAGGGCAACTGGGTAAGACAAGGAACGCAAAACGCACACAATTCCATTAAATCGAATCGAAATGGCTATTCACTGGAAGTCTTTTCTTGCATCTGGTTTACACAATGGGCAGGATATTAAGCTGACTAACTCTCCTCCCTCGAGAGAGTGCATACCCGAGACAACGTCATAGTGGACGAAAAAAATTACAGATACTTTTTTACTTTGCAACACCTATTTATGTCTGGCATTGAAATTATATAAAGGCAAGGCTTGATTGATCTTAAGGAAAGTTTCCCGTACTAGGACTCAACTTTTTAAATTGATTTTCAAGTGCATAAAAGTTGCAACCTTTATGGTTATTTCCTCCACTTTTCCCTCCTCTACTCTCACCCTCTGCTTTCCTTTATTCCTATTTCTGAATCAGTCATTTACTTCATCGAGATTCGACTTCGGACTCTCGTTTGAAACGATCGCTTCTTGTTGCAATCTTCAGACGTATTTAAGGTATCCATCGAAATAAGACTAATGAATATTGAATAAACTAAATATTCATGAGAAATTAAATATTCATAATGACGTATTGCACTATCATCGGCCGGTTCTTGCGTTGTGATGTCATGCGTACAATCACTATAGGGTTAGCTGCCTCCAATGTTAGTTCTGCACGACGTGTGAATCCAAAATGTGCTCTAAAAACACACTTTTTCATAAAAATTATTGGCATTGCCGGAGGTTCATGGATTCGTCTTGACGGTGAAATCACAAGTTAAGGTGAAAAAAGATGTGTTTGGCGGCAGGTGAGTGGTGGCCTAGTACGGACAACTTCCCTATCTTAATTACAATAATTAGGAAAAATGACAAGCATGACGGGTATTTTTCCGGGGAATAAAAATTTACATTGCATTCAGACATACCTCAAAGCTATCGCGAACATAATACCGAGTGCATGACTGGGCCCGTCCGTCGCAAGCTAATTGGAAGGTTAATAATGAACGGTTTGCGGAAACACCATGTGCGAATAATTTCTCAACTAAGAGAATGGTTCTGAAAAGAACCAGAGGTATAAACTCGACGTTCCGGTCAGTATGCTCTATCAGACACTCTCCTGAAGACCGTCAGAGCATACTGACCGGAACGTCGAGTTTATACCTCTGGTTCTTTTTCAGAACCATTCTCTTAGTTGAGAAATTATTCGCACATGGGGTTTCCGCAAACCTTTCATTATTTAGTCTCCACCATGCAAAGCCTCAAATCTTACTTAATTGGAAGTTGCGGTCTAACTTTGACCGACGATCGACGTTGTAATGCAACTGCCATGAGGAAGGGCGAGGCTTAGGCATATACAGCCAATGGTCTACTCACCAGTAACAAGAAGGCAAATGAAGCAGGTGATGCTCCAAATAATTACAAGTTTTCCACGAACTTTTGCCATGGTAACCTTGTTCATCAAACTGTGAACACGTGAAACTGAAAAAAAAAGGAAATCAATCAATATAACTACACGACTTTTTCATAATACACAGGCAGAAAACAAAATTAACTAGCACACTTAATAAATCGCAAAAATAAAAGTATACATGAAAACCTAAACAAAATGAATTTCTAGGTTTCCCAACAATTTTAAAACGTTTTTCGTTCCAGTCCATCAATTCATATCAAAATTCTTCCAATTGCAGATGTTTTTGGCAAAAACCAGTTTTAGTCATTTATCATTCAGTTGCAGTCAAAGTTTGATCGGCCTATTCAAGCACTAGGTTTGATATTCGTCAATACAGATTGAATTCGTCTGATATTTAAATATACTCGTGTGAGGCTTTAAATCATTACTGAGTTTTCAAGCGGAAATCGGCTCATTCGTTCGCATAGTGTTATCAAACGAAGTAGAATTAAGCAGCATACAGTACGCAGGCCCGCCTGCGATTTTTGTTCCAAACGAGATCGGACAATGTCAAAAGAAAACGCTGGCTCTCCGTTATGTATATTTATGATGTCCAGTGCTTTAGAAAATAAGTTATATAACAAGGAATAATGGTGTTTAAATCACCGACGATTGGCAGCTGATTCGTGGACTGGTTGGAAGTAGTCCTGACTTCTAATCATACTGGTGATCCGAGTTCGAATATCAGTGAGCGGTTTTCACTTCTTATTTTACCTTTTAAATAACTTAAGCAGAGTTGTCATGACTCGAGTCAATGTCTCGACTCAATTACTCGACTCGAGTCACATTCGGAGTTTTTGGTGACTCAACTCGACTCGAAATTCCCTTCGGGCAAATGACTCCACTCGACTCGAGTCACTGCGAGCAAATGACTCGACTTAACTCGACTCAAGTCCCTTATCAGAATGACTCAACTCTATCGAGGAAGGCTAATAAGACCCGAGTCCCAAAAATAAAAGCAAAGATATTTGCAATGACTTACGCCGGTGACGCCGGTTTTTGTACACTGCACATTAAAATGTTCGCGAATAATGTATAGGCTACAGCTACATACGTGGTATGATTAGCGTACCCATTAGTTGATTTTGCACCCCCTTTTTATTTTCATTAAGTCAAATTTAAAAGTCATTAAATATGGTGTCACCATATGTATAGTCACCCCAATGTCAAATTTTAAAAAGCGAAATTACTATCTCTCTTGTGTTTATTTATTGTATACAGTCTCGTTATAACAAACTCTTTCGGACCTAGCCAAATTGTTTGTTATATCAGAATTTTGTATTAAGAGGAACATCAGTCCCATTCATTGTGCATATAAATGCACAGTCGGGACCAGGGCTTTGTGTTTGTTATAACCAGAATTTTGTATCAACAGAGTTTGTACTAACGAGAGTCGACTGTAGTGTTCAAATATTTGTGACTCGAAGTGACTCGAGCTAAATACTTGACTCGACTCCACTCGACTACACACTGTGACTCGACTCGACTCAACCTTCTTGACCTAATGACTCGACTCGAGTCACTTCTTTAAAATGACTCGACTCCCAAAATTTGTGACTCTCAATACTGTGTATGATGAGAGTCCCAACACGTAAGGTATTGAAAACATGCAATACAAGAAAATAGACTGGCACCTAAAACAACCAGTCCAACACCGCATCTTTAGTATAACATGATCAATCAACTGTGCCAAAAGAAACCGTGTGGCATGAACCGGGACCTTCTCTCTATACACATTTCTCCATAGTCAGCCACCAGACTAATGACACTGAATGAAGGGGTCAGTCTTTTCAAATAGTTGGACCATGGTTGGACATGCACCAGTCTAGTCTTTAGCCTCATTTTGAAATCACTTCTCTTCCCTCTCATGATGTGCAAGATATCGAAGAAATGTCTCCTTTAACAATTGAATTGAGCCTGCAAACTTGGTTGGAAAAGTACTGAGGACCTTTTCTTTGCCCAATCGACTTTTTGAAGAAATTTGCTGGCTAAAGAGTGAGTAAAGCGGCCTGATTTGCCCGTTTCAGAGCACTCCGGGTTCCAGTCTAGGTCAGAATGATCTGGACCCAAATTCACAATTTTTTTTGTGGCAAATAGAGTTTATTGAGAAAAACTGAGTGTTTCATATCAATGGTTATTACCTCAGGTTGTCTTCCACAGGAATTTTTAATTTTTCAAATTAGTGGCTGTGGTGAGGAGTTATGCCATTCTCATTGAAGTGGCTCATTTTGCAGTCCGCACACGGAATTGGGTTTGCCTTTTTTTTTTAATGTGTCAATAACTTCAAGTGAGTCAGTCAACGCTCAATGGTCACCTTGACTATACGTTTTTATTGATACCACTGCTTCTCATCAGTACGCGATTTCCATAAATTTGTTGAACCATGGAACCGTGGTCAGAGTGCTTTTGGGCGTGTTTTTTTTTTTTACCTTAGTCGTCCGGCGTTTTACTTCTTTCCTAGTGCGTTTCTTAAAAATGGTGCCGAAAATGGATTCACACGATACGTTCACCATTATATTATATTTATGTCCAACATACCAGCCTATAACATATCTCATTTGAACTTATTTTGATAATTGCTACATATCTTTTAAAATTTTCTTCCATTTTGGGAAAGAATGCTGCAACCTGACGCTACTTCAGCGGTTGTGCACAAAGTCTATGGAGACTCAAGACAATTTCGAAGTAAACAACATTGAAACTGTTTCTGGTTCATGTCTTACTATCGTTTTTGCAACGACTGACCTTCTTGAGATGATATATGAAGAAAAAAGCAGCGTCAGGTTGCAGCATTCTTAATTTCCAATTTGGGTCGAGATCATAGTGTTCGGGTCTACCTACCTGCATCAGCACAGCGTGGGATGGGATCGTCCATACGTTTTCGATCTCCGTACAGGACTGTCATACGTAACATGCGAGCGGAGGGCAGAATTCCGCCCAGCCAAGACATGCATGAGTGGTTCAGAAAGGTACCTTACCAGCCATTTGCAATGGCCGATTTCTAAAGGTTACGTAATATTTTTTTGAATGAAATAACATGCGCTGACGCGTCAGTGCATATGACCATGAGGTAGGAATAGAGACACAGGTGGCGAGATATCTGAAAATCAATATCTCCTGTTTGAAAGATGTGACCATATCTTCATGCAACTTTCAGGGATTGTTTCCAGTGGCGCACCCAGGATTTGTCGGGGGGGGGGGGGGGGGCTCAAAAAAACGTTGCCCAAAATTGGCCGCAGAAAAAACTTCGAGGCTTTTTTTCGGGGACGGACTATTTTGACGTTGGTGGTGCCACTTACACCCCTATTATACTACTCGAATATAGGCCACAAACTTATCACCTAGGTCAAATTGTCGGACAAAAAAAAATTACCCCCCCCCCCAAAAAGGTAAAAATTGACAACCTCTTGGCGGGGGGGGGGGGGGGGGGAGGGGGCTTAAGCCCCCCGAACCCCCCGCCCCCGGTGCGCCACTGTTTGTTTCCCGATCATTTGTTATATGTTCAGTATTTTTCGTTTAAATTGGAAAAAAAAAGAGGCTTGGGTAGGATCCATTTTTCAAAGCTATAGCTCTAGCTGTAGCTGTACAAATATCTGAATCACTTTTCTTCGTTTTGTAAGACTTGCGTGATGGGGTAAAAAACTATGCACAATTTTCCAATTAATTGAAAATGACTTACTATCTGCATAAATTCTTGCACAGTGTATAACTATATCCACCACGAGCATAATGACATTGTCCTCAGCGCAGTTCCATTTGTGTAAAGAAATTAAGGTGAACATTTAGTGTTTTCCCGCCTAATTATTCGCCTGTGAATGCTGAAATCCATCAGATTTATTCTGCATGTTTCTTTTTTTAATCAAGAGCCAGGCAAAAGATAGAACGCCCAGTGGGTGCTTCTCAGTAATAAAAAATAGGCCAAAAGTACGTCCGCTGAGCTCAGGAATAAAAGTAATACACTCAAATTCTTCCATATTTGAGAGTTCTGAGAGCCATGGAATTGGGGAATTGAAGATAATATGGCAATGCACCTCTGGCCCTGACTTAGGGCTTCCAATTCGGAGCATTTTGGGTGCAATTGGGGCCGAAAGAGGCGATATTTAGACCGTTGTGGAGACTTTTGTTTTCAAGATGGCTGCTTTTCCATGCACTTTGGGAAACATCACTCGTTTCAGAGGTCGTCTTTTTTGAGGTGAACATTTCTTGCAAAATCAATGGTCAACCCACCACTAAAAGAAAAGGAAAGATGACATGTGGATCATCATTTTTCTGTGCAGCCTGAATACCTGTGAGAGTTGTGAGTATTTAAAATTTTTGAAGTATGGGGATTTAACACTGGTGTCCATGGGAATATAATTTATTATTTTGCTTGGGTGTACCCCTCTGTTTCAAAGTCAGTCTGTGAACTTTGTAGCGCTATACGTACAGCCAGCAGTGTCGTTACTGTCGTCCTCTATTACAAAAAGACTAAAAAAGACAGTTGACTGGCCCGGGGCACATTTTTTTCCCCAAACGAGATCAGACAATATAAAAAAAGGGCGCTCTCTGCAATATGCATATTCATGATGTCCAGGGCTTTAGAGAATAAGTTCTAGCACCGAGGACTGGCAGTTGATTCGTGGACTGGTTGGAAGTAGTCCTGACCCCTAATCTGAAATCAGGATCCCAGTTCGAATCTCAGAGAGCATTTTTCACTTCTCATTTTACCTTTTAAATGACTAAAGTGAGGAAGGGACATTTTCACAAGACGCATAAAGCCAGTGGGTTTGTCTCGTGGAAAACAAGGCATTAGATATGCATGTAATGGACCAATCGAATGTCGTTTGGGAAAAATAGATTCGCGGCGGGGGGGGGGGGGAAATAACTGAGAAAAAAAGACATTACCGAAGGGAATTTTACTGAGAAAAAGAAAACATTAACCCAGAGGGATGGAAATATTAAAATTACTGTTAAAAAAGACAATACTTGGGAGGGAGGGTTCTTAAAAAAAAGATAACATAAGCTGTGACAAAAGAAATGAAAAGATAAAAAATAAATCATGAAAATAACTCAATAAATAAAATAATTAATTACCGAGAGAAATTGTGACATAAAAATGAACTTAAGAAAGATGATAACTATAAATGTGGAGATGTGAATTGCAAAAAGTAAATACATGCAATAAATTAAACAATTGATTATTTTTTTTTTGGAAACCATTTACATTGTATTGATTCAACTAGCAGATTTCGTGTAGTAAACATGATGTTTTACAGATTTTGCAGTGCGCCCTCATTTGACTCATTTAAGTTGCGCAAGCTCGAAGCAAGATGGCGTCTTTACTGCGATCGCCGAAAATTCTTCGTGTTGTTCCTGAGTTGTTGCGAACCATTCAAAGACAATCGAGTACCTTGGGATCATCAATAGGGCGCCAGACGTTGCGAAGATCGGTTTTACCTGTTCGGGAAAATTTCAGGTATTCAGCTTATCTCTGGTGAAGTGTCGAGCCGAAGACTGTACACAGGCACCATGACACAGGGCGCACGTGTTTACAATGTACTTGAGCCTGTGCGTGTGTGGGCGTAGTGGGTACCAGACTTGGGCCTGGAGTGCTACGTGCAAAACTAAATCAGGCCAATTTTACTCACTCTTTGGCCAGCAAATTTCTCAAAAAAATCCGTTGGGCAAAGAAAAGGTCCTCAGTATTTCACCAACATGACCAACCAAGTTTGCAGACTCAATTCAATTTTTAACATGTTTATGTTTAAAGAAGGCAGTGGATATTTTGCCGGAGACGGCAAACCTTTAGTACGTTAATTTGCCGGATATGCACTGAAAATCATGAAAATGCGCAGTTACTGTGTTTTTGTACCGTAATTTCCTGCGGATAAGACGCGTCTTATCTGACTTTCTAGACCACAAAAACATCGCTGCGCCTTATCTACAGGTGCGCCTTATCTGGTGTCCCTTGAGTTCAAAGTGACGGTCTTTGTGTGAAGAATTCTTTCAATGCCGCAATCAATAATGCGGTCAACCAAGGCTCAACTCTCCAGACATTGTGACCGTATTTTCATTCCAACAATGCCGCGATGTGTTGATCCCCCATGATCGTGCTTTCATTCCAACAATGCCACAATGCATTGATCCCCCTTAGTGATCGTGCTTTCGTTCCAACAATGCAATACAAACGTTTTTCTTTGTGGCCGTTTTTTCATTCCGAAAATGCTGCAATCAGAATTACTTAAACGTTTGGAAATCGCATTCACTCAAGTTCTATTGTGTGAACGTTGAGGGTGTTTTTTGCTTCGAAGTCTGCTTTAGACTTAGGATAATATGAAGTACTAATGTCAACATGACAATCGGCATCATTTTGAAACCGAAGTCAACAAGGTTCCTCCATTCACCGCGTTTTGGTGTTGCTCAAAGGTGTGCGGTTGGTTTTTTCTGCAAGCCTGAAGATCAAGATGAAAACAGTGCGAGTCGGTAAAAGCGGCTCAAGAAAGCGTACTTCCGGCCCGAACGCCATGTTATGCATACAGAGACCGCACGAACCTCAGTGCACGTGTGGCCGAACATTTTGTAGAAACACGCTGCGGTGTATCATCAAGTCCGAGCGGTAAAATCTCGTTAAAATATATATTTCAACGGACAAATACATACACAGAGAAGAGAGATCACGTTCTGAGAATTAATTTGCGGAAATTCTCTTTCTCCACCGATGTATGTTATTTTCTACGATCCAAATTCGTCCTGATACGCTACTGTAGTCATACACGGAACATCATGGTCCGGTACCGTACGTAGGCCGTAGTCACTGGTTCCTGGCCCACATCATAGCTTCGATTCTGTAAGCATGCGATGGGAACCAACGAATACTGATGGCACTGCTGCCGCACAGAAAATCGTACAGCGGCATGGCTTCGACGACGTGCATCACAAATGCGTCAGAATTACAGGCCTTTTCGTCAAGATTTAGCGTGTCAAGATGAAATAATATCGTGTAAACGATTATGTTGTGCATGCAAATGGCGTGTGTAATATTACTGTGCGTATCGGCGGCTGAAAATGTGATCGGCAATTTGTTTTCTGTGTACGGTGAGTAATTATTTATACTGACACTGTGACAGCTCGGTTACTTCTCCCACGCGGTCTGGGTAAATTTTCCCGTGTCGAAAGTCCAAGTGCGGACAGTGGTCACATTTGACCATTTCTCATTTTACTATCGTCTCGGTAAAACCTTCCAAAAAAAAAATCCAGTGCGGACACGGCTTAATTCATCCTCCGAATAGTGTGATCGTTCTAAGGCAACACAATGGCCCCTTTGTGGCGATGTACCGACACCGGGTGACGCCTGGTGTTCTTCTGTGTGCGGTCAAACATGCGTCTTATGCGGCGGTGCGCCTTATCTGTTGGCGTTTGAATTTTTTGGGGTGATTTTAGGGACCTGCGCCTTATCCGCCGCGCGCCTTATCCGCAGGAAATTACGGTACTTGAACATTTTCCGGTGATAAATTTTAGTCTGGCTCCATGCCAATATTATTGTTGTAACTTCGTATTCACAAGATGGGAATCAGACCATTTTATAATTTCAGACTTTAGGCCTATTTCCCTTTAAAAAAAGTCCTCCAGAGCCACAAATCTGAAAAAGAAAATGTGATACTCTGCAATAAAATGTCTGAGACATGTAAAAATAATAAAAGAAGAATATTCTTATTTATTTGGGGATGGGGAAAAAAAACCTTAAAAGTTGCAAGGGACGGAATCGAACCCGGGTCATCCTGTTCACGAAAGCCATAGCTTAACCACTGCACCAAATGTGCTATATGACATTTGGAGGAAATTTAATACATCTAATAATTCAGCCCTATCTTAAAGAGTACAGCGCCCTCTGTTGATGTGGATTGCCGTCGGCAAACCTTTAGTAAACGTTAGTTTGCCGGCATTACCTCCGGCAAAATATCCACTATTTCATAAATATTTTGAATATTAAACTAAAGATCAGAATTACTTCCAGCAGTGTGAAACAAACCTTAGAATTTAGAAAGACCAATTGAAGTTGCAGAAATGCTCATTTTTTTCCCACCTCCAAACTCTCTTGTCGCAAAATGTTCGGCCTCAGTATTTCACAATTATTATCTTGATGTGGATAGGTACCCCTAGGGTGGGTTGACGTCCCTAAAATGTCAAACAAAAATGTGAAATTTACCAGAATTTCGTTCTCAAGGATCACAGGAGTCTCGCACTCGGCCGTCTCTCATCGTTTGCCGTTGACTGAGGGCACTATAATTCTCTTGACCAACTACAGCGCGGCTTTCATTCCGATAGTGTCTCCGTGCCTCGTGCGATGAATGAAAGCCGCGCTGTAGTTGGTCAAGAGAATTAAAGCTCAACACGAACTTTTTTGGCCCAAGTTAATGAACATCACAAAAGTCAGAATGGTTTATCTCAATGTTTTTGCTGTAGCACAGTCAAGTGCCTGGCTCAACGTGGGCCATCACTGCCCCTAAACTCAAACCCTCTCTGCTCCTTCACCGTCTGGTATGGTCTCTTAATCTAAGTACATCCCACTCCCTCACTCACCGCCCTTGGTGTGTTTTCCCCATATTTTTTTGTTGTTAAAGCTATAGTCCATCATTTGCAGCCATCCGAACAGTAACTGGCGTACTTATTGTTGAAAAACAAACTTGGTTGAAAGATAGTAAGGGAACTAAACTCCCTGTGAAATTATCCCTTCTGGGAAGCTGTCATTTTGAAGTAATCAACGAAAGAAGGCATTTCCAACGGTGATTCTTAAGAAGCACCGTAGGAAAATTTAAATTTGTAGTTCGTTTTGTTATTCAGCGCAGCGCGCACAAGTATTGGAACGACGCACACGCGCGCGCGGTTGTTATAATTCGTCGGATCAGTGCGCTACGTCGTGTATAGCTGCAATTCAAAACAATTCAAAACATGATTCAGTAACTTTTGATTTGAAATTGAGATCTTAGAATGCTGTTTTTCTCGGAATGTGCAGCTGAAGCTTAGCTGAAACTTCATCAGGTTAGTTGTTCAGTATCCTTCATTAGATTTTGAACCCTTTTGTTGCTTCAAACGAACAAAATGCACAAATTACAAATGATGGACTATAGCTTTAAAGTGCATAATTTAAAAATGTCCTTTTCTGCAGATTGGCATCAACCTCCTCTATTCTGGCCCAGAACCCACAGAGCCACGGTCACGTAGGCCAGGCAGCCAAAGCAGACAATGAGTTCCGCGTGGTCCTACGTCGTCTTGACGATATGGTGCGAAGGACGGGACGGATCACAAAGAACCAACTCATGGTGGTCTTTGATGAAGTCTGCAAAGTGGGTAAGAACTAAACATCTTTATGAGGCATTAAATGAGGCATCCTTTGGGCCCAAGGTTACACTCATATGAAATGAGAGAGGATTTTATGACGTGCTTAAAGATGTAGGCTACTGTCTATGCTATTCTGATTTCTGCATGCAAATCTGATTTCTTTCTCTTTCAAATGACGTAATTTCCCACAGACCAGCCACGTGCATCGGCATTTTGAGCGTGAACTTGCATAATGCACATCAGCTGCGTTGTATTTCGAACACATTTCGAGCAACAAGCGCGCGTGTTTGGAACATTTTCAACACTGCGCAATGCGTGCTTGAAAACGTAGTTGCAGTTCTCCTACAGAGATGGACGTCTTTGAGAGAGCCCTTTTACCTTCACCTTGTGCTTTATTTTAATGAAAAAAAACACCTGATTCTGTATTTGGCTGTCAACAATCCTCTGGAAAGAAAAAGACTTTGGCGCACAAATAGATGCAACCTGCGAGTAGACTGGTTCCCGGTCCCTTCTTTATGGATGTTGATAGGGGCAGGACTGAGTCTACCCTGTAGGGTGATTTTTTAATAACATTCCTCGATTTTGTGTGTTCGATGCAACATCGAGAAGAGAATCGCATTAGCATTACGAGACAAATGGCAATTTTAAATTAAAATGTACGAGGTTTTGCCTCACCTGTTTGGGGGGGGGGGGGGTTCACCGCCTGTGAGCTGGTACACTTTGCAAGTGATCAACCGTGAACAAACATGTGGACACACTCAAATTCACACCATTTGCATGTTATAAAGAGGTGATTATCTAGAGTGATAGCTGGGATAAAACACAGACAACACCTCTTTAACCGCATTTTTATTTGAATATTTATTTGTTATTGCTTTTGGTAAAGGTTTTGTTATGGTTAAGATGCTTTAAAGGGAAAATACAACATTTGCAAACATCAAAAAATAAAACTACCAAATCATTTTGAAATACCTTGCTGGACTGTTAGTGAATGACAGTGTAAAGCATCCTGTAAAGTCATGGCACCTGGTATACTGTCATTTTCAAGAAAAGTGGTATTTTTGTATCAATTTCCAACGCTGGTCGGCCGACCAGCGTTGGAAAAAAATGGCTTTTTTCAAATACTGGCCCCAATTGACCATCGCACTTGTTTGCAATCGATTACACACCTATGAACGGGTACAAGCCAGCTAGACTGGTTCCCTGACCTTACAATTCCCCAATGTATGTAAACTGCTCTGTTTCTTCTTATATGGAGTCAGGGAACCAGACTACAGGAAAATGATTGTTTTTCTTGGTTTTTATAGCATTTTCGAACCCAAACCTCAAAAAAGTCAGTGTAAATATATTTGCTATATATTTCCAACCCCCCAATTCCATCCATTTCTGAAAATTACAGCAAAAGCAAATGATGTATATTCCCTTTAACCTTTGTATGAAGTGTTCTGTGAGCAATATTCTGATCTGCTCATGAGTTTACTGAGTGTATGTGTAACTCCTTCTTGACAGGATCTGCATCCCCAAACCAGGCCCTTCTTCTGATCAGGAGTTGTGGATCTCTGCTCCCTGAGGTACCGTCCATTGAAAGGACAGAACTGGCCCACAAAATCTGGGACAAATTGGCCACCATGGGTAAGCTGACTTTCTCCTCATCGTGCTAAAATATGACTTTTTGACATTACCCCTAACCCCCTACTGTCTTTTACTTAAAGCACTGGACCAAGTCCGCCAAAAGCCATCAATCACACTGCTTCCAATGCATGCTTTGCTTTAGGCCTCCAGGCCCAAGTCCATCACACTCCTTCAATACTTGGCCAAACCAAGCCTACAGGACCAATCCATCCAAATGGGAGGATGGCGTTTGATGGAGTTGGGAGGTTAAGATTAAGAGAATGTGTCCTGCATTTACATCATCTTATATCAGATGTAACAGGGATACAGGGAAAAAAATGGACCCCAAATTTGTGGAATGAACCTCATGCCAGAGATCCAAGCAAAGCAAATCATTGCCCTCTATAACTCCACTTCAATGCATATTGCAAATTGAATGCACCTGAAACAGAAATTGGGTCCATATTGCGCCAGATTCCAAATAAGTGACCGAAAATCCCCTGAAGCTGAAATACATGTAATTCAAAGTTGAGGTTTGAAAAGCCTTCAGTAATCTTTCCCAAAGTTTAGTCATTGCTTAGCTCAATGCATGACTGCCTCTTTAACAGGTGTAACCTACGACGTCAGCCACTACAATGCTCTCCTCAAGGTGTACCTGCAGAATGAACATACTTTCTCACCCACTGATTTCCTTGCCCAGATGGAATCCAAATCGGTGGAGCCCAACAGGGTATGTGGTCTAGATAGACTGTCAGTTATTTTTCACCAACAAGTATATTGATATCTAAACAAGGGTTAACTAAGAAGAAACAAGTTTTCAAGTTTAAATCGTCACCGACACCATGAAGTAACACCCATCTACATACCAGTAAAAACTAGCAATCGGAGAAAACGGCAACTAAAGTTGAACGCCTTCTAAAACAACACTTTGCGTCAAAACGACAGAGTATTTTCAGTTGGGTTTCTCGTTGTGGACACTTGATGAATTGAATTTATTAAATCTGCTGTTTTTCTTCCGTTTGTGTATTAAATAAACAAAAAATAAGAGAAAAAAGATGAGTGTTAGTTCGTGAAACCGAAAAGGCTGCGAAACTGTAAATGTTCGTTTTCACGAAGTAACACTCTTCAATGTATTCAACACGGGGAAAGTGCAACTTCAGGTCAGCGGGCGCGCTCTCATACAACTTATTACAAGAAGAGTGTTACTTCGTGAAAACGTTTTTGCTCACTTATGAGCAGAGTGCGCGCCATGCATTGCAATGGTAAATGGAACTTGAGTGTTACTTCGTGAAAACGAAAATTGTCGTTTTTGCGCAAAAGTTGCCATGGATACTTAGCGTAATTATTAAAGTAAAGCTCTTGAAGCTTTGAAACTTTGTGCAACGGTAGACCTTGATGAATAATGTTTAAAAATCCAAAAAAACTTAAAATTGAAAAAAATATGGTTTAACGTGGTGTCGGTGACGAAATGCGTGGTTGGTATGTTATGTCAGACCATTAAAATAGGATGCTTTAAATATCTGCTATCATGGAAGAATTGTCTTACTCCCTAGCAGAAGCAGGTAAAAAAATGTTTTTAAAAGAAGTAACAGTTTCACTGATGAAGAAATAAAGAACATCATTATATATAACTTGAAGATCATAAGTTGTTATGCTTTGAGAAGTTGTGACCATGAAATTCAATATAAGATTATGTCAATTACATTTTCTTGAATGGTAAAGGCCCTTTTAAGGTCCACTGTGTGTTGGCCACTCAAAGAAGGGATACAAAAAAAGGAAGCTGAGAAAGAGAAAATTAATAAATGTTTCAAGTAGAAAGATAAGAATTGATAAGAATAAGAATTAAACATGTACTAGAACAGATTATAATCCAGGGGTTGCATGGAAACAATTATATAGACCTCATGCCCGACAGCCATCTTAGAGGGCGTTATTGTCATAGTTACACTGTAGTAATAAAACCATTTTCCTCGAAGATGGCTGGTATAAGGTCTAGTAAAAAAAAAAAATATAATGAACTGCAGACTGTAACCTACTGCAGTGATCTGAAATTATAGAATGGTATACAACTAAGGCCAAACCAAAAAAACTGGTGTGTTTACGGTAACCCGAACGACCTGGAATTTTTTCGGCCAAATTGCCGACCTCAAAACTTTTTATTGCCATTTTGAAGGTTGATATTGATCATTTTAAATGAACAAATTTCAAACATTTCAACTACTTTTAATTATTTGCCACGAACATAAACCATTTTCCACACTTGAAACTTGCCATGATTTGAAACAAACATACCTGTGTTAAACGTGCGAAAATCGCGACGATCTCAAAACTTGAATTCTCAAACTACATGAAGCACGATTATTTTTGCACAAACACATCGGGGTGAACTGGTGCGCGTGCAGAGCTAGCTCATTTGAATCTGATGCATAAGGTCAAGTAGTGAGCAACAGCCAATACGTGATTTAGGTTGTTTATGAAATACATTGTACGGACTCTTTCTTGGGATATTGGTCATGCATATCACGTGAGAGGGTTTAAAGGGAATATACAACATTTGCAAACATCGAAAAACAAAACTACCAAATTTTACGAAATACCTTACTAGGATGTTGGTAAATGACAGTCTAAAGCATCCTGTAAAATTATGGCTCCTGGTATGAAGTCATTTTCAAGAAAAGTGGGATTTTTGTATGAATTTCCAACGGTGGTCGGCCGACTACCGTTGGAAAAACCTAACTATTTTTCAACTACTGCTCCAAATTTACCATTTTCTCAGTCCAAATTTTGTTTGCTATTGGTTACATGTTCATGAACGGGTGCAGGCCAGCTAGACTGGTTCCCTTACCTTACAATTTTCCGGCATCTATAAATTGATCCATTTTATCTTTAGTGGAGTCAGGGAACCAGACTACTTGAACATTTTTGGTTTTTCTTGGTTCTTCCAGCATTTTCGAACACAAAACTTCAAACATGTCAGTGTAAAAATATTTGATCTGTTATACTAACCCCTCAAATAGTTCATTTCTGAAAATTACAGCAAAAGCCAATGATGTACATTCCCTTTAACCAAAACAAATAATGGAAAAGGAGTCCGATTTTCATTGGAGTCTGATTTTCATATCACACCGGCCTACGCTTTATAATGTAAGTTAATTGATGTTTCCATCCAAGCACTATTTCTCTGGTTGACATATTTTTTCGTGTAGGTGACGTATCAGCGGTTAATCAGTGCCTACTGCCTACTTGGCGACATCCCAGGAGCAACCAAGATCCTGGAGTTTATGAAGGCCAAAGAGCTTCCAGTTACTGAAGGAGTCTTCAACTCTCTCATCACAGGCCATGCTAGGGCAGGGTGAGGCCAAACCCCTCCGATTGTTTGATCTTTCTCAGACGGTCCAAATTTCTTCCACTTCCTCTGCCATGCATTTGGATACAGACTAGTAAAAAAAAAAACAGACCACATTTGTGTAAACACTGTGACTAGTCAAATTCCATCAACAGACAAAAGAGGTAACTGGTAGGTACAGCTGGCATATCAATCACCTCCAATCAAAGCATGGCTATATCAAAGTAAACCTCCTATGCAAACATCAGTCTGTTCCAAGTAGTCCTTTCAGTCAAAATCAAACAAGTGACCGTTTTCAACAGTTGAAAGAATTCCCAGCCTACATAAAACAGGATTGACTGGCTGGGACTGTTGCTATGCTTTGATTCCGGGTGAGTGATAAAACAGCTGTGACCACAACTTGCCTGTTTTGTCTGTTGACCCAGTTTGACTAGACACAGTGCTTGCTTGACGTATGATCTGATTGCTGGTGACTAGCCTTTGTTAAAAGTATAGCAGGGGAAGTGGAAATGAATTTTGGCTGTCTGTGACTGTTTAAATAGCAGGAGAGTTAAGAAGGAAATTCTGTTAAAACAGTCACTTGATTGATTTTGACTAGTGTAATGGCTTAACTGAATTTGCCAGCCATAGAGGGAGGGTTGTTTGTACTCAGAAAATGGGGCCATAACAGTGCCCGCATTTAAAAAATATGGACTATTTTGAATACGGAGGAACGGCACTGAAATGTAGACATGTGTTTTTCTCCGGACACTTGGCTTCCGTAAAATCAAATCAAAAATGCCGGGGGGGGGGGGGGGGGGTGTCAACCGTAACAGCCTAAATTTGCATGAACAACTCGTGAACACACTCTCGTACACTTTATTCGCTTTATAGTGTAGCGGTGACGTTTGAATTTGGAAGAAGGTATGAGTTTGGGAAAATTGGGATCTTAAATGTGATTATAAACGTCAGTTGTTGAAGTTTTTCATCCTGGCAGCAGTCTTGTCTATTCTGAAAGCACAATCACATAAGGCACAATCTTAGTGTAAGAAAGAAAGAAAGAAACTGAAGGATTTTTTTGGGTTGCCTTGTTCTCTCTGGATTCATGCCTGCTTCTTGAATCATTGAGAAGCAGTTTTATGCCACACTGATTGGAAATATTTTTACAGTTTGGACTCATTTCCATAGGGGGTAGTGGAGATACATGTGTGAGGTATGGTATCCAACCTCGTCTTGTCGGCCTTGTACGTACCGGTAGGCTAAAGAGGTTTGAGTTGTGCCAGGGATGCTCAGGACCAGTTTTCATCTCATTTGTGTGATTTTGTTTCACAAAGTACCTCTACAATAGAAATTTTACTAAAATGTTATTTGAATGGTTTTGAGCAAAAACGAACTGAAACAGAAGTCCAACCATGAAACATTATTAATTGCCATTTTGCTCGTGTGTTTTCTTCCCTTGTCCAGGGACATGGAGAATGCACGTAACATCCTTGATGTCATGAGGTATTTATGTAATTTCTTTTTCATTTCATTTCTGGAATCACTGCACCAGAGAAGTGTTGAATATGCTCAATCATTACTATGATAGTTTCTGTACAAACTGCATACACCAATTAGAGAATAAGTGACTTGGGGGGCGTTTTCGAATCCCTGTTCTTGACAACACGCGTGTAACACGAGAACCTGTTCTCGAGCTGGTTGTTACGAACGCGCGGGTGCGTGTCGCATCGATATACAGTAATGCAAAATGGCCGACAATCGTCTGAATTTGTACTTAGGCCTATTCCAAATGAACGAGGACGACTGTTGCAAAACCGGACATGCGGGGATGAAATTGCAGACCTGCATTATAATGGTATTCTTATTCCAATCATTAGGGTATTAGCAAAAAAAAAACCACAAAACAACTTAATACGAATCTGCACAGTCCGCCATTTTGTTCAAGCCTAACCTTGCCGAACCCTCCATCAACCGGGGAGTGAAAAAAATCGATCCACGAACGCCCTCTCGGGTCTGTTCGTCACGTTCGAGACCGCTGTTCTTGTGTCGGGTTAACCCGAGTGTTGTCAAGAACAGGGATTCGAAAACGCCCGTGTATAGCACTGTTTATAACACCTCACCCACAGATTCTGTGTCTTGATTGGCCGAGAGCGAGTCACATGGTACTTTCTATTTTTGCTATCTTTCAATGCACAGCCAAAAGTACTATACCCGTAGCAACCAAAGTACTATACCATTAGCAACCAAAGTACTATACCCACGGTGCGGTACTTTTGTGCAAATGCATGCTGGTGTGCGCGTAGTGCGTATCGTTCCAAAGGGAGCGCACCACAGAGTTGGGTTCAAACATTTCTTGAAGGGGTGGTTTGGAAGAGAAGAATACATTTCCTACAAATTTCGTATTGAAATTGAAGTGTATTTTAACTGTGTTCAGATTTAATTAATGTAAAATATTAAAACCAAGCAGAATCTGTGGGTGAAGTGTTATAAAACAAATATTGACTGCTTTATCTCGTGGTGTAGTAAAACTAGCTTCCCTCGGTGGTCCATGGAGCATTCTATTTTCCCTCGGCTTTGCCTCGGGAAAATAGAATGTCCATGGATCACCTCGGAAGGCTAGTTTTATTATACCACTCGAAGCATTCAATATTTGTATACCACACTGACTAGAGAGAAGATGTAACACTGACTGGATTTTTTGGCAAATCTGTGGGCTAAGGCGACTTTTTCTAAAGGTATCATTCAACCCATTAGCAACTGTACTACAGTGTATTACATTGTGTTTATTCACTGATGTAGCCATAAAACCAGTGAGAGCCCATGTGGTTTCAGGCGCTACTGGGAGTAATAGGTGGGGCGGTGTTGGTAGTATAGTGATTAATGGGATAATGTACAGTTGATTCATTCCACATATGAATAGTCATAAAAACTCATGAGTTCATCTTGGTGCTGTAAAGACCCCAGAATCTAAAAAAAAAACAGAAGTAATATAACAAGCTTGGTGTTAATCAAATTAGGTTTTGCCCTTCACCGACGTCTAAACTCTTTATACTCAGTGTGTTACCTCCCGAGTGAAAGTTTGGAAAACTTCACTTGGTTGTTGCTTCCAAGAATGGCATACTTAGGTTTCCTTATGTTGTGTGTGGTAGGAACGTTGGACTGGAGCCAAGTCAGGATACGTATGGCGCCCTCATGTGTGCGCTCGCTGAGAAGGGAGATATTGAAGGCATAGAGGAGGTCAGTCAGAATTCAAAAGAATTTGAAGACTTACAAATTAAGAAATTGGAAGAATACTAGAAATGGATTTGAAACAATCAGAAATTTAGGTGTCAAGATTTTGGAGAACCTTTATGTTTCAGTAATTTATTGAGACTTGAGATAGAATTAAGCTTTCCATGTTCCCCCTGTCCACAAAGAGAACCCTCTTTTGACTGTTGCATGGTTGTCAAAATAATGCACAGCTGCCTTTCTTCAGCAGACACAAAAACAATGAGTTTTGCACATGGTTTTGGAAATTGGGCGGGTTAGGTACCTGTATGTGATTTTCCCCAATGAAATCATAGTTAACAAAAAAAAAGGTGTTTTCTTGTCGACCGGGACACAAGAGGAGACTTTGTGTTTGAATTCTTAATTTTGCATGTATTCATCATTTTTCACATGGACATTTTCTCAGTCTTTGCATTTTATGCCAGGCTTTTAAACCTGTAAACTCGGCCCTAATGTGGAGGGTTTTTGACTAAGTTAAATTCGTGCACTCTTTTCAGTAGTATCCTTTATTATGTCTGGGAAATGTTTATACCATCTGAAAGCTTGTGAGCCAGACAATAAAGCATTTTGAAGAAAAAAAAAGTCCAAATATGACAACAACCCCCCCCCCCCCCCCCTCCGTTGCAATGGTAGCCATTTTAAAAGCCAACATTTTGGGTTTTGTAATCCTTTGTTTGTTGATATTTGGCCAAAAATGTATGAAAACAAACTGCTAGGAGACTTTTGAATGCATTACTACAAAATACAACTCTCATTTCATGAGAAAATACCCCAGAAAGCAATTGTATGCATTTACGGTTGTCATAGTAACCGACCAAAAATGACACAAGTAGTGCAGGTTTGGTGCAAAATTTATGAAAAAGAGGAAGTCTTTGTTATGAAACCTCTGGCATCAAATAGACCAATGCGTTAAGGCTTTGTTGGAGGGTAGTGCTTTTGTATCGTCTGGATATGCTCGAGTAAACCGTTTGTGCATTCATTGTTCATAAAATAAAATAACAAAGAATAGCCTCTGAGACAACATGTAAGGTCTATTGCTTCAAGGGAATTGCATCTCCATATGTTTAACAGTATGGAACTGATTAATTATTAATCATTTATGCGTGGTGTGAATATTCATTAGGTGATTCAGGAGGTGGAGTCTCAAGTTGGGGAGATTGCTGACCGATATTATCTGAGTGTTGCCTACAGTCTTGCCACGTCTGGGCATCAGCAACACGTTTCCAAGGTAACCAGAATTTGACAATTTGTCCTGGTGCTCAAATGCAACAACAGCAACAACAATAACAACAACAACAAAACCTTTTTTTACTGTTGCAAATCATGTACATTGATTCTTTTTTTATTAAAAACATTGCTGCTAAAACGATGTCAAGTAATATAGAAAAATTATTGTTATAGATGAAGTTTCGATTCTTCATCGCTCATTCAGTGATTTGTTCACATTTGCATATAATACAAGGAAGAAATGTTAGCTGAAACGAATGTATCAATAAGCAAACAGTGTCAGATTTGTTGGAATTAATTTAGTTTGATACATCATGGTGCCCATGGGAAACCTGCTGGGGATGGGGGAGGTGTATCTGAAAGATATTTTTTAAAACGACAGAACGTCAGTTTTATTTAAAGGACTCGGAACTGTAGTTTTCTCAATAAGTTTCCCCATACACATTTTAAGTGGTGTATTTTTTGGCCACTTGTAACAATCTTGGTGAACAAACACACTGTATGTGAATTTAGTTTTTTTTGTGATTTTCAGGAGTTAACAGGTTTTTGCATGAATTTCTTTTCAGATCTTGGAAAGGTTACGACTGGCTGCAGGATTTGTCCCAGGTAATTCAATTGAGATGATTTTCTTTCATAATCTGTATACACCTAAAATATTTGTTCAAAATGTACATGGGTCATTCCCCAAAGTGTGACATTTTTCCTGTCTCTGTTACTTTAGAACCTTGTAATTTGCCATTTAAGTCTTATAAAAGATGAATTCAGACTAGTTTTTATTTGTTGGGTAGGTCGTTTGCTTCACGTAATCGTTCTTGGAGGAAAAATATGGAAAGAATGTTGTATCTTGATGCTACCGGTACTTCTTTGGTTGTGTACAAACTATTTTCTAACAAAATTGGAATATGTTTCTCAGTCCCAGATTCATATCTTTTCAACACTTTGCAAAGACTGACCTTCATTGAGATAATAATATATGATGGAAAAAAAGTGGTGTAAGGATGCAACCTTCTTTCCAAGAATACATCTAAGGAGTGCATCGAGAATTACAAAATCATTGATATATGTAACAGGGACAGGAAAAAAGTAGACCCCACATTTATAGAACGACCCACATGAATTTTATGTCATTCATGCATGTATGTATAAAGTCAGTTTACAAACAAAAGACCTTTGAAGGTTAGCACACATGTACTTGTATGTGAGTTTGTGTTACAGTCACTATGTGGACTTCCGAACAAAAGATGTCTACATAAACCAGGTAGCAGCGACGTTGTGTGGACTTGCCCACGTCCACACAAGGTTTTCCCCTCTCTGGAAAACAGGTTTAGAGGCATTTTTGGGTAAGGTTTATCAGTGGCAAATGAAGAGAAACACTAAAGGGAATCACAGAAAAAAAATTGGGTTGAACAAGTTTTCACTTTTTGAGTAAAATGAGGTTTTTTTTCACTGGTTTTTCTTAACTACACGAAAAAAAAGGAATGCCCACACTAGGTATGTAAAACAAACATGGGTGTGCTTGTGTATGTACAAGACAGCGCCACACCACAGTTGGACTCCGGGGCTTGGACTCGGTGCTTGAGGCCCAGGCTCTCCCCCCCCAGCCCGACCGCCAAAGTATGAAAACAAGAAAGGAAGACGACAGAAGCTAGGTCTTTAGCCACTCTCTTAATTTGAGTCTAACATAAATTACACAAATGAATTCACAACGAAAGTCAATAGAATACCGGTGATGTGTGTCCCAAAGATAAATCTTGGGTGTGTCATAGTGGTGGAATTAAAATCTGGATTTTTTGAAAATTTGGCTTGAATTCCACTATTCGGTTTGGATTTTGGAAACTTGATATTCAAAACCAATCTTAAAAAAATTAGGCCTTTCATTTTTTGTGACACAAGCTGAAGGAAACGTCTAGAACATCCCCCAATTTGCTCCATGGTCTCTGATTGTAACTGCAGTCACTTGCTAGTGGTCTTCTTGGTTCATGAATAGCCTGCCCACTCATCTGATCAGAGAGTTCCCACCCATTTTTGTCAACATTACAACTCTGGAGTGTTTTTGTAAAGGCCCAGTGGTGATTCAATTCTGCAAACTATACCCAATCATCTTGGACAGCATTCCATGTGGCAACTCACTCGTCACTTTTTGTTAGCTTGACTGTGAGCTGAATGGGGACTTCCGATGAAATCGGATAACTCGTTATGCGGTTTGAAAAAAAAATGGGATAACTGGATTTTGAAAAGTCAGATTCTGAGTCAAAGTCCAACGTTTTGATTTGCTCGAATTGTTGATCTCTGCAGACACGATCAACCTGTCCCTCAGTCTAATCACCAGGGGACAACTAGATGCAGCCTTCTCCATCCTCAAGATGTTTGGTGCTCGCAAGGCTGAAAACAGCACCGGTACCGAGTCTCAAAATCAAGGCAGCTTCTTCATCGATACGCTTGTGCAACTCGGAACGGTGAGGAACCAGTTTCGTAGTGGTGCTTCTTAAGTCTGAAAGTGCTTCACAGTTGTTACCCCTTTCCATCAGGCCAATTTCACCATCAGACCAATCAGGCTGCTAAGCTTACAATTTTACTTAGCACAAAAAAATGTCTGGCTTATAAAAGAAGATTACCAGCCAAAACTCCACGTGATGTATATTGCTCATGATTAGTATTCAGCTGTTGTTTGCTTAGCATGAAAATCATATGGAGTTTTGGCTCATAACCTGCTTTTATAAGCCAGACTTTTTTTGTGCTAAGCACCTTTTTGTGCTTAGCAGCGCCGTGAAATTGGCCCCTGGTCATGAGACCAATTTTCTGTAACAGGTTTAAGATCAGTGCAATCTAGTCTCTACCCTTACTGGCAACCAGTTATGCTCTTGGGTAGACAGGGACAATTGTTGCAAAGTGTCTTGCCCAAGAACACAAGCACACATTTCCTTTCCAGGGTTGGAACCCACATACCATCCCACATGAGACCGACACCTAACACTGGACAATTGCAGTCCACTGTTATCAGTTGGAAGATGTCTTTGGTACACTGTCTCCATAAGGGCGTGTTCAACGTTAACGCTCAACCTTAGAGTTCCTTTTTCCCCTTACAAAAAAAAACCCTTTTTGTTTAGACTGAACAAAACAAATTACAATGAGAGTTGGACCTGGAACCCCTCAGATGCTAGACCAGTGCTCCAAAAAAAATATGGCACAATCTACTGTAGCACTAAGTTGGTGAACAGAGAGAACGGTATATGTTGCTTTGTTGCTAAAACCTGCATTTTTGATGCAGTGTAGTCACGACACTCCAAAAAGTGAATAAAGTGTTTGGAACAAAAATGTACAGGTACAAGCAATTTTGTTCTTACATTTCAGCTTTGATCTGCCATGGCATTGTGAATTTCATATGGCATAAATCACAAGTACTGTATTGGTTTCCAAAGTAACTTCCCAAATCTCAACGAAAGGTGATAAAAATGAAAAGGATATTCTAATAAAATGCAAGGCACTTCGTAGGAAATTCATGTTCATGTCATTCAAGTGTGAAATTATGCCAAAAGGGCCCCTTGCTCATTGGACTGGTGTTTTGACACATGGTGTAAAACGGTCAGAAACTGTTGAATGGCAGTTTTTACTCTTGTTTGATTAGGATATCTCTCTTTTCTCCCCTCTATTGCAGCCCCATGCAGTACTGTTCCAATACCTAGATGCTATGACGAGTGAGGGTCTCCACACTTCGCCGTACATTGTCGCCTTGCACGTTGGTCTGAGAAACCAGGGCGGTGTGGTCACTAACGGTAAATCTAAAAACCACCTACTATCTCAGTCGTGACTGCTGTAATGCTTGCTTATAATAGTGGAGTTCCCTCACGTGCTGCATTTTGATGTTCCCCCCGACTTTCCTCATACAGTGTTGTCAAACCTCTTAAATTAAATACTGTTACTATTTAACTTAATAATTTTGAACCCTTATGAACAATGTTAGTGTCATGAAATTTATTTCGAAAACGCTGGCGTCCGGAACTTGGGCACAATATCGACCGAGTGTTCCCTAACGTGGCGCACTTGAACAAATCTCAGAAAATTCCCAAGTGAACATTTAACAATTTTTTTGAAGTTGACGAACCATTATTGTCTTTGTTCACATATCCATCTAAGTGAACGATTATAGAACTGAATCGGGAATATGTGCAGGTAACATGATACTCCGCAACGGTGACAAAAAACCGCACCGGTGATCTGGTGTGCGATGGGCTTTACTCTATGGGCAAAAGTGGTTTTGTTAAACTTGAAGGGTTGTGAAGTGCAGACGGTTAGGAGGGTTAAATAAAAAAGTTATACGAAGTTCTAGAAAGATTAGACACAACTTAATAACCCTTTATTTCATTTGTGTCTCCCATTGTCTTTGTAGAATACATTCTTGGAATAATGAAGCACATGATGGAATCGGTAAGTACACACTTTGCTTGTAGGATGGTTGACCCCCTCAGCATTGTTTTAGGTGTAGTGCGTAATTCTGGTGTGCAAAAAAGCACAACATGTCCCACAGTAAGACACTGTTATTACTTGCTTCGTCCTTGTGGCGCACTTTTTAAATCCTTTATGTAGTCTGATAACCTCAGGGGTGACATTTGTCATGATTAATCCTTATTATTTCAGGATTTAAGATAAAATCCTTTTGAAATCTGGAATTGTGACATCTTACCATAAAGGTCTCTTTACCTATAAAGGTTTATATAAAACAAAAGAAATGGGTATTTTAAGGGCTGCCTTTAGGCAAATACAAACATATTCCATGGTCCCTATGTTGCTCCGGGGCCCTCAGCGAACCCCAAACTCTCTGCCAATTATTTCATGTATTATTCATTCTTCCCAATCTCCCCCTGTAACCTTTTGCATGGATGTTATACATGCCTTCATCACATCTCGTTTGGACTTCTAAAATAGCCTCTTCAAAGGGCTACCTGAGTCTCGGATCACAAAGCTACAACGTGTTCAGAATTCAGCAGCTAGGCTAGTCACGCTGTCACATCGTCATACGCATATATCCCCCATTCTTCGTAACCTTCACTGGCTCCCCATCAAGCTCAGGATAATCTTCAAACTGCTTCTCCTCACCTACAAATGTCTTCATGGTCTCGCCCCCGCTTACCTCCAAGATCTGATCAATAGATATGAGCCAAGAAGAAACCTCCGCTCCAGCTCCCAGTACTTGCTCACCCGTGTCTCTCCATCTACAAGATCCTACGGACATCGTTCCTTCTCCGTTGCCTCTCCTGCCCTGTGGAATAAACTACCCTCTCACATCAAAAAAGCATCAACCATTGGAACCTTCAAATCAGCCCTCAAAACACACTTGCTCACACGAAACTCTTTGAAATTTTTGTCTTAATATTGTTTTGTATTGTTCAGTGCACTGGGACTTTGTGTAAAATGCACTTTAAAAGCACTGTATATTATTATTATTATTATTATTATGTTGCAGGGTGTAGCTGTCCGACCTCACTACTTCTGGCCCATGATGTCAGCAGAGGCCAACAAGGGGAACAACGAAGGTATGCAATAAGCCATTTGCGAGTTAAATTTGAATATAATCTGGAACGCTGACTTTAAGTCTTTGCACGTTTTAACTTTGCATTCTCCCGACCAAACAGACTGTTACTATATCACGTGATTCGGGGCAAGCCTTATGCTAGCAACCCCCAGCTCCGGCATGGTCTGGTGTCTTTGTGCCATTGTGAACAATGTATTGATGCTGAGCGTCTCTTAGCTATGCAAGAGCTTGCCCCGAATCGTGTGATTAGCAACAATGTCTTTGGTCTGGAGAATTCAGAGTAAAAATGTGCCAAGCATTCTGAGCAAGTCAGCGTACCAGACGTTTTTCAAATTTAAATCCCAAAGGGTATAGGTCAATTGCAAATGGCTTATTGTCTCTATTGTTGAAGATTTGAGACTTGATCCCATGAAATGCATCTCAAGGGCATTTTTCCACCTTTTGATTAATCACATGCAGTGAAATGAGCATACTCAACTCTTCATTTTTATGTATAACTCAGTTTGATGGCAATTTTGTGGGCGAAAGTTTTGACTGTTCTGATTGATTTCTACTGTGCTGAATTGGCTGGGGTAACCATGGTTACTACAGAGATGCCACTTTTCCAGTTTAAACCGGAATTCCTTCTTTTATTTAAATCTCACAAACTTTAGGTTTTTCCGGCCGTCAAAAAAAAAACTGGAAAAAGAGAAGAAAAACTGTGGAAATGTGTTGATTTTTACCTCGTTTTTAATACGGCGCAACGTTGTTTGTTGAAGTAGTCTTAAAAACAAGTCTTTGTTGTTGCCAAGGCTGCATGCGAATCAGGCGGCCAACGTACGTACTTGCACGCAGTATACAACGGCGCCTCGTGTGCTGCATGCACCGCGTGCGTGCTAAGCACAAGTAGCATTCAGCCTAGAAATCAAGTCTTTCATTTCAGTTATCGGTGGTGCCCGATCACAGTGATATATGTGAACACACAAAAAAACATTGAATACCAACCATGTTTTTGTCGTGCGCATTGCGTAGTGCAAAGGTCATGTTCACCGACAAGTGTTGTGGAATCGTGCATGTTTCCGATGTTTGGTGTCGAATATTACGTTGGAAATTTTGGTAGGCAGAATAAATAATAGGAATATGGAAAAATCAAAGTGATTGAACGAACCAACAGCTTAAAGGCCATAGAAGCAAAAAATAAATGGAACTTGGCTTGGCTACAAGAGAAACTTGACAACAGGGACTTTGTGTCGGAGCGGCTTTTTTACAAAAAATTAAGTTCCGGTTTTCTCAAGCAGCTGTTCCGTTTTTTTTCAAGCAGACCCAGTTCGGGTTTTTTCAAGCTGTGGCATCTCTGTTAATAGTTCACGCACACTGCAACAGCCCAATGAACTCAGTGTTTTCACTGTGGCTGTTGTGAATCCGTTTCATATATATTTGCGCAAACATATTTCCACGACCACTTACATGTAGTTCAATAGAATCTTGAAATGGACCAATTTCCTTGTTTGACTGCTAGGCATGAGGGTCTCAGTTCTTAGGCTTTTAAAGGGAATATACATCATTTGCTTTTGCTGTAATTTTCAGAAATGGATGGAATTGGGGGGTTGGAAATATATAGCAAATATAGTTACACTGACTTTTTTGAGGTTTTGGGTTCGAAAATGCTATAAAAACCAAGAAAAACGATCATTTTCCTGTAGTCTGGTTCCCTGACTCCATATAAGAAGAAACAGAGCAGTTTACATACATTGGGGAATTGTAAGGTCAGGGAACCAGTCTAGCTGGCTCGTACCCGTTTATAGGTTTGTAATCGATTGCAAACAAGTGCGATGGTCAATTGGGGCCAGTATTTGAAAAAAAGCCAGTTTTTTCCAACGCTGATCGGCCGATCAGCGTTGGAAATTGATACAAAAATACCACTTTTCTTGAAAATGACAGTATACCAGGTGCCATGATTTTACAGGATGCTTTACACTGTCATTCACTAACAGTCCAGCAAGGTATTTCAAAATGATGTGGTAGTTGTATTTTTTGATGTTTGCAAATGTTGTATTTTCCCTTTAAGTCTTAGGTGTCACAAACCGTGTAACTTAACTAGTTCATAACTGATGACATGACTTTAAACTGAACTGGGCCGAATTTCACGGCGCTGCTAAGCACAAAAATTTGCTTAGCACAAAAAAAGTCTGGCTTATAAAAGCAGGTTACCAGCCAAAACTCCATGTGATTTTCATGCTAAGCAAACAACAGCTGAACACTAATCACGAGCAATATACTTCACATGGAGTTTTGGCTGGTAACCTGCTTGTATAAGCCAGACTTTTATTGTGCTAAGCAAACTTTTGTGCTTAGCAGCGCCGTGAAATTGGCCCGCGGTGTGAGTCTTGGATGTCATTGCCACACTTTGAAGTCATTCCCAGGATCCGTTTTGCTTTTTAGTTGTTATGTATTCTTTCATTCATGTGGGCATGTGTGGTCTAGCGGTAGAGCATAGTATTCGTGATTGTGAGATTGTGGGTTCAAGCCCTGCCGTGGCCATGGTGTTGTGCCCTTGAGTAAGGCGTTTTACCTCAATTACTCCTCTCAACCCAGGTGTTAAATGGGTACAGGCATTATTCAATGCTGGGAAGGTAACAGACTCGCTGTGGAGGAGGTGTGGCAATCCCCCCACAGTAGCATATCAGTCTGGCCCAATCGCTAATGAAAGAGAGATGGGCACTCCGTTCCTGTAAACACAGGCTCGTCCCATTCCTTTCAACAACATGCCCCCATTCCTTTCAACGCAAACCTCTGCCCTGGTTCTCATTGCTGTGAACGCATTCCTGATAACGTCTCTTTCTTTGATAACTGTCAATTGGTCTTATGGTGCATGTGGTACAAGGCCATGTTTGGCATGTCAGTTACATCACTTGGTGCACAGTCATCCGTGACGGCAAAATGGAGTTCGTGGTGTCAAGAGAAAGAAGAGTGATCGTGTTTTGATTCTGTTTCACCAGGGGTGTTGCAGCTTGCTAAGGCCATGGTGGATATGGGAGTACACATCAACGTGGAGACCTACTCCAAGTATCTGATTCCTGCCATAGGCGACAAGGCTGAGATGATCGTGGAGAGAATTAAGGTAGATGGCCGTTGTCGAGTGACAGTGTTGAAGTCTAGCCCATCACAAGTCCCCACAAGTCCCCACAAGTCCGTCACAAATCCTCTTGTCTCAAGAAACAGGCACAAGCTTTTCAAATGAATTACGATAAAGGCATTCCTTTGTTACTGTTCGCCTACAAAGACTCCAAAATTCTGCCGCTCGAATTTTGACCCTGACACCCTCTAGAACCCATATCACCCCGATTTTGCAGTCTCTGCATTGGCTCCCTGTTGCTGACCGGATTAAGTACAAACTGTTACTGCTTGTTTTTCATTGCCTGCATGATTCAGCTCCTGAATACAACATAGACCTATTAACTCCTTACAATCCATCCAGGCGATTGAGATCTTCTGATGCTTCTTTGCTTGTTGTCCCTCAGACTCTCAAATCTTGGGGTGATCGATCAGTTTCTTTCGCAGGTCCTCATCTTTGGAACAAACTTCCCCTCGCCATTCGCAATATCTCATCGCTTTCTGAATTAAAAGTGGCCCTGAAGACATCTTTGTTTCAGATCACTCACAATATTCTTGTTTAGTTAAATTTAATTGTTTTGTTATTTCTGATTTGATATAATTTTTGTTTGCGCCATGAGCGTCATTTATGGCGGATACCGGCGCGTTATAAATTGCCGTTATTATTATTATTATTATTATTCCTTCCTGTTTCTTGTGACTGGACTTGTGAAAGGACTTGTGACTGGATTTGTGAAAGGACTCGTGATTTACTATTGAAAGGACTTGTGATGGACTTCAGGGGGACTCGAGTACAACACTGCCGAGTAATATAATTCCACCTGTGCACCCCATATTAGGGGCGCTCTTGTTGAAAGCACATCCATTAGGGCAATTATATTCTTGGGTTATAGGCTCACACAAAAAGTGCGATAACGAGATTATAAAGGATGAAATTGTGGTTGGATATGTACATTTGCCCATGTTTGTAATTTTGTACTGAAGGAAGTTAAAATGCTTGTTTGTAATTTTGTACTGAAGGAAGTTAAAAAGCTTAGGGGCTAAGAGTTTAAACTCTGTTGAACTGTGTTCATAAGATGAATTTGCGTCAGGGTGATGTAAATCGCTGTTAGGTTTTGCCCTTCACCTACGTATAAACACTGTATACTCAGTGTGTTACCTCCCGAGTGAAAGTTGGAAAAAATCACTCGGGTGGGACTCGAACCCACGACCTCCTGCTTTCTAGTGCAGATGTCTTACCACTCGACCACCGAGCTTGCAGGATTGGTTGGCTGGTTCGAATCTAATGTACATGTAGCAGTGGGCACCACAAATAAACTATTCAATTGCGGTACCTGGTACCTTGAAGATGTACCTGAATTGCAAAGCTGAACTTACACAATGTCTTAAATCAGAGTATGTTGTAATATTGTGTACCCATGAAGGATCTCGGAGTTACAGTGGACAAGCAAGTACTTGCAGCACTGTGCAGACACGAGGTCTCCAAGAACAGACTAGATAGCGTTGTCCAATTACGTGAGTAAACTTCATTCTCAACTAGGTCGCCTCGGAGAACGTGATAACACGCACTGGCTGTTTTTATACACAGGCACGGCTGACAGGTTCAGACATCAAGATTGTCTCGACTCGCCTCCAGGTGATGTCTTAACATGCTAATCCCTTGGCCTTTTGTACACACACACAAAGTCTGTAAAGCCTCCAGAGGCAGACCATGTGTTGATCTTGAATTGGCCTTTGTGCACGGCCAATTGTACAATTTACGCTCCAGTGCAGTATTGAAACATGAGGTTTCGGCAAGAAATATCGTACAATGCTGTTGAAATGACTCCTGCGAAATCAGTATTTGTGGCGTTTGGCATTTGGCTGTACATCAGAAGTTGGCTGAAAAGTGTTGCCTTTTACAAAAATCTTAATTTAAAGTGGTTAAACTATTGAGAAATTGCTTTTCTACTCTAAAGTCAAATAAAAACGTGAAGTGACTACTGAATCAACTTTAGATTTACATGTGGGTTCATTTTAAAGCTCATCAATTCGGGCGATTCACAATGCAGTGCGCCACCAAGAGTTTGCCGCGGAGAGTCCATTTTACAAGTTTACGGTCGACAAAACATGGCCCATTTAAATGAGTGTCAGTAGACAACTTGAGCTACCTTGTCATAGATTGGGGCATGGTGTTCTACCGCCTTACAAAAAAAAAACATATTGATAAAATGAAAAGAAAGGGGGCAAACAGATATTCGAATCATACGCTTACGAAACAATTGACCGGAAAAACGAACAATTTCAAAGTCCCGCGCTGCGAATTTGTCGACCATCTCCCACAATGCACGGGGAAAAATGAACTCTCCGTGGCAAACTCTTGGTGGCGCACTGCATTTTGAATCGCCGGAATTTGTAAATGTTGGTATACTTTGAGTGGAGCTATTTGTACACCTTGTCTTTGCCAGTGAACAGCTTTCCAGATCTGGTGGTAGTGTCTCTCTTCAGGACTGGGCTCATTAACTCCTTCCACAGGTAATTCAATTGTCTACTCAAACAGATCAATTTTTAATAATAATAATAATAATGGAGTCTTATATAGCGCACCAACAATCAGGTATTCAAGGCGCTGGAGATTATGTCTATTATTAAAGAAAGGTAAATTAAGTTGATGAGAAATATGAGACCCATTATGTAGCACCTTATAAGGGTTTACAAGGTGCTGCGGCGCATATTGCAGCCTCTGCCAGAAACACTGGGGCAAACTCTTAGCGATAAGTGTTACTGGGTTCTTTAACATGCATTACACAACACACGGGGCCTACGGCTTTACGGCCCATCCAAAGGACGAAGCGATAATGGTAAAGTGCCTTGCTCAAGAGCACAAGCACCATGTTCCCACGGTCAGCATTCGAACCCATGTACCACGGCACACGAGTCCAACACCGTAACCGCTGGACCATAGCACCCCATTTTTAAATGGTTTAAACAATATTTCTGTACGGTGTTTTGGATGTTACAGGTTGGAATCAGGCTTAAGTCATTTTATCAGGCTTTTTGTTGCGGAAATTAGAGTTTCTGTTTCAGAATGGTGACCCCAACAAAGTCTGAAAGACCCTTGCAGAGAAACTCACTCTCACCTTAAGTTATGGTCTTCAATTAGCAATTTGTTGGTATTTTATTATACCACATGTATTTCATCAGTTGCACCATGAACCGTCGTATCCTTATTTTTGGCCAAATTGAGTTTTGTCATTAACGTTTTTATGTCATCAAAGTGCTCATTCCCACAAGGTTTTATTCCGATCTGAGTTCTAGTTAAGTAAGAACGCTAACTAGACTGTACGGCGTATCTCTGAATAATTAAAAAATGTTTCACCATGAAGTGTCGTATCCCGATACGCAGTTTTCTGCGCTAATTCCCACAGCACCAGCATGAAAAGTGCGATTTCATCGTTTCACGAATCGTCGTATCCTCGTATATGCCACGTGGGCACTATTACGCGCGTTGTATGAAATAAAATAAGTTTTACAAAGTGACGTGTATCTTGGGAACTGAATTTCTTAAAAACTAAGCAGCTCAAAAGCAAATGGATTGCATACGATGAAGTTAAAACTATAATGTTGTAGCTGAAACGAAACCGATTGAATTCTTACAAGGGAAGTATAAGGAATGATCCTACCAAAATATGACCACCTTTAAAAATTTTTTTTTCGCAAAACACCGAAAATTGCAATACGACGGTTCATGGTGCGACTGACGATTTACTGTCTTGATCAAGTCTCTACATGTGTGTTACTCCTTGTGTCACAGGTCCCCCCAAGTGGAGCCTCTTGTGACCCTGGTGAATAATCTCTGGACACAGTTCGATGATGACGAAAATACGGGAATCAGCAAACAAGGTGATAATGCTCTGCTTGCTATTTGATTCATTTTGTTTTTCTTCTAACATTTTCAAAGGCAAAGATAACTGTGTTTCAAAAACAGAATTAGTTTGCATATTTAATAGGAGCTAGTCAAAGTTCAAGCATGCCAACAAGAGCTGCCATAATAACAAGGCCACTTTCCACTTGCCCTCTACCTACTCTGGCTATTAGTCTGGTTCCGTATTTTTTTTTCACATGCATGAATGCGTCAGGATACAGACATTACTGCGCGTGCGGCACTCGGAAAATCATGGCCTATGGTGTAAAATGGTCGAACTTGACATGATGCAAATGTCATGAAAACATTGATGGAGAAAGAAGATTTTTGCAAGTTAATTCGTCGAACTTGATCTCTCTCTTTTATGTATGTGTTTTCAGCTTGTTTGATTTTCGAGGTCTTAACGCTCCGATACCGCGTGACCAGTTCCCATGCGTGCCGATACCGCGCATTACGGAATGTATTTAGTGGTGTGCACAGCTTCAATTCTTAATTGTTTTATGTGTGTGTCGTGGGACTTTTAGGTTTTTTCCAATTTTTTCTCTTTTGGGGCAGTTTTGATTGCTTTTGTGGCGTAAATGAAAGTAATTCGTGCTGAAAATTCTCCTGTGAATGATGTGAAGAATTCATGTAGGTATAAACCTTGACTACATAATCAGCATGAAAAAAAAAATGCAAAATAAAAACATTCTTGACCTACCGACCCTATTTTGAAATGGCATGTAGGCCGAATCAGAAAACACTGACCGACAACTGCACTGTAAAGTGTCAAAGCAAGGTTTCTTTTTTAACTTCAGAATAAAAGGTAAAAACAAGAACACAAATAGGAAGCATTTTTTTAAATGAAAAGGATGCCATGAAAAAGCTTAAAATGTCTCACTTAAAACTTTAACTCAAGTGAGAATGTGCCACAGAGCATCTAGAACTCCTAAATTGTAGATTGAATATCTGCTTTCTGTTTGTTCAACCGAAAAAATTCATGAATTTATGTAATTCTTTGATGGAAATGATACACCTTGCATGTTCCTTTGTCTAAATGTTGTACCCTGTTCTTTGTGCAGATTATGTTGGCGGTGTTTTGTACGACCTAGTGAGAGCTATACCTGAAGCAAAGGCAGCCAGTCTCAAACCTCACCTGCAGCTGCTCTTTGACAAGCTTGCCGATAAGGTGGGTCATGTGATTTCAGTCAGGTGACTGATGTCCTTGAGCCAGGTGCATTGTTTCAATCACCTCTTTTTTGTGTGGTGATTTGACTGGTTGAACATTTCATTTGTGTCCTTCAAACCTATAAGCCCCAAAATTTCTAAATTCTCAATCTTCACGAAAATGTCCAAAACAAATTTTCCTAGGTTCAAACTGTATTAACTTCCAATATTTAGAATAACAGCATGAATTTATAACACAGTAATAGATTTTAAAGTTTATCAAATTTTGAAATTGAACCGACTGAAAATCACACACCAATAATCCAGCCAGCAAACATGTCAGGTTGGCGTAGCGGTACTTTCCTCGCCTTCCACCGCTGTGACCCGGGTTCGATTCCTGCCTGGGCCAATATGTGGATTGGGTTTTCAGTCCCTACCTGATTCTGTGGGTTTTCCCCAGAATATTCTTCTGGGGTTTTCCTCCTACCTCTAAAACTGTAATTTCTTCTCATTGTCTTCTCCACAGGTTTCTTCAGGCTAGCGAGCCACAGTTCCTACAATCCCGGCCAAAATGGATGGGACACTTCCTGAGCCTGCCACGGTCACCCACTCCCCCGCTGCTCCGGTCAATGTTGTTCTCTCCAGCTGATGGAGCACACACCGCGCAATGAGAGACAACATTGAACGGGGGCCGGGGGTTTTGGGGCCCAGCGAGATTTGGCCAGGATTGTAGGGTGCTTTTGAGGAATCCTTGGTTTCATTACTGAAAATAAATAATAATAATAATAATATAATAATGGAACGCCGCAAATCCAGGCTGCACTGTTTACAATGCCTTGCTGGATTGATGCAGAGTTGAACTGCCAAGAACGTAGAACATTGTTGCATGTGGAGATAAATGTATAACCCGTCAGGTGTTTTTTGTCTTTTGACGCTGCAGGGAATTCAAATCGCCATGCAGCGTTTCCGAGGCATTCGTAATCTCCTGGATCAGATCAAGCTACCTATGGTCAAGCCCCATGCCTACAAGTTGCTAGACCCTGCAGAGGTTAACTCCAACCCAATGGCTAACCTCGACCTTCTTACAAACAGTGTAAGTGATAGGATGTAAACTTGAAATGAGGATGGCTCAGAAGGAGTTAGGAGTCATCTTTAATTTAAGTTGCATTCCCCCGTGCTCTTCAACCAATTTTTTTTCTATTAATAAGTTTTCGACTTGTATGTTATATTCCAACCAAAATACCTCATTTGTTCCTTTTTTAGACTTCTGTAACCCTCTGAAATAAAGGTTTTTGTTTTGGGTACAAACAGTTCCGCTTTGCGAGCAGACTGGTTCCGTACATTATCGATACTGATGGGGGGGGGGGGAAACAGCCTATAATTTGTAAGTAATAATTCAATAACTAAACATGGGCCATTTTTGTTCGTTCAGTGTCTCATTCAAAAGTGAATAACTTTTGTATTGCTAGAAAAATAGCAGTTAAGAAATGGAATCTATTTTTTGGGACGAAGTTCGAGTTCTGAAAAACTGTCATGGAATTGCTCCTGCAATGACGTTATCAGTTTGTAAACAATGCCGGTAAATTTTCGACGCAGGACGACTCTAGGCAAGTTGTTCAACATTCAGCAACAAAAGAATGAGATGACTCCTCAACCATCCCAAGCTAGTGTTGTTGTCGAGTCCATCATAAGTCCCTACAAGTCCCTGGAAGTCCATCGCAAGTCAATCACAAGTCTTTCAGCCGCAAGTCAGATCACTAGCTATTCAGACCAACTTCGGTAAAATCATTCCTTCGTCATTGTTCATCCCATTACTTGTGATGGGCATGACTGCAACACTGCTCCAAACCTTTCATATAAACAGAAATACAAGAATGAAATGATGATGGATTAAACATTGAAAAGATTTAGGTCACCTCACATGTTCTCTTAGAAAGGGACTTTCTCACCGTAAGACTGAATCAATTTGTATAATTCATTTTGTCAAATATTTCAGAATCCATCAGATCAAACGTTCAGTGTTACCAGAAGGCAAGCACTGGGCAACCGATGCAAAAAACTATTCAAAGTATCTTTAACCCTAACCCACCTCACTCCTCCAAAATTCTCCTGGCGGTTTTGGAGGATTCAAGAGGATTGAGGATGAATGGTGATTGAATCAAATGAGGATTCTGGAGGATTGAGGATGAATGGTGATTGAAGCACATGAGGATTTTGGAGGATTGAGGATGAATGGTGATTGAAGCACAAGAGGATTTTGGAGGATTGAGGATGAATGCATTTTGAGGCAGGACTGTCTGAGGATTTTGAAGGATTTGGCGTTGGTTATCCTTCATTTAAACACGAGTGCAAAGTTTTGGGATGAGGAGGATTTTGGAGGATTGAGGATGAATGCATTTTGAGGCAGGACTGTCTGACAATTTTGAAAAATTTAGGCGGAGTTGCAAAATTTTGGAAAATTTTGGAGGATTTTGGAGGATTGAGGATGATTGTAAGCAACAAGGGCCTAGGGGGTTAGGGTTAATGTGTGTGTGTCGCTTATATAGCGCTTTCCACCAAAGCCAGGTCTCAAAAGGCTTCACAGTTATTACCCCTGTTCATCAGGCAGTGAAACCACTTTCCTGCAGCCGAGATCAGCGCAATGTGGTCTCAACCCTCACAGGTATCATTTATATTCCTGGGTGGAGAGAGGCAATTGTAGTAGAGTGTCTTGCCTAGGAACACAAGCACCATGTTCCCAGTCAGGGTTTGAACCCACTTACCACGGTGCATGAGTCGAACACCGTGACGCCCGGTTCATACTCGGCGCAAAAGCGAACGCGAATTTGTGACGTTGTGGCGAGTATTTGCGCTGCGAATTCGTGAAAATTTAACACATTTCAACTCGGACGAATTTCGCAGCGAATGCTTCGTGACGTCAATTTCGCTTCACATTCGCATGAAGTATGAACAAGGCTAACCACTGTACCACAGCGCTCCTCTTTATACATGTAGCTAGCTTCTCACTCTTGTTTCAGCCTCAGCTAGTGCTAGGCTATTCATACCCTGGGAAAAAGCCCAACTTTCCCCAAATTCACTACATTCCAGCGAATATTTCCTACCTCCATTTTCCCCAAATTTGCTTGTTGAAATCCTCTCTACTTTTGCTCTGTACTTCCCTCCTACTTTACAGGACATTTCTGTGGAGGATCTGGAGTCCCATCTGACAGAGCTTAAGGAGAAGGATGGTAACTACCGAGGTGTCATACGACGACTCATCCTGTACCACACGGCCAATAATGTGAGTATGTGAGATGCCAGCACTGTGACTCAAGGCTGATGTCAGAGGTTTATCAGTTCCATGTTTTGTTTGAACAACAAATGTCTGAAATCGCCTTGTGTGTGAGGAAAACACCTGAAATTCACTGTTTTTGTAGATTTTCACAGGCATGAGAATCTTCCTGTTTAATCAGGAATTCCTGGTTTTTTTTGTTGCCCATATTTCTGTGTTTTGATTTAGTTTAAGCCTGTTTTGGGGCTTTTTTGCCTGATTTCACATCTTTTTTCCTGTTTTTGCACAAGTTTCCTGTTTTTTTTTCATTGAAATTCATTCTCATGCCTATTTTCAGTCCTGCCAATGAATGTGTAGATATCAGAATTGAAGACTGCATATACAGTGTCTGTGATGCTGGCTAGATAATTTTTTCCTGAGAAATTAAACATGAGTGTTCAAATAATATTAAATAAAGAAATATTGTTAACAGCCGATTCTCAAAATCACACCTTGCAAATCACAAAATCAAGTAAGGCCACAGTAAATGGACTTCCATCAGATGCATTAACCTTACCAATGTCTAGGGTTGATCATGTGCGGATTGCACTCGGATTGCAGAACCCTGCCAAACGTAGCAACATGCAACACTTGACTAAGTGACAAGCCTGCCAAATGTAGCAAGATCCATCAGGGAAAAAGTCTCAAAGGCCACAATGCCTGAGAGTCTGTGGTCACCGCACGCAGCAGGATACAACTGTGGCATTGTTCAATTGGGGCTTAGCTCTCATTGTTTCAGAGCTGGCCATTCATGTACTGGTGTTGATAGCTGAATGCATCAAAGTGCACCGGTTCTTTTCCACCTGATGCACTGTGTTGCATCTGGCAGGGTTAGTGTTAAGACTGTCTTAATACTTAGACTGTGTCATTGCAGTGGTCTAACTTATAGACCGACTGATAGCCAGAGTTTTAAGACCGTCTAAGGCACATAACCAGCTTTAAGACCGGTTCTTGCAATCAGTCCCAGATCAGCCCAATTTCTAATTAGCAGTATACCAGGAATGATAGAATCGGCAAGGACTGTATAAATCAGTCAAATTCACACTCATTTGACCCTCCATGACCAGACGATTTTCGAAAACTGATGATTGTTGAATCTCTGAGTCAATTGTATGTGTTACTTCCCCCCCCCCCTTTTTTTTACTGTGGTAAAGATGTCCAAATACATGTAAGCCATCAAAAAATTAAAAAGAAAAATGTGCCCAAATTTGATGGCAGTCTATGTAACTTGATATGTTTAAATTAATAGTGTTTTTGCCCCGATACATGTACGTCCATTATTGTCGCTCTAAAGATTGATTGATAATACTCAAATGTCCATGTTACTGCACAGTCACCCGCCTCATTAATTTCGCTGTTACTGCCCTTGTTATTTCAGAACTACCAACGATCCATAGAGTTGATCGAAGAGTTCAAAGCGAAGGGCTACGAGCCGACGGGAGCAATATATGCCTCCTTGATGAGCGTCTGCTCCCACCACAAACGTTATGATGAAGCGTTCAATTTCAAAAAGCAATTGTAAGAAAATTGGTTCTATTCCTTTTTTTTTTTAAATTGGATATCTGTTTGATATTGTTACAGCTGTTTTTAAACCCGTAGTCATTTGGGAGTGAGTAGGCTGGTTATTTGACTAGTCATTTTGCATAACTTTCTCCTTTGAACCACAGGTGAGATATGTCGGGATTGTTCCTGATTTCAAGATTTTCAAAGAATCCCTTTTGCAAACTGGAATTCCTATGATTTTACCATTAGGGCCCCCCCCCCCAAATAAATCTCCGGTTTGTGGTATGGAGCTTGCCCCAAAAGTGGTGCAGCGACCCGGCCTTTTTTTTAAATTTATTTATTAATTTTTTTCCTTCCAATGTCGGCTGATGACTGCAATGGTGCCCGACTAAATTTAGTGCAAAATGTATTGGAGCCCAGACAGAGAGGCCACATAAACCTTATACCCGATCGTAACCCTATCTAAAAAAATGTTAAAATTGTGCAGCAGCAGGATTCCAGTCAAACCAGTGAGTTTGGCGGTTTTGAGACATCATCTTCCATTGAAAATTAAATTTTGCCGACATGCATGGCTACGGCGATGCGCACGCATACTAGAAACCGGAGACTTTTTTTGAGGGGGGGGGGGCATAAAGGTTGCAAACAGAAAGTTAGCATTTTATCTTGAACACACTACCCCTTTGTATCGCATATGCAAAGATGCTACAAGTTTATGAAAATTAGTCCTACGTGAGTATTCAGAGTCCATTGGAGGACACTTATTAGATGGAGAGCCATTTCAGAGTGTAGAAATCGGACAACAGACATTCACCATCTAATGGACATAATTGTCCAAATAAATATTGTACTATACAGGGTGAGTAAAAAAAAAAACGAAACCCAAATGTCGGGACCATTGTCTTAGTGAAGTTCTGCATGTAGCACTTTCAAAATCTAGGATATGAAAGCCCAGTTCATAAGCTGTCTTTTAGTACAAGAATCATTCAAATCACTAATGTACTTTTCAAGTTACGGATTTTTAAGCACAACCGCCGTTTTAAGGTTCTGTCCATGGATCACAAAATGTTCAGTGTTCTTTCAGCAAAATGAAAACAAATCACATAAGGATGTGTGTGAATTGTTTGCATTTTGCTGAAAGAACGCACACCTTTTTTTGTGATCCGTGGAGAACTTTAAAACGGTGGTTGTGTTTAAAACTCGGTAACTTGAAAAGTACATGAGTGATTTGAATGATTCTTGTACTAAAAGAAAGCTTATGAATTGGGCTTTTATATCCTAGATTTTAAAAGTGCTACATGGTCCTGACATTTGGGTTTCGTTATTTTTGACTCGCCCTGTAGAGTAACGATGCGTGCAACGTATTCTGGTTCACGGGCATAGCTTAAGTGTGTGAAGCCTTAGTTAAGTGTGTGGAGCACGCAAACCAGCGCGTCAACCAGAACAAAGGCAGCTGACGTCAAACTTAGGTACTCTGTTATTGCATTCTGAGCAGTACATGCAGAAGAATTTTGATTGTGCGAAGTCATTTTTTTTGGACTTTTGTTTAAAATCAGGGAGCAAGCCGACCCACACTTCAGGCTGGATATGTCCAAGTATAGACCCCTCATCTGTCATCTGGCTAAGGAGAACAAAATGGAAGGTGGGTTGGGATCCAGCTTTTTCTCTTCTATCGAAGGCTTTAAATTGCGTTCCTCGTGCCATTTTGAGTTTCATCCCGATAAAATAGATTTCTATTCTAAATTGCTATTTTTTTAGCAAAGCAAAAGTTGTACACTTTTGAATGAGATATTGACAGAATATCTGTCGAATATCTGCCCGCGTTTAATTATTGAATTATCACTTGACAGTTTTTGAATTATTGTCTGCCAGACAATAATTCCATTCTCACAGGATAGGCTGGTTCCCGCCCCACAATTAGTATCAAGAGCATGTCTGTTTGTGCCCAAAACAAAACCCTTTTTTCCCTAGGGTTGCATAACCAAACTTCTCATTACCACACACAGACAAACGTGTGTACACCGTCGATCGTTGACGTCCTATTGTCCCTCTTTGGTTTGTACTTTTTAGGAAGACTCCCATAGGTTTTGTACACGACCCCATTTGCGGACGTATGCTGGGAATCATGGACGATATTGTTCTCTTTTGTTCTCTGGTATTTTTCGTCCACGGTTTGAACAGATGAACACGTACATCTATCTTTGTTGGAATGTTACCCCTATTGTGACCACATTTTCTCACTGTGCACAATTGTAATGTCCGGAGCATTTTCCAAATGAGGGAGATTCTTTGAATTTGTTTTTTAGAAGTAAAAACTCCTACTAAACATAAACTTGTATCTTTATTGAATGCTGTACCATAAAGCTCTATGATCGGATGTATTTTTAGTCCTCACACAGGATTACAGCTTGAGTTTAGCTTTTTAACATACTCTCTTAAAAAAATTTGTAAAAAAAAGTAGACATTGTATCAGCCATAACAACATCTAAAGGATGCACCCCTGCATTAAAATTCCCATAGACACCAGTGCTAAATGCCCATACTTCAAAATTCTTGTAAAAATACTCAGAAATCTCACAGGTATTTAAGCTGCACAGAAAAATGACGATCATTATGCCATCTTTCATTTTCTTTTCATTTTTTGGTGGGTTGACCATTGACTTTTCGAGAAATTCTCAACCGAAGAAGACGACCCTTATTTTTCCAAAGCGTGAAAGAAGCCATCTCGAAAAACGATCCCTCCACAACATAGCAAAGTAGCGCCACTTTCAAGCCCAATTGCATCCAAAATGCTCAGGATTGGAAGCCCCAAGTCCGGGCAAGAGGTTCATTACCATATCTCTTCAATTCCCCAATTTTATGGCTCTCAGAACTCTTTAATATAGAATATTATGAGGGTATAACTTTTATTCATGAGCTCGGGGATGGGTTTAGGCCTATATACCGTTGTGCACCCTAAATTCTTGGTATTGGTCGCTGTTCATTTGAACAGATGCTCTGGCCCTCGTCCAAGAGATGAAAGAACGAGATATCGGAACAGACCGACAGGAGAAACAGCTGTTTCATCTCCTGAACGAGCTTGCCCAAGAGGGCCTGACCGACCAGACACAGCAGGTCTTTGACAAAATGGTGACCCTTGAACTCATCAAGGTCAACGCCAACATCCTGGGACCCGTTGTCATGGCCTACATTATCAAGTGAGTCCACGGGAGTGCTGGCACTATGTCTTTAGCTTTCATGACTATTTGAACTTGTTTTTGCCATTAAACATTTAACCCTTAGCGCCCCTAAAGCTACAAAATACTACTGAGTAGTAACCTGTAGTGTGCATTTCTTTCCATACAAGTGTGCACAACACATGTAGTATTCTGTGGTATTTGGTCCTCGACCCCCAAAGAGCCTTTAGGGGGTTTAGGTTAAAGGCATGTAGCATCATTTGCATTTGTCCCAAAAGTAAACTACCAAATTTTTATCAAAAAGCTTACTTGGATTAGAGATCATACTGGTACAAAACATCCAGTGAAATTACTCCCACGGGCTTTCTGTCATTAATAGAAGAAATCAAGAAATGTAGGTGATTATGAACAATCAGTCAATTGACTGACTTTTGGAATAAAGAGTTCTATTGACAAAATTGTGTTTAGTGATCAAATGTTGTGCATGGTTTTTCCTGTTTTCTCAAAAAGTGTAATATCCACTGAGCTGAAAATGCAACAGTTTAGGTTTTTAACGCTCATCTTTGGATTTTGAGTGGTATTATTGGGAACGATTAAATGCACAAAAAGGAAATGATCCTATATGCCTAAACCTGCTTATAAAGCGATTAACACAGGACTAAGTAATATGAAATTTATTTGCAAGCGCAAAGTAGAATGTCACTACGCTGCACCCTTCAGTGGAAAATGACCAGAGAAATGAAATTGAAATGAGCTGGTGTTCTTTCCCGGTAACAGGAAGGACATACAGGGTGCCTTGCAGTGCATTCAGGATTGCCAGACCAAGTACGGTGTCATGCCACACTTCCATGAGATCTTGGTCAAGCTGGTTGAGGACGGGGACACTGACCAGCTCCAGAAAGGTATGATATTCAATGAGACCACTATCAGGCATGCAACTTTTCCTCGGATCTGCTCATTTCCTTGTTTTTTACTTCACATGTATGCCATTTGAAAAACACTGTACAAAGTCTTGTGTGGTTGGGAATTTCCTCGTTTTTTTCTAAATTCCCAGTTGCATGCCTGCACTATGGATCCTGAGTAGGTACTTGTTGGTTTGGGGGGCATGGGTGGTGCAGTGGGTATAGCACTCGTCTCTCTCTGCTGTGGCCTGGGTTTGATTGCCGACACAGGTCATATGCTAGTACAGGGTGACTAAACAAAAATGAAACCCAAATGTCGGGACCATTGTTTTAGTGAAGTTCTGCATGTAGCACTTTGAAAATCTAGGATATGAAAGCCCAATTCATAAGCTTTCTTGTAGTACAAGAATCATTCAAATCACTCATGTAATTTTCAAGTTACGGAATTTTAAACACAACCACCGTTTTAAAGTTCTGTCCACGGATCACAAAAGGGTGGGTGTTTTTTCAGCAAAACGAAAAGAACTCACATAGGGATGTGTGTGAATTGTTTTCGTTTTGCTGAAAGAACGCACACCTTTTTTTGTGATCCGTGGACAGAACTTTAAAATGGTGATGGTTTAAAATTCCGTAACTTGAAAAGTACATGAGTGATTTAAATAATTTTTTGTACTAAAGAAAGCTTATGAATTGGGCTTTCATATCCTAGATATTGAAAATGCTACATGCAGAACTTCACTAAAAACAATATTCCCGACATTTAGGTTTCGTTGTTTTTACTCACCCTAGTAGAGTCGTTTGTTAACAATGTACCATCCATACTTCAGCTGTGTACAGGAAGAGCATCCTAGATCCTTCTAGTAGCCTGAAAAATAAAAATGAATTCAGTTTTTGATGGTGATACGTTTTGGTAGTCAACTCTATGATAATATATTCATTTCGACCTTTATTATTTTTGTTTTGTTATCTGTTGTAGCCATGGATTTTACAAGCCATCACCATGGTGATATCAACATGCTGTATGACCTCATCTTCGCCTTCCTGTCGACGGGAAAGTACAAAGAGGCCAAGAAAATATTTGAGGTAACGGGGAAAAGAATTAAAATATTTTTTATTACCGAAAATGGTACCTTAGGGAGATATTCTGATAGACTTGTTACGAATAAAAACCCTCCTATAACACAAAATCTAAAAACTTTCCCAAACCAAAGCTTTTCATGACCTAAAGAATCACTTTAAGCCACTTGTGACATTGAAACGTTAGGGAGACATTTAAATTGGCAGTTGACCCGTTTTGTTCAACAATACTTTTTGTCGTGTGCAATTTTCCAGGTTTAGCAGCTCCATTAACCCTAACCTTCCCAAATCCTCCAAAATCCTCTTTGCAAAGTGGATGTTTTTGCAGGATTGAGGCTATATGGCAAAATATGTGTGGCTGATTTTGGAGGATGCACTGTGTCAAAGTTTTGGGCCAGACCTTGTTTTGTTTATACTCAGCCGTGCATAAATTTAGGCCTCTATTATACTTGAAATCCTCCGCACTGCTCCAGGATGTCAATGGCTCTGCCTCAACATATTGACAGTGACTGCTGGAGGATTTTGCAGGATTGAGGCAGTGGTCACCCCTCCAAGGACCACATTCAAGAAATAACGCCTGATTTTGGAGGATTGAAGCTGTATGCAATTTTTACACTGAGGCAGTTGGAGGATTTTGCAGGATTGAGGTTGCATCCTAGCAAAAATGCCTAGGGAGTTAGGGTTAAGTTGGGACCTGAGTGGCTTTCACTTTGCTACATGTGAGATGCAAAATACTGCCCAAATTTGACTCTAGACATTTTGTACTTTGTCTACTTTCCTCATCCCCCCCCCCAAACCCCAGACTCCCGGCATGGTTGCCAAGGACCGTCGTCTGCAGTGGTACGCTGAGCAGTGCATAGGCAAGAACCAGATCGAGGCTTTGGAAAACCTGGTTGCCATGACGAGGGATTTGTACGGATGCGACCGAGACAATGTGCACTTTTACTTGATGCAGCTGTACGGTAAGTCTGCAGGTTTTTGCCAGTTTCGGTTTCCATTATAGTGTTCATGTTCAAGGACAGTTAACCTGTCCATTTGATGTCTCGTTTTTTGTTTGATGTTTTTTTTTTTATTTCTCACACCAGTTTTGTTGTAAGCCATGTTGTCACTGAAATTGTTTTTGTGTTAAGTTTGTAAGAATGCCAGTAGTTGACAGTGTTTGCTTGTGGACATTTGACTTGTGAAAAGTTTACCAAGACTGTTGTTAAAGTAGAGACGGAGCTTGCAATATTTCCCATCTGCAATTGGCCGGCTGTATTAATGCGAGTCACTCATGTTAACACGCGCAAGTGTGTATTTGCCTGCAATCGGGGACTCCCTATTGTCCCTCTTTTGTTTGTACTCTAACTTTTTAGGAAGACCTCCCAAATGTTTAGTACATGAATCCAAATTGGGGACCTCTCGGGAATTGGGGACCCTATTGTCCTGTATTGTTCAACGTCCCCTATCGAATGCAGAAACAAACTCGTGTGTACCCCTACGTGCACAAACGGCAAGAGTGTGACACACAGGTATGGGAGAGTATACTAATGATCAGAGCGGGAGTATACTCTTGCACCCAGCAAAATCACGTGATTTCAAGATCCGAAAGTTTTCCAAAGTTAAAAATCCTATTCTCGTAAATTCTTGTGTAATGTGATACACAAGGACAAATCTGAAAAGGATTCACGTATTTTCACATTTAAACTGATCTGCTATCGCGGGAGCAGTGTAACTTGAGTGCAATGAGCACGCAACATTTTCTGACTCTCCAGAGTATCAAGAGTGACCCGTGTGAATGCAGCGTGGGATTCCATACACAAGCAACTCTGGAATGGTTAAACACAAAGATGCTGTGGGTCTGTGCACATTCAGAAAGATGTGGAGCCATATGCGCTTGAACCAGTACTTGCATGCTGTGTGTCCTTCTCGCTGGAGTTCTCAGAAATATTTCCCTGGGCTGTTGTGGCACTGAACTAGGAACTTGGAAAAATAACCAATTTCTCGGCAAGATTCTTACCCCAAGATAGAGCATTCCCAACATGCCTTTTCATTATATTGTTTTCCTCAGCTCGGCAGAAGGACCCAGACAAGTGTCTGCAGGTGTGGACCACCATGCAGGATGAAGGAGTGGTGCCCAAGGACAGGACGCTGCGATACTTGGCCAATGTCCTGCGATCCTTCGACCGGCCAGTCCCCTTTGAAGTGCCGCAGATAATGCTAGATGAGGTGAGAATTGGGTATAACTGGTACAAAAGCATTCCTTTGTTATTGTTTATCCTGTTCCTTATGACTGGGCTTATGAAAGGACTCATGACTGGACTTATGAAAGGACTTGTGACTGGACTTGTGACTTGACTTGTGACTGGACTTATGACTTGTGACTTGACTTGTGACTTGACTTGTGACTCGTGACTGGACTTGTGAAAGGACTCGTGACTGGACTTGTGAAAGGACTCGTGACTGGACTTATGAAAGGACTTGTGACTGGACGTATGAAAGGGGACTTATGAAAGGACTCGTGACTGGACTTATGAAAGGACTTGTGACTGGACGTATGAAAGGGGACTTATGAAAGGACTCGTGACTGGACTTATGAAAGGACTTGTGACTGGACTTGTGACTGGACTTATGAAAGGACTTGTGACTGGACTTGTGACTGGACTTATGAAAGGACTCGTGACTGGACTTGTGACTGGACTTGTGAAAGGACTTGTGACTGGACTTGTGATGGACTTATGAAAGGACTCGTGACTGGACTTATGAAAGGACTCATGACTGGACTTGTGACTGGACTTGTGATGGACTCGTGACTGGACTTATGAAAGGACTTGTGACTGGACTTGTGACTGGACTTGTGACTGGATTTGTGATGGACTCGTGACTGGACTTATGAAAGGACTTGTGACTGGACTTGTGAAAGGACTTGTGACTGGACTTGTGAAAGGACTTGTGACTGGACTTATGAAAGGACTCGTGACTGAACTTGTGACTGGACTTGTGACTGGACTTGTGACTGGACTTGTGACTGGACTTGTGACTGGACTTGTGAAAGGACTTGTGACTGGACTTATGAAAGGACTCGTGACTGGACTTGTGACTGGACTTGTGACTGGACTTGTGAAAGGACTTGTGACTGGACTTATGCAAGGACTTGTGACTGGACTTGTGATTGGACTTGTGACTGGACTTGTGACTGGACTTATGAAAGGACTCGTGACTGGACTTATGAAAGCACTTGTGACTGGCCTTGTGAAAGGACTTGTGACTGGACTTATGAAAGGACTCGTGACTGGACTTATGAAAGGACTCGTGACTGGACTTGTGACTGGACTTGTGACTGGACTTGTGACTGGATTTGTGATGGACTCGTGACTGGACTTATGAAAGGACTTGTGACTGGACTTGTGAAAGGACTTGTGACTGGACTTGTGATGGACTTATGAAAGGACTCGTGACTGGACTTATGAAAGGACTCATGACTGGACTTGTGACTGGACTTGTGATGGACTCGTGACTGGACTTATGAAAGGACTTGTGACTGGACTTGTGACTGGACTTGTGACTGGATTTGTGATGGACTCGTGACTGGACTTATGAAAGGACTTGTGACTGGACTTGTGAAAGGACTTGTGACTGGACTTGTGAAAGGACTTGTGACTGGACTTATGAAAGGACTCGTGACTGAACTTGTGACTGGACTTGTGACTGGACTTGTGACTGGACTTGTGACTGGACTTGTGACTGGACTTGTGAAAGGACTTGTGACTGGACTTATGAAAGGACTCGTGACTGGACTTGTGACTGGACTTGTGACTGGACTTGTGAAAGGACTTGTGACTGGACTTATGCAAGGACTTGTGACTGGACTTGTGATTGGACTTGTGACTGGACTTGTGACTGGACTTATGAAAGGACTCGTGACTGGACTTATGAAAGCACTTGTGACTGGCCTTGTGAAAGGACTTGTGACTGGACTTATGAAAGGACTCGTGACTGGACTTATGAAAGGACTCGTGACTGGACTTGTGACTGGACTTGTGACTGGACTTGTGACTGGATTTGTGATGGACTCGTGACTGGACTTATGAAAGGACTTGTGACTGGACTTGTGAAAGGACTTGTGACTGGACTTATGAAAGGACTCGTGACTGGACTTGTGACTGGACTTGTGACTGGACTTGTGAAAGGACTTGTGACTGGACTTATGCAAGGACTTGTGACTGGACTTGTGATTGGACTTGTGACTGGACTTGTGACTGGACTTATGAAAGGACTCGTGACTGGACTTGTGACTGGACTTGTGACTGGATTTGTGATGGACTCGTGACTGGACTTATGAAAGCACTTGTGACTGGCCTTGTGAAAGGACTTGTGACTGGACTTATGAAAGGACTCGTGACTGGACTTATGAAAGGACTCGTGACTGGACTTGTGACTGGACTTGTGACTGGATTTGTGACTGGATTTGTGATGGACTCGTGACTGGACTTATGAAAGCACTTGTGACTGGCCTTGTGAAAGGACTTGTGACTGGACTTATGAAAGGACTCGTGACTGGACTTATGAAAGGACTCGTGACTGGACTTGTGACTGGACTTGTGACTGGACTTGTGACTGGATTTGTGATGGACTCGTGACTGGACTTATGAAAGGACTTGTGACTGGACTTGTGAAAGGACTTGTGACTGGACTTATGCAAGGACTTGTGACTGGACTTGTGACTGGACTTGTGATGGACTCGTCTACAACACTGCCTAGCTTCCATCAGGGCACATGTAAACAAAGCGTGACGTCATCGTGTACCGGTACCCAAATCAAGCTTACAATGTGACAAATTCAACTCTGTATTGAGCTATTCTATGCATTGCCATAATTCACTTGTCCCAAATGTCTTTTGAATTCTAGTTGCCTGACGGTCACCTAGTTCAAGGGGATGCTGTCTTGAAAGTCCAGAACAGAATCATTACTATAGCGAAGTCTGGGGTAAGCTAAACTCTTGTGTACTGTGAACCAATCCACAAAGCCCCGCCTCAACGATGTTTTTGATATTTGTAACCTTGTTTTATGTGCGATAATTGTTGAAATCCATACAATTTTATGCTAAAAAAAGTTCAAATGCATGTTGTTAAACATGTATTGCACCTAAAGTGAAAATGAGAGTGTTGAAATGCATTGTCAAGTATGTGCAACCCCAAAATAATTTGAAAAGAACATCAGTTGGATGATCAAGCTCATCATGGACATGATGAAATATCGTTTCAAAACACAAAGAAAAAATGTGATCTCAGTACTGGCAGATGTTCCTGAAATTCAGTGAAAAGATTGAATAAATATTCCAACAGTACCTAGTTTGCATTTTTTGTTGTATCCTGATAGCTGTTTATAAGAATAGTCGGGTTGTAAATACCGTTGGATAACATCTAGAGTACAGTGTGATTTGCCATGATAAAATGACACAAGCATTAAAGTATTTATGTTGCATAATACGACCTCTTACAATGCATAGTAAATGATGCCAAAAAAAACCAGTGCTTTGTGCGTAATTTTTCCTTTTTCCTCAACCTTGTTCCCAGGGTCTACTTTCAACCACGAGACAATAGTAAACCCTGGGAAGGAAATATTTGCTTCCTGAAATCTGTTTCAATCTTGCAATAGCAAGTAATGGTTATATATTTGTGCTTGGTGATGTTAATGTTAATAGTGAATTGTTAGGTCCAGTCCTAGAAAACCATCCTCCCTTTTCCATTTTGTTTTTGATAATTTGTATTTATTGTAGTATTGCAAGTAGGATGGTTAAGATTCTAACATTACAACTTTGAAAATAAGATTCTAACATTACAACTTTGAAAATAATTGTCTGTTTTCTGATCTCATGCCACAATGAAATGATGCCGTCTGTACCCAAATCACCACGAAGAAAAGCAAACACCAATTCAAAGCATGGCCAGGCACCAGACTTTTCCGTACCTAATTATAATGTGCAAGATTTTGGAACATGCAAATGATCCAGAACCAGGATGAGAGAGCAGCTAGTGGGAGCGTACTGCTCGACACCATGGGAACAAGGTTGGGTGATTACCATTAGAAAGTTGTGGTGATGCCAGTGTTTGTAAACGTTTGTAACTTGTCTTTTTGTCCCGGCTTAGAACCTTGATGGAGCAATGTCTCTACTAGAAGAGGCCCGGAGCGAGGGCGTAGCGCTCAAGATGCCAGCCTATGACGTCATGATGTGGGAGTATCTCAAACAAAAGAACACTGAGGCTTTCTCTAGAGTAAAGAACATGTGAGTATGATGAGGCCACGTCAAGTGAAATTTTTTTTTCACATCTTGACCATCCGTCCGGATCATTTAACACAATCACTCAAAATGTAAAGTAGGGTGCATTGCAACTATTCTGTTGATGTTTGGTTAGGATACATTTTGAAAAAACAGAGAAAACATTTGCACAGTTTTTTGGATCTCATAATTGGATTCCATTGCTAAGGCCAAAAAAAAAGTCTCCGGTTTCTGGTATGCGCGCGCGTCGCCGTAGCCATGCTCGTTGGCAAAATGAAATTTTTTTTTTTTTCAATAAAAGATGATGTCTCAATTTTAACGTGTTTTTAGGTGGGGTTATGATCGAGAATAAGCTTTATGTGGCCCCTCCGGACTCCCATATATTTGCACTAAGTTTAGTCGGGCACCATTTGCAGTCATCAGCCGACATTTGAAGCAAAACAGACAGGTAAAAAAAAAAAAAAGCTGCGTCGCCGCACCACTTTTTGGGCAAGCTCCATACCAGAAACCGGAGACTTTTTTTTTGGCCTAATGCACATGAAAAAGTGTTTTCTTTCATCGAATCCGTTTCTGGTGGAATAATTTGACAGGGTATTTGAGCAGGGTTTCTCTAATTATAGGTGCATCACAGGGTCATTGCCAATGTTCCTACATGCCTTTAATAGCTCAACAATTCATTATGGCATTCTGCTGTTAAATTACACATCACTGACATTGATTTTGAAGAAAAAGGTCTGAGATATCACGTTTTACAATTGTTTTTTGGGGGGCCATTTTAGACCTGCCCGTAGCCAACATTGAGACACAAAGAGTTTGTCACCTGACAACTCTGATCACCCGGCTGAGCCAAATATTGATATATTTAAGACTGAAACTCATATCATAAATACCTAAGTCAGCTTACTCATTTCTATTGGCCGAGAGCCCGTCACGTGGGTGGTTTTATATGGTTGATAAAACACTGACTGGTTTTTAAACACTTTTTTCCGGCATCACTATGTTCTGCTCCACATCACACAGTACATGTCACGTGTGTGCCAATCTCCATATAAGGAGATTTTGTACTACTCGCAGAAGCACATACCATAAACATATCTAGAGGGGTGTTTTGCAAAACATGAAGTAAAAGCACAAATTTATTCCCTTAATAATGAAGTTTGGTTTTTTTAGTCAGAAAAATAATTTTCTGGATGGTATGACGAAAATCCGTAACTCTGAATATTTGGGAAAATTCAGTTGGGAGTAGGAAAGTGCAACTATGAACAACCTGTTTATTTTTTGGACATTTTTGTTTTCAGGTGCAAAGACCTGGAAGATTTTTCACTGAGCAGGAATCTCAGGAACAAGCTGATAATGGAATATCTACACAAAGGGGATGAGGAAGGTAGGTGAACGTAAGGCTGTAAAGAGACTGAAATATGATGTTTACAAATACCTACCATATTTGGGAAAAAAACCAGAAAGTCAGTGTGCCTCAAGTAGAAAATTGTAATGAACTGAATTCACATTGTTGATGGGTAACACTCACAGTGCGTGAAAATTAATTTGAACTGGCATTACTGTTACTTGTCTACTCATTTAAAAAGCATATCAAAATTTTGTGTAAAATGGGTTTCATATTCTCCCCAAAAAGTGAACTTTATTCTATAGTTCAGGGACAATTTTTGAAACAATCTGTGGAGATTATATTGGTCACTGTTACTACTTTGGAAGGTTTGTTTGGGGTCAGCCTCGCATTACGGACTCTTATGCTGCATTGAAGGTAGTGCTGTGGTTAAGGTACATGTGACAACAAGTTTTTAAGTGTGATCTGATACACCGTGTCCTCTGGAGACTTGCACACAATAGGAAACAAAAGATTGCATACGTCTCCGCAGGGCAATTTCTGTAGATGAATACGTCTCCACAAGATTTTCACGAAATAGATATATGGATTTTACTCAAAAACTAGGAATTTCCAAGGTTGGTTGATCTGTCGCAAATGGTAGAGTTTTAGAAAAGGGATAGTAAGTCCGAATTTCAGCCAAGGAAATTAATTCTGGTTGACATAAGAGCATTTTGAAACTTCACTTTCAAACTCGAAAACTTTACTACACGAGAACAAAGAAATGTCTCCACAAGAATACAAATTTAAGTATGTGTGAACAGTGGTGTTGAATTGTCCTTGAACGTTTTTTTTTTTTTTTTTTGAGTGGGGGGGCTTGTGTACTTTTACACAACTACCGTATAAGATATGAACAAACTAAAATGTACGTATTTATTTATTTATTATTTATTAGATAATATTTCAGGCAAGCATATAAAGCACAAGTGCACAGTGTACAAACAAATTAAGTACATTATAATTAACCGTTAAAATGTAATACAAATTGGAAATAATTATAAGGATTGCCTAAAAAGCTATGCATGTCAAGCTTATTGAGAGGCTTTCCAACTGCCAAAGCAAAATAAAAACGAACAATTTAAACAAAAAAGACAATTAAAAAAAATGACCCACCTATAAAACAGCTTTGCATTTTATGCTACTTATTCACAAAATAATGCATCTTACTTTGCACTTAAGCATGACATCATCAATCCAGATCCAAAAAGACTTGCAAATATTATTTATTAATTTGTTTTCTTTTCCTATGTCCTGAAATTTGTATTTGTAGCTGCCCACCAGGTTTACGACGAGCAGATACAGGAAGGCATTGCCCCGCTACGGTCAGGAATGCGGCATCTAGCGTCCTATTATGAGGAAAGGGGAAATCTGGACCGACTGATGGAAATGAAGAGCAAGTATGAAGAGAAAACAGGCGAGAATTTCTCCATGGGGAAGTCCATACTTGCGGCTTACATACAGAGGTAGGTAGTAGAAACAAACACTGAGCGTTTCATATTGCTCTGTGCAAACTGATGCAAATGCAAACGCGTGCGCATAGGCACTCCGTGTGATTTTATTATGTTCCACAAACATGCACATGAATTGAATTGTCTGCACCCAGGACGGCTTCAAAGCATCTCCCCATGTGGGGAAGGAGGAGCTAGCACTCCAGTAATTTAATATAGCTCTATGGGTGGTAGTACAAAACTTACCGTTAAATTGGTATTTGTTTGACCGATCAAAAATGTGTGAATTTTTCTTTTAAGGGATGACATTTCTGGAGCAGTCAGTTTCATTGAACAAGAATTGGAGAAAGATACAACCCGGATAAGACGGGTTGGGCTCAGATCATTCTTCACAAAATTAATCCAAAAGGCAGCTGATATGCAACAAGGTAAGCTTGGAAATATCTTTAATCTTTTGCGGATGGGGGGGAGGGGGAGTTTTGCAGTGACTGTTTAGTTTGAAAACTTGTTGGTTTCCATGTGCTTATGATACTGAACTCTGCCCACAAATTACAATTAGACTGCAAAATACAAGTGCCAAAACCAAAGAGGAAAAAGTGGCGAAGATAATTCTGTTGTCTCGTAGACTTGATCCAGGCAGGAATCTTTATTTTTAATTGTTTGAGTATTTCAATCCTTAATCTTTAGAATGATAGGTGTCAAAGAAATTCAGAAACTCAAGCTATTTGAGGGTGTGTTCCTGATGTGCTTTCTGCTTACGGTCTACAAATTCGAAAAGAATTTGGTTGAGTAATGTCAGCAACTTTATTCAGTGGATTTTAAGCAGATGATGTCGTGCTGACGAGATTTTTGTTGTCATTTTCGACAGTGTCGGAGATGGTGGATAAACTGAATGACAGAGACATAGACGGGGGCGTGTGGCAGTTACTCTTTGCATATCTAGACTGCAATCAAGTAGAACAGGCCAAGGCTATGGCAGAGGTGAGTGGTAGTCTTGGCCCCAGACTGCGGTTGGATTTTGTTCTCCTCACGCAGTCAGGCCCAATCCCAGAAAGTGCTGTTATGCCACCAGGGTGATAGAGGACGTTACCACAAAGAGAATCGTGTCCAGTCCTAGAAACCTTGGCAGCAACACCCAGGATAATCTGAGCATACTTTACACATGCCATTAGCTTGAATACAGCACCCGTGGGGTATGCTGGGAATGTCTCAAGTATGAGTCAGCACAGTTCCCAAGACTGCATTTGATTCCTCTTGTTCATAGCATCCTCCTAAAGACCGTGCTTGCAATCCGCTTCGTTCACAAGTACCCCCTCACCGTCAAAGAAAGTACAGTGGGAGTGGGCGACCGACGCCATCTTGCCTGACTGCAAGTTTGCCGCGACGCGTGGTCGTACCACTGCGTGTACATAGTACAAATCCCCTGGTGTACGTGCATCACGCACAAGGAACGGTGCGCGTCAACCAGCTAAATGTCCCAACCCTGGGACGTTGTTGCTAGGTAAAAGGGCGCCCTCTTTTGTTGGTGCACGGAGCCCATAGATCGGGACTGGCTACATTAGAAGAATAAAATCCAAATACAGTGTTAATAAACTAAGCTTAATGTTTAAAAGTACTGTTACCAGAACTTCGATTTGACCTCGGGGCACAGACAAAATGATGATTCAGTTGACTATCTCGTCGAAAGAAAAAAATTGACTAGAAATTGACTAGAAAAGTACAAGACACCGTTTATAAATAATGTTTGATTTTCCAGATTTGGTTTTGCACTTCAAACACAATTCTTTCTGTGAAAATGATGTCTATATTAGAGGCCTCATTGAGGGGGCTAGTCATGGTTTGGGTCTAAGATCCACAATTTCTATTTCTTGTGTTTGTTTTGCAACATTTGCTACAATGTTGAATTTGTCTTGTCTTGATTGTTTTTTTTTTGTTGGATAGAAATACCCGGTCATCAAGGAGAAATCCTCAGGATTAATAGGTTACATCATCTCGCTGCTTGGTCGGGATTCAGACATGGTAAGTGACCTCCAAAAGTACTGTAGAGTTTTTAATGCACAAAAATTACCAATAATGCTGTTGGAGGCTGGGGTCAGTGATGGGTTGTTTGCACTGGCACGCAGTTGCGGAGCCGCTCTGAAAGATAACATTGATTTAATCCCCAGTCTCTAGGTTCAACTGTGCTATGCAAGGTAAATTGGACAGACTGTACAGTGTGTTGTGGTTAGTAGAAAAAAAACCCCAAGGAAACCCTGATTTTTGTGTCACTGCCTAGTTATTTGTTTATCTTTTAAAATAAAAATTAAACCAGAAATATACTACAGTACTTCAAAACTGCTGGTAGAAAAGACATTGTACAATTAGGGCTCAATATCATTGTCTGGGCTCGACCATATTGTAAGCTGCGTCCTTCGCAATTCAGCTGCTGCTGCAAGTAAGGACGATTAGCCCCCTCCGCGAATTTATTTGTTATTCACAACACAAAGAGAATAGCAAAAGAGGTCATCATTGAGTAACCCTTAAAGTGGCAGTTATTCCTCTCATCACTCCTGTTCTGTGGCTGTTTGTTTTTTTCAGATTGGTAAAATCAACAGCGTCCTAGAGATGGACAATGCTGGTGATTATCTGGACAAGCGAACAATCTACTTCTATCTCTTCAAGGCCTATGGTAAGGTTCAGATTGCAGCAAATACATGTACCCTTAACCAAGTAGTGTTGGTGTGGATTCCTATAACCTTAACAATCCCCATCCAGCCAAACTCCAACACCAGGGTTTGTTGGAATCTGTTAGGATGAGTACTGCACTAGTAAACTGACTGTGCTTTGGGTGTGATTAGGCATACCACAAATAAACAGAGTCCAACTGTTCATGTGCACAGTTTCCCAGATGGTGTTGGGATTTGCAAGGATGAGGAAGGTTCCTAGTAAATCACCCTAGGGAGTTAGATAGGGTTAGAGGATGCAAGCGGTCATTTTGAGGGGAAAAACAGGAAAGACATTCAACACAAGTAATTTTTTCTGGTTTTTTTTTTTTTAAATCTTGAAAACAAAGTGTGTCCATGTTTATGACTCAAACATTCCCACATTTACAAAGCAGGACACAATGTAACGGCTCCCAGCTAATCTGGACATCAGGGAAAACCTTGAAAATGAGTTTCCATTTTTCCAGTCAGGGAATTTTAAGGAACACACCAAAACTCGGGGAAACTCGGAGAATTTGGTGAGGAGAGAATGATCATAAGGGAGAAGGGAGGCCATCACTTGTCAACAAGTTGCCTGGGTATTATTAGTATCTTAGCTGTTTGCTGCAACCACCTCTTGACTTCCCAGCCACCTCGTTAAAGTGGAAATATGTCTCATGGAATTTTTTAAATGCCTCAGGGAAATACCAGGGAAAACTCAGTGAAGTTTGTTTTCATAAAGTGCTGGATACCCTTGGTAATTAAATGTTCCCGTCAGAATTTAACGTGGAGAAATGTTTTTGTGTTCTGCTTTGCACAGACCAGCACAACAATTGGGAAGATGCAATGAAACTACACGAGAGAATGCTTGAGGAGAATGTTCCCGTGACCGACTTCAATCTCAAAAGACTTGCCTTGCTTCTCCAACGCAATGACCAACTGGTGCCCTTTGACGAACCACCAGTGAGTTGAAAATCTTCCTGTTCAAGTGTTTTTGTTTTGTTGTCTCTGCTGTTAAGATGTTGGGTTATGCAAGAGTATAGATCTCGAAAATGCCAGTTGACTTGAACAATCTAAAGAAAATTGAATGGATTGTTTTGGTTGAAATTGATTTTGATAAAAAAAAATGTTTGTGCGTGAGGAACCAATGCAGAATGGCAATGGCTCTCAAGATGCACAACACAGGGTTTACATTTTGTTGGTCAATACATTATGGAAATCCTAACATTTGTTTGAAATTTGACTTTTCAGGAGTCTATAAACCATTACAGAGAACTATCGAGGTTAGAACACAAAGATAACCTGACTGAGATTGAAGAGATGAGGCCAGAGGACGAGGGCAGCAGACAAGCTCACAACAGCACCGACTAAATCTGGCACCTAGACCCCCTTCAACCCAAACTTTCTGAATTCTCCAAAATCTAACTTTGTGCAGGAAGCGATTGGTATTTTTTGTCCGTAGGCAGGTGAATCAAGTTTCATTAAAATATCAGTACTGAGTTTTGATGGAATCATTGCAAGACACTCGTGTTCTCAGAGTCCCTGAAATTTAGATTATCCAAATATTTTAAATTTGGAGAAGAAAAATGGTCGAAGTAAAAAGGACATGAATGGATTCAAACCAGGGATCCTTCGATCCGTAGTTAATCTCACTATTCACAAGGCTACTGTGGTAGCTTGACAACATCCATTTTAGTGAAATACTATGCAGTGACCTAAATTCTATAATGATGGTGTTGACGGGATTGTTCTTTTTTTATGAATAAACTGGATTTTTCCCATGGATTCACCTGCCTACAGAAAAAAAATTGTGTGTAGGAACTCAACGACACATTCATTAATTTTGTACGCATACATTCAGCAGGCATCTAGCCCAATGTACAGTTAAAGGTAGAGTAGATCACTTGCAAATATCCAAAAGGTAACTGGCCAAATTATTGTTGAAAAGCTTACTTGGTTTAAAGATAGTAATGGGACCAAACTCCCTGTGAAATTATTCCTTCTAGCATGCTGTCATTTTGAGGAAAATAATAAAAGAAGGTAGTTTCCAAAGATGTGTCAAGTGACACATTTTTTCGAATATTCCGTTAGTAGTTGATGTGTAATTGGGCGAATCCGTGAATGGGTGCGGGCAAGCACTGACATGACGCACACCTGCGCTCGGTTGTTATTATTCCTCGGTTCAGTGTGTGACATTGTGTAGCTGCAATCGGCTGAATGAGAACGTGTTCCGGATATAATGATTTCGGGCGCAATTCACAATATGACTCGGTAACTTCAAATATGAAATAGAGATCCTAGTATATTGTTTTCTCGGAATAAACAGTATTTACAGAGTTAAATTTTCATCAGGTTAGTTGTTATGAGCACCATCTTTTTGAGCACTTTTGTTGCTTCAAAAAAAAAATGCACCAATGATATACTCTACCTTTAACATTGGCTGGGTCTGCATTCCTAAATCCTGCAAAACCTTTCAAAATCTCCTGGTAGATTTTGAAGGATCCATGGGAGGGTTAGTGTTACATTCTCAACCAAGGCAACATAGGCTATTGTCTCTTTAAAAAAAAAATGCTTTTGTTAGTAAACATTGAGTGCAATTTTGTTTTGGCAGCCATTGTGATCAGTGACGTAAATTTCAGATATGGTCTGCAACAGAGTTTGCCCCAAATGGCACATTAACAAGAGATAGGCAACTTCAGTTAGTGTTTTTTTACCAGTGTCTGTTGTTTATTCAGTATCTTGAATACATAAATGGTGTTTTGGAAACACTGACACTGACTTCTTCTGTTTTGAAATGGTGGCCGTCCGTAGATTGCTAACCCGTGGTTGACAAAACCATGGGTTGGCAAAATGTATGGCTGTGACATAAAAGGAGAAAAGTCTATAGTTAGAATGTTGCTGTTAAACATTTGTACTGTAAATCCTTGATAAGTCCAAACGTATCTCAAAGTAGCTGTTTTTATCAATTGATTTGGTAAAAACAAAAAACGAACATTTGTCATACTGGCATAAATAGCAGGAAACAGCCCCAAAGAGGCCATACTTATATTTATTTATCAAAGTGATAGTTTTCTTCCTCATTTGGTGCCAAAAAGGTTCTTTGCAGTTTTTAAGTACATCAACCTCACAAAGATATTGTGACGTTTATTGTGGAAAATAATATTCTGGTTATTGTGTACACAAAATTAAGTGGTTTTTTTTTGATAATTCAGTAAAATGTTTGGAATGTCCACTGTTTTTTTATACTCTGTGTGAACGTATTTGAATAAATTTCAACCTGGTAACATTGGTCAAGTAAACTATTAGAAAAAAGGTTTTGTCAAGCTATAGAATTGTTTCTTGTACTTCAAACCATTTTTTATGCAGTTGTAAGAAATTTAATATTAGCAAAATATGCGGTATGATTTAAATGTTGAGAAAATGGATTTGGGTTAACTAGGAGCTATAATAATAAATCATACTATCAATTATTCATATTTGCGTGCATTTCGTGCTTGTATTGAACCAGTTGAAACAAAATTTTTTTTTTTTAAATTTGAACAAAGAAATTGACTGGAGCGGGGTTTGAACCTGCAACCTCATGAATACCATACTCTACCTACTGCGCTATCCGGGTCCCGTAGTATTCCTAGGATGGTTAGGGCAAATTCATGAATAATTCAGTAGTTTCGATAGGAAAATGATGTTTATTCATGAGAACAGAACAATGACATCAACAGCATTGTTGTTATTTAGTCAACCAGTTACATTAAAGATTTTAAAGAACGATTGGTGTCGAGCAACCACACAGTAGCCTAGTGGATAGCGAGATGAGCTATGGATACAAAGATCCCTGGTTCGAATCCACACCGTCCTGCTCATTTTCATCGACTATTTTTCTGCTCCAAATTTATCGTTGAGACAATTATTCATGACCTTGCCCCTAAACCTCCTGGGAAAAAAAGATACGCATCCAGCCCTACATTAGTGGTCCCTATTTTGTGCATGGGCAACTCCTTTGTTTTGTAATGCCTGTGACAGAGATTCATAACGCCAGAATGAGATTGACTGAGAGGTTGCAGTTCTCTGTCGAGGCATGAAGGAACTACACTACACCCTACATGTGCGCAAAAGACGGTGTATAGTTGCCTGGCCATTCCATACAACAACCCATTCCAAACTGTGTAACAGCTCTACAGCTGTCAATCCCTTGCACATACTGATTTTATTAAAATGTTTTTTTTTTTAAACCAACATGGTCCATATCCTTGTTAAGTCAACAGCCATGCAATATAAAGACCCCAATTGCATAGTACAAAAATAAATCCCAACACATGGTGGTATGATCGCCAGTCTTATTCTTAAAAACAGTAGTATTACAAAACATGTCATGACATAAAAATAACTATAAACTTAGTTCATTAAACGACCGATGTTCGAGTTGTATAAAAAAAAAATATGCAAAGCTGTGACCATCTGCTGAAGCCTGATCATGGGGGATTTTGTTTGTAAAATCAAAAAGGGTTTTGCTTGGAAACTGACTTCATAATAAGCCTCTGATGACTGATGACGTCACACTTTGTTTATGTGTGTGCTTTCCTATGGTGCTCAGTGGACCGTGGACCCCCACTGGCTCCATAGGAAAGTGCACATGTAAACAAAGTGTGACGTCATTATTACAGAGGCTTATTTATTCTTGTCTGCTTAACACTTATGAGCTAATTATTGAATGTATGGCACTCAAATGATAATAAATTTTGACCATTTTTTTAGTGAGATGCAGAAATATGTCCAAACAATATTACTTTAAGGAATATCGACTGTTTACAAATCTTTGGAGAAAAAAAAACAGTTTGACATTAAAACAAATTATACAATAGATATTTATACTTTCACATACACAATAAAGTATCTTTGGAGAAAAAAACCAGTTTGACATTAAAAAAATTATACAATAGATATTTATACTTTCACATACACAATAAAGTACCTTTTTTTATTATAAACTGCATTCAAATTTCTTATTCTAAATATTTCATCATAAATGTCATTATGTGTCCATAAATGTCTTATTGGCAATATAGAGTTAAAATCTGGGCAAGAAATTTTGCCACCGTTCTCTCCCTGCTGATAGAACTGTATAAAATCCATATATCTATCAATCAATGTATTAAAAATTTATCATACATATCTTAAGTGCAGCGTGCACTCGTACAATATCAGTAGAATAAATGTGATTAAATATTTCTTAATTTTCTTTTAATAATACTTGATAAAGCTTATGATTAACACCCATAACCACCCACTTGCAGCCAGCTCAGCACTTATAAAAGCATGATTTTGAAGAAACTGTTCAAAGTCTAAAAACAATGGATCAGTTTCCTTTTTTTTTTTTTTACCAAAACAGGGGCAAATGCTGCTTCTCTGTGATTCTTATTGACTCCGTGCAAGAACAGTTGATGGCACTTTGTGAACACTTTTTTAAAAAGTTGCAGTGAACAGAACGAACCGTGTGCACGTACTGCTTTGTGCACTTATGGTACAAATGACACATACTTTATTTTATTTTGAATGTTTGCAAACGTTTTTTGCAAACATTGGTTGCAACTCTTTTTGATTTACGGAATCACTTTTCTTAATCTGACAGGATTTGGGCAAATCACAAATGCAGTGCGCCACCAAGAGTTTGCCATGGAGAGTCCATTTTTCAAGTTTACAGTCGACAAAACATGGCCCATTTGAATGAGTGTCAGTAGAAAACTTGAGCTAATTTGTTATAGATTAGGGGAATAGCATTCTGTCGCCTTACAAAAAAACACCAAATTGATAAAAAGAAAAGAAAAGGGCAAACAGATACTCGAATTATACGCTTACGAAACTATAGACAGGAAAAACTAACAATTTGAGATGTCCCGCACTGCGATTTTGTCGACTATCTCCCACAATGCACTGGCAAAATTTAACTGGCAAAGTCTCGGTGGCGCACTGCATTGTGAGTCGCCCGAATTAAATCACTGCCCATTGATGTCCAGCTGACATCTGGGACATAGTCAGCCTACTGGTATCAAAAGCATTTGATCACGAAAGACAGTGGGCTCTCTTCAGCAAACCTACTCATGTTGTCTCTAGCTGATACTTGGTGGGCTGTTTATTCCTTCAGTGGGAGTGGGATTCCCATATCACTGCAGACTTCCTGCACACACTGCAAGAGATATCGCATGTCTCGGGGGAAGACGTGGCCGATGTTGCCGATACGGAAACAGTCGGTCTTAGTCACTTTGCCCGGGTAGATCACCTGATCTGAAAAATTAGAAACAAAAAAAGAGACAAAAAACATGGAAATTCAAACCCAGAAGTTACAACCAATGGAAAACAACAGCAACCCGGATTGATGATACTAGATGGAGACAGCGGGAATGACTTTTGAGTGATTATACGATTGCAAGTAGTTTTGGGTTTTGTAAAAACACCTGCATATAACTGGTGTTTGAAAGACCTACAAGTAAAAGCAGTGTATAGACCGCGGCACCAATGACATCATGATGGCAAATTAGACATCCAAGCATTGCCCGACTGAAGCGCATTTCAGGCCAGCTTTGTTTTGTTTTTTAAAGTTCCACGAAAAGTTTATGATCATTTATTTGTCACAAACTTGGTTTTGTAAAAGAATTTTGATATATTCATAAATCCCTCAGCAGATTCTAATTTCATCAAAGCTAATTATTGCTTTTTTTTTAGGGGGGGGGCGCCTTGCATTCTATTTGCAAAAGCCTGCTAGGACAGACTGGCAATGTCAGAGTTTATAGCAACACTGCAGAAGCAAAAGACAATGAATCTTTTTAATGATCTGAAACAAATAGGGGGAAGAAAAGAAGAAAAAAAGAAGCAACTGTTCAGATACGTGATGGAGAGAACCCCTCTATGGCATCCGATGACCAATCACACGCATCTGATAAAACAATCAATAAAAAGCTGGGTGGGATCTGGAATGAAATTTGTTCCAGAGAAGCACCTGGTTAACCCCATCTGCTATAAAAGATCCCACGAAGTGCTTCCTGAGCTGATGAAATTGGAAACTTTTAACATCTAATAAAACGATAAATCAAAAGCTGGGTGGAATCTCGAACAGAATGAAATTTGATTTTTAAGAGAAGAACCTGGTTATCCTCATCTGCTGTGAAAGATTCCACGAATTGCTTCCTGATCTGGCGAAATGTGAAACTTCTCAAATCCAAAACGGTGATTTCCACTGTATCCAAGTCGCCATCTCGTCACCGGATGATTGCCAACTCCTGAAGACATCAGGAAAAGCACCTTACACCCCTGTTGAGAGAATGTTTCGGGAACAAAAATGAGATGAAAACGATGAAGAAATGGAGAAATTAAAAAAACTTAACAAACATATTTTTTTTTAGAAGTAGCAACTGATGCAAGAAGAGTATTTTATATCGTCAGTTGAGAGCTAAAATTTCTTACAGCAGTCAACAAATTTCTGGCAATGACCCCCTGGCTCAAATTTTTGTTTTCAGTAACTTTCATACAAATGCAATATGTGGCAAAATGAGACAGAACGGGCAAAGGTCGAATGAGAATATGAGGGTATTAGGAAGAACAGGAAGGAGAAATTTAAAATACTGTTTGTTGCACTTTCATCAGACATTCCGCTGACAACTTATGGCTGTTTAAAGTTTGCATTTATCGACATGTCCAAAAAAATAAAATACTGAGCAAATAGCCTTTAAATTTTCGAGTTCATAGTTGTGAAAATGAAAGATGCCACTTGCTTTTCCCTACAAACCCTTTTATTCCAAGATTTTCATAGTATTTCTTTAAAATATGTGTGGTAGACATATCAAAGATTACAAATATCAATCAATCTGAACATTGAAAAACAAATCACCCCAATGGGTTTTTGGCATTTTCTCCACTATGGCCTGTGCCCAGTTCTGTCTCATTCTGCCAGAACGCCTCACACATAAAAATATATTTTTCTCCAACAATTTGCTATATTTTTGGTGATTACATTGAAAATTCAGCAAAACTTTGTAAAATAAGGACCAAATTCAGTAGGGCCCTTCCTCAACCGAAAATAATGTTCAATAGGAATTCTTGATGATTGGAAACTGGTTCCATAATCCTTCAGTTATATTCTCGGCATGGAAAGGAGAGAGAGAGGGTACCAGTGAAGCAGTGAGCCCTATACCTACCTTTTTCTTGTAGTCTTGTGTAGAAATCTTTGAAGTTGAAATTGTCATGCTGTGGGTAGTGGAATGACGTTATAATGAAGCCGTCATGTGTGTCATCCAACAATGTCTTAAAACCAAATGCCTTCATTCCTTCGCAAATGATGCGATTGTTCTCCTTATATCTGTGGACAATTTTTAAAAAAATTTAAAAAAATTAATTTATGTGGCTATGCTCTTTTATTCTCTATCGAGTGAAAGTGAGGTAGCAGATGGCGATGATTACAAGACAGCATCATGAAATTTATTTCTTGCGGATCAAGTCAGCCTGATTATGAAAATAATAATATCGGATGGCTTTTTTCCGGGGGATACAAGAATATATTGCACTCGCTCTAACAAAATCGCACTCTGTTATAGCTCGTGCGATATATTCTTGTATTCTCTCAAAGCCGTCCAATATTATATAAAAATTACATAGAATATGTATATCAAATGGAAGTGGCCTTAAAAAAAATGTCTGACCTTTTTCTTCGCTCAGATATGCCTCCCTCTTCCTCCAATTCAGTCAGCGCCTGTTTGAAGGCTAGCATGCAATGGGTGGGCGGGGTGAACCGGAACTGACCGGTTTGCTCCAGTGTCTCCCACTGACTGACCAAGTCTAGAGATAGACTCCTTGACCAGCCTGAATATAATATGTCAGGGATGAAATTGTCAAGAAACAAAAAAGGTCTGAGAATTGGATGAAAGGTCTGAAAAGAAAAAGGGCAAGTCAAGTTGACACAGTGGTTCTTTCCTCGTCTTACACCGCTATGGCCGAGGTGCAATTCCTGCCCCGGCCCACATTTGGATTGTGTTTTCAGTCCCTACCTGATTCCGTGGGTCCCCCCCCCCCCCGAATATTTCTTCCACCATTAAACACCGTAATTTTTTTCATTTTTAATCCTCCATGATGTCAAATCAATATAAATTCTAATTTCATAAATTGGGGGGCTAATCATCCTTACTCGCAGCTGAGAAGCTGAATTGCGAAGGACGCGGCCACAACGTGGTCGAGCCGAAAGCATGTAAAGGCGCCTTAGACTGTCACCATATGACCAATGTCTGACCGACCACGAAGCGCAGCCAGAGATCGAAAGTGTTGATTTTTGCGGAGGGAGGAAAACCGGAGAGCCCGGAGAGAAACCCTCATGGCACAGGAGAGATTCCACAATCAATATATCAAATCTTCAGCACGTGTCATGGCAAGCCGATGTATTGGCTCGCCGTAGGTAAATATTTAAAGGATCTTGGAGGGTTATGGTTAATAAGGCTGATTCCTTCGTACCTTTGCACCCAGTGAGTTTGTCTTTCCTGCAGATGGCGTAGGAGAATCCGGGCACACCTTCAAGGCATTTGTTGGCTGAGCTGACTAGGAAGTCAATCTTGCTGGCCGTGAAGTCAATGTCCACAGCACCAAAGCTACTCATGGCATCTACAAAGTAGCTGGCATCTGCAACACAAATGAAACACAATTGCAGTTTCTTTACTTGACAGCCCAGACCATGGAAGGAAAAGGGGGGGGGGGGGGGTTTAACCGTTTGAAGCTTGTCTAAGCTGACTTATGTTGTTTTATGTTATTGAAGTCTACATGATTATCAGCATTACTATTACCCCAATACTCCCATCCTTTTTGAAATAAGAGGGCCTAAGGTTTTGACTACAGTGGAAACTTTCTTAAATCCAAAGGCAAAATAACATTACGTTAATCGACACTCCTAGCAACACTTTCATGGTGCACCAATACTCAGGTGCGTTCCATCATACATGGACACCAAGGGCAGTGTTGTAGGTCTGGAGACCGGTCTCAAGACCAGTTTTTGGTGGTCTCAGTCTTGAAAACCCAGTGGTCCCGGTCTCGGTCTCAGATATTTGAGGTCTTGATATGTTTTCTAAAACTCGGTCAAGACCTCACAAATTTCAATACAAAACGAAACAAATATGATACCACACACTGGTTGTAATGATTATTACGCATCACTTCATGCCTGGAGTCGTTGTGTTCGCAATGATCCGGGATGGAATTGGAATCGATGGTTGTGTGATTAACATTTGGAAAGATGGCAACGTGTGGGGAAAAAAAATTCACGTCCCGCACTCTCATGAGTATTCAGACAGTGCCATCTGAACAAGGAACTACCAACATATCCACACTGTACTCTACCTGGTACGCATTCCTTGACTAGTCGACCTATCTCTCCGATGGGGTTGATAACCCCCGAGCTGGTCTCACAGTGCACCACGGCCACGTTGGTCCAGCCCTGGGTCCCTCGTAGTGTCTCTTCCACCAAACCCACATCGACCTTCTCATTCTCCAGGAAGGTTAAGATCTTGAAGTCTACTCCAAGCACCTTGAGAATCTGGCCAAAACGCCGGCCGTAGGCACCGTTCTCTAGAACGAGAACCTGGAGTACAGAAATCAGTATTATAGTTGGTATGTTATTTTTTAAACAAGGTTATGCAATGGATTAGTTAAAACATTATGAAGTCCTCACAAGCCATGTCGAAAAGTCTTCAAGATCTGAGTCAAGTCACCTGCTATATTCAAATGAATTGTTACAAATGCTTTCCTATGTTATTATTCGTTGCCTGTCGCTGGTGACCAGCCTTGTGAATTGACATGGATGGACTCTGAGAAGACCAGTGAATAACGGATTTAAGACTCACTGCAACAACGACAGATACTTCTGGGAGGTGGGAAAAGTCAACACGCTAATTAAGGAAAGGCAGGAATGTGGGGTCAGGGGCCATGCTAAAAAGAAACTAATTACAATTTGCTAGTAATTCTGGGTTACTTTGGAGCTTGACACTATTTACAATTATTATTTATATCAGGCTTCCGGCGGTAAAAATAAATCAGCATATTGTATGCTTTCATAAAAAGTTGACTGCAATAACATTGTTATTGCAGTCACTCCGGGCATTTTCGCTGGTTCCCGCTTGATCAAGAGCATAGAAAGTCACAGTTGTCAACCACTCAACAGAGCGTAGCGTGCGCGTACCATCGAACACGGAACACGCCGCGTGCATGCAGCGCTCATGCAGCGCGCAGAAGGCCAGGTATACGCGCACTGTTGTTAACAATTACAGTGGGAGCTTCAAAACGTTTGATGTAAGCGAAAAAGATGTAATGAAGACAGTGTCTTGAATTGTGCTTCTTGCGGATCAAGTCAGCCGGATATAAATAATAATAATAATATTGGATGGCTTGTTCTCGGTGGATACAAGAATATATTGCACTTGCTATGACATGTATGACAATATTGCACTCATCTTCGACTCGTGCAATATTGCCATAGCTTTGCAATATATTCTGGTATCCACCTCAAAGCCATCCAATAATATATAAATATGCCATTAGATATAATGAAACAAATACTTTAGTGAAGTCTTGAGTCAATCCGAAAGTTCATTGCAAGCCAGTCCATTGCATGAAATAGCAGGGTGCAAAACTGAATTTCTGCATTTGTATTTCTCTAAAATTTAGTCAATTTCAGCTTGCGTATCAATGGGTCTTTTTCTTCTTTAAAATAAAGTACTTTAAAGCAAGCTCCAATTGAACCAAACAAATAAAGTAAGTGGGGTAAAACCTCCAGCATTCTTTCAACTGAGCCATCAATATCTATGTAACCAAGTTATAATTTTTCAGTGTCTTTGTTTATGTGCTATTTTCATACAATCAGTGCAAATAGGCCTAAAGTGTAGGGTTAAAACTTCCCCAGGCAAACATGGCATTGCCTATAGATTACTAAGGAAGGATTTTAATGCAAGGGGGGGGGGGGGGGTCGAAGCAAAACATACTTTGCCATTTGTTCTTGGGATTGTAGAGGTGAAAACGGCCTCAATAGCAAAGGTACCACTCCCTTGCACGGGCACACAGGTGTAGTCATCAGATGAAACACCTGCAGATAAACCAATATCTAACAATGACCTGACAGCAACATGAATGCCCATCTTTCATGTTCATGTCTTAAAAGGTTTCAACACATTCCCCTTGTACAGTGGAACGTCGCTATATCAAACATTTGGTTATACCGAACATCGTTCTGTACCAAACACTGCTGTTGAAAAATGTCAACAGAAGAGCGACAAGTGACTTTTATTTCCCCAAGGAATACAAGGGGAAAGACACCTGTTGCTGTAGGTAGTAAGCTCAAAAACTGTGTAATGACATAATTCACTAGTCGGCCCATGTTTAAAGTTGTCTTTCAGTAACCATGGCATGTTATTTATTTATTGAAAAGTGAGAACCGGCAGCTTAAAATCGCTATACCGGACGATTGCTATTACGAACGTTTTCTGTGGATGCCGTGATGTTCATTATAGTGGCGTTCCAATGTACATGTATTTTATTCTTCTTTCTCCTCAAACGTATTTTGCGTCTGTTTTTATAAAGGTACATACATGTAGGATCGCTTGGTATTTGTGCATTTGTTTGGTTTGAAGCAACAAAATTGCTCAAAAAAGTGTTTTTGTTCGAGAAATACCATCTCAGTCGGAATGGGTACACAATAAACTTGATACCAGTCCTATCTTCACGTTGAGCAAGGTCTCTGTCATTAAATCAGTAGTTACATGTACATTACTTTTCCGGGTAATTGCAATGATCCTACATGGCTTGAATTTAGTCTACTTTTAATTTTTCATTTTTGAGGTACATAGTTTCTGACATAGATTTGAATCTTTTTAATGACTCTTAAACTACACAATTATTTTACTCAACGAAATGGAACTTGGATCTATGATTGGCACAAATGTAGAGACTTCTTTTCAAAATGATTGTATGATTGTCCCCTATCTGCACTTGGGTTCTCAAGTCAGGGATTCTCACCAGCTAACTCCACAAGCCTGGATCGGATGGACTTGACCGTCTGAATGAATTCCAAGTCCCTGGAGCCCAGGTCCACCAGCATGGCCTGCTTGGTGCTCAGGCTGACACCCAGAGGGCCTGGGGTGAAGAGTTTCTTCTCTCTCATGGCGGCAGTGAGCTTACGACGGGCAGTCACGCGGAACGATCAGGGTGATGAGTTTGGACCAACTTGCACTTGATATGAATCCTCTCCGGCTTCAGTCTATTCTCCATCTGCAAGCTAAATGAGATTTGATTGTATATTAGGTCATTTATATGCAACGCAGTGTATATGAGGTCATTTTTAACCCTAACTCCCTGCCTGTTTGCTAGGATGTAGCCTCAATCCTGCAAAATCCTCCAAGTGGCCTCATGGAAAAATAGCATATAGCCTCAATCCTGCAAATTCCTCCGTTGTTTCTTGAATATGGTCCATGGAGGGGTGACCACTGCCTGAATCCTGCAAAATCCTCCGGCTATGACTGTCAATAGGCTGAGGCAGAGGCAGTGACATCCTGGAGCAGTGCGGAGGATGTCAAGTATAATCAAGAACTAAATTTATGCACGGCTGAGCATAAACAACACAAGGTCCGGCCCAAGACCTTGACACAGTGCGTACTCCGAAATCAGCAACGCACTTTGGCCATGTAACCTCAATCCTGCAAATTCCTCCAATTTGCAAAAAGGATTTTGGAGGATTCAGGGCGGTTAGGGTTAAAGACTGGGCACGCGACGGTGCAATAAAATGGCAGTATCCAAGCCACGATATAACAAAATTGGTTGTTGACTGCTGTGAAGTTGAACATGTTTTTTTTTATACACAAAGGGCAAATACATGTAGCACCCTTGGACCTCTAGATCTACATGTAGTGTGTGAAAAACACATTATCCCACATCACAGCAGTCAACAACAGACTGAACATTTAAGCCAAGCCCCATGAGCTTTTGGCCAATTGCGCAACCAAATGCCTGACAAAAGTCTGAGAAGGTACACTCAAGGAATAGAGATAGAGTGTGCATTGGAAAGATGCACGCACTGTTGCCCACTGAATAAACCTGTACAACATACTTACCGTGAAGATAAAGGCAGAAACAGTATTCCACCTCAACTTCATAAAAATCTAAATGTCATAGACTTTTATAGAGGGCTAGATGTCCTACTTACCATGAACTATCATGACAGTACTGTACCATTAATATTGAAGTACTGTACCACACGGTTAAATTCCGCTCATGAATAAAAATTGTGTAAAGAGTAATTCTCATGCCTTGTCATGTCGAGATAACACCTGATATGATTATAAATAGTGAGATTATACTGCCAAAGGTCAATAAAGTTCTTGCCCAGGTCAGTATACTTATCTACAAGTAGTTGTCACATGCTGCTGAGTAAAGCACCTGCAGTGGGCCTCCATGATAAGGATGGGTAATAAACTATAGTTTCTCGTCTGGGCCTTTTTGCAAAAAATGAAGGAGGCAACCCCCCCCCCCCTTTTTTTGTCAAGATGGTGGATTTTCCAACATGGCAGATGGATTCTTCCATTTTCTCTTATGCTGATACTCATACAATTGTGTCCAAAGCTGCTAACGCTTCTACACAGCAACAATTTTTTGTTTTTAAACACAATAAAAGGACAATATATTGACAATATATTCGCAAACATATTGCAAATTTATAAATTAAAAAAAAAGTGCAAAAGCATGAATTAAGGTGAACTTAATTCATACATTTTGCAATTTTTTTTTCAATTAACACAAAAAAAAAACAAGTCAGGTGTGTTTACAAACACAAATGCCCCGCAAACGTGACAGTTCCCATGACATAACACCACTCTTTTAACATCAACTTACATGTACCTTGGTCACATGGAACATTCATTGACAGCATAAGTGTCTTCTGTAGGTTTTATATGAATTAATCCCTAATCCCTATAATCTCAGGACAAATACATGATTTCTATTGTTTTAGCCACTGTGAACTTGACCATTGACCTTTTGGCCCCAAATTCAATAGGCTTCTTAGGATTACCAAGAACAATCCACAAACCAAATTTGAAGTTCATACATGTATGTTAAGTATTTCTCAAGTTATCGCGCTGACAAGATTTCTATTGTTTTAGCCACTGTGAACTTGACCCTTGACCTTTTGGCCCCAAATGCAATAGGCTTCTTAGGATTGCCAAGAGCAATCCACAAACCAAATTTGAAGTTCACATGTAAAGTATTTCTCAAGTTATCACGCTGACAAGATTTCTATTGTTTTAGCCACTGTGAACTTGACCTTTGGCCTTTTGGCCCCAAATGCAAAAGGCTTCTTAGGATTGCCAAAAACAATCCACAAACCAAATTTGAAGTTCATATGTTAAGTATTTCTCAAGTTATCGCGCTGACAAGATTTCTATTGTTTTAGCCACTGTGAACTTGACCTTTGGCCTTTTGGCCCCAAATGCAAAAGGCTTCTTAGGATTACCAAGAACAATCCACAAACCAAATTTGAAGTTCATATGTTAATTATTTCTCAAGTTATGGCGCTGACAAGATTTCTATTGTTTTAGCCACTGTGAACTTGACCTTTGGCCTTTTGGCCCCAAATGCAAAAGGCTTCTTAGGATTACCAAGAACAATCCACAAACCAAATTTGAAGTTCATATGTTAAGTATTTCTCAAGTTATCGCGCTGACAAGATTTATCCGGACACACACACACACCCACCCACCCACCCATACTTGTTTCACATGACTAGTGTGGACTTTCCATTGCTTTCGTGTAGTTAAGAAAAACCAGTGAAAAAACTCATTTTTCTCAAACTGTGAAAACTCTTTCAACCCAATTTTTTTTCTATGATTCCCTTTAGTGTTTCTCTTCATTCTGCTACAGATAAACCTAACCCAAAAATGCCTCTAAACCTGTTTTCCAGAAATGGGGAAACACTGTGTGGACGTGGGGTAAGTCCACACAACGTCGGTGCTACCTACATTATGTGGACGTCTTTTGTTCGGAAGTCCACACTGCGTATGTAAGACAAACTCACACCCACCCACACACCCACCCACACACCCACCCATACTTGTTTCACATGACTAGTGTGGACTTTCCATTGCTTTCGTGTAGTTAAGAAAAACCAGTGAAAAAACTCATTTTTCTCAAACTGTGAAAACTCTTTCAACCCAATTTTTTTTCTATGATTCCCTTTAGTGTTTCTCTTCATTCTGCTACAGATAAACCTAACCCAAAAATGCCTCTAAACCTGTTTTCCAGAAATGGGGAAACACTGTGTGGACGTGGGGTAAGTCCACACAACATCGGTGCTACCTACATTATGTGGACGTCTTTTGTTCGGAAGTCCACACTGCGTATGTAAGACAAACTCACCCACCCACACACCCACCCACGGAAGGACAAGGCGGAAACAGTATGCCCCTTCGGCTTCGCCGCGGGGCATAAAAAGAAGGGAGGTGGGTGGCGAAAACGAAGTCGGCGGGGGTGGGAAACTGGTTTATTTTTTTACTTGGACTGATTGAATCTCAGATATGATGATAATACACGCATTTATATGGACGTGCATGTATGCACATGATAATGTACATGCAGAATGGGTCATGATGGGTGGTCTCCGGTCACACAGCAACAAAATCCAATTTTCATCTACAACTAGTCTGTTTCATATCGATCCTCTGCAAAAAGAACAAAACGTTTTTTCAGTAAAAACACATGTCGAACTTCGTCAAATTTTGATATTCACATTTAGGCTTAGTTTGTAGTTTATTTTTGCTTTAGAAGCATACTCACCCTCTTTATAAAATTAAAGGCTAATCAGAAAGTGCTGCCTTTTTCAGATGTCTAATTTTCGTAAAAATTTTCATATTGAAAGTTTGATACGCAAACGTGCGCAAACGAATCTGGAAATTTCACGAAAAATAGACATCTGAAAAAGGCAGCACTTTCTGATTAGCCTAGTATAAAGAGGGTGAGTATGCTTCCAAGCAAAAATAAACTGCAATGGCAAACTAAGCTTAAATTTGAAAATCAAAATTTGACAGAAATGACAAAGTTCTAATTCGACATGTTTTTGTACATAACATGGTGGAAGTGTGGCCTTTGTTTACAGAGGTAGTCCAGTAAATTGGCTACTCCTAGAACTATGACTTATGAGGCTCCGCGTGCTCACGCGGAGTCATAGTCATAGTGTAAATTGGCCACATTAAGGCCTATGGGGCTACCCTGTTGCCGGTGTACGGATCGCTTTTTTAACATTTGGACATTGTCGGGCGATCTACTATCACCCGACCATGTCCAAATGTTAAAAAAGCGATCCGTAGAGTCCTAGTTACTCGGACTAGCTGTAGTGGGATGGGACTTTGGGAGTCCTTCACAAGTTACCGGCCGGAGGTAGTGACTAAGGCCGTGTCCGAAACGGGCTTCCAGAGCTACGGCTACTCCTAGAACTATGAGGCTCCGCGTGAGCGGAGCCTCATAGATCAAGAAGCCCGCAAAATTGCGGTACATGCACTTGTACGCATGCACATCATTTCGCTTGTACCGTACCCCCCGCGGCGCACTCCGAGCAAACCGAAAATCATCGCTTGATCATATGCGTGCACGTTTCAAGTGTCAGGTTGGCTCAGTGCGGAAAGGGCATATTTTTCATCATTTTGGCCTAAAAACCGACAGAATCCACCTATATTAGTTCCGCACAAGATACGTGAGTATGTCAAGAGATAAAGTACGGAGTATAGGGGCAAACTGTGCAGCGGTTCTGTGTGAAATGGCTGCATTTTGATGGACGTTTTTATACTTTATTAGTGTTTTGTGCTGCAGGCAATTTTGCGGGCTTCTTGATCTATGAGGCTCCGCTCACGCGGAGCCTCATAGTTCTTGGAGTAAGCTACGGCTACGTCTATTGTCAGCGCGTCTCCGCGTATTTCTAATGGAGCGAAGACCTAGACCTAGCTCTAGACAACAGATTCGGATGCAGCCTTAGTCAGTTACCTAGAGAACGAAGCAACACAAAATGAATGGGAGTTGCTGAAAAAATTGTAAGTCCAAACTAGCTGGAGTTACCCAGCCCTAAATTTTATCATTGGCATTGGGTTGTCATTTAGGCTGGAGGTGGTAAGCCCCACTAGTGTGGCCGTCGGTATGCTGCGCTGAACCTTAGGTTCAGCGCAGCATACCGACGGCCACACTAGTGGGGCTAGGCTGGAGGAAACTTTTCAAATGACAACCCAATGATACAATTTAGGGATGGGCAACTCCAGCTAAGTCCAAACCAACTACCCTGTTGCCGGCTACGCGGGTGAAACAAAGTGGCGTCAGGATGAAACATTCTTTTTCTTACTTTACCTGTCAGAACTGTGTTTCCTCAATTTTCCATGGAAAACACGATCAGCCGGTGCGGCGCAGCGCTTTTTTGACGTGACAATAATAATATAGCACGCCACCAAGAGGCGAAGTCCGAAAACTTTTAAAGATGGCGCTCTCCACGAGGTCAACGGTGCTCTCGTTTTTAATCATCAAAAACTCCATAAAATTGCGAACGGTTTCGAGTGTAAGTATACTTCTGGTTGTGTACGAATAACAAGAATATCGTGAATAGATGGACTTATGTCATGGCATGACTTAGCTTGAAATTTCCAGCTTACTAGGCCCACACGCAGTGTTTTGATTAGCCCTGTCGAGCGCAATTTGAGTCCCCCGCGCAAGTTTAAACTTGCGCAGGCAAGTGGGGTTATGTTTGTGGGGTTATGTTTATGGGGTTATGTTTGGATCAGATGTAGTCCTGTTGCAGCAGAATCAACGGATTTGTAAATTCGGTGTGCCGAAACTAGGAATTTCAATTTCGGTATCGCATGTAAATCCGGTGTGGTGCTGTCTCGTTCACTAACATAACATGGCACGGCTGGTAAAACAAGGATTATTTTCATTACTATTTATTAATGGAAGGCCCCAAAAATTAAGAATTGGGTGTTAAGAAAATCTGGGTTGTTCGGTCAAGCAAAACTATTCTGAGACTGAATGATCACTAGAGTACCTAGCCCCTACTCCTAGAACTATGAGGCTCCACGTAGTGGAGCCTCATAGGTTCAGAAGCCCGCAAAATTGTTGTCAGCACAAAACACTAATTAAGTACAAAAACGTCCATCCCAAGCAGGCCGTTTTCCACAGAACCGCTGCACAGTTTGCCCCTAAACTCCATACAATACCTCATGACATACTCACGTTATGTGCACCCAACAAACATCGGTGGATTCTGTCTGTTTTTCGGCAAAAATGATGAAAAATATGCCCTTTCCGCACTGAGCCAACCTAACACTTGAAACGAGCACGCGTGCAGAATGATCACAGTTATTTTCGGTTCGATCGCTCGGAGCGCGCCGCGGGGGGTACGTACTTGCACTTGTACGCATGTGCATACTATCGTTCCGCTCCTACACCATACCCCCGCGGCGCGCTCCGAGCGATCGAACCGAAAATAACTGCGATCATTCTGCACGCGTGCTCGTTTCAAGTGTTAGGTTGGCTCAGTGCAGAAAGGGCATATTTTTCATCATTTTTGCCGAAAAACAGACAGAATCCACCGATGTTTGTTGGGTGCACATAACGTGAGTATGTCATGAGGTATTGTATGGAGTTTAGGGGCAAACTGTGCAGCGGTTCTGTGGAAAACGGCCTGCTTGGGATGGACGTTTTTGTACTTAATTAGTGTTTTGTGCTGACAACAATTTTGCGGGCTTCTGAACCTATGAGGCTCCACTACGTGGAGCCTCATAGTTCTAGGAGTACCTAGCCCCATAAATGTGGCCTATTTACTGGACTGCCTCCGTAAACATAGGCCACACATCCACATGTACAAAAATCGTGTCGACGGAGCCAAATTTTGATTTTCACATTTAGGCTTAGTTTGTAGGTTTTTTTTGCTTTAGAAACATACTCACCCTCTTTACAGGCTAATCAGAAAGTGCTGCCTTTTTCAGATGTCTAATTTTTGTGAAATTTCATGTTGAAATTTTGATACGCAAACGTGTAAAAATGAATCTGGAAATTTCACGAAAAATATACATCTGAAAAAGGCAGCACTTTCTGATTAGCCTATAAAGAGGGTGAGTATGCTTCTAAAGCAAAAAAAACCTACAAACTAAGCCTAAATGTGAAAATCAAAATTTGGCTCCGTCGACACGATTTTTGTACATGTGGATGTGTGGCCTATGTTTACGGAGGCAGTCCAGTAAATAGGCCACATTTATGGGGCTATAGAGTACCTAGAGCAACGAACAGATTTGGCCAATTCGCCGCCATGATGTACTACTGGACTTGTTGCCAGTCTGTGTACGGTACTAAAAAAAAGGCAGTGGATATTTTGCCGGAGACGGCAAGCCTTTAGTAAACGTTAGCTTGCCGGATAGGCACTGAACATGCCCAGTTACTGTTTTTTGTACTTCGACATTTTCCAGTGACAAATTTTAGTCTGGCTTCATGCCAACATTATCGTTGTAACTTCGTATTCACAAGATGGGAATCAGACCATTTTACAATTTCGGACTTTATTTCCCTTTAAAAAAAATCCTCCAGAGCCACAAATCTGAAAAAGAAAATGTAATACAGTGTACTCTGCAATAAAATGTTTGAGACATGTTAAAATAATAAAAGAAGAATATTTTTATTTTGGGGGGATGGGGAAAAAAAAACCTTAGAAATGTCGCCAGCAGGGATCGGGATTGAACCCGAATCTTCCCGCTCATGAGTTACGTTGCTTATCTACTACATCAAGGGTGCTACACAACTGTTGGTGGTAATTTAATACATCTTATAATTCAGCCCTATCTTAGAGAGTACAGCGCCCTCTGTTGATATGGATTGCTGCCGGAAAACCTTTAGTAAACGTTAGCTTGCCAGCATTACCTCCGGCAATATACGACAATGTTTTGCATTTATATTATGTTCATGCTCGACCATTGATTCATGAATTTTGAAATTTTGCCTGTTGATTTAAAGCATTGCATTTTTTTCTTGAAAGATGTCCATTAACTGTATATTCAACTTTTCTCATAAAATTTGCAGACTGCACGTCCTTGTATCCACTCCCTCCTAAAAAGGAGCATCTCTACAAGCTGTCCCAGACTGGACTCCTTTCCGCCAAATTTTTACCACCCGAAGGACTTGGTAAGGGAGGAAGATGCAAGAACAGAGTATATTGAGTCCAAAGAAGACTTCAAATATGTGGAGAGGTTGATTCCATCATTAGAGCCCCCTACTCCCCCGGCTCACGAGAAATACCCTACACCCTCAGGCTGGGCTCCACCCAAAGGTATCCTAAAAGTCTTTTTTATAAATGACTTTTTAAGTAGAATTTCCCAATTCCCTTTTCTACGGGTTAGGTCTAGGAGATGAGACATTCATAATCTTGCATGTAAGATTAACATCATCGTCATTATCTAGCGGTCGCAACCGAGATCTCGTTCACAATGCCATGCCAGGTGTCTTTATCCCTCATTATGTACGGAAGGTCTTCAATTTCACATTGGGTGTCTCTGCCAATCACATCAATGTAGTTGAAAGGTCTTCGTCCTCTATTAGGGCATGGAAGTCCCCAACATAATACATCAGATATGACCTGGTTTACACCACGGTGGCAGGAGGGTGGCCAGCAAAGCGAACTCGTCGTTGAAGATTAACATAATGGTAACAAATAACTGTGCACGATCATCCCACAGCTGCAGGTGAAGTTGAAATACATATTACTGGGTGCTTATGAGACCTAGTGATAGCCAGCGAAATATTCCCCGCCATGTGCCAGTATTAAAGATTGTAGACACGCCGACAAGCGCTAGGCAGTATGCCTACTGATACGTTGTCACATGAGTTGCGATATGACAGGGAGTTGACTTGTAATTACTTAAAAATGAATCAATTACTGGTTGTTATTTACAACCCTTTGTTTATAAGAAGTTTTGGAGATAACATTGTGGCATCTGGTGTTTGCACAGGAGCTGTTCCAGGCACACCGTACACAGTGCGAAGGACGCGATATCACAGCATACCAGTCTACCTGAAACTGAAGTTTGGCAACACCCAACAGCTGACTGTCATCAAGAATATAGAGGGCGATATATGGGTGAGTTTACTGTCTGACATTCTCAAAGGTGCTTCAGAGTAAGGACCTCCTAGTCCGAGTTCAAAATGACAATGATAACATCTCTGTAGTGTCTGGAAATTTCTGCAGTTTGTATTTATCATTTTTAAGACTGTTAGGCGAAATAAAAAAAAATGTTTAGCGTCCTGTGTTTTTGAAAAGAAGGAAGCAGGAGGGCCTTTTTTTTCCTTCAAAATGGCCGCCCGACCGGCTATTTTCAAGATGGCGTCCAGTTTTTTTTTTAAATGGCCGCCATTCGACTCGGGAAACGACATAGCTTTATATTGGCTAGATGCAACAAATAAAGAGGTTAAAATGATGTCACGAGTGAAAATTTGTCATTTTTTCGGTAAAAAAAAACAGGGACGCTTAACATGTTGTTTTTTATTTCACCTTATTTGTCAAGAATCTTTGACCTTCATTGTAAATTGCGGTAGATTCAGATACCATGATCTGGACATATTTAGTTTCTTCAAATAGAATCTCTGCTTGTGTCAGATTTTGTATTGATTTTTCATTCGGACACTGAAACATCATGATGACACATCATAATAGTGTATAGTTCTTGGATAAGTAAATAATATAACAAAGTACACCATGCAGTAGATCGTGGGTAGGCGAATACTTACAAAGTAGTTCAATACTTTGCAGTATATTTTTATTCAAAATACAAATACTAAGTAAGATTTGAGGCTTTGCATGGTGGAGATACTAAATAATGAAAGATTTGCGGAAACACTATGTGCGAATAATTTCTCAACTAAGAGAATGGTTCTGAAAAGAACCAGAGGTATAAACTCAACGTTCCGGTCAGAGCATACTGACCGGAGCGTCGAGTTTATACCTCCGGTTCTTTTCAGAACCATTCTCTTAGTTGAGAAATTATTCGCACATGGTGTTTCCGCAAACCTTTCATTATTTAATACAAATACTGTTGGCTTCTTTTCTGACTCCTAGGCTTTGGCAGAGGAGCTCAAGACACACCTTGAAAGGTTAGAAGGCTGTACCCTGCCCATGAGAGTGAGTGAGTTTGGCCGATGGGTGCACTTTAAGGGCATGTTCCGGGACGAGGTCAAGCAGTGGCTTGTGGAGAAGGGATTCTGAGAAGAGAGAGACTGGAGACTATGCAATGGTGGACAAGCTTGCAAGCATGGCCCCTGATTGCTGTCACTACCTTGTTCATTACAGCCATCTTGGTCTGGTTCCCAGACTGCAAGACATTGCCTAAGAACTGATTTTCAGCCTAAATCTCATCTTTGAGCGTCTGTTCTGGCTGTGATCTCTGAAGTAGAACAAGACAGGGGTAGATATTGAGTTGCCGAAAAAAGGGAGGCAAGATTGAATACAAGCCAGGCCTGATACAAGCACATATGCACAGGTAGTTCTGCAGACTACACATGTCTGCCCAAAACTCTACCCTTATGTAACTGTCGAAATTGCAAGTGGTGTCTAGAAAAACCTTCACATTGTCCACATTTTGCAATTCTTGTGGTATTTTTTTTTATAATGATAATTAAATAAATACAAAATGGGACTCCTGATTTCACAACTGAAGCTGCACCATCCTCAATCCTCCAAAATCCTCCTGGTGGTTTTGGAGGATTTTGGAGGAATGAGGATGAATGGTGTTTGAAGAGGAGGGGGATTTTGGAGGATTGAGGATGAATGGTGTTTAAGCACATGAGGATTTTGGAGGATTGAGGATGAATGGTGAATGAAGCACAAGAGGATTTTGTAGGATTGAGGATGAATACATTTTGAGAGGCTGGACTGTCTGATGATTTTGAAGGATTGAGGCGCTAAATGCAAAATTTTGGAGGATTTTGGAGGATTGAGGATGCTTCCTAGCAAAAAGGGTCTTGGGGATTAAGGTTAACACTACTGTACAAATAAAGATATGACTGATTAAAAGTTTCCTGTTTAAAAAAATTCATTTAGAGGAATTCGGATACTAAATACATTTGCATCTTAAAAAAAACCATAAGTTGTATTCCATTTCTCATTGATAAGAGCCAAACTTGAGACCTTTACTATCATCTGAAGAAAACTGTAAAACTCTTTAAGAGGACTGCCAAAGCTTTTCATAAGTTTCTTTTCAGTAAAAAAAATGGATTTACCATATTTCAAAACAAAAGTCAGTAAAATATCAAAAATCACAAGAAATATCAACTCCCAAATATCAGTTAAGGAGTTGCATTCGAGTAAATGATTTGAATGTTTTTCGGAGTATTGGACTGTAATATTGGGGAAATATTTTTTAAAAATTCTTTCACTATATTCAGTCTGTGTGAATGGACCTCATGATAAGACTGGCAAACTGTTTTCATGTATGAACGATTGTAGAAATTAATTAATGACTAAATAGTTATGATAACTTTACAAAATGCAGCATCATTGATAAGTCCTTATCATGATAAATAATTTTTAGCCCATAATGCAAAACAAATACATGTGAAAGTTCTATCGCGCCCTGCGAATCACGGTGTATTTTTCTTGGCCAGTGTTGTAATTCGCTGCATTAAGTGAAAGCATTGTAGATTTTCCCTGGACTAAAAACAAGCCATCCCAGGAAGAGGTCACATTTCTGTAAATTTAGGGTTTTGCCCTTCACCGATATAATATCATGGTAAGGCATCCAACCTCGTCCTCATGGTTTTCGAGCAGAGCGCTCCCACCAGCTGCTCTCTATACTATTGTCTCGAGGTTGAAAGCACACCCTGGGAAGAAGCTTGGTAACACATCTGCGCTGGTAAGCAAGAGATCGTGGGTTCGGGTCCCGCTTGAGTTAGCTTGTGATTTCTTCTCGCAGGCTGTGACGGCTCCGACAGTGTACTGCGTGTGTGCTATATCATCAACGAAGGGCAAAACCCGAAAAACAACCTTCACAGCTCCCCCACACAAAACCTCTATCATACAATATTTAAATTGTCTCTGTCATATAATAATACTATTTTACAGATATAATAATAATGATATTATATGTGGCAAATATTTTTTGGTCATTCATAAGCGGTGCAACGCTAGTGTATTGGAATAGAGGTTTTATGTATTGGAATAGAGGTTTAAAATCAGAGTGCAACATCTTTTGAAAAACGCGGATAGCTAATAAAACACGAACATGATTTAGTGTCTGAAAGCACCGACAAACGTTGCTAGTAGAGTGAAAATAGCTCAAACCCACGGGCTGTGAAATATATATTTCCCACGAAAATTGGGAGATTGGAGACAAAAGCTGGTCTATATTGCGACGTTGTAAATAATAAACCGCCCTGAACTGGTGAAATCTTGCACGTGTGTACATTACAAAGGTCGCCGAGTAAATAAAACGCTATGTGCACAAAACGGTTCTTATTGGTCCATGACTTGCATTTTGTTAGCTTTTCATTTACATTGTGTGACATCATAATAGGGTGAATCGCACAAAACACCGAAGCACGACAGTACAGTGTCGCATCTAAAACAATGCTTAAATACCTCCTATCCCCAAGAACTGCGGTCTTTGGAGGCAGGCATCCACGAAGTTAATCAATGAATATAAACGGTACCCGTTGCATTTCAGGAAGATTCAGTAGGCCTTGACATCTACGTTTAAATAAGAGAAATCTGAAACAATAATGCCCCAAGTATTAATTATTGAGTAACGATTTGCTGAATGAATGATCTACTAATTATGTTACGATTTGCTGCTGGTAATCCGTTTGGCATCCATGCGGCATAACTTTATGTTGCTAAATTTCTTTGCATGCGCCTGAATAGTGCAACTGTTAGGCCTACTTCTAAACAGTGCATTTGATATATCAGTTGTTATCTTGTTGACACCAAACTGAAATCATAGAGAACACACTCCTATGTAACCCTGAGCTGTATCCTAGTTTCCAAGATCAGAAAGGAACGATTCACATAATTATAAGGGATAGTCCCAAACTGGAAATCAATGACAAAGAAATAAGGACTTTACTTTCGTTTTTAAAAGAATCCCTGAGAAAACTTTTGAAAAAGAAGAAAGCAACAAGTAGAAAATGGACATTTTTGTTTCGGGTTGATGGCGACTTCTAGCCTCGCGAAATTTTGTCCGCAATATATCGAAATGGCCCTTGCGGCCACCCACCCTACCTAACGACTCCACAGCTAAAGTTGTACTATACGTTCACAGTTTGTATACAAGCAATGCAATATTTGTTGACATAGCAGATCAGCTGATATCGTATGAGGCCTTACGATGGGGAACTAGATATAACCGGATGAATCCGGATCATTCTATCAAGAGTAATCGCTCGGAGATATGCCACAAATATCTACTGATATTGATTTTGTTGTTATTGGAAATCGGCTTAGCGTCTAGAAACACACACTGCATTATTGATGAAGTAACAAGGCCACGAATTGAGCACCAGTCTAGTGTCAACAGCTTTGCTGCGGCGCTTTATAAACGGGCTCAAAAATGTAAACACGCCAGCACACATCGCTTGGACATCCTCGGCAGCAGTCATCTTTGGAAGCTCTACGGATTTGCGGTAAAGTTACCATATGTGTACATTATTTTAGATTCAAACTTGAGTTTTACGTTTGGTATCAGTATCGTTGTTTAGAAGACTTAAAGGCTTTCTGTACTGCAAATTGTTGAAATATATATTATGTGATAAGACCCTACATTAATTATTAGATATCAAGAGTTGGACAGCTACTTTGATAAGTTTTATGACGTAGCCTAATGTGCTGGCAGAAGGGTGCAGCAGAAGAACAAACAACAACCGAAAACAATGCGGGACTACGAGAAAATAGGAGATACATAGCATAGAGAAAGCATCTGTGAATTAAAATCGGCCATTTGGTCTGGAAAACCAGCACTTAATTGTAAAAAGGCGTTCATTCTCCTGCTGTTTTTTTTTTGTGCCTCTAACATAAACGTACAAACAGATACGCTTAGATCACAAAATATTCCGAAGATAAAAAGTCCCCCAAATAATTCAAATGTAGAGTAATTATTCCACACCATAATTTGGCGGAGTTTTTTTGTTCGATGTCTCATTCTAAAGTGAAATACTTCATATTGCTAGAAAATCATAACAAAAAACTATTGCGCGAAGAGAGCAACTTTCACATTCATCCGATTCTGCAGCCGTGAGTTGTAATATAGGTTTTCTTGGCTATTTTAAGAGATTTTTCATTCCAATGAAACTATTCTATCATTCATTTTCATCCACGAAAAATTGCTTCTCCCTGGTGTCCCACTCGGAATTTTGGAGAGGCACGAAATAAGACTTATTCTGAGAAATTGGGCTCTATAAGCGCCACTCCCACCCCTATTGGACCCAATTTCCCCAGTGTGTCACCGGTCAATCCCGACTCGAAACTATCTGAATCGATCTCCGAAACAGGTCCCAGTATAATGAGTAACTAATAAAACATAATTTTACCATGTCAGGAAAGTTAGGCCTAAAATGTGCTATACAGGGTGAGTAAAAAAAAAACGAACCCAATTGTCAGGACTATTGTTTTAGTGAAGTTCTACATGTAGCACTTTCAAAATATAGAATATGAAAGCCCAATTCATACGCTTTCTTTTAGTACAAGAATTATTCAAATCGCTTAATGTACTTTTCAAGTTACGGAATTTTAAACACGACCATCATTTTAAAGTTCTGTCCACGGATCACAAAAGGTGTGCGTTCTTGCAGCAAAACGAGAAGCAATTCACACACATCCCTATAAATCATGATATGTTTTTGTTTTGCTGAAAGAACACTTACCTTTTTGTGATCCGTGGACAGAACTTTAATTAAAACGGTGCTTGTGTTTAAAAGTCCGTAACTTGAAAATTACATGAGTGATTTGAATGATTCTTGTAATAAAAGAAAGCTTATAAATTGAGTTTAGATTGTGAAAATGCTACATTTAGAACTTCACTAAAAGCAATGGTCCCGATATTTGTGTTTCGTTTTTGTTTTTTTTACTCACCCTGTACTATGCTGTAAGTTTATGATCCGAAGCCTTGCTCATCTGTAATTCTTATCCTTCCGTCACCCCTCAATTCCTTTCCGCAGACGTTCAAACAGTTTGCGACTAAGCACGATATACCAACATGGTGGACAGCGTATACCGAACCCGTTCTCTGGGCGTGGCCGCTCAGGGCATACCCGACCAGTACGCCGACGGCAAGGCGGCCAAGGTCTGGGAATACTACATCGGTAGTCGCACAGACAGGACGGAGAACTACAGGCATTTCTTGGTGGACCTACTCAGGTCAAGAAATTGCCACTACGTCCTCGATGCAGCGTGTGGAACTGGGTAAGCCTCATTCTGTCATTATGAACAGGAGAAATCCTGGTGCGCCAATGCAAGAACATCACTCTTATCATGGAGGTACCTCCATGCTCTTAATAATCCCCATTCCACGTCCGTTCTTTTGTCTTTGATTCAGCATCGACTCTGTGATGCTTCTGGAGGCAGGTTTCCGTGTCATGAGTTGTGATGCCTCCGATAAGATGGTCCTGCATGCTTTCAGAGAGAGATGGGCCCGCCGTAAAGAAGAATGCTTTGACCACTGGGGTAATTAGGCAATCAGGTGTCTTATGCATGCGCTAGCTCTGAAACCAAGGCTTGCCAAAGCTTTGGTAGTTTTGCACTGCCTACTGTGCGTATTATGAAATGCGCCGATAAGACCCGGTACCCCAAACTCCCAGCTCCTACTAGAAGTAGAACGTGGGAATCTTGAGAGCTCCCATAAAATCCCCCGCCATGCATGGTATATCATTCTGGAAAACTTTATCGAGAATTATTCAGTGCCATGGGTTTGATTGCAACAAATTGTCCGGACGTTTGCATTAAAACTATAGCAGTGATTAAGGAGTCCACTGAGGAACACAAAATAACGTTTCGAAAATCTAATCCTTGTTAACTGCCAACATTTTCCCGTGGTCATTGATCTGAAAATTACAGCTTCTGCAATCACGCAGCGGGGAATAGCTACGGGGAGGGGGCGTGGTGGGGAGAACGCCTACCATAAAAAATCGTCGGCCCCACCGCCACACTGGAAATTTGGCAATCGGCAAAAGTCACGGAATAATGATTCGTGGGTTTGACGTAAAGTGCCTTTTTTTCACATTTTAAATTTATTTTGGGCGAAAACCTGTTTTTCTCCGATTGCCTGTTTATTTTAACGTCCCGTGAAACGCGTTTAGCGATACCTTTACCTGTTGTCTGACAATGACCATGAATTCGGTTTTGAACAGCGCCCCCACTGAGGATGGTGTCCAACCCCCACTGAGGATGGTGTCCAGCCCCCCCCCCCCCCCCCCCCCCCCACACACACACACACTATTTGATTTACGGAGGCCGGGTGTCCGGTGAAAAAAACAAAACATATCTACCTTTGAGCACGGAGAAATTGGGCATCCCTCCACTGTAACATCCAGCCCCCCCCCCCCAAAAAAAGCAGGATGAGAACCTTGGCTTTACGCCGCTGATCACGCTGAAAAATCAAGGTTGCTTTTACACCTTTCCTGTTAAAAGTGAAAAAAAAAATACTTGACACCATTTTCTAACAAGGTAAGGTAAAATTTAGAACACTACGTGCCCGAGTATCGAACATTTATTCTCGTGAACAACGTCACTCAGAGCAATGACTATTTTTGTAAAAAATATTCCCGCCAATGAAAAAAAGTATTTGAAATTTCAATGACATACTGCCCACGTTGGATTTACAAAGTTTAATATTACTGAAATTACAACAGTCGTTTCAGGATGAACCAAAATCCGTCACGATTTTCGACACCATGAAAAGTTTGCCAGTATGATTATATTATACGTTGACGATTGCGTAGGTTAATTTGAATCTTATTATTTATCTTTTGGACAGAAATTGAGGTTGCCAATTGGCTGACCCTGCCAGAAGACATTCCTAGAGAGGGAGAGGGTTACGATTCCATCATCTGCCTCGGCAACTCCTTCGCCCATCTGCCGGACTTCGAGGGCACCCAGGAGAACCACCGCGCGGCCCTGGCCAACTTCGCCACCATGCTCAAACCAGGCGGGATTCTAATCATCGACCATCGCAACTACGACTCTATCATAGACATCGGCAGAGCACCCATCAAGAACATCTATTACGTGGTAAACTTCACATCTGATGTCATTACGAATAAATTGTCATCGTTAAGGGTTATTTGTTGATGCTGGTACTAATTTATTGATGAACAGCAAACGATACTTTGAAGGGATCGAGACGCTGTTAAAAAACAACATAAGAAGCAGCTTTACAATTAAGGCTTTATACACAAACTGTCACAATGCAGAACGAAAATATCAACAACAAAAATGACAGAGTACCGAAGCAATATCACAGCATCACCAGCAGGCCCGCCCTCAGGGATCCGGAAATGACATGGATACTCTCGATTATTAAAAAAAAAATATGCACTTTTAAACCAATGATATTAAACCAAGAAAGTTGTCTCTATCGGACATTGTATGCAGAAAACAGTTTAGTTGCTTTGCAAAGAATTTCCGAATTTCAATTCGCGGCCCTTCGTGCATGTATATCTGCATTTAGAGAGCACCAAATTATGGATGTGGGACTTGTTTACAGCGAGAGTAAAAAAAAAACGAAATCCAAATGGCAGGACAAATTTTTGAATGAAGTTCTGCCTGTAGCACTTTCAAAATCAAGGATATGAAAGCCCAATCAATGAGCTTTCTTTTAGTACTAGAATAATTCGAGTCATGTCCTTTAAACGCCGTTTTAATGTTCTGTCCGCGGATCACACAAAATGGTAACAATACACATGCATCTCTATGAGAGTTGTTCTCGTTGTCCTGAAAGAAAACTTTCTTTCAGCACAACGAGAACAATAACTGGATTTATACAGCGCCAAATTGCCTAAGGATACAAGGCGCTTTTTTGTGATCTGTGGACAGTACTTCGAAATTCCGTAACTTGATATAATGAGAGATTTGAGTGGTAAGACGAGAGTGGTTGAGTGGTAAGACGTCTGCACTAGAAAGCAGGAGGTCGTGGGTTCGAGTCCCACCCGAGTGATTTTTTTTCCAACTTTCACTCGGGAGGTAACACACTGAGTATACAGTGTTTATACGTCGGTGAAGGGCAAAACCTAATTTGATTCACACTGTTTTGCAAAATCATCAGAATTGGTGTTTTTTCTCCAATAATTCTGACTTGGTTTAAATCCTCAGGGTAATTGCATCAAAGACATCCAGACATCAGTGTTGTACGTCAACGGCCGGCCCTCCATGGTGACGTTAGACTACTTCATCTCCATCGATGATCACAACAATGAAGACAGCAAAAAACACAAGGAAATTGACGGTGAAGTCTACAAGTAGGTCTACCCTCGCATCCAACGCCTAAAATACAAGTGCACTTGTGGCATATCCTCCGAGCTTTATACCTGTCTTCTGGGGTCTTTCGTGTGCGCATGACACTTGCGACTTGAATGTATTACAAACTTGTATTGGTCATTGCAAGCGACATATCCACAATGCCTTGCGAAGCTCCTGTTGCCTTTACAAGTTGTGGTTAGGGAGATTAGCGGTAGAGTCTTTAGGTAGGGCGGTGATTATGAACGAAGGTCTTAACGTAAAGTCATCTGTGACCTTTCCTCTTTGCGAAAGGCCCGTCTTTTAGTTGCAACATCATGCTCACAACGCTGTCGGCAACAATAATGTGCAACGTGAATTGAACCGCTCTTTGATAAAAAAAAATTAAAAAAAATATAGGGCGTATGCAGGGAAGATAAACACTGGAACTTTGTTTACAGAACACAGTTACTGTGGACAATGTCTATTATATTTGGCATTAAGTTAATGAGTGTCATTGTGATGTTATTGATATGCCTCCTTTCCTCTTTGCAGGTTCCGTCTGTCTTACTATCCTCACCGCCTGAATGCTTTCACGGAACTCCTCAAGGAAGCCTTCGGTGAAAACAGCAAGCACACCGTGTATGGGGACTTTCAGACTCTCAAGGAGGGCGACAACCCTTCTTACTACATCCACGTCATCCAAAAACCTATCGAATAGGTTTTTTCCCTAATAACTAAGGAGTCATTTTGTATAGTTTACCATTTTTTACATTTTTTTTTGTAAAGAGGGAAGAAGGGCGCTGTAGCCCGAGACGAAGCCGATGCGTCCATTCTCTACAGTTATCGAAAGAAACTGTGCTGCAACAATGGCACCAATGATTCCCTTTCTTGGTGCATGCAGTAAAATCCAAAACATGGGGCGGGGGATTCCGGTGGTTCTGAAACCTGCCGCAGATGGGGTCACGTTTTTCAGTGAGGAAATTTCCTCATGGGTAATTCTCGAAAAAAGCAGACTGCGAGAGGAAACCGAGTTTTTAAATCGACTTGAAATCAAGTCAGAGTTGTAATGATTCGAGTCAATGACTCGACTCGAGTCCGACTCGAGTCACATTTTTTGGCGACTCGACTCGACTCGAGTCCCGACGGGTAAATGACTCGACTCGACTCGAGTCACTGCGAGCAAATGACTCGACTCGACTCGAGTCCCTCATCAGAATGACTCGACTCGACTCGAGGAAGGCTAATAAGACTCGAGTCCCAAAATAAAACGTTAATGGTGGTCACGTTAATGTTCGCGAATAATGTACGTTTATATACAGCGGCAGTCTGTTTCCTTCCTCCATAATGAAACAACAAACATACACCGTGTCGCGGACTCCCACCTTGTGGTTCTAAAGCATGTAATGCTAGACCCGGAACCAGACTTAAAACGCATTTCTCAATCCGTGGTTTCATCTTTGGTTTCGGGCGATTTTGAAGTTCTTGGTGGAACGCTGGCTAAATTCATGTCCCGATTTCACACACAAAAATCGATACGGACGGGCCCACCTTTAAATAATCAGAAACAGTTTTGTGTAATGCAATTAGGTTTTAACGTTGTCAGCGATCAGCGAACAACAAAATCTAGACCCGAAGCCAAACCAGTTATAAGACCGAAGTTTCACATCTTCTTATCTGTGACGTGAGCTAGCAATGGAAACTGTTGGTTGGGTACCATACAGCATACTTTATGTGTTTGGATTTCCGTAATAGACTGGTGCCTTGTATTCTTTCTCTCTTGTGTTTGTTGCTTTTTATTGTAATTAAGTGTTCAAATATTTGTGACTCGAATTGACTCGAGCTAAATACGTGACTCGACTCGACTCGACTCGACCACACTCTGTGACTCGACTCGACTCGACTCGACCTTGTTGACCTAATGACTCGACTCGACTCGAGTCACTTCTTTAAAATGACTCGACTCGACTCGAGTCACAAAAATCAGTGACTCGTTACAACTCTGAATCAAGTCCTTAGGGTGTTGGCCGTCCGGTCGCCGTTGTGCCGTGTTTATCAACCTGGAACGGCTTAACGTAGCGCCCTCTTGCGTCATGTCAATTCCTCTGGGGGTATACGGGTATTGTAGACTGGGGGTATACGGGTATTGTAGACTGTTTCCCGCCCGCGTATTTTTTTCCGAGCCTGGTTGGGGCCAAGTCATGCATAACTCATTTTTTTCCTTTGAAACATTGCAAGACACTTAGGTTCTCGTTCTCTTTTTTTCTATTAAATTCAAATTGTCTCAACGATAAATTTAGCGAAGAAATATAGTCGATGAAAATGAGCAGCGACGACGTGGATTCGAACCGGGGCTCTTTGTATCCATTGCTCATCTCGCTATCCACTTTAGCTACTGTGGTACCCCGACGACGACCGTACTTTAAAATGCTTTAATGTAACTGGTTGACTGAATAACAACAATGCCCCCCCCCCCCCTATACAAAGGAGAAACATATGGGGTCAGGCAACCAGACTAGGGGTATTGGATCCGACGAGCTAGGGGAATTGCATGAAATGGATTTCAAGCCTGAAGTTTAGATTGCATTTGTACGTGTTAGAACTGTTTAAAAGATGTGAGAGCAAGCGTGCAGAGTCAAAAAAAGTTCTCCTATATGAGGAGATACAGAAAACAAGAACTTGTCGTGCCGTCAAGACTACACAGGCAGTCTATAAAATGATAAGATTTATGTCTTGTCGCTTTGAGAGATAATTTGAATCCTGTCAATTTAGACAGGAGTGCGTGGATGTGTTTTACTAAACAATACCGAATGTTTAAGTCTGATTACTTTTATGTAAATATAAGTTTATTGACAGAAATTTGATATACATATATATATATATGACATGTACATAAAAAATATATTTTTAAAATGACTTTTTTAATTAGCTCGACAAGACTGGTGCCAATACGTTTCGTAATGCTCGCATTGTTTTCCTAAATGAATGAACTTAATTAATTTATGACTGACGAAAAATTGTAAATTGTGTATATAAATGCATCAAGCATAATTATGAATAAAAAAATCCAGGCAAAGTTCCAGTCAAAATGTTTGGGTTTTTTTTACTTGTTAGAATTTATTTATAACCACCTTCTTGCCGAAATTGTTCATTATTTTACAAGGATTTTGCCAAGTCTTAAAAAAAAATAAGTCGAATCCATTCCAAGGCGATGGACTACGGCGTCTTGAGGTATATACTTCAACAGAGTTGTGCCTTAAGGAAGGGGGGAAGAGCAGGGATGTGTTTTTTCCCCAAAAGTTTTACCCCTTTGTCACTTTAAGCGAAAGGAAAGTGTCGATTTCACGGGCGTTGATGCTTGAAGAAGTTTACCTCAAGTTCATCTTCAGCATGACATGACATGCAACGCGATATAATTATTAACATCAAACACCTGCTGACCTGTGAAAGATGTTACAATAAAAACAAAATGATCGGTTCATCGGTCACTTGATCCATGCTTGATCTAGTGCGCGTGCGCAAGCGCAGCTTGTATGCTTGCAGTTTATCCTCCCGAATATTGATTGCGAATTAAGGCCAAAAAAAAAGTCTTCGGTTTCTGGTATGCGCGCGCGTCGCCGTAGCCATGCGCGTCGGCAAAATGAAAAAGTTTTTTTTTCAATGAAAGATGATGTCTCAAAACCACCAAACTCACTGGTTTGACTGGAATCCTGCTACTGCACAATTTTAACGTGTTTTTAGATGGGGTTATGATCGAGAATAAGCTTTATGTGGCCTCTCTGGACTCCCATATATTTGAACTAAGTTTAGTCGGGCACCATTTGCAGTCATCAGCCGACATTTGAAGCAAAAAAGTCAGGTAAAAAAAAAAAAAAAGCCGCGTCGCCGCACCACTTTTTGGACAAGCTCCATACCAGAAACCGTAGACTTATTTTTCTTGGTCTAATGTTCTGTTTATTTTATGACTGTCAATGGCCGCGTTGGTCCTAACGTGCAAATATTATTTGGATAAGTAAATATTGACTGTCCATTCGAAGCATGGAGCTGTAAATAGCCCCATGTTTGAAGTGGCTAAGTTTGAACAACCCGTTGAAGAATTGATTCCATCCATAGTTGTAACCATCTGTACAGTAGTGGACAGATGACGAATTCAAAAAAAATATAGGCCTAACTGTATAGATATGTGGCTGGTAAAAAGGTTGGATAAAACACTGTTTTGGGGGCAATGTAATTTACCCAGCATTGGTATGAAATATACCTCATATTGGGTTGAATTGGGTAAAACAGTCAAACTATTAGGAAGAATTTGCCCAAGAGTGTAGGCAGTTGCGACCGTCGTTGGTCGAATTATCAACCCATTTTGCCCAACTTATGTACAGTGATATACGTTTCATATAAGATCATTTGAATTTATCCCCAAAACCCCGTGAAATTATTCCGTCTGGCCCGCTTTCGCTTATATTGAAGGATTCAAGAAATGTGACTTCCAAACTTGACAGATTGGTACCGGTACCACATTCGATGGAATTCGTTGCTTGAAAACCTACAAGTGTCAGATGTAAATTAACTTAAAGTTAAGTGGATTTCTTTTAAGTTTGTAGTGTGACCAAGATCCTTGCAATATGGCTTACATGACTGTATATAGTAAAACACCACATTTTGGCGACCTCAAAATGATGAATGTACACGGTGAGTCAAATAAAGGAAAACCCAAATGGCAGGACTATATTTAAATGAAGTTCTGCATGTAGCACTTCAAATCTAGGATATGAAAGCCCAATTAACAAGCCTTCTTTTAGTTCACAAATCATTCAGATCACTCATGTACTTTTCAAATTACGGAATTTTGGGCACAACCACCGTTTTAAAGTTCTGTCAGATCACCAACAACGTATTCAGTGTCCTTTCATCAAAACGAAAGCAATTGACATAGAGATGTTCGTGAATTGTTTTCGTTTTGCTGATAGAACACTTTTTTGTGATCCGTGGACAGAACATTAAAACGGTGTTTGTGTTTAAAACTCCATATGAGAAAGTTGAAATATACATAAATATTTTAAATGATTCATTGTACCAAAAGAAATTTATAAATTGGGTTTCTTATCCTACATTTTGAAAGTGCTACATGCAGAACTCCATTACAAAAATGGTCCTGCTATCTGGGATTCCTGTTTGTTTGTTTTTTGACTCACCCTATTCACTGATAAATATTTCCATTTTCCAATACCGCGGAATTTACCGTCTGTAGGCCGAATTTATATTCCCTGATTAACATACCATGTAAAATCCTTATTGACATGCGAATTGGGGCAGATGGGGGCAATAATGAATGAAAGTGATGTCAATCATTAACTTAATTAGCAGTTAATATTGAACACTTAGTACATGGTTGCTCAGGCAACGAGCCGGCTTGATAACTCATGCAAACACTGAAACGAACTTTGTGATCACAACAAGCACGAGTTCGGCGTGCCGTGTGGTACAGGCAATGCGGGTAGGAAGTAAACCATTAACAGTAATAATGAACGGAGGTTCCCCTCAAATAAAGTGTAGAATCTTAAATAAAATTACATTTATTTTATAGTTAGTATCAATTCAATATAATAAGGATCACTTCAACAAAGAATTTACGTAATTCCATGATAGAATCATCCGAAAACAGTAGGGATACATGCAGTTTATAACAAACAAAACCTTAAAAGCAACAAAGAGAAAAGCTGGCTTTTTAAGAGACGAAAGGTACAGAGTCCATTTTAGGAATCATGAACATTATATTTATTACATTTAATTAGGGTACAATAAAAAAAAAAACACCAGCAATTTGACACCTAATTTAATGCGTTAAACGAACAAAAAGATATGGTCACAACATGTTGCACGTTTAGAAGTCTTTATATGAAACATGAATGGATCATCAATCAGATAGGATATGAGCCTTGGTTGCTGACAAAGAATGGGAACGCTGAAGTTATTAAATGTTAAAAAATAGGTTGGGCATACACAACATAAAGCATGCATGAATGTTATCGTTCATGAATTAAAAAGTATCATGGTAAATATACCCTTGCCCTAATTAAATTACGTAGCATTCATTTGAAACTACCCAACCAGTTTCTAATTTAGTCCTTGTTGCCGTGTGAAAAACGTACAAATCCCTCGCCAAGACTATGGCGCCACATTTTTGTATAGTGCTCATTTAATATTCCAACGGGAAAATTTATAACTGGAGCATGACGAGCACAATGAAAGCGAGTGGATATGTATGGCGCGCGCATTTAGATACATGTATCTCTATTCAATCTTACTTCTATGATAGAGATCTCTATTAATATCTACTACTAGAGATATATAGTATAGTGATATTTCCGGTCTCGCACGTTGTGTCAACAGATAGGCCATCGTGTGCAAGGGCGGAACCGGGGGGGGGGGGCGGGAGAGGTGGAGGTGGCAAAAAAAGAAGAACCCAATTTTTTTTTTATTGACGTCGCAATAACGGCAGGCACTGCGTACACTACCTTTTCCTCGAAACATTTTGGTTAAAGTGGTCAATTGGTCAGAAATTGCCTCAGATGGCACCACAGAGCATCTAGAACCCAAAATATTGCCGGGCCCTTAAGCGGGCCGCGTAATTTTTATTCCTAGGAGGGTTAGGGGCAACGGTCCTGAATAATTCATGTTTATCCATGAGAACGGACAAAGACATCAACAGCATTGTTGTTAGTTACTCAACTAGTTACAATACATTAAAGCATTTTAAAGAACGGTTGTCGTCGAGCTACCACACAGTAGCCTAGTGGATAGCAAGATGAACTATGGATACAAAGATCCATGGTTCGAATCCACGTCGTCGCTGCTCATTTTCATCAGCTATTTTTCTTCTCCAAATTTTTCACTGAGATAATTTTAAATTAAGGGGAAAATAGAACGAGAACCTAAGTCTTGCAATGATTCAAAGGAAAAACTGAATTATTCATGACATTGCCCCTAACCCTCCTAGGAAAAAAAATTACGCAAGCGGGCCCCGAACCCCTCGCCGTAATTTTTTTAGACCCACTTTTGGGGGGACAATTTTTTTACCCCCCCCCCTCCCCAATGGATTCTGGATCCGCCCTTGATCGTATGACGTAACGCACCTACTTTTTAGCGAGCCTTAAAGGGGCCGCCATATAACGCATCTCCACGCGTTGCCATGGCTAGGCTGCCGTGAAACACAAGACGCGAATTTCAAATCCCCAAGATTTCTATTTGTTTGCATCGCACCAAATGTCGAGTTGGACGACCACTGACCTCTCTATATCCAAAAGAGATATCTCTATTTCTAATAGACATATTAGAAATAAATCTCTATTCGAAAATGTATCTCTGAGTTATTTGAAATAGAGATATTATGCAGCATGTATTTGAAATAGAGATATTATGCAGCATGTATTTGAAAAAGAGATATCTCTTCTTCGGGATTAAATGTTAAATTTGCTCGCCGTAGATATTTGCATGCCTTTTATGCGCATTCAAGTAGCTAGTCTGCCAAGCTGCATGTGCAAAGTTCAATCATTCAGTGCAATCGTTTGTACAGGGGTGAACAAACTCGTGTTCAAACGCTTTTTACATGTACTTGTATATTCGTGCCCATTGTACTTTAGCCTAGCTGATCCATAATTCCCCAGCAATCGCACATTTTACTGCTTTTCACACACGTAAAGGTAATCGACACCATTTCCATTTGCAAAAAGAAATGTTATTACTGATTCAAGGATCAATAAAACAATAAATCTGAAGTGGGTTATTAAAAACTATTCTGTCGAAATGTCCGCTCATACAAGAAAATATCGCTTTCAGCAAAATATCGGAAAACGCATCTTCATTAAATTTTTTCGACGCAAAGCAAATATAGGTTTGATCGTAACCATCACGAGAAAATGATGTCAATTCCTCGGGCGAAAATGGCGACATACTAGTCCCAATAGACCTTTCTACGCTTGGTTGGCAAACTGCACATTTTGCCAACCACGGGTTGCAAAACTATGGAAGGCCCAACACTGCAAAAATGAAGAAGAGTTATTACAGATAACCAACATATTATTTGGTTGTTAGAAATACAACATTGTCAACAAAGCTACAACATAATTCCTAAACATTTTACTATGTATTGAGGGCGTTATGCGAACCATGACTTCAATTTATGCGCTTGCGGCAGCCCATATAAAATGGCGCCAATGTTTACAAACAAAAGAAAGGTCAATAAACACATTTTTTTTGGGGGGGGGGGGGGTTAAAAAACAATTGTCCTCCAAAACTTAGTCCCAAAAATTACGGCGTGGGGTTCGGGGTTCGGCTGAGGCAATTTCTGCCTCATTTTTTTTAGGGGGAGGGGGGCATAACCCCCGTTGCCGAAAAAAAGTTTTTAAAAAGAAAAGGGCCTCAATTATCAAACAATGGCTTAGCACCGCGTGCCTCGGTTTCAATTCCAATTTGTAATTCGCCGATCAAAAACAACATCATCATGCAACCACATCCCGTGGTGAATTTGATCACTTTCTTCAAAACAAAAGACACGAAAGAAAACAATCAGGACACATTATTTTCACTTTCTCAGAACCGTCCTTTACTGAAATATTCAGCAATCGAGCTCTTAAGGTAAATATCACAGAACACATCACTGCATGTATCACTGCACAACGTTCTATACTATAAATACGTCGATTTATATTATGTATTTTTACGATTTCGCATCTTTTGTTTCCGTTTTCAAATATATATAAATCATATGTACTGATTTAGTAACTTTTCTCTAATGTTTACCTGAGTAATTTACAATACCTACAATAATATACATCTCAACTAATCTGAAACATAATAGAAAATGTGTACATTGACACAATCGTCTGGTTCTTTCTTCACCAATACACTTATTATGACAGAAAACGAATATCATGACCTGTGCATGGGTCACTGAATGCCTTGTAGTTGTACGTGTACTACATGTATAGTATGACATGCACACGGAAACAGTATTCAATTCCTTGCTTTCTGTCCTCGAAATATTGGGTCATATACAAAAACCAGCACTGTGTCAACGAGCTTACTATATAGGCTCAGATCAGACCTGCAATAACGCGCAAAGCCGTTAAATTGAAGCATACAGAAACCCAACTATGTTTTGTTTTCTTTAAAATGTAATAAACCACAGAAAAAAATTTGAACCATGGAGACCAATGTTGACATATATAATCAATCACTCATTAGGCTACGAGTCCACAAAACGTGATTTCAAAATAAAATATGGTAATATCCATGAGCACCAAATATAAAAAAAAATATAAAAAATTGCATTGATTCCCAACGGGGGCCTTCGTGCTGATGGCAACACTCATACACGCACCATTACTAAACGCGATGCAAACACATAGAGTCATACCTGAACTGAATTAGCATATTCATGTTGTAGGCCTATATATTCATAGACTGCTCATGAATGCAGGCATAATCCAGTGCAAACTGGTGTCCTTGGATTAATGCAACAAAACTACTCACAAAGTCATGTAAATGTACCGACAGACTTTCGAAACGAAAATCATAAAACATATGCTCAAGATCAAACACATCAACTGTCATAATTACACTGTCATGGTTCCAAATTACGGTTGGATCGCACTATTAGTGAAAGCGAAAGCTGAGCGAATTTGACAACGCCAACAGAACCGTTTCATTGTGACTTTTGCCGGAAAAGGATATTTATTCTCTTTCGAATTGTGTGAATTTCAATTGGGCAGCACGTGACAATGATCCATATCAGCCAAAACTGCATGCGTCATCGATTGTTTATCGGACCCAGTTTTCTAAATGCAGTCGATTGACTCATGTCTGCACTGCGTTGTATTATATTTGCTACTGTTGATTGCTGATGCTGATACAGTAAGTCTATACTTGGCGCCATCGTGAGAACTAGCAACTCTAAAACATGCCGGTCTTTTCTTTTCATATACATCATACATGACATGGCTTTTGTATGCAAAACATAATTTTATGTAATTAAACCCTGACATGACCATTTTGGTCATTTTGATTTTTCTTAGCATCACAGATAATGCTTAATACAGAAAATAAACAACACTGAACTATAATACATCAAACAACAGCTGCAACACTTCATGTAAAATCACGATTCACTGACAAGTAACAGACCATGTCGCACTTGAGAAAAAAATGGAATGTTTCGGTCACGTGACACCGTTTATCACTTGGGAAAACTGGGCAAACTAGTCTTAAGCTTAGGCTATATAACACAGATCACTTCAAATACTGGTGGGTTAAAAGTATATATTAACTAAAAACACGGGAAAAGGCCGGGTGGCTGGCTGTATTACGTGTAGGCAACCGAAAGGCATGAAAGCACAAAATAATCTAGATTTCTATTCATTTACATGTACACTCTTTGAAATCAAATTAAAACAAATCGAGCAGGATAATTCATGAAAAGGTCCAAACTCTAAGAACAGACTTTACCGTTGGTAAAATAAACAGTAATCTATAATATAATACGAAGAGCTCTGCCATATACGCTTAGTTTTGAAATACCTTCCAATAAACATCACACACGCATTTCAAACAGCAGCAGACCTATGACCCAACCTCTTCTTTTATCAAGACTGGTTGGCCACTTTTGGGTCCACTGTGTCTTCATTAGCGTGATAATGTAACAGATATTGGACAGGTAAGTAAACTTGACCCCGTGTTGTACAGAATATAGAACACGTATAAGGAGAAAAGTGTCACGCTGGATTCAACAAAGTTGAGCCCCTTTCAACTAGCCTTTCAGAGCGTCAAAGCATACTAATGAGATATTTTTATACGTAAAAACCGTAAGCCAAGAATACATTTAAACACAATGTAATATAGAAAATGTCATGGACAGTTTTACGTGCAAGAGGAATAGACAGCGATTGTAAGCTCTTGTATTCTCCAAATGTACAACTTTTCTTTTCATTTACAAATCAATTTCGCGAGGAACGTACTGAACACAATTAAGTTAAGAGAAAACGAAAACAACATAGTCTTTTGACTAGAATTGCTATGAACACATTCCCTTGAGACTAAATGCACACATTTTTTGAGAATTCTAGTATAAGAACCTGAACATAAAAGGTGAATCTAAGACGGCTTTAAGTATCAAGGTAACTTGTAACCTGTCACAAACGTCTTGACAAAATGTTGTGCGATGAATATACCGCTTGTCGCAGGCACTTTGTTTTAGTGTAATCATGGACTGTTAAGTTTTATGAGATCCATGACATTCGGCCTCAATTCAAGGTGAACCTTAACCCTTATCCATGTATATAAAGCACTATTAAAAAATACCCTTTAAGCCGTATGTCTTTTCATTTACAAAGAACTCAAGTCAGAGTCTCATTGTTTATGTAATGACTTAATGTGATTCTATCTTATGTTGGGTGACTTTGCCAAAAATAGAATGTTATTCACTCTGAATGTTGTCAATGATTTGTTACCCGACCTACCACAACCCTCATTCCACTAGTCACTACTATAAAGGTGTACATGTACATATCATGCTTGGTTCCAATCCAGTTCAAGTACAAAGAAAAAGCCAGTATCACATTGGCGGGAAAATGTCTGGTATAGATTTCCTATCGAAAGTGCCGGGGGCATAAAATAAAAATACAAAACAAAAATACAAAGGAAAGTACTTCCCCAAACAGAATCTTTTGTCAGGAACTCTTAGTACTGCTAGTTTGTGACGCAAAGAACTACGCGAATCCATTCGTGAAAAAAAGGCATTCATTCAGTTTCACAAATGTTATACCGAGGCACCAGAATTCCTTATCGATGGTTCAAAGTATATAATGAAGGTACATGTAAAATATAAGTTTTAAAATATTAATTTTGCATTGATTTTCAAAATTTTATATTTTCTTTGTTATACTTTAAATACGTAATCTGCATTTACCAAAGTTTCAAGGAGAATTGAAAGATATCTGTGATGAAAAAAACCACCCAGATTTTTTGAATATGATACACACGTTCGATTCACACAGTTCAAATCACCGAGTTTCATGCTTCAATCGAAAAAAAAAAATGCAATGTAACCCGACTAGAGCCTTTGTATCGGTGATATTCTGGTTATGACTGAAGGACTGCAGAAAACAGTTTTCAGATTATTTGTGCAGATCTGTGGGCCCCCATGTCATAACTTCACACCCGGATTTATTTTCAATTTCAGGTACATTTTCAGAAAACCTGTCCTGTGAGGGTCTTAAGTTACAGTGGTTCCAACAGGGCCAGTAGACATGTCATTTTGTGCAAGCCTGTATATTGACTGAAATGTGTTTCCCCTTCCACCCGTGAATGCTTCTTTTTGTGTCCCTTGCTTTTTGTTTCTGTATCCCTGTCATTCTGCCTCTGAAAAAGGTCCTGCTAGAATCCAACGTTAGGCCCTTTAAAATTGTTGGTTTGTATTTTCAGTTCAATCCAGTCAGTAAGCAGTTTGAAGCAGTTTTATTTCATTTTCATGAATTGAGAAGAATTAATAATTCGTATTAATTTGAATGGTTAATTCGTTTCTCAGTGAAATGTATCTTTCAAAAAACAGACGTTACTATACGCCTAACTTGGCAAACACAACAGGGCAAATGGTGTATGTACTGAAAAGCAGGACTAGAAAGGTGATGTAGCGATATGGCAGCTCCACAAACAACAACTTCTTGGTGTTCTCATTGATTTCAGTATTGAAGACGACAGGAATGGCCTGCAGGAGGAGTGCCCTGGTGGACAGGTACACCGCGAGTGCCAGTACCTGGCAAAAGGCGTACTTCAGGAACATCACCCCGGCCACGCCCAACCCAGGCCAGGCGATGACCCCACCCAGGGGCTCTACAACATCGGGCACCATCCCTGCGCGATGGAGGAGCCAGAAGCCACATAAGGTCCCCGAGACCGAGCCAAGTATGGTGATGGTGTCAGCTCGTGTGGCCGCCACACCGTTGTGGCTGGGGTAGCAGATGCACAGGAACACGGCTGTAGAGATGATGACCAATGGAGCCTGGGGATGGGTCAGCTGGAAGTGGTCAATCACATCCAACCAGGGCCAGATGAGCAGCATCAGAACAGCGGTTAAGGTTACGCCTACAACAAGGTCCTATGAAAAAACAAAAATCAACCACGGCATTACTTCAAGGATTACATTTGGCTTTGTGCAGTGTCTCACTTCAAAAGATGCGAATTCATAGTTTTCTAGACTTATATATTATTCCTCCCTTATATAAGGCACAAAACCCATTCATAAGACTATGGAGCACGAAACTAGAACACTATCAAACCAAGTTATTCTCTGAAAAATAGTTTTCAAGAATGCCAAATCTTCATCAACTCTCAACATATCAACTTAATTTAGACTATACAACATATTCCCTGATATTTTCATAACAGGCTTTAAAACTATATCGTATTATTCTTTGTACAAACATGGACTCAGAAAAAGATTGGTTAAAACTGATGCATTCAGCAAAATACAGTAACTCAAGATTCCTTAGCTGTTACAGCAAAAAGTGCTTTGATGAATTGAATGTCATGCAGATTTGAAGAAAAAAATTGCGAGAGTCTGTATCTATTCATTTTTATTTATTTAACAGACAACAAACAGCAGTTGAAGATGTCAAAAATAGAAACATTTATAGGCCACACAATCGCTTTATCACCATTTCAGTTTCTCCGACTGATTGAACACAAAGTTCAAATGAACAGGCAGCTTGCTGGGTCAAGGTTGTTTGGTCGGAGTTTCAATTTCAGTCGGACTTTTTTTTCCCGGCTCGGAGATATTAAAGTTCAGAAAAGAAAATGGCCAATGTGTGCCAGGCACAAATCCGAGCCTGCATGATCCACACAATCTTTTCTAATTTGCTGTTTTGTGACTTCACTTTGCCGAAGATTCTGTTTTCAAAATAAATAAATAAGGACGAAAGCAAGGAAGCACGTCTGGACTGTCTGCATCAATAGAACAAAAAGCGGTAAAGGGGGGGGGGGGAACAACTTCACCTAATTCCAAGCATTTTGTCTCATCTGCTGTGCAAAAACCAACCAAAACACAACATATAATGATAACGCAGTGTAGGGTTGTCCTGAACATACTGAATATTGGATCATCAACTGAATATTCGAATACCTTTTCGCCGGTTTGAATATTCGTAGAAAAAAAAGGGGAAAAGTACGTGTAACCTGGAAAATGACACACTTAGGGGAACTCGCAAAAAACTAATATTGAAGGGAACTGTCGCGAGGAAATTGAATTAATAGAGACACAGAAACAAATTCTAGATTTCAAACCAAAAAAGGGACCAAAAAGAATCTATTTACAAAACCCTTAAACCAAGAAATTGAGACTTAAACCCTAAAACCTGAAACCAAAGACTTATAAAAAACAAAAAAAAACAAAGAGTTAAAAATAACAAAAACAAAGACTTAAACCGAAAACCAACACAGTGTGTAGAGTGGATCTTTAGAAAATACACTTTAGCAGAAATCTGTAAACAAGAAAATACAAAAAGAGAAAACATATAAGGAAATGATCTGATGAATATGCATGACAGAATAAACAAGTTCTAAGATACAAAGGAAGTGGGAGACACTAATCCCCAAAGTGAAGGATTAGCAGGCAATAAAACAAGTCCAGTGGCACCATATGAAAGGTCATGTGAGTCAGGATAGGAACAAAGAAATTCAATGAAAAGCTAAAGCACATAGTCCAGATTTGAAGAAAATCTCTAACACTAAGAAAATGTACAAGAAGAACACAAATCTAGAATCTAAATGAACTTTCAACCTTTCTTAATAAAACAATGCCAAAAATTTATCCTTAAGTAAAACCAAGGTTGAAAATAAACAGAACTAAGAAACTTTTGTCAAAAGAACTCAAAAAGAAACTTGTTGAAAGACTAAATTTTAAAGTAGGATGTGATAAAACAACCATCATCAAAACAGGGAAACTATACTCATATGCCTTGAGCAAAATAATCAATGTAAAAAAAACAAAGAAACACTAACAAACTTTCAAATGAAAACTGAACTATATTTCTAATAATACTTAAGCATGATAAATGAAAAGTAGACAATATACAAAAGAAAACGCACCAAATGACTCGAGCAGACAGAGCTCAAACAGGACAGGCTCTCCAGTTAGGAGGAACATAAAATACCGGTATAAATACGGTACTATGAAGTTGTCTCTGTTGGTCTGCTGGTTGAACTAAAGTGTGGCTTGACCATGTGGCAGCTTTTATAGGGGGAACATGTGGGCTTAAGTAAACAAACAGGGGGACATACTACCAACAAGGGGGGGGGGATCTTAAGTACAACTAAAATGATTTCTTTTTTTCTAAGGGGAGCTACTCCTATTTAATACACTATAAATACATGAAAAATATACAAGATAAATTTGGCCCTGCCACATACGCACGTACACACATGACTGTGACGTTATTTTTATCGTGAAGTTGCATCGCTTTATTGTCAGACTACTGTTTGAATACACCAGCGAGTCAAATTCGGTCAATTACTAACAAATATATCGATATACACATGATAATCTTGATACTACATCAGGCGTGCGCAAATGTCGATTAGCAGGTCGATCTATTTTATCAGGTGCCATATGAAAATCTGACTCCTGTGAAAATCGGACCCCTTTTCCCCTTTTATTAATAATAATAATAATAATAATAATATCTAATTCTTGTATAGCGCCAAATCCGTCAAAATTGCCGCTCAATGCGCTTCACAGAAAATTAAAATGAACCAGTTAAAATTTAAGAACAAACTAAAACTTATACAAAGAAAAACCTTTACAAAACTAGGTGAACAATTGAAACAAGTTGTCTAAAACAGGCAGGTTAAAACAGACAGACACAGTAAAGCAACAGCGAGACGACCACGATAAAGAGACTTAGAAAAGACTTACACAAACAGTAGGAAACACACACAAAACAGACAGATAACAGAATAACCATAGACAAGACATACATTCTGGTTGATAAAAGACAGCCAAAACTGTCAAGACAGACAATAAGAATGAGACAAACGGATGGACAGGCTGATTAACAGTCCTACAAACACATCAATGCAATACAGCATGACAGCACAAGGTTAAACATTGACGCTCAAGGCGCTTTACATAAATACAGATATACCAGTTAAAAAATTAAAATACAAGAGGTGTACAGTTATCTAAAACAGGCAGATATAAACGGACGGGCACAGAACATCAATCAAGTAAACAGAGAGACGACCATGACAGAGAGAATTAACAGCACGACAGCCATAATGTACAAAAAAATGAACTGAACAGACGAACTAAAAGAGTGGATACATTCAATGATTCATTTCCAGCTAACTTGATCTCATCAATGGTGGAACAACTACGTGGTTGCTAGGCAACTGCGATTGGTGATTATCAAAAATAATTAACAATGAATCAAATTTAAAATTGTGTATATAAATATTGAAAAATTCACAGTTCCCACTTTATTTACCAAAATGAAACTTTGTGCAAACCGAATAATTCTTAATAATAATAAGACTTATTCTGTTTGCACAAAACCTCACTTTGGTAAATGGGAACTGTGAATTTTTCACTAGTTATATACATGTACACAATTTAAATTTAAAATTAGTGTTAACAATTTAAAATTAACTAAAAAATTGACAATTAAAAACGACTGGCTTAATTAAACAGCAAAGACATCAAAGTCAGGATTTTGGAGCTAAAAGCGTTTGCTTAAAGGCAAGACTGGTTTGAAGTGCTTCAGGTAGTTCTTTCACGAGATCATATGCAATGGTCTCGAACCTTTGCAGAAAGCCATGTTTGGTAATCACCTCCCGGGTGATATAGTACGAGAAATGTACCACTAAGGCTCTTCCTACAACGCAGTTGGGATTCTTGACTTTTTGGGAGTAAGTTTCTGTTAACCAACGTTCATCGTCTAAAATTGGTCCACTTTCCAACATGGCCTTAAAATTAATGAGGTTCGAATCCAGGAGCAGGAAGTTGATGCTGAAGCGAACTCTTTCGGGGGTCATCAGGTACCGTCCGTCGAACAGGAATTTCTCCAGTGATTTGTTCTGGTAGTGATAGAAGAATGCGTTCATTGTCAAAACAGCACAATCACCTGATTTAAAGCCGCACGTTGGGCGACCGTTACTGCGGAATTGAAATTTCAGCTTTCTCGGGTTGATAGCCTTGTTGTCATAGATACCCAACTCTTGGTGGATGTAGCTACCCCGCCAGTTAGTACCTCCGATGTTGCCGAAATGAATGAAGCACTCGGAGGTGTTCTGTTGCTCAATCAGCTGCCTGAAGGTGCTGGAGTGGATGTACACGATGTCGTCGTCCATCTTGAAGTACTTTCTCTCTGGGTGCCTCGCCACGTCATTGAAAACCTCGTACAAAAATCCCTCAAATGTGCCCTTGGGAACGGGACTAGCCGAGGTGTCCTTGGCGCGATTGCGAAATCGGAGCTGAAAAACCCTCTTTCCCAGAACTTTGTTGGCGGTTTTAGTCAACTCGGTCAGTTTGGAGAGGGTTTGGTTGTCGTACCTCATCATGTAGTAGTAGACCTTGTCCAGAACTCCGCCATTCTTCCTCAAGCTGCGATAGATGTAAGCAAAATTGATACGGAGGAAGTCCCAGCGTCCGGCGAAAATACAGAGAATGTTTTCAGAGTTTGGTTTTCTGACAGGTTTTCTGACCTGTGTCTTCTGAAGTGGCTCTTCAGCTTGTACTGGCAACGGTTGACGCCTTACTGTCGATGCCGGTAGAGGATTGAAGTTGTAGGCTAATGTAATTAATGTGATCATTAGCAAAGCGGTGCAGGACAACAAGTGCATGTTTTGACCAAGTTTGAATATTGCCGACATTTGTTTTCGGTCAGCCATGTTTGCTGTACAACTTCAGTAGGCTTACACTGTACTGCAGTCCAACCGTTTAGCCTGCTTCTGGTATCATGATATGCTAGCTGATTCGCAGCACTGCACTAATGTACAGCATGATATGACATTATCGGTTAATTATTGACACGTAAAAGGTCACTGTACTCTTCCATTATGATCCGAAAAATAGCATATTATCGTACTTTCGCATGCGCAATA